ACAACAACAACAACAACAACAACAACAACAACAACAACAACAACAACAACAACAACAACAACAACAACAACAACAACAACAACAACAACAACAACCGCAGCAACAGCAGCTGCAACGACATTTGTTTCCTCAAGGGCAATGGCAAAGGCAAGGGCTGGCTCGAGGAATCTGCTACCCGCAGCAACAACCACAACAACAACAGCAGCAGCAGCAGCAGCAGCTGGCCATCTTTTCTCCAATGTCGGAACCGTCGTCCGCGATCATGCAGGAGCCCGTCTTCGAAGCTCGACGAAGGCTTTTCGAGGATATGCAACGCAAACTTGTGTCCCAGGTCCAGCGGCAAGTGTCGGTATCTCATCCATCAAAAGACGATCTCCGACCTCGCGTCAGGAGCGCGCCTGCTCAGGCTCCGAGCGAAGTAGCAGCGCACCGACTGCGATCAGAAAGGAGCATTACTGTTGCGGAAGGCATGGTACCCATAAACTCACATTTGAGGCCGATCGACACCACCACTGCCGACACAAACAGCAGCAATACATACAGCGGAGCTATGTCGAAGAACAAGAGTCCTCAACAGACTCAAGCAGTTCTAGCAGGGAAAGAAGCTCAGCTAGGCAGCGTGAAGCCTGCGACCAAGCACGCCACCAAGCACAGCAGGCTCTTTGTGTCGCTCTTGCCGCCAAACTTCCAGAACTATCCGCGTTACGTTACCTACGATGTTGAAAATTTTGCAGAATGCTTTCGGAGGACACATCTCAAGCACGATGAATGGCAGCGTGGCAAGCGCACCTTCGAGATGTGGCCTGGAACGGGAATTCCAAAAGTAGCCGGCCTCTGCGAAACGAGCAACTCGACCACGGCTTTGCAGGCTGCTGCTGGGCGTGGAAGGCTCGTCGGTCTCTTGCCCGCAGTCGACAAGCTTGACCGAGAAAATAGCGCTTTCATAGCATCCTTCGAAAGCGTTCTCACCGAGCTCGATAAAGAGCGTTCGAGTCGGGTAGAGCTGGAGCAACGCCAGGTTGAGATGGAGGCAAAGCTGGTGGCTATGGATACGAAGTGGAAAGAATTGATGGAGAATCAGCTAGAACAGAAAACCGAATTCGAGCAGAGGCTGGAAGAAGTGCTGCAGAAGATTGATGGGATCCAGCAGGGGCTGGAAGACTTGCATCAGAAGCAGAGCAAGCCATCGGTGCCAGGCGTGCATCAAGGCAACAGCATCGGAACGTCGATGACGAGCAATACACGGGATGCAGGTCAGCAAACGACCGGACATGCAGATATTGAACTCCCTGGTACGGGAGTGCATATCAACAATCACCAATCTACCACCCTGGAGTATACCTCAACTCCTCAAATTGACAAAGAAGAGGAAACCCCCTTCCAAGCTGCTTCGATGAAGAGACTATTGGCGTTCAAAGCATTGGCGAGAATGGACTCGAGCCTCATGGGTGCCCTCGATTTCGGCCAGAAGAGCGAGAGCCCTAAAGAGATGAAGGTGAAAGGCGCAAGCCCCGAAAGCGTCGTTCAGAGTGCCGATGTTTTCCACGAGGCGACGAACGATGGCCATCCCAATGAAGTACCCGATTCGAAGGAAATTATCGAATCCAGGGATGGTAGCGAGAAGACATCTGAACGAAAGTCAGAGGCTAGTGAGGCTTCGGCTGTCGTCTCAGCAGCTCCCATCAGCAGCAGCAGGTGCGCCTCTCTCGAAACAAAACAATCTTCAGAGTCCTGTCGCCCGTGCATTGGCAGGACCGCTATGAGCAAGCAGACCAATCCGCCCATGCCACCAAGATCGCCGAACACTGACAACATCATCAATAATAGAGGTTCGCCGATGAAAGGGATCCTTATCAATCGATCGGCCCACCGTGCTGCCGCTGTTTATAGTAAGCTCAACCAAAAGCGAATTTCGTCACCACAAGCGGCCTCAGCAGCTACATCTCAGTCAGTGGTACCGATTCACAAGAAGAGTGACTCGAACGACAATGCCTTGAGTGGCAAAGAAGTCATTGACCGCAAGACATTTGCGGAGGACGACGTACCAACACTGTCACATGATGCTTCCTCGCCTGCGAGCGCAGCCAATATAGGACGCATCGACGCACCAATTGTCATTATCGATACCGATGACGAATCTGCAGATGACGGCGAAAACGTCTCGGCCAGCCTGGATGGCGGAATTAGTTGTCGAAAGGAAAAGGCCCATCGCACGCCCAGACTTGACAATAGTCCCCAACCTTTTTTTGATGATAAGGACGGTGACGACATTGACAAGAAGCCGCCCGAGCCTCGGAGGAAGAGGAAGCCGGAAGGCCCTTTTCGCTTCGCTGATGCAGACGTCGAGATTCCTTCGGTGAAGAGAAGAGCGAATCCTCACCTGTCCTCTTCTTCTCCTATTACTTCGAGGTCACCTTCGACGAATCCGGGTATCAACATGCCCAACAAGATATCGAAGCTTTCTTCGTGATGATCTGGAGGCTAAGCATTTTCAGCATACGCTGTGTCCGACTAGGTCCATATCGAAACCCCCCTCTCCTTCCTCTCTCTCTTCCATGACCCTTCAAGTGACTAAACCTGTTTCCTTACTTCTCTGTCTCGGCCCCATCGCAAGACACAACTTTGAAGACCTCCTCTATCTTTCTCGTCCTGTTGTAGAGTACTATACAGATACTGAATCACAAGTGTTCTCTAAGTCTTCCCTCAAGCAGCCCGGAGCGCAACGGCTCTCTGCGCAACGACGCCACTCTTGAGTCCCTTTGTCGCGGGTAGATCAATGTGGAAGAGAGAAATCTGTCTATCGGCGTTGAGGTAGACGCTGAGGGGCACCCTCTGCTCTTCTGCCGCCCCTCCCCTTTGTCTCGATGCGTCCCATTCCGCTTGGGGGATCCAGACAAGGGTGCAATCGTCCAAGAGCGTCGTTGCGCCGTCATTGAGCTTCAACGAACCAATCCCACCGGCTTGCTGCCAATCGGCGCCTTCGAGCTTCAGACCCTTGATTGTAAATCCTGTCGTGATGGAGCCGGCCGAGAGGTTGTTGATCCTCAGGTCCAGCTTTAGATTCTCGAGCGAGACCCTTGTCCGATGGGCGACAGCTTGCCGTGTCGCCGTGAGGTATGCGCCCGGGGAGAATAGGAGGCCAAGGGTGACAGCAAATAGCTCAAAGCGAGTCTCAGTCGTAATGGCTTGCAATTGGGCCAGTCGCTGGGCCAGATCGGAAATCCAGAGGCCGAGTGTCATCGTCTTGGCGATGGGGTATTGGCGCCAGTTGGCCGGCACGATGCCCTTGGGCAAGTCATTGAGCAGCTGTCGGTTGTGATTCGTTTGCCTTTTTTCGCCTAGGCACACCTCCATGACCTCCAAGAGATCTTGCCGAACAACCTTGAGGAGCTGCGAACCCTGGCGGTGCTCTCTGGCCCAGAACCTGAAGAGGGGATTCGCGATGCTGTCAGAAGTTCCCTTGAGGGTTGAAATTTCCTTGGGCAGCGCTTCCAGCCACTCCTTGGCGTTTTGGTACAGAGCTTTCATCCAAGCCGGTTGCTGAGAGGCCGCCGACGCCGCTGTCGCTGTATGACCATTGCTAGGACCTGCTCCCAGTTCAGTGGGTTTGGCGGGTGTCGCAGGTTCGTCATCGTCGTCATCAGCCAGCTGCCTCATCTTAACGAGCTTGCTGAGCACTGCGGCACCCTGCGCCGTCGCGATGACCCTCTCTGCGGTCGGAGGTAGGGCCAGCCATTGGGGAGGCTGCTGGTCCGGCAACTTCTGCACCCACGCCATAAATTGATCCATTTTTGTACCCTCTGGCGCAATCAATGGTTCGTCTTTATCCTCGACGAGGGCGAACGTCTGCTCGTAGGCTCGAGGCGTAAAGAGACCATCGACAAAAGAGTCAAGCAGGATCTGATCGGCGCCATTGTCAATCTTGCCGCCATAGATGCTCTGCTTGAGCAGCGAACGAAGGGCGTCCCAAGGGATGCTGGCAGGGTCGACGTTGCTTCGCCCCTTTGCTACTCGGCCAACCCAAGCTTCAATCGTGTCGAGAGCCGTTTCCGCATCGGAATCGTTGAATTCGAAGGCCTTCGACCAACCAAGCGGGGTATATCGCAGTCGCTCCGTGAGGGTGGCATGGAAGAACGAGAGGAGGAAAAAGAGGCGCATGACTTCGGCTGGGCCCTTTTGAAGGCGGGAGGGCGAGATGCTCCGTAGGCTGTCCATCATGTTGGCTCGCAGGCCCGGTGGTGGCTCGTTCATGAGGATTCTGCTGGCTCGCAAGAAATTGACGGGAATCACAGGGTTGGTCTCGCATGTGAGAAAGAGGCGGAAATTGCGGTTGGCATTGAGGCCAAGCATCTTCTTCTCGAGCTGAGAGAGCCACGACGGGGCAAGATGGACGTTCTTGAGTAGGACCCAGTGGCCGGCCCGCGCTCCTGCGGCAATGGCCTGGTCGGCGAGCGAGAAGCCCTCTTGAGAGCCCATGGCGACCGAGTTGCACTTTGTCCCAGTGGCGCGAACTAGACCGTCGACGCGATAGCTGGCGTCAAAGCCCGGTACCGAGCACAGAGCGACGGGAGTTTGTGGCCCCACCTCGTCCGAGACGATGCTCTGCAGGTCATAGGCCGTCTCAGAGAGAATGTCGGTGGCGAAGACGGTGTTGACGAGCGTCGTCATGGCTTGAATTACTCGGTCCGGCCGCAAACATTTGACGACGAGCAGTTTACGGACCAGGGTGCTGAGCTGAGATGAGCCTTCTGCCTCCCAGAAGACCGGCACCTCGTTCTCAGGTGAATTGGACTCCAGAAACGCTCGCCAAAGCGACCCATTGCCCTCAATGTGCTGCTCGACGGATCGGAAGAGAGCCAATCGTTTGTATGCCGTCAAACGTTGACGTTGCTCGACATTGAGTAGCTCATCCAAGACACCGCCGGTTTGAGGAGGCGGCGCCCCTACGACATCACCGCCCTCCAGTAGGAAATCGAACTCGTCACCCTCGAATGCGTCCGGGTCGTCGCCTTCTCGGGCCCAAATTTGTGCAAGGAGCATGGCGAGCATGACGTGGTCGTGGTGCATGAGCGCCCGGTTCGTTCTCTTGTACACAAGGAGGAAAAGGTCTCGAGTCAAGATATTGAGACGCTCCTTGGGATCGGTGACGCCTTGGAGGTTCGGATTGCGCCTCAGGACAAAGTCGAAGATGTCCAGGAAGAAGCGCAGCGAGAATTGGTAGAAGTGATTGACGAGGTTGAGCTGGTCGAGAACAAAGAAGAGAGAGCTGCAAGCCTTGGCCAGAGGGATGTACTGTTGTGTCACCTCGTCGACCTCTTGCATGATGGCATCAGTCTCTTCCACTTTGCTGGTCACCTCGGCCGCCTCCTTCTTAAGCGTCTCGAGCGTGTCGATGACCTTGTCATCGTCGAGAATGTTTCCTTTGCTTTCGTTCAAGGCATTTAGAAGACTCTTCTCGAGATGCCGCAAACGCAGTCGGAATTCGCCTTGAAGCTTCATCAGGTCTGTCCGCTTCTTGTCCGTGTCTGGCCTCTCGGACTTGAGAACCTGATCCAAGCTCTGGCTCTGCAAGCTGCCCCTGGTCATCGTGAAGTTGACAAAGGTGACACGACTGCAGACATCGGGTGTGAACTCGACCGAGGGATCTCTCGTCGAGAGAAACATGGTGAAGGAAGGCGAGTAGTCGATCTCTTGGCTGCCTAATCGGATCAACACGCGACCACCCGTCTTGCGAAGCTCGCCATTGAGGACTGGATTAATGATAGGGTCGAGATGCTCGACGTCTTGGATCAAGAGGGGATTTCCGAAACGCAAGGCGCTCTCGAGATTTTTGAGAAAGGCCTCGTCCAGAAAGGACGTGACTGTAAGCTTGCGATCGCGGTACTCATTCGTGAGGAACGTCGTCGCCTGGCCGGAGGGGTCGATGATGAGAGGGAATCTCTTGAATCGTTGAAGCATGATGGCGTTCTCGGTACAAAGAATGTCGGCCGGGAGTGACTTCGACTGCCAGCCAAGGCGATCATCGGCCGTGGACAGGTAGTCGGCGAAGGACAGCTCGGGCTTGAACTTGACGCCAACGTGTTGTAGGTGAGCCACCCATCCATGCCACATCGACTCGCGATACTGCTGGTCAAAGAATCCAGCATAGGTGAGAAAGGCAGCTGAGAGGAGCGCATCGCCGACGATGGTGCTCATCTGAGTATCGAACGTGCGGCTGCCAGCCTCCCAGCGCTCCTTCTCGGAGCCAAGGCTGTCAAGGAGCTGTATGCTCCTATCGACCCTCCTCTGCACTCTCTCCATCTCGCTCTTGATGGACTGCGTCTCGCTGATCAAGGCCGCGTACTCGTCCTTGTATCGACCGATGCTGGCCTCAAGCTCTGAAATCATCGTCACTATCGTCCCGGCTTGCTCCTTGGTCTCTTGTGCTTGATTCTCGAGCGAGTCGACCTCGTCCCGCAGAGGTCCGACACGGTCGAGAATCTCTGAGAAGTGGACCTGTGCAATGACCCATTTGGCCAGAGGGCCACAAGCCTTGGACGCCCTGCTGATCGTCTCGTAGTTGTAGTCCGGCTTGCTGAGGTAGTCTCTCTTCATCTTTTCACGGACAGTCCTCGTCATCTGTCGATCGGTATCGAAGTTGACAATCGACGAGATGAAGTCGTCCCTCCTGATAATGCCTTGTACCGTCTTCCAGCTATCGACGCGATGGCCTAAAGCGATGCAGACCGACTCCATCGTGTTCTTGACGGGCGCTGGTGGATTGCCCATCGAACGGACCTCTGTCAAGTGCTGTTTCTTGATGTTGCTGACCGAGGACTGCGCTTCCTGGACAGCCGGTTCGGCGTCGGCGAGATCCTTCATGACGACCTCTCTTCGCTCTCCAATCTCCTTTTCCTGCCTCTCGAGGTTGCTCTGGATCTCAATCGACGCTGCCTTCTGTTCTTCTGCCTGCTTCTGGTCCGCAACCATTCGCTGCAGCTTCTCGTTGGCTTCTGCATTTTTAGCCTCGAGCTGCGTCCGCTTGACTGCCAGACTCTTTTGCAGCTCTGACACTGCCTCGACCTATATGGAAGGGTGACTCTCTCAGTTCGTGTTCTTGACAGGCACTTCTCCTCCTCCTGCAGCTCACCGTCTCCTTTAGCTTGTCCAAGCCGACGTTGAGATGTCGTTGCTCTTCCTCGAGCCCTTCTCTCTTTTCGTCGCTGAGCCCAACATAGTGGTGGATCAGATCAAGAAAGGACCGCGGACCAAGCTGTAGCCTCCTGCCTTGACGCCGCTTGAGCCTCTCTGCCTGCTGGTAGACGGAAAAATGTACGTGGACCAGCGTGTCGATGACTTCGGGCGCAGAGGGGCCCAGGTCGAGCGATGCCGTCAGTTCGGCGGCCACGGTGCGATAGGCGCTGGGCGCCCAGTCGCCGGGCACTTTAGTCGCCACGGTCCCCGTCGCAACTGGCATCGTCGTCGTCTTAGGGACCTCAACGCGCCTCTCCCTCTCCCCTTGAAGTCCAAAGTGTTGCTTTCATTTGGCTCGAGTCTAGCTCAGCACGTGGCTTCCAATTTCCGTCTTCCGAGCGAGAAGAGGCATCCCATTAAGACTCATTCACCGGTAAGGGTGAAGGGCTTCTTTTAAAGGTTTCGTCTAGTAACATCAGCCAGCTACCAAGATGGATGCCTCGGGCTCTGCTTCGCCTCTCCTCACCCCCGGCACGGGAGGTTCCGCTGCGGAAGGCTATACGCTTGCCGTGATAGGGTGCGGTACGATGGGCGTCGCGATCCTGTCTGGCGTACTCGACTCCAAGACCCAGGTAGAAGCGCGCAAGAATGCCATGGCGGCCGCCGCCTCCTCGCAAAAGCAGCAACAATCCAATGGCGGTCCTGACGGGCCCTCACTCTCCGACAGCATTGCCTCTCTTCTTGATGTAGACGAGTCGTCGGATCCCTCGAGCACACGGCTGCTGCCCTCTCGCTTCATCGCCTGCGTTTCGCGAACCGAGTCCGCGCGCCGGCTCAAGAGGACGTTTGCAGCGCACGCAGACGTCGTTGAAGTTGTCGCATCCGCCAATGTCGAAGCAGCTCAGCAGGCAGATGTGGTGCTGCTCGCCTGCAAGCCACAGATGGTCGCCGAGATCCTCGTCAAGGAGAAGGGGATGCGCGAGGCCCTTCACGGCAAGCTCGTCTGCTCCATCTGTGCCGGATTGCGAATCGAGCAGATTCGCGACATGGTCGATGAGAGTACAAGAGTCGTACGAGCGATGCCAAACACCCCTTCCAAGGTGCGTCTCGCATTCCGTGCTGCTTCTTCGAAATCATATGCTGACCTCCCCCTCCCTCTTCGTAATCCTCTATCAGATTCGACAAGGAATGACGATCCTCACTCCCTTGCCCTCATCAGACCCCTTGGCGGCCCAATCGCGCCGAATTCTTGTCTCCATCTTTCAAGCTGTCGGGCGCTGCCGGTTCCTCGACGAGAAGCACTTTGACGCTGCCACGGCCTTGGCTGGCTCTGGCCCCGCCTTTGCATGCGTCTTTCTCGAGGCCATGGCCGACGGCGCCGTCATGATGGGTCTTCCCCGCAAGGAGGCCCTGGAGCTGGCTGCACAGAGTGAGCGCTTTCCTTTTCTGCCTGTTCCTCGAGTGGTCCGATATCTGACTATATGCTCTTCAACAGCCATGCAAGGCGCTGCGCGCATGGTCCTCGAGTCAGGCATGCACCCCGCTGCCATCAAGGACAGCGTCACAAGTGAGTTTCTCTTTTAACTTTGTTTCCTCCCTCTACCCCTCCAACCCTTGCTGAGGCTCCTTCTCTATGTTCGCAGCCCCGGGAGGATGCACAATCGCCGGGCTTCTCAACCTCGAAGACGGAAAGGTCCGGTCAACAGTCGCAAGGACCATCCAAGCTGCGGCCGAGCACGCCTCTGGCCTAGGTCAGACGTCAAAGAAGTGACTGGCGCCCGGCTGAGAATCGTAATTCTTGTCATCATCTCTTGTACGACTAGCAATATGCCAGCAGCAATGCCTTCATGCTCTGCGACAGTTCCTTTCGCTTTCTTACTTTTCATTTCTGGCGAGGACAAGGTGGAGAGAGAGACCGAGAGGTAAAGAGGAGGGGATGGACAGGAAAAAGAAAAAGACCGATTCGAGCGAAGAAAGAAGATGAGATACGACCGAAGTCTTCCCTCCCATCGAGGCGGGAAAACTATAGAAAGGGGTTGGCGATGGAAAGAGAAGACTATATGGAAGGGTTCATGGGTGTGTGAAGGGAATGACGGCAGGGAGGAGGATGGAGTGATGGAGTGAATGAGAAGGGGAAGAGGGGGAAGGGGAGTTGCGTGCGTATGTACAGGCAAGATGGGGAACAGGAACGGGGAATCGAGGATGAAAAGGAAGATGGAAGAAGAGGGTCGTCTCCCCCGCCTATCTCGCAATCGGATCATGTGGCCTGCCTGCCCCTGAGCCTCAGTCAAGCGTGACGCGTAGCGATTCGAGGGGAATAGGCTGGAAGTTGTGGATGTCGATGCCCTGCTCGCTGAGCGCAGGTCGCGCATGCTCAGGCACAAGACGCTCGATCAGGTCCGGTCGAATGGAAAGCTCTGCGGAAACGGGTTTCATGTAAGCAGGAGCAAACAGGTCGACGATGCTTTAGATCGGACCACACTCACCCTCTTTGGTCCAATTGAAGAGCTGGGGCGTCTCCCGTCCGTTGGGCATCCTCAGGTCCGGCTGCCTCAGCTCGTCAAAGAAGGGATGGCAGATGGCCTCGACGGCAGTCAATCTCGCGCTGGGCGTGTATTCGAGAAGCCGACTGATGAGGTCGATGGCCTCTGGTGGCGTCCGCGGGCGGAACACCTTGGAGAATGGGTGTGGCCTGATTTGAGGGAATTTATGCTCCATGTAGTTGGGGTTCATTGTCTTGATCTGCTCCTTGGTCGGCGTGCCGAGCACCTTGATGATCTCGACGAGCTGGTCGATACCGCTCTCTCCTGGGAACAGAGGTTGCCCCTGCATGAGCTCGGCCATGACGCATCCAGTCGACCAGATGTCTGGTTTTGCAATGTGAGTTGCGTTCCGAAGCATTGCTGATAGCTCTCACTCACCAATGTTGGTCGTGTAGTTCGTCGCTCCAAAGATGAGCTCCGGCGCCCGGTAGTACCTCGAACAGATGTAGCTGACATTCGGTTCCCCCGCAACGAGAATCTTCGCCGAGCCAAAGTCGCAAAGCTTCAAAACGCCAGTCGTGGGGTTGAGGAGCAGGTTCTGCGGCTTGATGTCCCGGTGGCAGATGCCGATGCTGTGGATGTAAGCCAGGCTGCGGAGCAATTGGTACATGTAGAGCTTGATTAGGAGCATCGGCATCGTCTGCTTGAGCTTTGCATAGTGTCGCGACGCGCGGTACACTGTCTCTGGCACGTATTCGAGGACGAGGTTGAGGAAGACTTCGTCCTTCTGTTCTCAGAGATGCAAGTCAGGATGGGCAAGCGATCGGAGGTACTACCAAGACGCACCTTGTCGCCGTTCGAGTAGAAGAACGCTCGCAAATCAACCACATTCGGGTGCGCTACGATCCGCATGATCTGAAGCTCTCGGTTCTGGGAGAAGGGTAAGGTCAGTGAGACGCTGCACAGACCGCGAGTCGGGAGATTGGGCACTCACCTTGAATCGCTTGTCCTGCAAGACCTTCTTGATTGCGACATCCTCCTGGTTCTCTTTTGGCGCGCTCCCTGCCGCGCCCTGATCTTGTGATGCGCCAGCTCCCTCTACCAAGTTGCCGTTGCCCCCACTGACGAGTCGGGCTTGAAAGACGACACCAAAGGAGCCGTTTCCTATAACCTTACAATTTGTATACGAAATGTCCCTCTGCTCGCCGGACTTGCCGTCCGAGGCAGTGACCTTGATCACTTTGAGGGGGTCGTCCATCACTGCGGGTGCAGACACGGGGAGGGAGAGTTGTGAGTATGACTGGATCTGGCATGTCAGGACGCGTGTGAGACAGGGTGTCGTCGGACGACCCAAGCGGCTGTGGCTTGGGGTGCGTGGACACAGTCATGCCGGCCCTCACGATGGCCGCGAGGACGCAGAATGGTGACCAGCACGGCAAACGCTCGGACACGGACAGAGGCCACTGGGCACAAGCCTCCCCGACCGGAGAAAGCGCACCAAAACATCCAGGCGGCAGTGCTCGCATGAGTCCCACACGCACATCGGGCCGACCTCATATGCGTCCGACCTTTCTGCATCCGTGACGACGCCCCGGCGCCCTTGTGTCGCCGTGCACACTGCCGTCGCAGCCACCGCCGCCGCACACGACACATGACAACAGACGAAAGAACTGGGACTCACTGATGAAAACTCACAGATGACTCCGTTGGTACGGGACATCAAAGTTTGCTGGGATTGGATGGTCGCGTCGTGGTCCAATAAGTGTGGGTTGGGACCACCAAAGTCAAATGAGCTCTGGCGAGTGTAGGTGTCAGTTGCCTACGAGGACAGTGGCTTCGAAGCGAGGTGCTCGAGGTCGTTGTCGTCTTCGTCACGAAGCCGCCGATGCGTCGTCGCGTGTAAGTGCCCAAGAAGAGGGAATCGTCGCTCCCCGCTGGCCTTAGCAGTTTTTCGCTTTTCGCGCGCTGGAACAGTGAAAACTCCACCCGCTCGTTTGAATCTTTGGGTGCGTCACAGTCGAGGTGCAGAAGAGAGAGAGAGGCCGCCCTGAGCGATTGACGCGTCTAGCTCAGAGAACGAAGGAGGGAAGAGGATTTGTAGATCAAAAGGATGCTGTGTCGAGAGCCTCCTTGTGCTTGGTTTTTCTCTTTTGTTGGTAGGTGAGAGCGAGCCAGGCTTTTTGGGCTAAACACAGAGAGAGAGGGAGGAGGAAGAGAGAAAGTCACGCGTGCGCGCGTTCGTTCCTTCGACTTTTGGCTGGCCTGCACTTGCAGCAGGCGCCTGGATCTCGCTTTTGCAAAATTGGCAGACCTGCGTCTCTGTCTCCGCTCAGCTCAGACAAGTTTCGTTGAGTAATCTAGGGAGAGTTTGGCCTGTCAAGACTGCGCTGGCAATGTCAAACGAGGGAATGCGGACAGACACAGCGTCGTCCAGGGGGGGGAACAGGACAGATTTCATTCTCCATCGTCACAATCGGGGTGTTTCTGGAGTGGGGCCCTGAGAACTCAATACCCTGCTAGCGAGTTACGGCCTCTATCTTCTGCGCCACCAATAGCAGTAGTGAGGGCCTCGCTAGCTAGCTGGGTGCGTCCAAAGCGGACGACAAGGTCCCGAACTACTGTGGGTCCAAGAATGCCTGAACGTCTCGCTTGACCTAGCCCCCCAGCGATGCCTCTGTCGGCCCGTCGTCCTGCGTGGCCCTGAATCTGCACGAGACTGCCTGCCTGCCTGCCTGCCTGCCCCAACCCTCGCCAACGCATTTTAAAAATTTCCCGCAAATTTGACTTTATAATTTCCTAGTGTAGTAGTAAAACAATAATGCCTCTCAGCTCTGGCCGCCATTATTGCAGTACTGTGCTGGAAAGGAGCGGGTCCCACATTGCCTGACTAACATGAAGCACCCGACCTAGACCCCTGCCTATCTTCGATCTAAGTAGCATCGGGCACCCTTGCCGTTGATCAAGCTGTGATCAACACTTCCGAATCGGAGACCTTTTTCTATTTATTATCTGGACAAGGAAGTGCTTGGCCTCCAGGATGTGCTAAATGACAGGCACTCAACAGCGGGGTAGATTGCGTCCCTGAATAAGGTCCATCTGCAACTCCCACGCTTTTCTGCCTAGGACGTCGTTGCGAGCAAAGGCACTTGGTTGGATAATCGTGGCCGGGTATGTAAGGAATTGGCCCGAGAGCCGCTTCTCGTCGACTTCTTTCGCCGTGGCAGCAAAGAGGCCTGTCAATGCTCCTTGGCGCGAGTCAATCAGGATTGCCTTGATAATGGCAGCTAGGTAGCGGTTGTACTGAGTCCACGGCAACATCCTGTGAACAAAGTCATTGTCGATCTCGCCTTTGCCAATCGTCAGTTGCCCGAGTCCAGACGGGCATTCCCCGGCCGAGCTCACCAGGATGCAGAGCCAAACAAGCAATGTTCTCGTTACTCAAATCGCTGCTCAGCTTCCTCGCCAAGAGCGCTTGGGCAAGCTTCGGTGGGCATAAAGATGAACATAACGAAAAGAAAGGACGACAGGTCCCGTGCTCACCTTGCTCTGTGCATATCTCGCATTCTCGCTTCGTCTTGGGTCATTGACGTCCTTCCAACTATTGAAGGTCGGCTCGACGCCGAGAGGCCACCGCAGATTGGCCCAGAACTCGGTGTTGGACGAGATAAAGATGATGCGACACGATGATGCACTGTGGCGAGAGGTTTTCTTGATCAGGGGGTAGAGCTCATCGAGCATGGCCAACTGGTTTGTGCAATTGGTTGCCCTGTAACATTGGTCTTAAGAATACGCCAATCATAAGGGAGAAGAGAAGAGCGGAGAAGGAAGATGCTCACATGATCAGGTCAATGCCGTCTTCACTGAGCGGTCGTGCTCCCCAAGTTGAAGGTGCACCGGCACAGAAGTAAGCCACATCGAGGCGCTTAGCCTGAGGGTGAGCCAGGAACACCGTTGCGGCCTTCTTCGCCAGAGCCAAGGAGCTGACGTCGCACTCGAAGTAGAGAACTTGGCCCTTCTTGCGATTGTCTCTCGCGGGGCCGCGTTCATCAAGGAGCTTATCGATTGTGTTGCGAGCCTTCTGAAATTTTTCCTCCTGTTGAGCGTGAGCCATCTCAGCACAACAAGAAGCCCGAAAGCAGCAGGGACAATCATGAGGTATGGCACTCACAGATCTACATCCCATAAACACCTGGGCACCATTACGGACGAGCTTAAAGCCTGGTCGATGAGCTCACGGTGCGCTCATCAAGAAGCAGCAAGCCAAAACGCTCACCTCGACACATGTCTCAACACCGATGCCGCCATTTGCTCCAGTCACGAGAGCGACCTTGCCCGTCAAATTCGGTATCTCGTCTACGGACCAGATCTTGGAAGGCCATCGATAAGGCTTGAAAGAGTAAGGGGCTGTCTGCTCAATGGCAACCAGAGCGGGAGCTACGACGAAAAGTACAAGTCCGATACACAAGAGCCAAGGACTGGCCCAAAGGATATCGATAGCTGTCGTCATGTTCGACTCCTCCTCAACGCTGGATCCTCCGAGGAGCCTCTGTCACAGATTGACGCCGGACTCTGGCGGTGACCTCTCTGGTGGAACGATTTGTGCTAGCGAAATCAGAGGAGCGCCTTAGCCTCAGAATGAAGAAGATGAAAGTGCGCGCACGCGCCATCTCTCTTCTGCTAGCCCTCTCCACCGCCACGATCCAGCCATGGAGCTGGCGGCACCGAGGATGACGGCTGACCGCACACCCTCAACATCAAAGCTTCCCATCGCTGTCACGACGCTCTCTGAGCGATTTCGCCGCGCAGTCCTTGAGGACAATCTCGCTTTGGCACAGCGCATCTACGAGAAGGCCCAAGGCACCCAGCGCGACGAAGAGGGGCCGCTGCATCTTCGAATGGCCTCTGGCTTGCTTCAGCAACCCACAGGTCGACATTCGCTGAAAGAAGAGAGGCGTACGCTCCCACCAGCCAAGAGGGCGGAGTGGGCCCAATTCAAGGCAAGTCAACGGCCATTCGATATTCGAAACGAGATCGACGACAGCAGGGAGAGCAGTGTCACGTCTGCTCGTCGCAACCACCACCACCACCATAGCCACCACCAATCACAGTACCAGCACCAAGGAAGGAGCTCGGCGTCGTCTTCATCGTCCTCTTCCTCTCCACAACTCCCCAACAACTCAAGTCAGGCCTGGGAATCTGGCTTGGGCTTGCCCACCCCACTAACAGCCAGGATCCGGGAGAGGGAGCGACAACGAGCGTCGGGCAAGGCAAAGTCCAGTCTGGCTCTGGCTCTCGAGCACGACGCAAGCATCGAGATGGTCAAGTGGCTCATCGAGATGGGGCATGAACGCAGTGACTTTTCTAGGGTGAGTTGGCCGACTGCGAAGCGACAGCGTAACAGACATTGTTTGTGTGCGCTTGAAGGAGAGCGCAAGTGACTGAAGCCGCCAAACAGGATAGCAAAAACTACACCATCGTCTCGCTTGCCGCGCAGAAGAATCGCTGTGATGTCATTGAAGCGTGCTGCATCGATGCTGTGGCCAATGCCGCTGCACTACACCACGCTCGCTCGACTGTGTTCCAGTCCAAGCCTCGTTTTGGTGATATGGACTTGGACGACACCCTCGAGGAGGACGAAGAGAGCAAGGACAAGTCTTTCCCTCTAGCTCGTGACGAGCAAGTCCAGAAGGTCAATGGAAACTTGGCGCAGCAGGTTAAGAAGCATCCTGAAAGGCCTGCGGAAGGTGCGATAAGTTTCAAGACTTGCAACTACTTATTCCCATGTCGCTGATGCCCTTTGGCAGGGACACCGCTACCCGGTGATTTGGACATTGGCTCGTCGTCGAGTAGCGAAGTGGGAGAAAATATTGTGCAGTCCGATCTCAAAGAGCTTCTCAATTGGCCCGACGATCTGGGTCGGACGGCGCTTTCTCTGGCCGCCATGAAGGGCTTTGAAGATGTTGTCACGGTGAGTCCAAGCGATTCTACTGATAGCTAGGGCTCATGAGTGCTGACTCCGCCATTCGTGGACCAGCTGCTTCTCGACCTTGGCGCCGACATTGACCAGGCAGACAAAGACGGAAATAGCCCTCTACATTAGTGAGCAGCGCATGCTTACCTACTCACTGAGGATCCCCGAAGAGCTGATCAGCTGTCCGGACATTGCAGCGCTTCTGCCCACAATCATCTCCTCGTCGTCAAGCTACTTATTGAGCGAGGGTGCAGGTTCGCCGCAAAGAATGATCACGGCTTCACCGCATCTGACTACGCTTACACGCTCAGCCTTAAGGCGGCTCTCGAGGCTTTCGGGAGGACGCAATATGAAGGCAGACGAAATGCCCGACGAAAAGCTACAAATAACGGCGGAAGTGCGGCTGTACCCGCCGCAGAACCTCATGGTACAACGCCTGTCCGAGGTATACGTTCTCTTACTGGCAGCCCTTCTCAGTCCGCTCTCGGGTTGTCTTCAGGTCATGGTACGCCGACGCGAGGACCTATCAGCCTGCTCAAGAATGCCAATGAGGACGAGCATCAGCTGAGAAGCTTTGACAATGCTCTCCTTGACTACGCTGCCCGAGCACCGACAGCATCACCAAAGACTGGGCCAGGCTCTTCGCCTTTGGGTCCCGGTGGTGGTGGAAATGGGCGTCGGTCCAACAACTCATCACCCCACGCCAAAGGGGCACACCTATTTGCGCCCGAAAATGCCGTCAATGGTCTACTCTCTCCACCTAGTGGGGGTGGATCCCTGTCCCTTTTTCCTGCTGGAGGTAACCATCACCATTATCACCATCACCACCCCCATCCCCATCAGCAGCATCAGCAGCAGCAGCAACATCGTGGCTCCAGCTTGGGTGGATCGAGCAACGTCGTGGGCAGTGTAGCGGATCGCATGAGGCTGCGCGACGCCGCCGCCATGTCGTCGTACCGCGTCAACAAAGCCCAGCTCATTCCAAGCACTCAAACAGGGGCAGACAGCAGCGTGAGCGGCAACGAATCAATGCGTCAGCGTTCGGTGACGACGGAGTCACCACCGCCGGAACAGATGGGTCTCTCTCGGCGTGGCGCGGACGGAGCGTCGGATTCCACTCGCTCTCCTTCAAGCGGAGTAGAGCCCGCTCCTTCGAAACCTTTCCAGGGCACGACGCCTCACTGATACAACAAATTGGAACCCGAGAGCAGAAACAAAAGCAAAGGCAGGCGTTGTAAAACTAGCATTGATAGTGTATGTAATGTAAGCTTCTTGATTCTACAGCTTGACTTTTTTGTTGGCACCCTGCCCACTGTCCGACTCGGACATGACCGAGTCTGAATCTTCTGATTCTCCATCATCCCCGTCTTCGTCGTCGGCGCCCAAGTCGAGCTCTCGCCTCTCCATGTCGTAGCCAATGTCCCTCAGTGACTTCTCCATGCTCTCAATCTCGCCGGGCGAGCAAACGACGGCGCAGATGGACCTTGACGGATCAAAGATTGGCACGATGTACTTCTTGAGGCTCGCACGAACATCCGCCAGCGTGACAGCCTGCGTCAGACGATCCTCACATCAGCTTATATCCAAAGAAAAAGTGAAGTGGGAAAGACTCACCTCGGCCTCCTTGAGCAGTTGTTGACCTCTACCCTTTCCAGTCTGCCTCAGCACCGCATCGACGAAACACTCATTGGCCGCTTGCCCGACGGTGCCCTCGCTATCGGCGACTGCAAAGTGCAAGGAGCTTTTTGCGCTCTCGAGTGTGAGCTCGTCAATCTCCATTTCTCCACTCGCCAGCTGCTGAATGACTTTCTTGGCCTCTTCAAAAGCCTTGAAGGAGTTGGGCGAGCGGTAAAGGCTAAAGTGAATTTGTTGCGATTCCGACTCTGAGCGGATCGAAGCGCCGTATGCAAGACCGGCTCCACGAATGAAGCGCCAGAGGTAGGATTCCATGGCGTTCAGGACGGTGACCGTTACGATGAGGGCAGCCGAATCGGGATCCTGGAATCCAGTCACGCCTTTTCCTGTGAAGACGGCGTAGGAACTCTCGATTGTCGGCAGAGGGCAGATCAGGCCCTTCTTTGCCGGCGCCTTTCCCAACTCTTGCAAAACATCCTTGGACCAGGGGACCGGTACAGTGGGTTTCGCGCTCTCGCTCCATTTCATGTGCTCTGCCAGTCGAGCAAACGGTGCCTTTGGCAAAGCAGTGTCGAGCACGTCGCCTGCGACCGAGACAAACAGATTTTCCGGTTGGAACAGAGCCTTTCGAAGCTCCTCGAGCTCCACCACGACGTTTTCCGGCTGCTTGGAAAGCCTTTCAACAAGCTTGGGGATCGCTTGAGCCTGAGAAAGGATCGAGTTGCTGGCGCTGGATGACTTGTCCGAGTCATGCGTCATCGAACGGAGCAAAGCCCAGGAGATTCCCCTTCCATCTCGCTTCTGTTCCGGGAGCGACTGAGCGAGCTTGGCAGCGGTCACCTTGAGTCTGTCGATCGCCAGCTCTGTGCCCCAGATGAGGTCGCGGAGCCACGAGATAGCCTTTTCGTACTTTCGCTTTTCTACCTTGATGTCGATCGAGACGAGCTCCGAGAAGCCAGATCCGGCGCCTAGACCGGCTTCGTAGCTAATGGTGTCTTCGTCAAGTCCCTTGACGACTTGCTCGAACGTCAACTTGGATCCGTCGGCGCGTGTCACCGGTAGTGAAAAGAGCGACGACAGCAGGACGTTGAGCAGCGGGCGAAGGTGCGCGGGCAGCTTTGCGGTGCTGAAGAGCATGCCCACGGTAATAAAATTTGAGTTGACATCTGCAGACACGACAATCAATGTCAGTAGGAATCTTTAGACATGTCTGGCCAATAAATGAACTCACGATCCCATTCGCCAAAGAAGGGTAGTTGGACACCTTCCTTGTCGAGGTGTGCCTGGACTTGCTTGTCAAGAGCAGAACCAGAGACGTCCAATGCGACTGAGGATGTGTCTCTCGAAGCAGACGACGAGTTTCGTCCCGTGCCCACCTGGATCCATTTGATGCTAGACGAGGGCGGCACTTTGAACTTCGAGAGCATTTCGGGTGGAATTGGTGCATCATTCGCCTTTTTAGCGGCCTCAAGAGCATCTTCAAGCTTCTTGAGGCCCGCTTCACCAAGCTCTTGCTTTCGCTTGTCTTCCAAAGCCTTTTTCTCGTTCTTAAGACGATCGACCTCGCTCGCGGCCGGCTTGGCAGACACGACGACTCTCGCATTATCAATAAAGAACTGCTTGAGGAGGTCGGACCACTTCTGTGGCGTGTATGTCAAGTAGAGGTCTCGCCTCTTCATATCGTCCAAATTGTCGGCCAGATCACCGCCGTCTGTACGACCGTAGAGAAAATCGGTGATGATGACGTCGGCGAAAGAGTCGGACGGCTTGGTTTCGAGGTCTTCCAAGAGCTTGAGCCGGTCCCTCTCGATGACCATCTTCATTCTGTCCATGTCGATGCCCTCCTCGACAATCTTTTTGAGGACTGTATCGACGAGCTCGACGTCGAGGACCTCGAGCTTCTCGGTGGGAACTGAAGAAAAGTAGGTTGTGATGACGGTGCGGCCGATCTTGTCCGAATAATTGAAAAAGACATCTGACGAAAAGGTTCAGCATGGAACAGCTCTCGAAGGTGCGGGACTCGCAAAAGACTGACCAGTAGCATAGGGGTCATCCCTCTCGACAAAAGCCTTTTGTATCGGACTGACGGCCGAGTCAGTGAGGTAGGTGCCCAGTACACTAAGTGCCTCGCCAGTGACGCGGTCGGTGATCTCAGGGCCGACCCAGGTAATCATTACCTCGCCCGTGGTCTCGTCCTTCTCCGGGAAATTGACGACCTTCACGACCCTGTGGCTCTCGATCTTGGGCACCTGGTTCGTAGGGGTCTCGACGAAAGGTCTCTTCCAGGCTGGGGGCTTTCCCTTGAGCCCGTGGTCCAGCAAGCGTTCCTCAACCGGTGCAAGGCTCTCGAAGAGCTGGCTTCGGTCAAGAGGACCGCAGACGACGAGAGCAATGTTGTGAGGAGCGTAGTAATTGTGCTGATAGGCTCTGATTTCGTCGACCGTGAGAACCCGAAGTGCGCTCATGAGGCCACCAGTCTCGCTCCTGTACGCCGATGAATCAGGATAAAGAGTACGTTGCAAGACGAGCTCCGCGAGATCCCCAGAGCTGTTTTCGCGGCCTTGCATCTCCGAATAGACGACGCCTGCATCCTCCCCCTTGCCATTGATGTGATAGACTTCCGTAGTGAAGCCATCCTTCGTCAGCGTTGGGAAGAAAACGTGGTCGAGGTAGACGGGCAGCATTCGCAGGAAACCATCGGATCCAGCAGTGGTGAGCGTGTACGCTGTATGGTCGTTTGCAGTCCAGGCATTGGTACCCTGCGCAAAGGCTCTGTTGGCGAGGTTGTCGAGAACACCCTTGTATGGATACTGTTCAGAGCCCAGGAAGATGAGATGCTCGAGCGTGTGCGGCACACCACTGTCGTTGAAGATTTCGCTAGCTATCGTCGAATAGCTGTTGAGCAGCGGGCTTTCGAAGTTGGCCCAGTAGACGCTGAGATCAGTCTTGCTGCTCTTCCACTTCTCGACGCTCATTCCTGGCGCATAGTCGAGATCCACCCTGCGAACAAGGGAGAAGTTTCCGATGCTCTTGGGCTCCGGCGCCACCGAGTCTCCGACATGTCCACCATCTGGCATCTTGGTCAAGACAGCAAGGTGGCGGGCAATTAGACGAGCTCCTTGAAAAGCCGAACTAGGAGAGGTACGTAAGGCAGCGCTAGACTTGCTGTTGAAGGGCAAGGATGGCAAGGAATGGAGCGGCAATCGAGTCCTTGTCCTTGCAATCGTCGTGAGCATCAAGCTTGCGCCTCAAACCTCCTCTTGGCAACCTTCGGGCCGGACTTTTCAAGCGTGGTAGGCGATTCAGGTAGGTAGGGCGTGCAATAAGATCTTCGTCGCTGCCACAAACGTCTTCAGAAGGAGATTCACGTGCCCGACGCGTTCCTCCATCAAGCCGCGCGCAAAGCAACACTTTTCGATTTATCAAGCAGGCCTTCTGCTCGCTCTCCTCCGCCTCCCTTGCTCTGCTCCCCTCGTCTACTTGCTCGTTGCTCTTAACATTCTCTGTGCACCTCCGTCAACATCCGCATAGAAGTGCAACCTAGCGAATCTGACCCGACGTACGCACAAGTGGAGGGGGTCTCATGTCACATCAGGCGAGGTCGGCGCCATCGGTGCCCCGCGCCGACTTCACTATGTCCACTTCCGTTTCCGACATGGTCGAGGATGCTGCCGACGCTCGCAACAGTATGCCGATGCCCTTCAAATCGACGCTTCCTTCGAATCTCCGTAGGCAAGGGTTTGGCGAACAAGGGAAGAATATAGTCGGCCAAGAGCTGCTTCGTCCGGAAGTACTTGGGCGGCACGACGACATGGATGTCACGCTAAGCACTGATCAAGGGACCGCAGTAGATGACTTTGGCGGACAAATGGGTGCTATAAGAGATGATGGTGATGACAGCTTCATTCCAGGCGTGGGACGAGGCCACCACAGACCCAGCGGATCATACAGTGGTCTCAACCACCCTGGTGCACAGCATCACCTCTCGAGCCATCAGTACATACACCCCTCGCCGGCAACAGCAGCTCGTCACAACCGATTGCGATCGGATGCTCTCCCTTTTCCTCCGACTTCGCGAGGTGCTGCTCGTCCAGTGTTGAGCAGCTCGAAGCGGACCACTGTGTCAGCAGCTCTGTCTTCGTCGTCTGGGGCGAGCGAGAGCGAGAGCGAAAGCAACGCAAGCACGGCCACGAGCGCCTCGCCCTTCAAGGCCGCCCGACGTGGAACCACGGCCATGCCAAGTGTCGCATCCACGGGTAATCATGCCGGCCTCGCAGCCACACCCCTCGGAGGTAGCATGGTTGGGACACGGAACCCTTCAACGAGACCGGTGCTCGATGTCTGGGCACTGGACGAGCTTGATCAGGCAATGGGCTACGGACGAGCAAGTGCAAAGGTTAGTGTCATCCTCTGTCAGCTTCCTGCCTCAATTGGCGCTGACGAAGTAGTTGATCGACTTCCAGTATGGCTCACCTGCAGCATTTAAACAGAACAAGAAGGGACTTCATGCGAGTCCTAGCCCGGCGCCAAAGCTTCGTCACGATCAGCTCAGCCGCGGTCCCAGCTCGCAGAGTCACTTTGAGGATGCTGTTCGCGCGCTCGGAAAGGAGCTCGAAGGGGCACGGGTCTCTGATGACCAAGAGAATGATGGCAGCAACGGCAGCGGCTATGCACCCGGGCCCAACGACCGGCATGGGCTGAGAAAAGTTAGCGATGGATCTGCTAAGACGAACAGCAGCGGCCGTACCCTTGTCGACGGTGCTTTCGGTTCAGATGCGCACAAGCAGAGGGAGCGACAGCGCCATGCGCTTGGCTTTGTGGACGGCAATTCCCCCTCGTTGAAACTTCCTTCGGGCCAGAGGATGGGAAAGGGAGCCTCGCAGGCAGGCACCTTCCTTCCTGATCTGACCGGTATGACGTCGGCCCTCGAGTCGCCAGTCAAGACCATCGTTGGTGTGCATCATCGGCCAGTCGATGCCGAATCGATGCGCAATCGATATGCGGCCAAGGTCGAGGCTCGAGCCAAGGAATTTAGTGATCTGGCCTTCTACGTCAAGCACATTGAAGAAGACTTGGACAAGACACAAAAGAGGGTCGAAGAGGTAGAAGCGGGACAAAGCATGTGCGTCGAGGAGGTGCAAAACCTTCGGGGTGAGTTCAGCGCGTGGCGGAACGGCGAAGGTGCGCCAAAGGGACGTCGACGACGGGACGCAGCAGAGGGAGATATGCATACACAGAGCTCGCCGACGAAGCGCAAGATGGCTCAGAGGGACGACGAAGGGGTAGAGTTCAAGGTGCAGAAAATGAGTGAGCATATCGCCCGGCTCAACGCCGACCTCGTGCACTACCGAGCTGCAATGGAGGAGCTTCGGAACGAGCAGAGGGAGGAGTCGGAGCAGCGTCTGGAAAGGGCGCGAAAGGAGCAACAAAAAGCTCAGAGGGCTTCGCAGCGTCAGGCCTTCTCTTCACCAAGGAAGGGCTCGGCAGGTCCGCGAAGAGCACATGCGACTACCGCGTACGCCGAAGATGGGGAGCTCGATGCTCTCAGGAGGCAAGTGGATAAGGTCGCCCACGAGGTTCAGCGCCTCCGATCTATTGTCGAGCAAGGCGACGGCAACGATGCCGATGAAGGAGTACAGGACGGCGGGAGCATCGTCTCTCACAAGCGATGCTCTTCGGGCGAGCGACGATCTTCTGGAGAACGGCGGGCTCACTTTGAGCAACATAGCAAGGCCGACCTGCAAGCTAGCAGATTCAGCAGTCATGACGCCAGCTCGCCCTTTACAAGGGGCTTCCGAAATAGCACACAAGCACGGGAACCAACATCGGAACCCGTGTACCGAGGCACCACTGCTGAGTTTCTGGTGTCCGAGGAAGAGGACGAGCCAGAGCATCTCAGGCACTCCAGCCCAGGCGTCGCTGAGCATACCCTGATGGATGAGGATGAGGATCCTGACGAGACCGCAAGACCCAGTCAGACCCGTCCACCCTCCGTTGGACAAGATCGAGGCGAAGAGGACATCGCTGCGCAAGCTCATACCCGAGCTGAAAAGGCTTTCGAAGCCCTCGGGGCTTCGCGCCTGGGTAAAGATGCTCGAAGTGAGCATCTAGGAGAAGGGGGCAGCAAGCACGAGGTGGAGAGCGGCAGCGCACTGCAACATGACGTGAATCATTGCACAGTGTGCACAAGCAAGCGCAAAACGGAAAAGAGAAGGGAAGCACGCAAGCACAGGGCCCGCGATCAAATGTCAAAGGGGCAGGAAGCAGCGTCAAACGCAGAGGAGGAGTTGATGCTGCAGTCCTTTTTGGAGGCTGCCGAGGCAGAAGGAGCCAACGTCTCTACCGCTTCTCGGCTCAGTACGCGACAGCTCAAGCTGCTACAGCGACTCATCACCGAGCACGTCGACGAATTCATCCATCATCGTATGCTCTACTGCGAGCTGGCCGACGAGCTGAAGCTCATGGAACCCAGCATGAGTCGAACGAGGAGACGCATCCTCGCCGAGCATGTCCTCGAAGCCGTCGAAGGCCTCGAGTGGAAAGCCCAGAGGATCAATGCTTTGCAGAGCTTGCTTCCTGCCCCGGCCACGGCTCATTCGCCACCAACAAGCGACCCAGCACCGCTGAAACGACCCCATCATGTGTAAATTATAGACGCATCCTTCTTAAGTGCCTTTCTTTCATTTACTTGTCCTTTTTCTCTCTGCTTCATCCAAATCATCATCCATCAAGCATGCGCTCTGTTGACTCCCTTGGCGTCTCCTGGCTCTCGCAAGCCTACGATGCTGTCGTCTTTCTCGCTTACCGTCGATGAAAAGAGGGCCACGCACATTCTGAGCTTGTCAACCAATAAGTCTTGTTTTTCTTAGTTCTATTCACATGCACGTCCCTCCTGAGACGACAAAAACAAATAAGGCTTGTCCGGGACGCCTGCCGCGCCGCTCTCCTGTCCCCCTTTGCAAGCATCAAGCCAGGAAAAGACTTCTGCTTTCACCGCCCTCTGCGTCCCGCTGGAGAGAGGAGGAGCCCGCCTTACGAAAGGCAGGATGTTCTCGCCAATGTCGTCAGGCCACGACGACTGGTCGCAGCACGACGACCCTCCGCGGACGGCCGCGGCGGGTGGGCCACTATCAGCGACAGACGGCATAGCGACAAGGACGCCAGGTGGCAGCGGCAGCGGTGGTGGTGTTGTTGGGATCGGGCGAAAGACGGCCAAGCGGGACGTATTTACAGGCGCAGCAGGGGTGGGAGGAGGAGCAGGAAGCAAGGGCAAGTCGGCCGTGGGATCGAGTCGACTGACCCGTGCCTGGAAGGGCAAGTTGGCGCCGGGCGCGGGTGCTGGTGCAGCCGCAAAGGGTGGGGAGCTGTCGTCGTTGGGTAGCATCCTTCGCAGACAGCACGGCCACGGCCAAGCCTCGGCAGCGACAGCATCAACAGCAGGGCCTTCGTCGAGAAAGTACGGCGCTGGGCTGCCGGGGACAACGAGAGGACCTCATCGAGGGGGTTTCGGAGCGCTAAGAGGAATTGGTGGAAGTGCGGCCACCTCAAAGGGCAATGGCAAGGCGAAAGCGCTGCTCGGTGGCACACCCGACCTCACCGCTGGCCCTCTAAGCTCCGGTTCGCCGTGGCTCGATGACGAGTCGGAGCCTCTTCTCCCGGCCAGAGTACCTAGACCTAGAAAGGACAGAATCGGAAGCAGCAGCACGACGTCCCTCTTTGGTGGCGCAGGTTCTTCATCGTCGACGGCCCTACCTCGATGGAGAGAGGCGTTCAGACCTAGCGCAGAGACGGTTGATGCCTGGCTCGATAGCTGGATAAAGCGTTGGACGGTGCTCGCAATAGTGCCGAGTCTGATAGTAGGTTGACATGGAACCTTACGGACATCCTCCATATCGCCGATGAACTCAATTTTCCTCTCTTCCAGGTGTGGATCTGGTGCGCCATGCCATTCCCGAAAGGCAGCCGAAGGGAGCATGATAACGGAAGCGAAGCAAATGCCCACTTCTGGTTCTTTCTCATCTTCTACTATGGTCTCTACTGCGCCATAGGTGAGTCAACGTCTCAATAGCCACAATTGTTGGTCGCTCAGGACCTCTTCTCATGCATAAATGCAGGCCTCATCTACATCACCCAGCTCTTTTCTCTCTACCGCCTCAACTGGTGGCCCGCAGCTCTTGGCGCCAGGAAGTCGTACTTGGCCTTCTGGCTTCTTTCAATCTTTACGGGTTACGCAATGCATCGTCTCGGCCTCGACTCGCTCCCCTCTGTGGGCGATTGGTTCGCGTTCATACAGTCGGACTCCGCCGGAGAAGTTGACAGGGACGACGACAATGAGATTGAGTGGCAGAGGAAGACGCCCTGGGTCGGGCTGGCTTTCGCGACGATGGCGATGCCCGCGCTCGTGTGCTTTGCTGGACTTCGGAGGAGCGGCAGGCAGACGTATAGGCATAGCTTGACGGACACGCAAAAGAGTGAGTGGAATTTTCTGTTTCGGTCTCCCACTTGAAGCTGAAGAAATGTGATCAGCCTTCTTGGACCGACAGCTGGCCGTTCGCATCCCGGCTTCCTACATTCGCTTCCTATGGTTCATGGCGACAATCGGGATCGCCTTGGTCGCGCTCCTCGTCGGCCAGGGTTATGCCAGCGTCTATCTTTCGACGTTGCCTCACACTGGCCTTGACGGTACAGCCTATGTGGCCTTCTGGACCGTCAATGTCAATGTCCTGATGCTCCTCAGTCACTGGATTCTCGAGGAAAAGGTGCGCTCGAGGGCTCTTTTGTTCGTAGTAAAGTATTACTACTTCCTCGTCTATTTCATGTGAGTGGGCGACCTCACCCAGGGGCAACTTCTCTTTCGAGAGAAGATCGATAGGCTTATCTTTCTCTGTTGTCTAGCTTCTATCGAAACCTCTTTGCTCGTCTGCGCAGCTTCGACCAGTTCGCTCTCATCCAGCTGCTCAGCTCCTTCTGGGTGTGCATTTGGTATCCATTCAGGTGCGTAGCTAGCTGCGGTCAATTCCCCCCTCATCATGCTGATACGCGGATGGACAGCATGACACGGTTCTGTCACGCTATCACACAGTACTTCAACCCTCAACCAAAGTCCTATGAGGAGTATGTCGAGAGCGTAGGCCTATGTGAGTAGCTGATGCCTCCTCGACGCATACGATAAGAACTGGTGGCTGATCATGATCTACAGCCTTCTATCTGCGTAACCTGGCTCAGAACACGACGATGCTGGCCTTCCTCGGTTGGGTCTCAATTCTGCACTTCGGTCCAAATCACAGTGAGTCTATGCGTCAGGTCTGGTCGATGCCGTCACTAATGCCAACCTGCCTTTGCAGACATGTACCCATTCTTCGCCTTTGACGACCAAAGAGATCCGTACAACTACAAGCTGACGATGCTAGGTTCGCTCGCCATCTGGGCTTCTGAGCTCGTCTCTTCATTCTTCGCGCGCCAGGTGGGTCCTTTGATATTTCTTGAAATGCCGTCTCCTGATCTGAGCCTCATACCAGATCTGCCTTGTCGCTCTCGACGTCGATGTGACAAATCTTGGCCTTGACGAGATGCGCGCCTACCCGGAACTCATGACGAGCGTCATGTGGACTAGCGTCAGAGTCCTCATGGACATGCTCCTCTTTCTCATTGTGAGTCTTGACGGCTTCTGCTCCATCGGGATTCGTTGCTGATAGCTGCCTTCCGTCACAGAGACTCGACTTCTAGATGTTTTCACCTCTTCATCATTCCCAAGGATACCGTTTCACGCAATCTTCTCCCCCTTTCTTCCCTTCGATACCTTGCTCTTCACGACCAAATTCTCTCAGAGAAGGAGAGAACACGAATTGCCTACGAATGAGATACGATACTCCGTCTATTCGCTTGGGGTTGACGTCTACTACTATTGCAAACGGGGGAAGCTCCAAAGCGATGCTGACCTCGATGTTGAATGGAGAGTATCTGACAGGGACAAGCAAACCTTTTGACTAGTCTGTGAAGAGTTGATCTTCTAGGTCTATCTAATATGGTGACAACGGCTCTCTACGTTGCCATCATCGTGTGGTGTTTTGTGAGTAGTCATACTTGCTATAGAACCGTCTGCGCCAAGAGGACAGTGAGCTTCTCGTCGGGCTGAGGTTCGGAATCAGCTCATCAACTCACTCTGAGTCCGTCTCTTGATCCTGTTGCGCAGCCTTTGCACCTCGCGTGGGACCTTTCCCGCTCGTCCGCTCCCTCTCCAGACGGACGACCTTGTCCTCCCTCAACCAGGCCAGAGCTGTCGAGAGAAGCTGCGAAGCGTCGTCGGAGTCATCTTTGCCGCTCGCTTGGTCGAATGCCTGGGGGGGCAGGGAAGCAGCTTGCGGGTCGCTCCGGCTTGGTGGCCATGAGATAGGTTCTCCAGTTGTCGTGGTGCCGTGACGCATGTGAACGACGTGCGTAGGGAAAGTCTGAAGGCCGTCGAAGATGTGTGTTGCGTCTGATGGACGTACTCAAGAGTCAATCATCCGTTCATTGGCTTTCTCTCGATCGGAAATAGAACTCGAGACTTACAGATGATGGTCGCGCCACGAGTCTTCGTCTCTTCTGTGAGGAAGCTGAGGAGGTCGGCACGGACCTGGACATCGAGATCGACGGTGACTTCGTCGAGCAGAAGCAGGTCCCATGGCTCCATGAGGCCCATCGTCAGCTGTACCCTTCTCCTCTCGCCATCGCTAATGGCGTGCATTCGCCACTGCGTGTCGACATCGAGAATGTCCAGCAGCTTGTCTCTGCGCTCCTTGTGGCGGTAACCTCCGACGCTGTCGAGGAAGGTCGAAACGAGAATGTCGCTTCGTACGACGGGGTTCATGGCCCATTCTGTACCGAGGTAGGTGATACCGCGGGGCGCATCGTGGAAGACATCCTTGCCAAAGACGAGGATGTGGGAGCCTTGCGAAGGAAGCCGCTTGCCGGCGAGCAGGCGCAGCAGTGTCGACTTGCCCGCTCCGTTTGCCCCAATCAGGAGACAGCGTGAGCCTCGAGTGAGGGCCAAGTTGCAATCCTCGAGGGCTGGGGGGTTGTTCTGGTCTTCCTTGTTGAAAGCGTATGTCAGGCTGCGGACGTCGACAGATCTCTGCTCTACGCTCGTATCTGCCAGAGCTTGCGGTTTCTGACCTGAAGCCTCCTTGCTCTCGTTCCAGTCCCAGTAGCCCGCATCGGCCCGATTCTTGAGACGCTCGTTGGAGCGCTGCACCTCTTCCAAAGTGGCCTTGCCCCACCCTCCTGCTCTTTGAGCGTCTGCTTCCTCCACAAAAGAAACAAGGTTGGAGTTGACGCCCGGGATGAATCCATCGCTAACGGCGTTTCCAATCAGCGCTCGGACGGGGGACCAGAATCCGGCAACATTGATGAGTACGACGGGCTTGCGGTGGATCCCCAGCTGGGTCCATGTCACCATCTCCATGACTTCTTCGAAAGTGCCGAAGCCGCCGGGGAGACCAACAAAGCCAAGGCCGCTGCGTTTGGCCATTAGCGCCTTGCGCTCGTGCATGTCTTGGACGATGATGGTCTCGACGCGGCCCGCCCCGGGGTCCGGGTTGGCGACCACGGGGCCCTGGCCTTCGGTAGACGCTGCTGCAGGAGCTGCAGCAGCCGCAGGATGACCCTTTGGCATAGGCTTGCTCGCCATGACCCGAGGGATGACACCGACGACGTGGCCTCCCGAGGCGGACGCCCCAGCCGAAACGGCACCCATGCATCCCTTGGCACCTCCACCGTACACCAGCGTCCAGTCTGCTTGTGCGATTGCCCTCCCAAGGTCCGTCGCCACGTCCATGTACGCCGGCTTCAGACCTGGCGAGGACCCACAGAAGACGCACACAGAGTTCGTCGTCGTCTGCGTCATGGCTGGTCGGTAAGGAGAAGGAGTAGGAGGAGGAGGCGGCGGAGGCAGGAGTCATAACCTCTTCTTCTGATTTCATAAGGTCGCGTCTAGCCTTGGTGCAGCGCACGGGCGCTAAAGGGTTACGAGCTGGGCCCGGTCCATCTCCGCGGGACAAAGCACGTGCATATTTGAACTTGGGAAACCCATGTGGCACTCGGTCCTATGTTTTAGACAATGTCCTAAATTGTGTTGTTCTCCTCTAAACAACAGATCTGCCACCAACTTTTAGAATGAAAAGACAATGAAAAGAAATGCACGCATCAACAAAACTCCGGAGAGATCACCTCCAAAGCCTCTAATTTAATGTTCCTACGCGTTCAGGTCAATTATTTAGGTACCGGTAGTTGAAGGCAGTTGCTCAGTGTTGCACTATGCCGTCATTTAGAGCGCATTTTTAAACAAATCGGGTCTGTCATATAGCGGCTTGTCTACAACTCCTTGGGTGACCCTTGGTCAGTGATGACGCAGTCGACGTGATCCTCTGCTTTCCAGTACGGCAAAAGCGCCGTCTGGCATCGTCCACAAGCGATGACGCAGAGTGTGAACGCCGGCGGACGATTTCAAGGGGTGATACATGTCTGCATCAACGCTCGTGGACGATGACTTAGACAGCATTTTTGCCGTACAAGAAGACGACGTGCAAGAAACAGAACAGAGGATGATCACTGTTCATGGTATCACCCACGAGATGACTTAGGCGTATTGTACTCTACGTCATCGTGCTCTACGTCATCGTTCACGATGGTCCTCGAGGTAAGAAAACCGTAGGCAAAATCAGGCTCCTACCTCCAAATCGAGTCGCAAAAGGGTGAGGAGGGGGAAGAGAACGCATCATCGTTTAGGTATAAAAAGTGCCTCTTTCTGCTGCTCAGATCAATTCGTCCAACATCTCTCTACTCCCTGCTTTCTACTCGAGCGCTCATATCCACCACGCCCTTCGTATCAGCATCACAAACATTCCAACTTTCTCATCTAATACACCTCTCGCTACAATGAACGACAGTCAGCTCCAGAGAAAGACACTCTGGGATAAGCGATTTTTGGCTATCAGCGTCGGAACAGGCGCAGCTGGATTAGCTGCCACTGTACTAGCTGGATTGGCAGCGACAGCCCCGTTGCTTCCTTCAATTATTGGTGTAAACGTATCCTCTGCAGCTATCGGAGGGCTCACAGGCAGGGTGGTACACAACATCGCCAATGCAGACGACATTCTCTATATACCGACACGACCCGCCGATGCTCAGCAAACATACCGAAAAGTCATATTGGAGACCATAGGCAAAGATCTGGAGACGTACGTCACCTCGATCCGTGAGAACAGACCTCAGTCTGGGGGTGATACTTTCGAACTCGACTCCAACTGCAACGCTGCTTTCAAGATTTTTGAGGTGGCAGGAGGAGAGAAGCTCAAATTTGTTCTGAGGTACAAGATCTCCGTCTCGCCAAGAGCTGATACCAGTGTCAGGAAGCCCGAGGAAGGAGTAGAGGCTCCCCCATTGCCAACCTACGTCAACACTGCGATGGAGTCATACTATCTCCCGCGGACCAAACATTCTTGGTACAACGGATGCGTACGTAGTACCGCCTTGGGTTCGCTGGGTGGTCTCGTTGGAGCTGGTGTAGAAGGCTTCTTTCCCGCCATTCGGGGTATGCACTTTTTCCACTGGGTACCCAACTACAACGCAGGCATCCTTATTGGAGTTCCGACTGCTTCAGCAGCCGGAGGTGCTACACTGCAACAGTTTCATGAAGCGGAAGTCGAGAAGACGACTTTGGAGATGGCAAAACTTTACAAAGAACTAGGAGAGCACTTTTTCCGCCTGCTCGAATGTGCCCGTCGCAACGACGTAATCCTCACGGTTAATGCAAGATGTGGATACCGTCAAGCAGTGAACGTAAACGTTTCTACTTTGGACCTCAACAGCGACATTCACTCAGGATTCGAGATCAACAAGTCCATCAATGTGCCCACCGCGGCTACCTAAAGAGGTGACTGTCAGCCGATACGACCTGCTACTATACCAATACCCTTTTTCTCGATCGACGTCCAGCTTTGCGTTCAGCTGTATTCATTACACCTCTCCTTTAATACTGTAAATATATGTGGGCTGTTTCCTTGCTCTGAAGAAAGACTCCGCTTCATTCTATTACTCCTTGTAGAATGATGGATGAAGGCATGCTTATCGAGCTTTTCGAAGCGAAGGTGCATGACATGCACAAAGGAAAGGGCTGCCTGACTGAGAGAGCTTTTCAGGATATGACGATGTCGGTGATTTGATGAGGGTTCAGGTCCAGAAAAAGAGGCAATGTACGAGCCAATGGCGAGCAGTGCTCTGCGCGGTGGGGTTTGCACAGCGTGCGCGGCCCGCTTCCAACTGCTGCCCCGAAGACGGGTGCACATTCGAACTCCCCATGCGCAATGGTGAGATTACGAGCTTCAGTGCGTGGTGCGTGTGGGCACAAACGGCACGCCAGTACCGCTTCGCTCAAATTGGTGACCCGAGGATGCTGCTTCACTCTTGTCTTCTTCTCGCATGCCAAGTTGCACATGCGGAGCTGCATGATCGACAAGCCCGAAGTTTGACAAATTAACAAGAGAGAAGTGTGTCCACGATGCAGACTTGCACGTAAGACTTGCGCGTAGTGGTGCGCATTTGACGTGCACCAGAGCAATGCGCAAGCGGGCACCTCTCTCCTTAAGATGAGCCTACGGTGCACGTTCCAGGGCCAGTACTTGGTCTTCCATCTCCTTCAGCACCCGAAAGAAGACGATTATTCCTTCATCACACGGACAAATATTCTTGATTTTGTCTATATCATTGCCTTTGCAGGTTGACGTGCGGAGACTCGTAGCGACAATCACCGCAGACTGACCCCCTGCCCCAGGTAATAAGTGTTACTGGCGTCGAGCCGGGAATCGTAGTGGGGAGCAATAGGGTCGCGTAGCGTGGCAGGGGGCTCTGAGGAAGAAGCTGCAACGGCAGTGTGGGTGATTCCTGTGAGTCGATCCCGAATTGACGACGCAGTCGACGTCACAGGAAGAGGGGCACCGGTGAGCCGGGCATAGAGGGAACGGAAAGTCGACGAGGTTCCTTCAATGACCATGTCCAGGTCCGTTTCGGACATTGTCTTGGTCAGAGCAAGAAGATGCTCCTTTCGAAGGTGTGGACCGATTGAGCCCCTGCTTCAGGATAACAAGGGAAGTGACTACTCACATTCCACCGCGACTTGACCTCTTCGACCAGCGAGGGCTTCGATGGTGCGTGATACGCGCTCCTGATTCTTGCCAGCAACTCCTCTTCGCTTTCTTGTAGATCCTGCTGGATCTGCTTGCCAAATGGTGACTTTCGAAGAGCGTCATCGTCCACTTCGGCCAGTCGGCGAAGGCTCCGCGATGAGAGGTGAAGGCTTGACGTCAGCTCGTGAGTCCTTTGCGAAAGCGACTCGCGACACGTGTAGAGCAGCAAGCCGGCCAGCGCCGCTCCTGTCAGTGGTGCTGCAGAAGCACGAAGCAGGCCCATCGCTCGGTCGTCTTCGCTCCACCTAATCGTAGGAAGACTCTTAAGATGGAGGTGACCGGAACGGATTGACTGGTGACGGATAAGAATCACGTGTGACGGAAATTTGGTCACCGGCTTGTTCGCCTCCGTCCATCCGACGCAATTGCCTCTTGACAGAAGGAGTCCGCATCCATCAATGTTGTGCAGGTCGACCAAGCCGAGAGGAGAGTAAAGTAACAGGCAGAAGAAGGTTACCTTGGTGACTCGCCCAGCAACATGTCGTCGTACCTGGCTTCGGCCCGCGACTTCGTCTACCGGCGACGGCGGCCGTTCATCGTCGTGGGCGGTGTTGTGGGAGGCGCGTACATGCTCGCCAGCTACGCCATTTCCAAGATCAGCGAAGTGCAGACGAGACTGGTCGAGGAAAGGCGAGACAAGGAAAAGTGAGTAGAGAGGCAAGAAGGAGTACCTTCTGAGCATTACAAGCTTAGCTCACACTCTTCTTCTACAGTCTACGAAAGAGATTCGCGCAAAACCAAGAGGACTGCAACTTTACCGTTTTGGCGCTTCTCCCGACCCTTGGCGATCAAATCTTCCCCTCAATGGATGTTGAGAGCCTGACAGCAAAGCTTCAGAAGGGAAGGGCCTCCCCTAATGGCACGTCGACGCCCGCGCCCATTGCGCCAGCCTCTGCTGCCCCTCATGCGCCCGAAGTCATCGTCAATGGCGAGGCAAACGTCAACGGATACGAGGTGGAAAAGCAAGAGGGCAGCGTACAAGTGGATCCGTCCGCTGGGCTGGGGCAGGCTGGAGGTCCGGCAGGTGAGGGAGGTGCTGGCGAAGAAGCTTCCAAACAGGCCATGGAAGAGATTTGGAACAAGCTTTCGCATGGCAAAGACGAAGGCGAAGGGGCGAGGTCAGAGGGAGTAGAGCCCGTAGCCAAGCCAGTCAATGGCGCCAACGGTGTGCACCCAGCTGAAGGAGGCGTGGATACAACGAACCCGTCTACGGATGAGGAGACGATTGCCAGCGAGGGCTCGAAGTCGAAGCCGGCAATAGGGCTGGATGCAGTCTCCGAGGTAGGCTCTATGCATTCTCCAAGTTCCTTGCTCTGAGAGATTTTCGCTCATGCTTGCCTTACAAAGCCTGCGCCTCCTCCAATCCGCGCTGATGCTCGCCTTACCCCATCGCCACGGCCAACACCTACCGCTGCCACGCCTTCTGAGATTGATGTCGCGAAAACCGGGATTGAAGGCGGTGCCGAGAATGCATCGGGAGAGGGCAAATTCTCTCAAGAGAAAGTGGTTGCTTCAAATGGAACTCCTTCAGGAGAAGGACAGCATTTGTCAGACGGGAATGCTGATGAATCGGTCGTAAAGAGCAAATCAGCAGCCGAATCGATTGTCGACACCAAATTGCTGGGAGAGCAAACGGACAAGCCTCATTCGCCGACGCAAACACCGGCTCCTGAGGAGCCACCGAAAGAGCCTTCGCCCGAAGAGATCCTCGCCGAGAAGCGGGCAAAGCTCGCGTTATGGAACGAACTCAAGATCACCGGTATGTGCAGGATGCTGAGAGATCTTTACGTACGATTGCTAACAGGCGATTCGCAGCTTTCTCGCGGACCTTGACCACTCTCTACGCACTCGTGCTTCTTTCACTCCAAACACACATTCAGCTCAACCTGATCGGTCGCTTCGCTTACCTAACGAGCGTACAGTCGATGACCGGGCCTGCCCCGTCCGATCATAAGATTCGTCTTGAGCGACACGATGGCGAGGCTCAGTCGTACGACGAAGATGATCAAGAAGAGGATGAATACGACGGTGCTTACGAAGATGCTGAGGGATCCTCATCGTCTCGCGCTGGCCTGTCAAAGGAGACAGAGAGACTGTATCTTACTTTCTCGTGGTACTTCTTGCATCGGGGATGGCAGAACATCGCAACGCTGGTCAAGGACGCCGTGGAGGACGTTTTCGGGAGGTGAGCAGTACCCGTTCTCTTTTAAGAAACAGTACCCTAGCTGACGATATGTCTCGGCTTGCCCACAGTGTTCCCCTGAAAGCGCAACTGACACATCGCGACTTTGTGTCGTTACTTAACAAGGTCCGAAGACGGGTCGAATATGAAGCAAGGCAACCTGGCGCGGGCACCAGTACAGCACGCTCTGGTGTGGACGATGATGGAACAAGCACATTGGCTGCTTCGATGGCCAGCTTTGATGGGCGGAGCGAGACGAGCGAGGCTCGATTTTCGAGGCGAGGTCGCCGACGAAACTTTTTGTCGAATCTCTTTCCGGCGGATTCCGAGGAAGAAATTGCCGTTTTGGAAGCAGCTGGCGCTTTGGCGGGCTGGAGCAAGCGGCGCAGCGGCCCAAGAGGGGCTGAAGAGAAGGACAGTCGACCGAGAACACTCGAAGAAGTCGATCCGACGCTATGCGCTCTCGTCGACGAGACAAAGGATGTCATCGAGTCGTCTGACTTCACGAGACTGTTGAAACTGAGCCTCGACGTTGTCTTTGGCATATTTGAGGGAACGCTCCGACCGACATTTGGCGTCGAACCAAAAACGACACCCTCCGTGGAGCTGGTCAAGATTCAAGAGATCCAGGAAGAGGAAGAAGTGGAAGGCAGGAGGATTCGTCTGGCATCGCTCTTTCCAGCTGTGGCAAGACAGAGCCAACTAGCGATCCATGGTGTTCCAAACGAATACGTCGATGCTTTGTCTGATATCAAGGAGCTCCGAGCTTTCTCTGCAGTTATCTACTCCTCATGGGACTGAAGACGTTCAGAGTCGTCGTTAATTAATCTCCTTCTCAAAATTATTTATCTCCTTCAATTGGATGAGGACTTGAATTGTTGACATGAATGGAAAGAAGCGATGGGAACATGCTGAGGAAGTCGTGGGTGATCTGTGATGGTTTGAGTGTGTATGCGTTTGAAATCTACATGCTTCCCATTCTCGAAAGAACATATTGCTCGAGGTCGATCCAGCCGCCCCCGACTCTCGTGAGCACCTTTCTCGCCTTCTCCTGCTGCTGCCCTCCGACCATGCCCGAGGGTCGGTGCTGTAGAAGAATGTGATCAGAAATCGGGCCCTGGTCGCAGCGCAGTCCCTGTGAACTCACCAGCTCGAGTAATTTACAGACAATGACCCTTCCACCAATGTCGTACCTGACCATCCTGTTGGGTCCTCCCGCCGGCTGCCCATCCACCCGCTCCGTCTGGACCCCGAGCTGGTTGACAATGTGTGCCACCTCGGCATCCAAAGGGTCGTTGCGATCCTTTGGCCGGTAAGGCCTGCTCCGTTGCAAGGCTGCCCGACCTGTACCTCTGCCCCAGATCGCGCTGGCACCTGAATCACTAAACGTGGGCGTGACTCTGCCCGAAGTCGCGCTCTGAGCATATGGGATACCCGAAGCCGTCCGAGAGGAAGCAGAGGGTGGGCCACCACCACTGATGATGCTGTGTGCTCCTTGCCTCGAAGTCGGAAATCGAAAAGCATCGCCTGCAAATGTCGAAGCATTGCCCTGGTTCCCTGCGGCGGCCGCCCGAGAAGCTCTAAAGTTTGCAACGGAGGAGGAAGTGGAGCTACTCATCATCGCACCTCCCCGGATGCCACTTGACCGGTTCGTGACTTGAGGCGAGGATCCGGCCAACGACGAAAGTCTTCTCTGTGAGTCAGCCAAGGAGGCTGCCGATAGGGGCGTCGAACGACCAGACGAGGTGGGTGGAGGAGCGGCAGAGGTGCCCATGGACAGCGAAGAATTTCGTTTGCTGATGTTGAGTGGTCGTGTCGTAGATGTCGCCATCGATCCTGGCGCGTTGTATTTAGCTGGCGGAGGTCGGCTCGACCTTTTCGCTGTAGTCGCAGTAGAAGAGGAAGAAGGTGTAACGCTGCGAGGGGTAGTGCTGGTGGCAGATGGGGCATATGAAGCGCTGAAAGAGGCAAAGGAGCGATGTGGGGTTGAAGCAGGTGCAAATAGATTTAGTCGTCGAGCTCGGGCAGCAATGGTGGGTTCCGGTGTCATCATGCTGTCTCGACTGGCACCTCGGTCTGTCATGTAAGAAGAAGGAGGAGGAGCGGTCGCAGTCGCTACAGAGGAACGAATTGAAGGGATCCTTGTTGCCGTCATTGCTGAAGAGGTCTGCGATAGGGACGAACCTGGTCGTTCTTGTTGGCCGGCACTTAGCCGAGGGATTCGACTTCGACCTGTCGCAGGGACGGCAGGGTCATCGGCGTAGCCTCTTGTAGAAGCTTCGTCCATGTCAGTGTACCGTCCCGTCGCGCTTGGGGGCCGGTAGAACATGCCAGCAACGGACGCTGGCCGCGGAGGCCGCTGCTGCGGAGGCGAAAAACTGAGGACGCCATCATCCAGGAGCACCTCGTCGGGCGTGGAATCGGCATCACCAAATTGCGTCGAGGGGCTGTCGCCCGGCACATTTGGAGGTTGTGATTCAGAATAGGTCGAAGATGAGTCTCTGCCCCTCAAGGGCGTCGTCTGACCGTTGACAGATGTTGACGCTGACGATCTCCGCCAGCTGGACGGTGGATTTGGGGAAAGGGCTCTTATCCGATGCTTTGGCGACCGAGTCGAAGGCTGCCGAAGATCGCCCGGATAACCAAACTTTTCGAGCGGATCAGCGAGCGAGGAGCTCGATGTTGACGACGGTATTTTTGATGTCGTTGCAGGGTAGGCTTGAGCATCCACAGAAGAGCCGCGCGGAGGCGTTCGCAAGGCTCCGAGCTGAACGCGGGTTGCGTCAGTGGACAACGATCGGCTATGATTCGCTGTCGTGTTGGCGTTCTCCTTTCCATGGGTCAAAGATGTATCGAGCATTGACATGCGATATACGCTCTTGGGAGGCTTGACGGGCGGTGACGAGGATGGAGATGCAAGGTTGATTGCTTCGGAGGGAGACCGATTCAAAGAAGATGAGAGAGAGGCAGAAGACGCCGATGAGGTTCGCATCCCGTGAGTCCGTATTGTCGACGTACCGCTGATGTTGCTCGCATTACGTTTAGGACTCTTTGGCTGGAGCAGCTTCCGCGAAGGCGAAGCGCCGTAGCCCAAGTGACTCTGCTCTCTAGCTGCCGATGAGTGCAGACTCCCAGCAGGCGAGTTGTGAAGGGAGAGTGAATTTGAGCTGGCTGGACTGGAAGCCTCACGCATCAGACTCGTTTCGATCCTCTTGAGCTCTTTGTCCATCCTTGCCGTCCTCTCCCTCAAAGATCGCCACCTCGTCTTGAGCTCCGAGAACTGTCTCAAAATGGAGCCATTCTTGACCGATCGCTCCTTGACTCCCCTCTCCATTGCGCTGAACATGGACTCGCATGCGGGTCCGTACGACTGCTTCTTGATGTCAAAAGATCTCTTGATCCGTCGGAGCTCCTCCAGCCTCATTTCAGGCGCCCAGTCGCTGTCTACACCACCGAGCGCCGCACCCGCGCGGTCTCGATTGAAGGTGAAGACAAAGTCGTGGCACTGTGCCAGAGCCTTGTCGAGACTGTCCATAATGTCTTGTGTCTGGGAGCTGATCGAGGTAAAGATTGCCATGTACTTGTCTGCACTCAGCTCCTCCTCGGCAGCCTTGACCTCCTGCTGCAACTTGGCCCAATCCTCGAGCATGTTGAGGAACCGCTTTCGCAGACCTGACACTCCCCCTGGAGGGCTGAAAAAGGCCTCATCGAAGCTTCCTAGGCTGGACAGGCTCGATACGCTGCCTCTCTTCCCATGCCCCAGCTTCTTCCTGACTCCAAACTCATCACATACTTCTTCGTCCCCCTCTGCCTTTTCTCGCTCCTCGAGCTTCGTCAACTGCCCATCAACTGTCCTGATTCGCTCCGAGACTGTCTCCAGCAGGCCGTTCGTCTTGATCATCGCCCTGTCCATCGCACTTGCGTGCGTCTCGGGCCCACCCTCGTCGGCTCCTTCGCCCTTGCTTTCTTCGACGTGATCGCCAACTTTGGCAAAGACGTCTCTGTGCCTCTTTTCCTGCATCTCGAAGATTTGCGCTCTGATCGCTTCGAGGCCCTCTCCCACGAGCGCTAGACCGTCATTGGCACTCTCTTCCGAAACTTCCTCCCCGGCTGTGTCCCGTCTCGCCCCCCGCCTGCCTTCACTCTCATCTTCGTCGTCGTCGTCGTCGTCGTCGTCTTCGAGCTTGATAGCCGATAGTGAAGCTGCCAGCATCTCTGAAGCAGAGCCTGCCGAGTCGGAGGTGCTCATGAATGGAGAAGCTGAGGGGCCCGCACCACTTCTGTTGCCCTTGCCACCCTTTACGGGTGTCGTAGAAGCCTCGTCGCCCTCGTCGTCGTCCTCGTCGTCGTCCAAGCTCTTGACGAGCCTGCTCCTCGCCAACAGACTGCCACCACTTTCGCTCGCCACGACACCTTTGACCCCCCGCCTCGTCGGCGTCACATCCCGAGCCGCCGCCTCCTCCATCATTGGGTCGATCGAGGAGGGTTGGGTTGATGGGAAGCCTAATTCGACGTACTGTACAGGCGTGTGTGTGTTTTGTATACCCTTTGTCCAAAGCAAGACGCGTCTTGTCCAGCAACAGACGTTGACTTGAGCCCAGTCCCGGCGCACCCCTCCCCTTCTTGAAAGGCAACTAAAATTCAAAGCTGAGGAGACCGTCCGTGCGAGGAAAAAAAGCTCTACCCTGTTCACCACGGGACGTTCCACGCACGCTTCTGTATCCAAGCACTTCAAGGGGACGATCACATTGATCAAAGGGAGCAACGGATGATACGCATTGTCCTTCTCAATACATGGAAATAGCAGCAGATTCCAATATCACCAACACTAAATTCGGGAACCTACTCAAGCGTGAACTCTCTCGAGGTCGCGACAAACGGCTGGATTTTGCCTGTGACGGGCGTCTTTGCGCTCCCGTAATAGACCAGCCTGTACCGGCCCGCGCTCGTCCCATCCTCGACAGTCCAGCCATAGTCGATGACGGAGCTTCCCGTCGCCTTGTTCGTCTGCGTCCACCGCATCACGGTGCTGTGATGTCCGTCGGTCCTGACCACATCCCACGTCTGTGGCTCCTGATCCGAGCGCTGCTTCTGCACCTCTGTATACGTTGCTTCGAGTCGGAGGTCATTGCGCGGATTGGCGCCCACGAATTGCGCCGTGACGTTGGGCTTTGCACTGAGCTGGTAGCTCTCGAGGGGCTCGACGAGGACATCGCCGAACTTGTGCCCAAAGGCCGGTCGGTCGTACACGATGGGCTGCTCACCCAGCCGCAGAGCCTTGTTGAAGCTCAGCTCCGGCAGTTGGCCCGCAGGCACCATCTTTGCCGCCTCGTCATCCTTGAGAGCGGGCGTGAGGAAGTTGGCAAAGATGTGCGTGTACGCTTCTAGTGTGTTAGGTCCGAACAGGGTGCTTCCGCCCTCGTAGCGCTGGACGCTGTACTCTTCCCTCGTTGTTATATAGTGTCCATACGTCGATGCAGGTCCGCCGATGAGGACGATCGGCTCGAGACCCGCGGCCAAAATGTTCAAGTCGAGAATCTTTGCCTTGACAGCGTCCTTGATTCGTCGGCCGGCCATCGTGGTGAATTCGCCGGGAACCACAAGGACAAAGACGTTTCCAGCACGAAGGATCTGAGTCTCGACGAGACCCTCTTTTCCACCGGGTCCCCAGGGGTAGGGCAGGTTCTGCTCGCCGATGGACAAGAGCACCCTCTTGGGCTTCTGGCACTCGATCTGCTTCTTGGAGGGTGGTGTGACGAGTGTCCTGGCAATATCCCAGAGTGGATTGTGCTGCTCGCTCGAGTTGGCGCCCTGAACGAAATCGAACGCACCAGGCCCGTCGGTCGTGCCGCCTGCGAAGCCGTAGCCCAAAGCAGAGGGGCAAGTCGTCACCTGAGTCCCGTTGGACAGGGGGAAGGTGAAGTTGTTCATGGCCACATTCCACTTGACCGACCGCACCACGCCGGCAACTTCGGTCATCGAGTCGAGCGAAGCATCGAGGAGGCCCAGTGCGGCGTCGGCCTGGTACCTGGCAATCTTTTCGTTGCCGCTAAAGTCCCATCCTCCCGTCGGTCCGGCCAAGAGCGACTCGTCGCCCCATGTTGGGCCACGACCGTGGCAGTTCTCGACCCGTTGCTTGTTGCGGTCATTTGGACACGTGCTGTGCTCAAAGTCGCACGGATTGCCATCGTCGCAGAAGGCACCCCCAACATTCGGCGTCGTATCGCCCACATTGGCCTGACTGAAGCCGGCGACGAAGGCTGTTTGTCCGAGAAGCGAGTCAGGTCTTTGTTCAGAGGTAAACGCATTTAACATCAGCGCACTCACCAGCCTGTCCGGGCAACGCACTGGGGTCTTGCTGCTGCTCGACCATGAGCGCCGCCAGACCCTTGTTGTCGGCGGAGCTCAGCGTATTGTTCTCATACAGGCTCGTCTGAAGCAACGACTCGGTCAGCTCAGGGGCCGGATCAAGATAAGAGCGAGACAGTTGCTACTCACGCCGTGGACGGGGTAAAAGCTCAGCAGGCCCTTCTTTCCGTCGTCATCCAGGAACTGGAGCATGTGGAAGACATCGTCCTGGTCGCTGTCGTACTTGTCCCTCTCCTCCTGGGGATTCTGCAGATAGCTAAAGGGCGACCGGTTGATGTGAGCCTCTTTGAGAATGGAGTTGCCATAGTAGATCTTTGCCTTGGTCTGGCCCTTGGTCGCCCGATCACGCCTGGCCATGTAGTCGTCGTGGGCCTTTTGCACAGCACGGACGGTGCCCTCGACGATGGCATTGAACGTCTGGTCAACGACACCAAAGTTTGTCACGGTCGGAATCAGGGCATTGAGGAAGCCGCCGGGACCGGAGTGGGAGTGGGTGCCGGCAAAGGCAACGTTGCGCTCGCCATAGATGCCCGGGTACTGTTGTCGAAGACGGTTGACGATGGCGCGCCGTACGGCCGAGTCGCCCATGCAAATGTCCGAGTTGATGTACACCCATCGGTCTGTCAGGCCATCGTTAGGATCCGGCCGGCCTGAGTCATCGTCGGCCGCGGGAGCGCCCCCGTCGGGCAGGTGCGCGCCCTGATCCTCGTCACTCGTGTCGGTACCGACGATAAAGGCCCTCGAGCGCTGTCGAATATGCAGGCCCGTGTTGACCTGCGGCAGAGATGCATAGCCCATCATGCCCGTCTGCACAATCGGCCCCGACACATCGCCCGTACCCAGTCCAAAGATGAGCCCTGCGGTGCCGTCAGCGCTGGCCGCCGCGGAGCTCAAAGACGCAGTGGCGGCGGCCGCCTTTGCGCTCGCGTCTCGGTACCACCTGTTAACACTCCCGTCCTTGGAACATCCAGAGTATACGAGGGCGAGGAGCACCAAAGCTCCGAGGGACGCTGCAATCAATGCTCCCTTGGTCGAGCGGGCTCCCTTCCTCCACCTCTGCGTTGGCTTCTTGCCATCATCATAGTACTCTTCCTGCCCTGACAGGATGTCCTCCTGCGGGATTGACACGTAGTCCTTTTCGACCATCTCTGCTCCTCTGTTCGACGAGCGAGGGACTGCGCGCGTGGTGATGGATGGAGAGAAAAGAACCCACTGCTGGCCTATCTCGTTACGTCGTCTAGAGGAAGTGGGATGGGGCAGGGTCTCGCCCTCCCTCCATATAGTGTTTTCCAATCCGAAAATCTAAATATGAGAAACTTTCGCCGGGCAAGCCTCCCTCACCGGCCTGTGCCAGGCAGAGATTAGGAGGAGACACATCAGAGGGAGAGAGAGCCGCTTCCCCACATATTCGCTCATCCCTGCTGCACACGGTCAAATTGGTTTTTTTCCGCCGTGAAGCTCAGGGAGTCTAAAGAAGTGAAGGTACGCAGTTCGGACAAGTCTGATCGAACGTTTCCACTGCGCTTTTTTAGCGCATCAGCATGGACATATTCTGTTTCTACTGTAGACAGTACAAAGCTCGGGTTGACGGCCGAGTCGCGTGATTTGAAACCGTGGCGGGCCGTCGGATTGAAACGAAAGGAGAAATTCGAAAGAGGGAGCCGAAAGACAATGAAGGAGGGGAGTTCAGACACCATCGCAAGGGGTGTCGGGACCCCGTCCGATGCGTTGATAGGATTCACGCACCATCGTGAAGAGCGAGCGGCTCTTTCTTTGATCGCTTCAATAGTAATTGAATGCATTCTGGATTATCCCCCACCTTTTAAATCTAAGTGCGCACACAGCGCAGCACAGGTCAGCACGAGCACGGCGCAGGGCCAGCAGGCAGCCTTAATTTTTTAGAGCGCGTTTTTGTATGCTCTCCATCAATGCTTGCGTCCTGTCAATTTTCCAAGGCATTTTTCAATGGCAATGGAATGAACTGGGACGGCAAGGACGAAGCACCGAGATGGAGGGCAGCTCAAGCAGAAGAGAAGGAAATGACTCATCGGAAAAGTATGACAGGCTCAGAGGTAGGAGAAATTGCGAGCCTTTGATTAGAGAAAAGAAAAATAGACGAACTTTACGAAGAAGAAAAGAGAGTGAAGACTGGAGAGAAGACAACGCTCTCTTCTACGATCTTTATCTATCACGCCTTCTGGCGAAAAAACTTCCGACCATGTCCTGTTCTCCCTTTTGATGCTCTGCGGTTGGGTGCTTGAGGTCGTCGAGGAGTGATCGGGAACTTTAAAGTCAAAAGAGAAAGAAGACAAATATAGAGGAAGTCCTACCGAAGGAGCCCTGGGCGGATGGATGGCGTCCAGAGCCCATCAGGTGCGCGGTGCGTGACGGGGAGGGAAACAAGGGGTTCGGTCGGCTTGATGATGACGTCCGTGACCAGAAGAAATGCTGTTGATGATTCGGCGCTTGCGATTCGTGTTGAAGGCCCAAATTGTTCCTTTTTTTTTCTCGGGTTCTTTTGATCGTTTGACGAAATTACCGCACCATTGGTTGGTCGGCAAGCTGTCGAGTTTGGGGTATCGTGGCTATTGTTGAAGGCAGGGACCACGAAGAAAGGTGAAGGGAAAGAAGAGACAAGTGAGGGCAGAGGAAAGAGAGGGTGACGTCGGAATGATTATCCAAGCTTGTATGCGCCATAGGGGGCTGCCGGAGAGGAATGTGTTTGTTGTGCCTTGGAATCGCCAGCGCTCGAGATGCGGTAATGATCCAAATTGCCGCTGGCTGCACCGCCAAGACGGGCACCATCGGCCAGCACGGCAGCAGCGTGGACTTCGTCGTTGCTGCTGCCCATGCTGCTCAAGGTGCCTGACGTGGTGAGCGAGGGCGTCGAAACGGGAGTCCAAGAGCCGGGGGAGCGCATGTTACCTCCGCTGAGCGTCAGAGGGCCTGTGTTGAACGAAACACATTGTCAGCGGGTCTGTTCAGATAAAGCTTGCTTTGCGCGCCCATGAGCATGAACGCATCACGGAAGCGGCGGTGTCAGGACAACCAACCGTTCGCGTTTGGCCATCTAATGCCCTTTGCGCATAGGCGGTCGACGCACCGAGCTCTTCCCCATTTGCGCCGTCGCGTACTCGCTTCGCGGCGCCGCCTCCGTTTGCGTACATCGACGACGCTCGTTCGTCTTCAAACGGTGCAGCGACCTGAGCAAACTGGCTCGAGTTGCCGTCCTCGTGGTGGTCGTCAAAGCTGCGCTTGAGTCCACTCGAAGGCGTGCGGCGTGGCAGATGTGCCTGAGAAGGTTTCACAAAATCAGCCTTCATCGCTCTCGACGATATCTTAAGAGCCTTTGGACTGCCAAAAGAAGCTCTTCAGTCACGCACCTGGGATGCATGAGCAGGGTGGCCCATGCCAGCAGCCGACTGAAGGTGGCCCCCGCTGCCGGGCGACTGCGACGAAGGCTGACCATAGCCATTTGGATGGTGGCCATATGGCGAGCCGGGCATCTGGCTGGAGGGCGTTGTGTTGGAACGCATCAGCGGTGGTGGGTTCTGCTGCGCGCCTCCAATGCTGCCCGTCTGGCTCGACGACCTCTGAGAGGGATACGTCGGGCTCAGGTGCGGTGCACCGCCAGCCGAGGCACGAGATCGCTGAGCATGGCGCTCCTGGGCCGCAGCCATGACGGCTGCCGTCCTTGGATAGTTGTCGGGATGGTAGAGAAAGGATTGAATGTTGGTCTCAAAGAGGGGGTAGAGGATTTCGCTGATACCATTCTGTTCGGCGAGCTGTTTTCCTCTCGCAAATGTGATCCTGAAAGCATTGGCGATCATATGAGCTGCAATTCTGACGCTATTTCCCACTTTCTTGTCCCTCCATGTGTCTGCCCGAGAGCAAGGCATCATTAGAGGTTCGCTGCACTCACCAGACGCCTTTGAGATGCATGGCGCCGACTTTGACGACGACGCGCTCCTTTTCGTTTTTCAGAATGCCATCGCGCTTGCCTCGGGACATGCCGCAGACGTTGAGCAGCTTTGTGCCGTTGATCATGTTGTTGTCGTGCCTCCTGGCGACACAGACGCCGCGTGCATCGACCTGGAAGCACAGCGTGCCCTCGTCTTCCCACAGCGTGGTCGTGACTCGGTGTCTTCCGGCCAAGGGCAGTTGGGTGCTGTACTGGGGCGCCGATGTGTACGAGGGCGAGGGCATCATCTGTTTGTTTTTGAGGTTTCCGAAGACAAATTAATGGGCAGATCCGTCGGTCGGCGAGCGTCGAGGTACGACGATATGTGGGCGGTACAGTATTTTGTCAATCACGTCGGAGAGAAGACGACACGGTAACGGTGAAGCGCGTGCGGACGGACGGCCGGGCGGGCGGGCGGTCAAACAAAGATGGGTATGGGCGAAAAGGGGACGGAGAGGGAGAGAGGTAATAAGAAAACACCGTGTGCGTCAGCTCAATTGTCTCTTTATTACTGATTAAAAGCGTGGGGGCCAGGGCGCGGCCAGGACGCGACAAAGACACTCACCCCATTTGACGCGGCACTGTGTCCTCCGGGATAATAGCTCTGCGGTGACGGTTGCTGGTGCTGGTGCTGATGCATTGGCTGCTGGGCCTGCTGTGGCAGCTGCTGCTGCTGCGACGTGGGGTGCTGACCATAAGCTTGGCCCATGTAGGCACCTCCAGCGCCGCCCATGCCACCATAGTGATGAGCGGGGGGGTAAGCACCCCCCGTCGGCGTGCTCGCTCCGCTGTGATGAGCCGAAGATGCGCCGCCACTGCCTCCACCGCCGGGTCCCGTGGTACCATTGATCTGGCCATTGTGAGATGAGGAGCCGTACATGTGACCAGGCGGCGGAGGCTGGTGAGATTGGACAGAATAGGCCGAATAAGCAGCTGGAGCTCCCCCTCCTCCTCCGCTGTTGCCGTGGTAGCCTGAAGCGCCGTACATTCCGTGCGAAGAGGTGCCGTTGTAACCCCAAGGTGATCCGTTGGCTGCTGCAGGGGGTGTAGAGTCGTCGTAAGAGCCACTAAGACTAGGCGACGTGTCTTGCTGCTGCTGCGATGTCTGCTGGGGTTGTTGCTGCTGCAACGACGAACGATGTCCAGTCCCGTTGCGTTGCTGATAGGCGTGGTAGCTACCTCCGTTCTGCGCGCTATACGTGGTACCGCCGCTGCTGCTGCTGTGGTGCTGAGAAGAAATCTGCTGTCCAGACTGCGATGGTGACTGTTGGTAAGAAGCGTGAGGCGAACTGGACACTGGTGCCGATGAATGGTGATACATACTGTGACCTTTTCTTGTGGCCCAGTTTCAAAATAGCCGAGCCAATTTCAGGGGAACGAAAGGTCGAGCTAGTGAGAAAAGGGTAGACAGTAGGGCGAGAATCGAAAGGGGCAAGGAGGCGAGCACGAGAGGGTGTAAGGTGGTCGGTGTAGAGAGAAGAAAGAGGAAGGAAAAAAGGGCGGAAGAAGTGAACGAGCTGGGATCCTAACGAAGGTAAAAGGGTGGGAAACTCAGAAGACGAAGGAGAAAGAAAAGAACAGGAAAAGTTGGCCGCCCAAGAGTGTGCAAGAAGCTGGAAAAGCGGGATCACCGGAGCGGCAGAGTGACAGACGTCAGAGATAGTTGACGATGGTGATGAAGCGAAGATCTCTTACTAACCTGGCGTTTTTTCCCTTCTTTTTCACTTCCTCGCTTCAAGAGGTTGAAAGGGGAAAGATCCCGTGATTGGTGCCGAAGAGAGCCAACGCAATGATCTCAATCGCTTGGTGAAAGTTAATCACGAAGCGATATTGGCGGGCTGATGGGTGCCTATGGTTGTCGACGACGGCAGCGATGCAAAGAACGGCGACGACGACGACAAGGAGCTTGAGGTTGGTGATTGCAGAGATGAAGAGGTGTTGGAAGATGGAGGCGGGCGTCTGCAGCACTTTGCAGGCAGCAGCAGCAGCAGCAACGCGCAGGCAGCAGCAGCCCAGGCAGCAGCGAACTAACCAGCCTTTAGCAAGTTTTAAAAAAATCCTCCTCCCTCTCGTGTCCTGCCTCGGCCTGAGCGGAAGGAAAAATTTCCAGCGAGACAAAAAGACGGTTTCTTCTTTCGTTTTGCTACAACTGCTACAAACTGCTACACTACTACTACTTTAAAGGCGGGGCAGGCAGGGCTCGGGTGCTGCATTATTGCGCAGGCTAGGGAGACGCAAATACAAATAATTCATCTTCTGGTTCATAGGCGAGCAAGTTTGGCAAATCAAGCGTGGCGCTACTCTGGCTAAGGACTCTGGAATCTATCAGACGATTGTCCGTATCGCTACAAACGCGAGGAGAGACCTCCCTAGGCAATACTCACGTCCACGCTCGCTTGACAATTTTCCATGAGCTGCGACTCTTACGACGTCGAGATGGGCCCGAGCGGGTATCTTCACATACACTGAAACACCAAGACCTACTATGAAGCAAGATGAAGGATGCGGGAACGTCCGACGGAGCCATAGCCGGAGGAACAATACTGCAGCGACTATACTACACTACTAGTGCTGCCCGAATTTTACTTGGTGGAATACAGAGTACTCCTTTCTTAGTGAACCAGGGGGGAGCAGATATCAAAAAGTTCCGGCTCCTACCTACAAGTTGGCGAGCCCCACCTATCACTGGGAGCAACTCGGACAGGTTTGGGTTGTTTGCCCGCTTATTAGTTATTACTATATTAATCCGCAGCTCCGTTAATCGGTGCATTCATATAACCGCTCTTTTTACCCCTCGCTTTTCTCACCCAACCTTCACTTTTCCCACCGAATGGGAAGTAAACAAGGGTGGCTTTCAATAGATTAGAAACGGCCAGGGGAACGTAGTCCTTGTTGGAGCAGAAATTACTAGAGCCAAGTGCCACTATATGGACGATGCAATAAAGAACGATCGAGCAAGTGAGAGACACGTTTGTGACTGTGTCACAAGATGCCCTGTCGTTGCTGCAATACGCCAGCGCAGGCGACACATACCCCCTTCAATATCAAAAAAAAAAGTCAACATTCGACGCGATGTAAGAATGAAAATCTTCCCGACGCAAGCGCGCCCGCGTATTTCGCCGACCCGAACCACCTGACCGCACGCGGAACGCTTGACTTCCAGCTACCACTGCTTTCGCACTAGCACGGCTAAGTGGCGGGTGGGGTAAATTAATTGCGGACGATCAACAGACAATAAATGTGCTATGCTGCAGCCACCATTAGTAGTAGTACTGTGACACGTTGAAGACATTAATTGCCCTACTGCAGCTCGATACGTGTGCCTGGACGGAGCTCTGATTGCAGCGTTACCGTGAGCACCTTTGACTCCTCGTCGTAATTCGTCTCGGCCCCATCGGTGCCGATCACCTGCCTCTGCTTGGTTTGGTTCAAGAAAAGGATGCGATCCACCTTGACTGGGTAGGCTGCATCGTAGTGGCCGTCGTCTTGAACGACGAGGTGGTGTCCGTTGAAGTGCATCTCGATGTATGTGAACTGCTCGCCCACCTCTTCGCTTTCGCCATCGTCAATGTAAAGGTCTCCCTTAGCTTGGCCCTCATCGTCCGGCGCGACGATAATGACAAAGTCCTTTTGACGAACGTCTTTCGTAGTCATGGCCGATTCGTTTCGCAGCGGCAAGATGCTTCCGCCGATGAGATGCATGGGCACCTCGTCATAGTCAACATTTTCGATGTCGGTCCAACCTTGTCCTTGGACAGGCGTCCAGCTATCGAACTTGTACCACTGTGTGTCCTTGGGCAGGTACATGTGCACAGACGTGCTATTCTCATCCGTGACGGGTGAGACAAGGATCTTGTCCATCGCCATGTACTGCGTCTCAACACCGAATGTCTCCACGTCTTGACCAAAGTTCCAAAAAAGTGGCTGGACGACGGGCGTTCCCTTCGTCTGAGCGTGGTGGAATGCCGTGTAGTAGGCGTCCAGAAGTCTGTAGCGAATGTCCATGGCGCGCTTTGCTGCCTGCGTTGTCAGGTTCCAGCGGTAGAACTCCTGCGGTCGGCCGTCGATGTTGTTGTGGTTACGGTAGAAAGGGTGCAGGATGGCTGCCATCGCCCATCGTGCGCATAGAGTCTCGGTCGTGTTGCCACCGAATCCGCAAATATCGCCTCCGTTCATGGGCATGCCGTAGATCGAATAGCCGAGCATGAGACGGATCGCCCAACGATAGTGGTCCCACGTTGAGAGATTGTCCCCGTGCCAGTGGGAAGTGTAACGACCGCTGCCCAAGAAGGTGCTCCTCGTGAGGATGAGGGCTTTTTTGTTTGGCCTACGAGCCAGCATTGCTTCTCGCGAGGCCTTGCTCATCATCAGACCGTAGAGATTATGCACTGCATACTCGCGAATGCCTCCGTAGTGCGTGAGATCCGTGCGAGCGGTGAAGTCGGACAGGTTGCTGGAGACGCCATCGTGGTTGATGGAGCCGTCACCATTGAGGAGCTTCCTGGTTGCGCCAATGTCGAAGGGTGGGTAGAGCCATTGGCTGTCAAGACTCGCCTCCGTGGGGTCGTCTGGGTACTCGTTGACGAAAGCCCAGCCTCCAGCTCGCTTGGTCTTTGGGCTTGTAGCGGGGAAGCCTGGCACCTCGTACGGCGAGGCACGTGTGGTTGGGGGCCTCGGAGGCGCATCTTGTTCCTGCGCAATTCGATCGGGATTGGCTTCGACATAGGGCAGGAAGCCGGCCGGCTCGTTCATATCGATCCAGAGCGCATCGATGTCGACACCCGTGTCTTTGTTGAAGAAAGTTTTGAACTCGTCCACCCACCACTGCGAAGTGTTGGGATGGAACCAGTCTGGGTATGCCGCCCTTCCTGGCCACACGACGTTCTGATGAACGGCACCGCTACCGTCGTGGCGCTTGAGAAACACGTCAAGGTCATTTCCTCGATCGTAAGCTCCATAGTCCCGTACCGCTGTCGCGGGGTCCACCATGACGACGTAGTGCTGATTGTTGTGATGGAGAACGTCGATGACTTGCTTCAAAAGCTGTCGAGGGTACAGCGAAGGGCTGGTGGAGAAGATCGCCCTTCTGTCCATATAGTCGATGTCGGTCCATTGCGTCTGAAGGAAAACCATTAGCTCAGCCGATTTGTGTCTAGATGTACCAAAACGACGCGGAGAGCTCGCTCACCTCCAATGGAATTCCGGCCTCAGAATAATTGGCAATCGTCTGCGCGATTTCAATCCAATCGCCCGACCCGTACCTGCACTGGTGGAGGCCCAGACCCCAGTAAGGGGGCGTAACGGGCAGTCCAACGACCTCGTGAAGCTGCTCAGTGATCCTTGACGGCTTCGGTCCTGCAAAAAAGTAGAGGTCGAGGACACCTCCGAGAACATTGTAGCTCAACTTGCCGTCGTCGACGTCCACCTTCATTCCATGCGAATTAAGTAGCGCGACACCGTGAGTCAAGTAATTACCCGATGACGACGAGCGACGATGCTCTTGGTAAATGGGCTTTACTCGGGATCAGACTCTCTCCCGAGCATTCAGATGAGACAAGAGGCACCAGTACCCACATGACTACCATAGACATTCGAGCCCGGCGGGATGCCAAACGCATCTCTGTTCCAAAGAGTACGAGTATAGTTGTTCGTCGCGAGTTTGAACGCATCGTTGTGTTGACCCAACCCTTTGAAGATTCAAGAAGTGATGAGCACAGTATTTTACGCGCGCACGGGATAGGGCCAACTCACCATAGAGGTTGGCATCTTCAGGGATCTTTGTGGCAAGATGAAGATACTGGTCCTCAAAAATGAGCTTCGAGTCCTGTGTGTCGAACAAGACCTCTTCGTCCTCAACCCTCAGGACCCTGAAAGAGAACGGCTGCTCCTGGAATTCGAATCGAAGTTTTGCCTTCCCCTTTTCGACGCGCGAGTGCTTTGGTCGTTGGACAACGTCTTCAGGTACTTGGTATTGCTTGCCCTCTGTGTCGGCAATGGTGACGTGCAACCTATCCTCCGTCTCATAGCCGACCTTGAGGGTGAGCGTCTCAATGTCATTCCCGTAAGCATTGCATGGCTCGCCAATGAGTTGGAGTGTGGCTGTCAGACCGTGATCGGAAGTCGAGACATCCGACATGGAGTAGCCGTTGCATGCATCGACGTTGGCTGTATGCGAGACGGGTGAGGTGATGTGTTTGAAGACGAGCTCCTCGGTACCTTGACCGGCCTCGCGCTTGCTCACGGACACGGCGCTTGTCAGGCCAACGAGAGCTGTCAGACCAACCCCTAAGTGGAACCTCATCTTTACGTTTTGTGCCAAGTCAGGGTCAAGACGGCCTCCTTAAGTGCCCTTTATATAGCTTTGCGCAAGCCCGTTCTTACATACGACGAGCAGAACTTTTCTTTCATTCCAGAGAGCCATTGAGAAGGAAGAGAAGGACGGCGCTCCGGTGTCCGAGAAGCCGAAGATGCTCCGCACTCGTCATTGTGCTCTCGAGGAGGACCCCGCATGCGCAGTCTCCCCCGCCTTCACCCCACTTCGACACGGGTACTTTATACAAGCCAAAGAGAAGAAGAGGCGAGAAGGTTGGGGTGATGGCACGACTTCAGTACGGAACAACAGAAGCCTCGCTCTTGGCATAGCGCTAATCCCCGCCTGCAATTTTCCCGTGACCGAGCTTGGTCCGTCCGTGCATGTCGATCTAAACCTTTGAATACCGACCTCTGATCTGCCTCCCGGCCTTCGCCTAAACATTCGGTGCTCCGGCCAGTCTCTGCGCTGACTCAGATGATCTACTAAAAAGAGTACAATTTCGAGTCGCAGGTGGGTAAAGAACTACAGAGCCAGAGAAACAAAAGAGAGACAGGGAAGGAGAGAGATAGCCACATGGAAGGAACGTAAAGGGGACTTTCCTGGTCAATTGCTTGCCTCGAAGCGGGCTCGGCTGGCCGCAAAGAGCATCTCCTGTTGCCGTTGGAGCTCCTCTGCACTTAGACCAGAATCCTGCATCCGTGACGTCTTCTTTTCTCTGTCCTGCAAGGGAAGATCTTTCAGCGTACGCTTCGACAACGGCACCACGCCGGCCTATCTCACCTTCTGTTGCGTCTTGTGCTCCTTCAACACCTCCTCTACCTCCGTTGTATACTTTTCGAAGCCAAGGTCCTTTGAAAATGGAAAGGAAAGGGACACACGTCAGCACCGGCTCAAGCACAATCTGGAGATGTAAAACGCACCTTGAGTGCGGCCACGACGTGCTCCGGCGCAATTGTCTTCTTCGAACCTTTCTCGCACACGTCGTTCGCTTCCGAAGAGACGAGATGGATGAACTCTTTGGATTGGTCAAACGTCAGCGACGGAACATGGCAGGACGGAGGTCCATAGAGCCTGGCGTGCAACTGACCTACGCAACACTCGATGAGGAGATCTCGCGTGTCTCTCGCGCACGAGATGTCACTTGGTAGCATCTCTGCAAGGTGGACACGGGCGTCAGCTGGCTTCAGCGCTCGTGAGATCGTTGAGAGGAGCAGAGACCCACCTTGGATGAGCTTCTGGACAGTGGCCCTCGGCAGCGTGGCCTCCTCATCCGGTGCCCCGCTTCCCCCTCCAAGCCCTGCCCCGCCACTTCCCCCGGCAAAGCCGGTCTCTTCGTCGGACATTGTGCCTCCCTTCACGGCCTGGTCTCGGCCTCGTGTGCGAGTGTGTGTTCGTGCAGCACTCTATCGTCCAGTGCTGAGACGAGGTCTTGTTGCCTTCTGGCCCACGAAGGCTTTCGGTGGATGAGGCGCGCCAAAGCTTTAGTTTTATTTTTATAAAAAAAAGTGGTAAGACGCGACGTTCCCTTCGGCCGAGAAAGCAGGTAGTGCATATGGAGGTGAAAGTCATCATTTCCGCTCATGATCCCAGGACTGGCTCTCCCACCCACGAGCCGAACTGTGAGGTCCGCAAAAGAGTGGCGAGAGAAGCAGTAGGGGAAACAGCAATGGCGCCGATCCCGCCGATACTCGTACGCATTGCGGCGACGTTCCTGACGCAGATCCTGACGCGCAGATTGCAGCAGTCGCCCCTGTTCTTTCGGATGGTGGACCGAATGCTGCACGAGGCAGACCACTTTCAGAGCCACCGGCTGCAGGGCAAGCCCGTGCCACCATATATAAGCCGAGATCCACAGGAACCGACGGTGCGAGAGATGGCAGAGGATGCGTGGAAGCGAAGAGGTGAGAGAGCTCGAGAAGAGGGAATAGTAGCATGCGCTTGCTGATTCAATGTCGATGTGTTTGCCACAGTCGATGATCCGGGGGAGCCTCACGACGAACCGAATCCCTTTGCCACTCCGTCGTCTTCCGCTTCGAGCTCACCTGCTTCCAATATGCGGGCATCCTCATCGTCGTTGGACGAGGACGCTCAACGGCAACGAGCCCGGGACAGCTTCAGGGCCGCGCAGGCCAATGCTGAGCGAGCTCGTCAAGCCAGACGAGAAGAGGACGAGGGCTCAAAGCGGGACGGGAAGCGAGACGAGATGCGAGATCTTCTTGACAAGATCCGCCGACAGCAACAGCAGTGACAATGTCCCCATTGATGCGGGCTTATTTCGAACTTCCTTTCTTGGTTTCACCTCCCCTCAATCTGTAATTGTTGTGTAGACCAGGTTTGTATCTGTACTGTACTGTACCATCACTGCCCTTCACATTGTTTAATCTTGACATTTGCTCTTTGCTATGGGGCGTGTATTTGGAGCCGACGTCAAGATGGAAAGTCGTGCGTCGAGACCGAACATCAGGAGGCATCGTATGAGATTGAAGGAACAAGAAACAGAGCTGAGACCAAGGGAGGATAAACGGAAAGAAGCGCGCCTTGTAGGGCGTCGAGAGAGAAGATGCCCCCTGTAGAATAATACAAGTTCATGAGAAGGGGTCGATCGAACCCCGTTGCTATCGTGTGATGACATGCGACCGGACCAGCCCAAAACACTCAATGCTGGGCTTAGCAGCACCCGCCCTTCTTTTGCGCCCCTCCATCGTCCACCGAGGGTTGCACAGTGATCGTCTCACCGCCTGATGGCTTGATGACATCGTCTGATGACTGCAGCGCCTTGTTGGAGACGATGCGGTATATTTCTGCGGGAGAGGAAGCCAGTCAGCGCTTCGCAACGCTCTCGTCGACACTGCATGCTCACCTGTGAGAATGTTCTGGAAAGCCTGCTCTACGTTCGACGCATCCAATGCCGAAGTCTCGATGAATGAGAGGTTGTTTTCGGCTGGGGCAGAAGACACGCATGTGGGTGTGAGGGCTTATCTCTCTTTCTAATTTTCACGGCGCGAGCGCGCGCGCTGTCTACCAGCAAAGAAATGCAACTCACCCGCAAATGCCTTTGCCTCTTCGGTGGGCACCGCTCGCAGGTGCCGCAAATCGCTCTTGTTCCCCACGAGCATGATGACAATGTTGCTGTCTGCGTGGTCTCGCAGCTCTTTGAGCCAGCGGCTCACGTTGACGTACGTTGGGTGCTTTGCGATGTCATAAACGAGGAGCGCACCGACGGCGCCTCTGTAGTAGGCCGACGTAATGGCCCGGTAACGTTCTTGGCCGGCAGTGTCCCAGATCTGGGCCTTCACTGTCTTCTCGTCCACCGCGATGCTCCTCGTCGCAAACTCAACGCCAATGGTCGACTTGGACTCGAGCGAGAACTCATTCCTTGTGAATCGAGACAGAAGATTCGATTTTCCCGTCCCCGAGTCACCGATGAGAACTACTTTAAAAAGATAGTCGTAATTGCTGTTATCCATGGCCTCTCTCCTGGCTCTCGTTGGGGTTTGGGTGCGAGAGGGACGGCGGTGGTGGTGATAGGGAAACGCTGTGGTGAGAGGAGGGGGATGGCGTAGCGCGCGCCCCCTGCTGGCCTAATTTCGGGCGTGGTCTATTTTATCGCGTGGCCCGCACGTGACGGGCGCGAGAGTAGGTGAAGGCCCTCGAGGTGGAGCAGGCCGCCCAGGGATGATCGTCGGTGACTAGCACAGGACAGCGCCTCTGAGACCTGACAGGAGGGGAGTTTGGAGATGCGAAGGCACGGCACTCGACCCCCTGGGATCGGGTAGTCTTTCCGCTGCGCCGTCCACAGCTCTGCTGGCTTCCCCTGTCGCGACACCCTGTGACCCAGACACCCTTGCACCCTCTCTGTTTTGCTGTGCCCTCCCTGCTGCAATTGAAGCCCATACTTCCATCTTCGTCCTGCCTGCAAACCCCCCCCCCCTTTTGGCCTCTACACCGGCCCTTCCTCTCCCTATTGTGACCGCTCTTTTCTCTGCGCGTGACGACCGCTTCCTCGCTGAGGCCGCGACTCAAGGTCCGATCCTGCTGGCGGCTCCCCCCGTCACATCTCCCAACACATCGCACCCCCTCCCGCCGCGCCGCTCCTCCCTTCGCACGCGGTTTGGGTAGTAGGCTTTGTGATGTGCCGCGGAGACCCCCCTTCCAGCGCACGCCGCTCTCTCGCCGCTGCCTCTCTGGCCTTCTGCGACCTTCCACAGTGTCCCTTCTTCACCAGAACCGTGGCCCCCTTTGCCAGCGGCACCACTTTATAAAGCGCAGCTAGATTGGCACCGCTCCCTCCCTAGGCTGCCTCGCTCCCCCTGGCGCTCCAATGTCACCCACTCACCCTCCTTTGCCACGGTCGCACGCCGTGATGGAATACGAGGGCATCGCAACCGATGACGACAATCTCATGGGCGAGCAGAACCGTCGTGCCCGGGCCCTCGAGAGCCAACAGGCCGGCCCACAGCGGCACCAGTTGGAAGGCGCCCAACCTTCTCCCCTTCCTCACCAGGACAAGACAACACACACACTGGGCAAGCGCCCTCGCGAGGAGGCCGCGCACGCTGACAAAGAGAGGTCCGCCCCATGTCGCCCTGAGGGCAACACGCAGCCCAGCCGAGGCCAAGGCACTGGTGGGCAAGGCACTGGTGGGAGCCGTGGAGCGCCCAACCGCAACAACCCTAGCAGGGCTAGTGGTGCGACAAGCCTGGAAGAAGGTCGTGACAGTCAGACAGCGAGCCAGACCGTGAACACAATCGAGAAATGCGAACGCCGGCAAGACAACGTCGACAAAAAAGAGTCCTCACACTCGAGGATGGAGCGTGATTCCACCCACCTTAGTCACAAAGAGACATGGATCGGCCAGGTGATCGACGGCAAACCCAGCTCAGCGTGGAGTCCGGTCGATTTTCCGCCTCCGGGCCAGGCGCCCAGCGACCCACCAGAGGCCACGGTCCGCTACAGCATCTCACCCCGGCCCACGCCTGGCTCATGCGGGACGGCAGGAGGGTCGTGGACATCTGCTTTGCCACCAGGCTACAAGCTGCCAGCTTCGGACAGATCGACAGCTTTACGGTGGAGATGGGGGGCGGTAAGACGTCTCTTACCCTGCGCCGGTGGAAATCTGGCGTCTGCCACTCGCGCGGCCTGATCACCATGAAGGTCACGCCGGAGGTTGACCGGGGTGACAACCCCCACAGGGTCGAGAGAAAAGCATACAAGGACGCCGTCTCCGCCCTACTGAAGGCCTTCCCTGTGCTCAGCTTCGTGGGGGCATGGCGCCAGGCTGTCGAGTGGACGAATGGCACTGTTCAATACCAACCAGTGATGCTCCTGGTGGTTCGCCGGCCAGTTGGTTTTCTGCTCCACATGCTTCCCGGCTTTGTGAACACCTCTGGCGTACCTGTACGAGGCTGCGACGAGGCCCCTGCCGATGCCATCTGGTTCCACCTCCAGTTCGGGGGCCGAAAATCCTTCTGCAGGTACTGCAAGACGGCGATCCATGGGCCTGAAGAGTGTCCAAAGATCCTGTGCAACACCTGCCATGAGCGCGGGCACATCGCCGTCGCTTGCCCCAGAGGAGGACGCAAGGCGGGCCGCCGAGGCCGCAACAATGGGCGAGGCGGCAGGGCCTAGCGCTCTCTTCTCTCAAAGCCTCCCTCCTGTCCCCTCCTCCTCCCCAGCATGCACAGCGTGTCTCCTTCTTTCGACGCTCAATTCTCGAGTTCGTACTAAGCTCACGGTCTGCTGTATTGTGCAGCACATCAACAAAGCAATAGAAAAGTCTGATCGCCGTCAAGCAGAAAAAAAAAACATGCAACCGTGCAACTCCTCATTTGCATCTTATCTCAGTAGGTGAAGCATCAAACAGTGCCTGAAGACTTGATCCTCTTGTCTGTGATCTCGATCACAATCACTCACGACAAAGTGGAACAGGTCAATGAGCGAACGGACAGCTAAGGTTGTCACAAAAACCAGGTGACATTGAATGAATGACGACAGAAAAAGTTGGCAGCGACGGTTGCGAGCACAGCTTGCAAGCGGTGCCTTCCCAGAGAGGACTAGTCACCGTTATCAACGACGACCAATGAGGGGAGAAGAAGGGAGAAGAGAATAGAGAGAAGGAAAATGCTTGAGGGGAGAACTATGCCAATAGCAATGTAGTAGGCCTTGGAATTGCGTGTGATGGGAGGATCGCTGACTGACGCGCTGTGGAGAAGGGAACGATGCTGACGGTGGGGGAGAATGTGGTCTCCGCCATCTTAAGCCTTGAGCTTGATGGGGCCGAAGAGGGCCTTGTCCCAGCTCGTGGGCTTGTTGGTTCGGTACATCTTGAGGTTGTGGACCTCACCCTCATCGAGAGTACCCGTCTTGGCGAGCTTCTTGAAGGCACTCTGCGTAAGGTCGACCCAGTCCTGGCTGCAGCCAGCGCACTTGTCGACGATGCGGACGCGCACGCAGGGGTTGCCGCTCTTTTGGTCATTGCAGAGCTGCACGAACTCGCCGCACGATGGTCCACCGGCCCAGCCAGCCATGACGGCACCGATGTGAGACTGCAAGAAGATTCTGTCGGATCAATATCTGGCCATGAAGGCTGTGCTGAGTCAGACTCACGCTGCTGGTGGGGCTCCACGAGCCATCGCCGCACTGGGGGTTCTTGAGGTCCTGGCTGGCGTACCACGTCACCTTAGTCTTGGGGCAGAGGAGCTGCGATCCATTATCGGGGCCGCTGGAAGTGGGCACGCTGACCTTCTTCTTGCCGTTCCTCGACTTGTGGCTGTGCTTGTTGCGGCCGTGGTGGTGCTTGCGGCTGCGGCGGTTCACCAGCGCGCGCTTGGTCTCGTCCTTGTCGTCGTCCTCATCGTCGTCCTCGCCGTCCTCGTCGCCGCCCGTCTCGAAGAAATGGATCTTCTCGCCGGCCTCGTTGAGGAACTCCTGGAGCTCGTTCTTCTCGGGCTGCTGCTCCTCGGGGCTGGCAGCTACGGCCAAGGCAGCAATGACCACGGCCAGGATGGTAACGCGGAGGAACTTCATCGTGTCGTCGGTTACTGTTCAAAATAAACGAGAGAAAGAGCGTAGAGTGAGAGTCTTGCGGTCAAATGAATGTAGGTACGTCGTCGTCGGCGTCGCCGTTGTGATTAGAGAGAGAGGGAGGGGGAAAAGAAGGTCGAGAGGGTAAAGGAGAATCGTCGAGGGTGAGGGTGTAAGGATCGAGTGGGCAAGACAAGTCTGCCGTCCGACACTTATGAAGGAGCCGCAAAGATGTTGAGACCCGCTTACTCTACTACTCTACACTACAACAACTCATCGAAAGCTGACACCTCCTGAAAATCACTAACAGTCTAGTCCTGCGTACGAAATTTCTTTCCAATGTTATGAAGAGGGGCAGGCACCCGCAGGTAGAGGCCCCTCCGCCAGGCCTTCGGGGGATGACCACGACTGCTCTGCCACCCGCAGACCTGAGCGAGCATGCCTTTGCTGCCGTGTGCTGCCGAGGTCCTCTTTCTCGGATGCATGATATGTATGTCCTCTGTATGTTTCTGCTTGCTTGTCCCTTCAGGGAAGGTTGACCTGCTTCATCGATATCGCCGCAATGCATAGCCGACCCCGCTGTTCACTTGCCGGCGTGTCTCCTGCCTCGCTTCTCCAGCCTGGCGCAACGGTAAAAATAACGTCGGTGACCTATTTTTGTCCATGTCAACACCGCTAAAAGATCCTTAGCGACGCGCTATTGGGTCATTTGCAAGCAACACATGTCGAATTATTCCCCCTTTTTCTTTGAGACACATACGCCAGGCCATGTCAATTTCGTTCTTTCGATCCTTCTCAACCCCTTAGCCGAGGTACGGAGTCTTTCGTTTGCTCCTTGTACGCATTTGGAGGGCCAATGACACAAGGAGCAGTGAAAGCTCTCAGCAGGCCCTAGGGCTCTCGCGCATCGACGTCTACAGTACAAGCTAGAGTGTTCATCAGCCTTCTGTAGACACGAGGCTTCGGCTGATGCGGAACCGTCGATCCTATCGGGACCCTTCTCGTTTTGCCGTTCTGTTTGTTTTAGGTTGAGGCAAATGACACGGCACAGAGCAGACAGCTCGCTGCTCTGAGTAATCGACGAGCATATGCTCTTATATGACGACCTTTGCGAAGACCTTGAAGAACATCCCACTCTACTGTTGCCTCACATGAACAAAACGTGACTGCGAACTCTGATTCTGTTGCAAGATACAGCAAAAATATGGCTGAGCGCGGTAGCCGCCCGAAGCGCTCCTAGGCGCCGAGGTGCGCAGCCTCGTTCGTCGTCCAAATTTCATTCGTCGGCTTCGGTGTAGACAAACCCCTCCCTTGGCAAGCCTGACAAGTCTTGCTTCATAGGGCCAGAACCCTTTGCATTGGCCTGCGAACATCCGTACAGTGGCACTTGAGGAGAGGGAGCAAGCGCTCAGAGCAAATTCACGTGACCTCCGGAACCACTCCGATGTGGAGCTGTCCCGCGCTATCTAAGAAGATGTCGTCGGACACCTGGCGATTCGGCCAACCACTCCTAAACGTTCGCCGCTTCCTTCCTGTGGAGAATCCTTCCTTGAGACTCCTGCCTTTCTCCTCTATCTTTACCACCTTCCAAGCTTAGACTAGTAACAGACAGACGACGCTGCAAATGTCGCCCACCGCCGGAAAGCCCATCACCTGCAAGGCCGCTGTGGCCTGGGAAGCGAGCAAGCCGCTCTCGCTCGAGACGGTCGAAGTCGCCCCTCCAAAGGCTGGCGAGGTCCGCGTCAAGATCACCTGGACTGGTCTCTGCCACACGGTGGGTCTCACGAGATCCTACTTTTGTCACCTTGCACATGCTGATGCTCTCTGAAGGACTATTACACCCTGAGTGGCAATGACCCTGAAGGCGCTTTCCCAGCCATCCTTGGCCATGAGGGCGCCGGCATCGTCGAGTCGGTCGGTGAGGGCGTGACCGAGTTCAAGGAGGGCCAGAGTGTGATTCTGCTCTACACGGCCGAGTGCAAGCAGTGCAAGTTCTGCAAGTCGGGCAAGACGAATCTCTGCCAGTCCATCCGCGCCTACACGGGTCGAGGCGTGATGCCAGACGAGACGAAGCGCTTCACGTGCAAGGGCAAGGAGCTCTTCCACTTCATGGGCACCTCGACGTTCAGCCAGTACACTGTTGTGTCGCAGTACTCGCTCGTCGCCGTCGATGACCGCGCGCCCCAGGAGAAGACGTGCTTGCTCGGATGTGGCATTACCACGGGCTACGGCGCGGCGACAAAGACGGCAAAGGTCGAAGAAGGAAGCACTGTCGCCGTCTTTGGCATTGGATGTGTGGGATTGGCCGTTCTCGAGGGCGCTGTGCACTCCAAGGCATCCAGGATCATTGCCATTGACCTCAACGATGAGAAGGAAGCCTGGGCAAAGAAATTTGGCGCAACCGACTTCATCAACCCGTCGAAGCTGCCAAAGGACAAGAAGATTGTCGACCACCTCGTCGAGCTCACCGACGGCGGTCTCGACTACACTTTCGACTGCACGGGCAATGTCAAGGTGATGCGAGATGCCCTCGAGGCGTGCCACAAGGTGAGAGTCTCCCTATGCCTGATCCCTATCACTGCATGTTATGACCGGCTTTCTGACACGTCTGTTTGTCTCCTGATCGCAGGGATGGGGTGTCTCGACCATCATTGGCGTCGCTGCGGCAGGCCAGGAAATCAGCACCCGGCCATTCCAGCTCGTCACGGGCCGCAAGTGGCAGGGCTCGGCCTTTGGCGGCGTCAAGGGCAAGACGGACCTGCCGGGCATCATCGAAAAGTACATGAACAAGCAGTTCAAGATCGACGAGTACATTACCCACCACGTCAAGCTCGACGACATCAACAAGGGCTTCGACTACATGAAGTCGGGTGACTGCATCCGCTGCGTCACCGACATGTCATGAGAGGCTGCCCCCTTCGTCTTTCTGTAAGATTCGATGGGATTGAATCCAATGAATAAAGCAGGTGAAACGTTATCGGGAGGGCAGGAATCTGCAACCTCGAGACGACATCCAAAGTTCTTTCCCTTTTTGCACACTATGATGCTGATTGGTTATAAATGCAAGCAATCGGGCCACAATGAAGGGGATGGTATCTTTGTTTCAGCGGAGCGAAAATTCTTGAAGAAGATGCATTCATCTGAGAAGGGAACTGCTAAGCTCTACCTCCTCTCGCCCGTTCCAACACCTGCGCCCCCTGGTCCTCTACTGGTTCTTGCACCCGGCGTGGGGCTCGACGTGCTCTTCTCCTTGAGCAAGCTTTGGAAGAAGGAGTGGAGGACCTCGCTCTGTTTGGGCGTCTGCACGCCTCCGCCCGGCGTCGTTGCTCCCGTTGGGCTCTGTGCTCCGCCCGCCGCGGGGCTCGTCGGCCGGCTGTGTCCGCCACTGCCACTGTGCGCGCTTGCTCGATCCATCGGGTCACCGCCTGCACCCAACGAGGGCGATGTCAGGCCCAAGCCCACATTACTTTGCCTTGGCCTCGAAGCTCCCGTCGTGCCTCCCACTGTGAGCGTCGGCGTGGCTCGGCCATCGCGATCCCTCTCTCGTTCTGCGCCTGACCTCCCGCTCCGGCCCGACTTGCTCGTTCGTGCGCCTCCATCTCTCGATGAGGAGCCCAGGGTGCCGTCCTCCTGCCGCTCCTGCATTGCCCTTTCTACGCTCGGAAGGCTCAGACTGCTGCTGCCCATGGGTCCAACGACGCTCCGCTGCCCTCCCTCATTCGCCACATCGGCCTCCTCATCAGCGCCAACTGCTGCCGCGTCACGACTGGCACTGGCAGCGGAAGAGGTGTAGGGATTGTTGGCTGCTGACGTTGTGCGCGCAAACCGGCTCCTCGGGTCCGCATCCTTTTGCAGAGCATTGTAGTGCTGGAGCAGGAATGCTTGATCATCTGGCTCGGCTGTTCGCGAATTGGCCGCATTGAGGGGCTAGAGAGAGTGGAGAAAAGATGAGATGAGACAAAGAAGACCTCAGCATGAAAGGAAAAAAGTTGGAAAAGACCCACCCCCTGGTCCTCCCAGTCTTCGATAATATCTTCGTAGAGCCTGACTGCGCTCGCCACGCCCTCCTCGCCTCTGCCCCTCCGGTCGACCGTCTGCTCGGCAACCTCCTCCGCCTCGGTACTGCCGCTCGGCAGACCCTTTTCTCGCCGCACCCTCTCCACTTCCACATCCCACTCCCAGCCGCTGGCTGTCCCCGCACAATCAAAGCCTTCCCGCAGCGCTCGAATTTTGCCCCAGCTATCCCAGCCAGACGGCACCAAGAGCACGTCGCGTTCGACCGTCGAGGCACGGTGGAGGAAGGGAAAGGCTGTGGAGGAAGGAGCAGCGCCGCCTGCTGTTCCAGTGGAAAAGCCATTCGAGGTTGGTGGGTTTCCTGCGGATCCGTGACCGGCGACAGGTGTGAAGAGTCGATGAAGTAGGTAAGATCGTAGGACGTCATACGATTGCGTCTTGCCTTGTGCAGTGAAGAAGAGGGCCGCTCCGTCTAATTAGAGGAAGGCCAAGTCAGCTCCAGTAACCCTTCAAGAAGCAAGTCGAGCGAAAATGCTTACACTTCAAACACACTGTGCGGAGAACCTGTTGTATATAGTCGAACTGTTCTTCTTTGAAGTCGCGATCGCGCTCTAGTCGCGGAATCGTGTCGGCTTTTGTGCACACGACGACGAGGGGTACCCCAAAATTGTGCGTCAAGCAGCCTTCTGGCAGCGGCAGATCGTCTTCCCCATCCAAGGTAGGATTCGACACGGCAACAATTGCGCTCGTGTTGCCAACGTCCTGGTCGTTCGCTGAACCGGTCCCTGTTGTTGTGCCGACGGGAGCCGATGGCTCGGCGTAGGCTCGAATGTATGCTTGCACTGTTGGTTTGAGAAAAAACACCAGAATGAGCGCCTAGGACACAGGTGCGAAGCTAAAGATGTCACTCACGCTTCTCCTTCATCTCGTCGAGCGCAACGCCCTCTTTCGACCACACGCTGCTGCGCCCCTTTCCCTTGCCGGCAGCATCTTCGACCGTCTGCCTGACCACTTCGAGCCACTCTGCCAGCTGTCGAAGAAACGTCCAAGGAGATTCCCAATCGAGCGTGATGAGAAAGAGACTGTCGCGGAGCGCATCAATCGATGGTCGAGGCCGCAGGTCGGCGCTCACGTCCGTGCTTGGACCCTTAGAATTATGTACGCTGTTGCTGCTTCCCTCGCCCGCCGCCGCCGTTCCATTCACCTCTCCCTGGGCGTGAAGAGTATTTGAAGATTGATTGCGAGCGGCATCGGCAGGCGCTGGCACCGCAAAGGGTAGCAACGAGAGATGGGACGAGGTGAGCTGGTAGACGCCCACTCGAGCAATGACGTCTTCGCCGTCATCGTCGCCAATATCGAAATACCCATATCCCAAGCCAAGGTCGGTCGCCATCCCCACTTGCTGCTGTTGCTGCTGCTGTTGTTGTTGTTGAGCAATTGCATCTATGTTGCTCGCCTGCGGTGGCGAAGCTCCATCGTGGTCGGGGGCGATACCTGACGAGGCGCCCTCGAGCGTGTTGTGATGGTGCGAGATAAAGCCAGAGGGCGACTTGGACGATAGTTGTGTCAGCAAGGTCGATTTCCCTGTCCGTGATTCTCCTGTTGTTCGATGACAATGAATTGTAAGCCAGATCAACTCGTCCCCTCCTAAACGTCTCAGTCGACTGACGCACCTAGCATGATGACATTCTTAACCGGCACGGCCCTACTGCTCTTGACGCTGTTCAGGATGCTTCCCCACAGATCCTCCTCATGTTGCTGACCCGAGGCAGCTCCCTCCTCCCTGCTTTGTTTGGAGTGGCCGGCCCTGGACGCCACGCCATTGATCCTTGAAGTGTCTCCAACGCTCGAAGGAAGGACCATGTTGCTGCTGAAGGAGGAAAGATCGATTGATACATCGCCCTCTGCACCGCCTCCCGTCACGGAAACGACACTCTCATCGCCAACATTCTTCCCCTCGTCATACGACGACGACATGTTGCTCCTCGTCTCCCGAGTCTGGCGAGAGCAACAAACGTCGCAAAACGTTCTTGTTGAATGCGTCTAAAAATCCACGACGATGGTGCGAGCGTTCGCGTTTCAAGACCAACATGCCATGTGGTCGGTCGATCCACGAATGAGTTGCGCTTGGCTTGAGCGCGTTTTTTCGAAGACTCAATAAGAGGCCTGGGCGGTGTCCAGCTGCAACGACGACGAAAGACAAGGAGGCGTCGAGGAGAGTGAACAGCACAGGGCACCCGCTAGCTGCTGCGAAAGAGGCGAGAAGGGGCCGCAATGGACGAGAACCCGTTTGGAGCATCAACAAACGCCGTTCAATCATCGGCTGAAGCCTCATCGTCAAGCGAGAACAACGGCGTTTCTAGAGGGAGAGGTCGAGGAGCGCCGAGGGCGAGAAGAGCAGGCGGTGTGCCATCAAGAGGAGCTCCCTCTACGCGAGCAAAGCCATTTTCCAACCGGTCCACGGTCTTCAATGCGCCCGACAAGGCGGGCGCGACGCCCACCTTCACCGGCGGACCAGCGGAAGCGGCGAAGCGATCTGCAATACTGTCCAGTAGCCCCGATCAAGGGCCGCCGTCTTCAGCCACACCCTTTTCTTTCGGACCGAGCGCAAACGTCTTCCAGCAAGGCCACAGCAGCCATCAGGATGGCGGAACAGAGTCTTGGAGCGCCACAGAGGGGGCGCAAGAATCCTGGGCTGGCACCACGGCGTTTGGGTCGTCTGTTTTTGGAGGTGGAGAACGTCCAGCGACTACTATGTCTTCACCAGCGCCGCCGGAGCCGGCCGAACGTCTGACCAGTGCACCCAAAAATGCCTTAGGTGGCTCCGCCAAGGATGACGAAGAACGCAAAAAGCGGTTCGAGAACCTGCCTTCGCAGAATCGCTTCTTTGAACTCAAGAGCAGCAGAGATGCACTTCGAGCCCGTTACATCCGTGAGGGGCTTCTTCCCGACCCAGACAAGCCTCAAGACCTCTCTGCTGCTCAGAGCTTGCGGGGTACGTGTCAAGACATGTGCCCGGACTTCGAACGAGAGGAGCGCGAATTTCAAAACGAGGGTGATGCTCTCGAGATGGTGAGTTCAACTCTGCTTCTCTGTCCTGGAGGTGAGCTCATCGCCCTTCGATAGTTCCCTGGATCGTCCAGGATCGACCCAGCGCTAGCCGTCAAGATCTATCGACGACCGGCCGCCGGTCGGGAGCTTCCTCTACCTGAAGATGTCAGGCCACCAGCAGTGCTCAGAGTGAGAATCATGGTTCTGGAAGCTCGACTCTTGTGTTCGCCTGTTGAGCTCTTTGCATTTTTCAGCGCACCTTGGACTATCTGGTTCAACAACTGCTGCCCGCAGATCCATCGAGTCCGCAATTCACATCGGTGCAGCCTTTCATGTGGAACCGGACGAGAGCGATTCGACAGGATTTCATCGTCCAGAGCGAACGAGGTGCACTGACGATTGAATGCCACGAGAGGATTGCGAGGTACCACATCCTTTGCCTGCATTGGAAAGGCGGTATAGGCGCGGAAGGGTGGAGTGAGCAGCAGGAGCTCGAGCAGTTGCGCAAGACGATTCGCAGCCTGACAGAGTTCTACGAGGACCTACGTCAGTCAAGCGGTCGTCCGTCGCCGAACGAGGCCGAGTTTCGCGCATACAACCTCCTCCTGCACATGCACGACCCTGAGACGCTTCGAGAGGCCGAGATGCTGCCTGCGGAAGTGTTTGATGCGCCCAGCATTCAGGCCGCTCTCCGGCTCCGGGCGTACGCGCAACGAAGCAACAACGTCGCCCGACGAGGCAGACCATCCAATACGGAGTCGACCCTCAACCTCTGGACGCGCTTCTTCGAAGAGCTCAAGCACAGCGAAGACGTCAGCTACCTGCTTGCCTGCTTGGCGGAAAACACATTCACCATGGTGCGAGCCGGTGCCGTCAAGGCAATGGGCAAGGCATACGGGAAAATGGGCGTGGTGCCAGTGGATTATCTTAGGCGCAGTTTGGGCATGGATGATGACGAGGGAGCGAGAGCATTCTGTGTCGCTCTTCATGGCGAGGAGGTGCTCGGAGAGGGTGATAGGTTGCAGGGCCTGAAGCTATACCAAGCAAGCGGTGAGCGGGCAGGACCTGTACGCCTCTGTTCAGATCAATGGGCTAACAAAGTATCTTCCCACTTTGAACAGACGATGGGAGCACATTGCCGAAGGCCCCGTTCAGCGAGACGATCGTCGAGGCTAAACGCCGCCACTGGTCGTGCCAAGATATCATCGACGGCAAGGCATCCTATGCAGTGCCCTTGTTGACCCAGATCGACGGAACGGACCTGACTCGGCCCGCCGGCCCTGCAGGTCGTCGAGCGATACCCGTGGCTGCTCCAAGAACAGACCTTCCAGTTTCGACCTTGGTTCCGAAGCACCCTGCTCCGCTGGCGCTCGCTTCAGCTCCTATCGCCGCGCAGAAGAAGCCCGACCATCTCAACACCTCAAAGACAGTCAAGGCCGAGTCACTTATACCCCCTCAGGCTTCGTCTTCGGTCTCTTTCTCATCGCTCTCGGCCAAAGCTCCGTCCTTCACCCCGTCCATCCCGTCCATCAAGCCTTCTGCTGCTACTCCTGCATTTGGAGGCACGTTCGGCGGTGCCTCACAATCGACCACATCCTCTTTTTCGGCATTTTCTTCGACGCCTGTGCCCGTGGCGACCTCAGTGACAGAGACAAGCAAGCCTAAGGAAGAAGCACCAACAAAGACCCATGATGTCTTCTCGTTTGGCGGCAAGCAAACGACGATCCCATCTATCTCTTTCTCGAGCCAGCAAAAAGGAGCGTCAGCATCGCAGCCCACCTTTGCTAGCCTCGGAAACAGATTGAAAAGCGAAGAGGAGGTGGCGATCAAGAAGGAAGATAGGCCGATAGACGAAAGTGCGATTGCAAATGGGCCAAAATCGGCAACGTTCGCGACCGTTTCTCCCTCGGCGGCCCAGTCTCTCCTGCCCAGAACTTCCTCTTCCGATGCCAAAGGGACATCCTTGCCGAGTAAAGCAACGCCGCCGAAGATCGAAGAGCGTCCAAGGACGCCTCCTAAGATCACTGCGGTTCTCGAGCCCAAACCTGACCTCCCTAAGAGGACGGTGGAGTCGGTCGTCGCGGCCCTTTCAAAGATGGTCATGGACGACTTCCTCCACCACAAGGTTCTTGTCCTGTCCGAACAAGCCTGTCGGCGGGAAGAGCGAAAGCGTCGTCAAGAGGAGCGAGATAAATTCGTGAAATATGAGGTCGAGACTTTGACGGGCGACCTCGAAGCGGAATGCGTCGAGGATGTCTTGTGGCAGGTGACGAGCGAGTCCTTGGCAGAAGAGATGAGACGGCGACGGACCCAGCAGACCACTGTGGAGAAGTGGCTTGCTGCCCTGGATGCGGCTCGACTTCGAAAAGCGCAGGAGCGTAGGCTCCTGGAGGTGCGCGCCGAGCTCAAGAGGAGGCGAATCGATTCCTCTCCCAGGAGTGGTCCAGCGTCGGTGAACGGCAACAAGACAGCATCGCTACGCAGATCTTTGGCGGATTCGCGCGCTGGCCTTTCGCTCAAGCTCAATGTCCCAACTCTCGCGGATACGGAGGATAGAGATGTCGATGAAGAGCTGAAGATCGCGCTTCTCTCTGCGGAGAAGGCGCGACAAGAACTATGGAAGCCCAACACCTTTCGAGATTCTATTATCGGCCGGCTAATAAAGGTGGCTCGGGCCAACAGATGGGGAGCCGGACCGATGTACTGGACGGTGGCGCTTGCGACGGCCAGCGACAAAAAGACGTTGGACTGGTTGCGGGGCAAGCTCGGCCTGCATGATGGTGCCTCTACAGGGGAAACGACGATACCTCTGGCGGATCGAACTCTATCTTTGGCCATTGTGGATACGCAAAAGCTCGGACCGCAAGCGTGGAATGCTCAAAGAAGCCTGGGGTTGGTCATTTTCGAGATCGATCCCAAGCTCGCTCGTGCTCCTTCCTCTCCCACTAAAGAAGTGGAAGAGTGCTGGAATATACAACGACATCGCCTATCCGAGCTCAGCTCGTCAGATTATGTCCGAAAGAGCATCTTTTCACCTCGCCTCCTCGTACTTTCGTGGTCTTACACGTCATCCAAGGAAAAAGAACGCACTCGGAAGGCGATCTTCGCGCGGCTAGGACTTTCTGCAACGGAACAAGAGAGGGCAGCATGGTCTGGAGGCGTCGCGTTTGCGGAGCTTGGCAATGCTGACAACTCGCCGCCAGACTTGTGCTTCGATGCCTCGATGGGAGAGCTCTTCGCGTTCGGTTCAGGCGTACCGACACTGCTCCGAACGGGCGGAAGGAAGAAAGTCGAGCTGCAAGAGCTTGTTGTGAAGGTCCGCACACCCTGGAGCACTTTTGTCAAGATCCTGCAAGATGTCATCCTTGAGCGCCTTAGAACAGGTGAAAGCAAGGTAGCTGAAGCGTGCGAAATCGCTAGCAAAGCCCTTACTATGGCAGTAAACCTCGGCAACATTGCATTGCAAGGCCTCATCAACGTTTCGGACTTTGCCGTCGACAAGAGAGTGGTCGCTCTCTCGACCATCGCCTTGCCGCCCTTGTCACGAGACCAGACAACCGGCAGCGTGGACGAGCATCTTCGTGCGGAAGCCGTAGCACAGGTCGACGAAATGATCCGTGCGCAAGTGCAAGACGAAGAAGAAGATGAGGACGAAGACCTGTCCAGCCTGCAACATGATCTCTCGAGTCTGGAGCTCATCCGCAGCCTCGCTTGGTCTCAGAATGAAGGGTCTGACCACAGCGGTGGTAATGCTGGCGGAAATTTCGCCTTTGAGAAACACCTCGAACGCCTCTTTTCCTACGTCGTTGCTCGACTCGAAGAGGCATGGATTGGCATTGACGAAAGCAAACTTGTCGGCCGAGGAGAAGCGGAGGAGGGGAAAACGGGGCTGGAGCTGGTGATTAATACGGCACAAGAAGTGGAGAGGCTGGGCCAACGGGCGCTCCTTGATTTAGATCATGAAGTCAGCCGATGGGTCCAAGAAGGTGCGGCCGAGCTGCGGAGCAGAGCGAACAGCAAGAAGAGGGCAGGAGAGTCGATTCTGCCTCCTTCACCACCCGTCCAACAGGAGAGCGAGGTAGCTACCTCTTTCTCTTCACCTTCTAAGCGCAAGAAAGTTGGCGATGCGACCTCTACTTTGCAATCTCCCCCGGCACCTCTTTCGAGGACCACGTCGACATCCACTCCTAGAGGCGTCAAGAGCTTACTCGCACTCATTGATGACGCGAAGAAGCTCCTCTCATCATCATCGCCTTAATACAATGAACGACCATCGTGTAATAGTAGTATGTCAGTTCCACAAGCAGGCTAGTGCCTCCGTTGCAATTGACGAGCCAGCCCATGTTGTTGTACAGTACAAATGTCTATCACAGAATTGTGTGAGGGCCTCAGAGTGATGTAAATTGTTGAGCAGTGATACTTGGTGAGAAGCGCGAGGACTACGCTGACCTCAGGGTTCAAGAGTAGTTCTGAGATTCGAGTCGTTCCTTTTCGCGGATAGCCTCGAGCCGCTTCGAGAAATCTGCCAGAAGGGACCTGGCCTTTGGATGTCTGCGCAGTTGCTCCACCATCGCGGCGCCTATGGACTCCTCATGCGATTGTCCGCCGATGTCCGAGGCTAGATCCAGGTTGGGCGGGTAGAGAGCAGCATTCTGCCGGCGTGAGGCAGCAAGACGCTGGTTGACAGAGTCATAGAGCGTCAAGAGTGTGTTGTAATGAGCGAACCAGGGCGAGGATGGCGTGATAGAAGATGAGAGGTCATAGGCGAAGCGATTCAGCGCGCTGCCACTACGGCGAGAAGAGCTTGACTCTCCTTCTTCCCAGGGATCGGACTTTATACGGGCAGAGTCCTCCACAATGGACGGGTCGATGGAGAACGAAAAATCATGTCGGATCCGTGTTTGGCGTTGACGTCTGATCCGCCGTGCGTCCCACCCTCTTGGATCTTCCCGGTCAATCTCCCACTCTGTCATTCCTCTGTCAGAAGCTGATCCGCTCTCTTCGTCACTCTGTGCTGGCCTCTCTCCTTCGTTTTCCTGACGCCCCAATTCGTCCTCAGAGTCATTTAGATGCTCGAATTCGCGGTCTATTCCCTCCCTTTCCTCTTCCTCGTCCTCCTTCTCGGAGCTGTCGTCCTGCAGGACCCCTTGCGTCCCTTGTCCGTCACCATAGACGAGCTTCTGGACCCAGTCGGTCGACCGAGCCGCCACTGGCTTTTCCTCTTTCTCCTCTTCCTCAAGACTCAACGTCGATGAAGAGGTGACGTTGTTGGAAGATATTGGTGGTGGGTCGTAAAGGACCTCCTCAACGATGTCGAGTGCTTGACCAATCCAACCTCCGCGGACAAGCGCAACGCAGAGATGGTTCCAATTGTGAGCGTCAAAGGTGAATCCGGCCGCCTTGACATCTGTCCAAGCCTCCACCACAGCTTCGTACTTGCCCGCAGTTGTCAAGGCATCGATTAGGATGGAAAGAGGAACGCAAACGAGATTTTGTGCGCGCCAGGATCCTCGTCCTCGCCCTCTCTTGAGCATCGAGGCGGCGGCATCATTCTCTTCTCTGGCTTGCTCGAGCAGAGTCGACCAAACTTGAAGGCAGCCAGTTGTGTCTGACCTGCGTCGGAAGGCATCGAGAAGCGACGTCCAAACTCGAAGCGGAATACTTGTGCCTTGATCCACTAATTCTCGAATGAGTGTCTCTACTTTGCGAGGTTCTCCCTGCTTCGCGGCTGAGTGGATGAGGGGATCGTAAAGATCGAGGAGCTGATCACCTTGCTTCGGCGCAAATCGACGAGCAATAGGCGTTCCGCCTTCCGTTGCAGCATCACCTCCCACGTCTGATGATGGGGACAGTGGTTGGAAATTGCTGGCAAGCTGACGGACGAAATCGAGGGCCGACTGCCACGACGAAGGATCGTCACTTGCTCGCTCGGCGTACATCTTGACGAAGCTTGACCATGTAATCGCGGTAGGTTCGACACCACGCCTCTGCATCTCGTCCAGATACTCCTTTGCCTCCTGAGGCAAACCAAGCCGATGGTAGGCATGGATGATGATGGTGAAATGATATGCGTTGCAGCCTTCGCCGAAGACGCCGGTCTGCGACAGCAGAGAGCGATCAGCCATTTCAAAGATGTCCTCTGCTTGATCCATGAGACCAGAGTCGCAGGCCGCTTGCATCACCAGTGCATAAGTCCTCTCATCCGGCACGATGCCAGCGGACAACATATGGGAGAGGACAGCCATGACGGAGCGTGCTGGTGCTCCGCGTAGGACGTCAATCTTGATGAGTGTATTGTATGCCCCGGTCGAAGGGCGCAGGCCGAGCGACGACTGCGTCTGCATCCACTCGAAAACGTCCAAAGCACCTTGCCAGGAGCCCGCTTCGACGTGTGCATCCATCAAGGCCGTGAGAGCCTCTCGGTCTGGCTCGTGGCCATACTCGTGGATCATAGTTTCCAGCATCTTCTTTGCTCCCTCAACGTCCTGCCGCTCGGCGCAGAGGTTCATCATTGTTGTGAAGGAGGCCCGAGTAGGTCGGAAATTGGGCCTTTCTCGCATCTGTTCCCAAAGCGAGGCGGCAGCACCCAAGTCGTTGCGAAGCACGTATGCGGCCAAGAGGCTGTTGAACATGTTTGAGTCTGGCCGAAGATGGCGGAGATGAGGAGGACAGCTCGACATGCGATCCCAGAGCTCCTCTGCATCAGCGAGAAGGCCTCGGTTGATGTAAGCTTGCAACAGTCGACGCAAGATGGAGGAATCGACTTCCTGCAGCCCGACTCGTTTCACGCGATGATACTGGCTGGCGCTGACCTTGAGGAATCTCCTTACATCGTAATGCCTCAGAAGCATGTCCTTGCACTTCTCCACGTCGCCTCGTATGGCCCAGCACATCAGTCGATTCTTACGAAAGAACTGATCATGGCTGCCCCGCGGCATTGCGTCTTTGCCCATGAAGTATTCCTGCGCAGGGGCGTAGAGATTGTCCACGAATCGCCTGATTTCTTCTTCCATCTTACTTTCATGGCCCTGCTGTGCGTAAAGCTTGATGAGCACCTTGAGAGTGCTCCTCTCGAGGACCCTGCCCTGCGGCGACGTGGGTGCCTGCTTGTGGAGTTCGCTGGCAATGCGTTCGGCGAGCACGTATTCCTTCTTGAGCGACAGGACACGAACGATGCGCCTGCCTACTGTCTCAGGAAGCCTGATACCCTGTGAAGTGCACCAGCGGTAGACGTCGCAAGCGTCCATATGCGCATTCATGGTGACAAGGGTTCGGGCTATGGCGGAAAAGGCTGGAGCGGCCTTTGTTGCTTTCCACTCTGGACCCTCTGTGCTTCGCGCCGACAGAATCGATTTGCACATGTCCAGTGGCTCATGAATGAGCGAGACGAGGTGCTTGAAGGAGACAGAGGCCTTGTCGAAGCCGTAACGAATAAGGCCGAGCGTCTCTACGTGGTCGAAAAGCCACTCGAGGCTCTGGCGAATTCTCTGCTCGACTTCTTGAGGGTCTTTGGCACCTTGCCTGGCATGCACATGCATACCTTGCAAGATAGAAGCGAGAGTGACACTCAAAGGCTCGAGTCCTGCCCTTCTTTCGTCTGCGTAGGCACGAGCCCTGACAGATACTTGGCGCGGTCTATGCTCGTTGCTACTCATGGCGCTGGCGAGAAGCGGCAATCGCCGCTCAGGCTGTTCGAGTATCGAAATGAGCCGGCTTCTAGCCAGTTCAGCATCTCCCGTCGATTCGAGTGCTTGTATCTCGAGGTTTTGCCACCTGAAGAGCAAGTCTTTGCCCTCCAATCCCGACTCTTTGGCCACGTTGAGAATCTCAAAGATGTGCGCCCCGGCCTCCTTCCTCAGGAGGTCTGCGTCGTCCGTCTCCACCGGCAGCTTGGAGCCTCGAAAGCAAAGGAGACTGAGACAAGTGGCCACCTTAAGGTGCAGGTTGGTATCGAAAACGTCGTCGGCACTCTTGAGTTTCCAGTAACGATAGACGTCCGAAACCGATTCGCGGGCTGCCGTCGCACGAAACTTCGCCCTTTTCTGTACATCGCTACCTGCGCCGGTGCTCCTCATTTGCCACCGAAGTGCATCGCGGAGCTTCCCGAGCAGCTCAGCCCCAGGACTTTCTGGCTCTTGTTGCACACCTGCGTCTTTCGTCTCGATCGATGCTTCTTCGTCCAGAGCCCTTGTCGAGGAAGGAGACTCCTCTCGGTCTAAGGTCTGCTCTTCTACTATCGCTGCTGTTGGGGCCTGATCTTGCCCTTCCGTTTGCGGAGCTGGAGATGGTTCTTTGCTGCTATTCAGTGTCAACTTCCGGCGATCTAGTGGGGCCGTTCTCCCTCTTGGGCCATTTGCCCTCGTCTTGCCCTTGCCCTGCCCATTTGCCGCAGGTCTTTGCTCCAGTGAAAGCGATCGAGACGAGCCTTCAGCCTCCGTGGACGCTACAGCAGCCGAAGTCGCACCAGCACCAGCAACAGCACCTAATGGTTCCGCCTCTGAGCTCGTCGATGCCCGCGCTATTTGTCCTCCGTGTCCTGAAAGCTGGGCAGCTTCGATCATTCGCCGTCTGGTCCTCTCGCGCTGCTGCAAGCCCGCCCCTGCGGACGACCCGAGAGCTCGTCTCGCCGTCGAGCTCGGCGCTGACAGGAGAAAGGTCGAGTAGAGAACGCTTCGCTGCATCGTCGTCAGCGGACTCGCTCGGAATCGGTGCATGGCAGCGGGCCAGAAGTCGTCACTCCACTACTTCGTGCCCGGAGCACGTTGGCCACACGGACCGTGGCCCTGCCCCGCAACCAGGCGCCTCTCTCTTCTCCACTCTAACACTCTTTCTGCGAATAGAAGGATTCCACAAGGTGGGGTAGGCAGGCCGCTGGGAAGCCGAAGAAGTCGCTGGTCGTAATGAAAGGAATAAGAAGACGATCCCATTCGACTGCTTTGCTCGGAAGCCCCTTTTCCCTCTGTATGTCTCTTTCTCTTCTCCTCTTCGGATCTCGCCCCCTCTCCCCAGGTTTTGTGTCGCACCTCAGATCGTCGGGGACCGATGACGGCGACAAAGGCTGCAAGGCTTGTCGCTCTTCGTCTTGTAGATGGCCCAGGTCGCACCAATTTGGAAGATCATCACCCTTTTGCACTCCCATTTTTTTACCTCAGCCTCAAGCGCAAAGTAAGCACGTGACCCGACAAGAAAGTGGAGCGGGCCTCTATGAGCGCGAAACGATGAGATCCGCCATCTTGCAACATGATTGAGCAATGGGTGAGAGAAGGTATGATTGGATGAATAACAACTCGGATGGTATATGGTGACCGAACGCGGCATATGAGCAAGCATTCACACACCAATGCTTGCGACGAAGATGACCGGTCGATGATCGCTTCTGCCTTCCAGCAGCCGCATCTCGCGATCATCGAGGCTCTTGTACATGAGGCACTGGACCTCTCCTCTCTTTGGCCCAATGAGCTCCTCGTCTCCCTTGTGCTCGGAAGTAGAGAGAAGGAGGCTGTCCTGCTTTCGAGACCGGAATGTGAAGTTTGCCAAGCTTGCCGCTGGATTCGTGAGGAAGTTGGGCAGGTGGTCGGCCCACCATGAGTTGCGTGGACCTGGGCTCGAGTGGGGAGCCGCCTGATTGGTGGTGCTGCCCTGGCTCGCATGTCTGCGGCTCTCATCTTTCTTGTAGCTGGCACTTCTTGCCATTCCTGGCGGCGATTGAGCACTTGCTTCAGCAGCAGGAGAGGCTGTGCTGGCCGGAGAAGAGGTCGCCGTCAGGGCCGAGAATACCGGCAGGCTGGGCAAGCGTAAATGCGGGGCCGCTCTCATCTGCTTATCACCGTCTCCCTGCAAGGGCACGGCCGGAGCCGAAGCAGCCGACTCCGTGCTGGTGGTACGGTAGGTGACGGCATTCTTTCTCTGATTCTGTAAAGACGTCCTCCGAGGCCGGATAGTCGGCCGTCCCTTTGGCCGCTCCGGTAGAGGCGCGTCTGGCTCGGCTGCCAACATTGACCGCCTTCGCTCGTTGATCTGACTGGGCAAGTCTACAGCGCTCACGGCCTTTTGCATAGCGCCGGCTCGAGACCCGAACTTCGCTGGATCCTCGATGGTCGAGGACAGTCCACCCGGCCCTCCTAGGCTGTCCAGCGTGGTGTTGGATCGCTTGAACTTATCCTCTCTTCTCTTCGAGAAGCGCCAGCGTTTGGCAGGGGAGGAGGCTGATACGGGCGTCTGCGCTGTCGGCGATTCGTTCTTCGGGGAGCTTGTCTGAGTCATGGAGATCTTGTTCGATCGCAGCCGGCCGTCCAACCCCTCAGCAAATGTCACGCTGGGGCCTACCGCTGCACCCGGGCTTGAGCCTGAAGCGCCTCCTGCTGTCGTGCCGGCAGCGGCACTCTTGGGAGCCACGAGAGAGCGATGCCGATTGTTGACAAAGTTGTCAGAACCGGTCCCGACACTATTTCCGCTAGCGCGAGAGAAGGCATCCCTCAGCACTGTGCCGACCTTGGTCGACATGCCCTCGACGATGCGCTCCACCTTCGGCTCCTCGCTTTCGGCTGCAGCGACGTTGGATCGCCACAAGACGCGGTCACACCAACTCGGGACTCTCTGCTTTGAGCTTGTATCGTAAGGCTGCTTTTCGAATTCGATAATCATGTCCGAGAGGCTGGTTCCGCCGCCGTTCTTGGACTTGATAGACGAGGACGAAGCGCCACCCGAACCTGTTGCAGAGGCGATGGCTGCAGCTACGATGTTCGTTGCACTCTCAGACTGTACAGGCGAGGAGGCTCCCGCACTCGAGCTTCTTCGATGACGCGAGTCTCTAGGCGGAGAAAGCTGGGAGTTCTGGCTTTCGTCAGTGGGGAGCACGCTGCGTCCCAGCTGAGAGGTGGACGCGGATGCTGGAACATTGTCGTAGGAAGACGCCGAGACTGACTGACCACCAACTTCTCGATCGCCGTTCACCGAGACACCCCTCGAAGCACCAGGGATTGCAATCGGCTCGCTTCGCTGCCGCTGATGGCCGCTGCCTTGCTCCTGCTGTGACGAGAATGAGAGAGCCGAGGCGTCCCTGCCCAACGCGCTTGCGACTGCCTGGTGAAGTCGATGATTGTGGCTTGCGCCCCTCTCTTCTCTCTCCCTTGCGGCCCCTGAGACGGCCTGAACAATACCGAAGAGCTTCCGCTTGGCCTTGATCATCTTCCCTTGCATCCGATGCCCTTCGGCAGCCGCAGTGTTGCTCGACACGACAGCATCCATCGACGAGCTCGCGCCAAGACCACCAGGAGAGCATCCGTCGTACGAAGAGCCCGAAGCTCCACCGTTGACCGACGATGCAGTCAGGTTCTCAACTTCGGTATCGGTGAGGCCTCCTGTTGAAGAGTTTGCCCAATTAGAGGAGGAGATTGAGCTGGCGTCGTCGTCCTTTTCCAGCGTCGTCGCCCTCTTACTGCCCCTTTTGCTCGGTGATCCGTTGTTACTTGTGGCTTTCTTTGCATGTCTTTTGTTCTGTCCTGGGCTGTGAACAAGTTCACCGCTCGGGCTTCCCAACACGAAAGCCTCCGACGAGGGTGTCTTGCGCTGCTCCGACGACCCTTCGCGTATTTGTATTTGCCGAGAGTCCTTTCCGTTGGACGACGTGGTTGAAGCCAAAGTAGGCGCGCGAAGCCGTTTCTGCATCAGCTTCTCCTCTTTCTTGATCTTGATCGTCTTGAGCACGTCGTACTTGAACGTAGGAGGAAAGTGAATGGGAGCCTCTTGGAAGCCGCGAAAGACGTCTGGCTCCTCGGCCATGATCCTCTTGAGCTGGTCGAATTTGAGGGCCTTGTCGTACTCTTTGTTCATCAAGAGCCAATCTGCGTGCCGGCGGTCAATGTCGACGCGAAAGTTGAGATCGCCGAACCAGAATGCGTGGTCAAAGCACGCCGTCAAGTCATCGTCCTTGTTTCTCTCATCTTCTGGCGGCAGAAAAGTATCGACCTTGAGCTCCTTCTTGATCTTGTGCACATTTGCGATGCGCTCGGCCACTCTGAAATCGTGCGCGGCCAGGTGAGCATTGACAAAGAGAAGCCGCGTGTGGCCCAGCTTCATCGAGATGCCCACTGCTCCCTTGTTGCCCACACGTCCGGCGAGCAGTCCGGACTTGACGGTGCCGTGGCTTGTGCCCTTGACTCGGTCGAGGCAGCCTCGCCATACATAGATGGCAAGGTACATCATGTAGCATCGCTCCTTGGCCACAAGCTCATAGGCGCCGAGCGACAGGGGGGTGCCGTCGGCCTGCACAGATACGTGATGGGCACCCGAAAGGCCAGGAATATGGAGCGCAAGCTTGTGTACTGGTCGAGGTCGGTGCTGTCCCGGTGGATGGGGTTGATTCGTAGGCCTCTGGTGAAAGTAAGAGTCGGGCACCGAGCCTGGCGGCATGCCCTCTTGGTCTGATGGCAGAGGGCTTCCTCCGTTGACGTGCCTTGCCACCGGGCCCGGCATGGGCGACTCTGGCCTCGAGACATCGGTGAGTGCGGCGTCTTCGGCATCGGATACACCTTCGATCGGCGACGAGGGTATTTGCCTGTCGCCCTTTGACTTGTTCACGACCGAGACAAACGAAGCTGATCTCGGCAGCCTCAACGCCGGTACCGAGAGAGTGTGTCTCTTGCTTCGCATCGCTTCGGCCTTTTCCGCCGGCCCGCTTCCCACCGGGCTCGAAAGCGCTGGTCCAGCGTCCTTGGCGACAGAGGCAGAGAGGGGCGAAAGCGCCAGTTGAGGCGTAGCAGAGCCATCTTGCTCAATGGACAGATGGAGAAGAGGCAAACCGTTGGCCTTTTTCTTACCATCGAAGCCGCTTGGGGACGTTGCGCGCGAGATCATGGGAGAGGAATCATCCTCGGGCGTGGCTGCATGCGAGGCACCTCGGCTCGACGTGATGAAACTGGCCGATGCCATGCCCTTGGTTGCAGTCGCTTGAGCGATCGGGCCTCGACAGAGCCAGTCCTCGCTGTGGCGCAGAGGTCAGCGCCGAACAACTTACAGGAGTTCAAATCGCGAAGAGCCAACTCACCACATGTCGCTCCATCCTCTTCCACCGAGAGCACGCCCACCGGCAGATGGGAGCGCGACGCCGAGACCGGGAGTGCCAGGGACACTGTGGCCGCCATCGACTAGGGCTGGTGCATGGAAGGGGTATTCTGTACTGTCGTCTCCCTTGCTGCCATTTGCCTTTTTGTCCTTATCCTTGTCTGCCTCCTTGCCCTTCTCCTTCTCCTTTTCCTTCTCCCTTTCCTTCTCCCTTTCCTTCTCCCTTTCCTTCTCCCTTTCCTTCTCCCTTTCCTTCTCCTCAATCTTGTCTCTGGCGTCCTTCTTCTCCTTGGCAAGCTGGGCCGCCCTACTCTTTGAGCGGCCCAAGTCGCCCAGCTCACCTGCGAGGCCGACACCGGTTGCGATGCGCTTGCCGTCGCCCCAGGGGCATTCCTGCCCAGCTACGACGACAATGTGGTAAGGGTGGGCATCGTCAAAGGGAAGCGGCGGGATGCGGTCCTGCCTCGGCACCTCCTCCTGGCCCGCCACGCCCTTGCCTCGATGCTTCCTGTCTCCCGCAACGCCCTCTTTGTCCTCCTCTTCGTCGTCGTCGTCGTCGTCGCTGATGTCCCAGCCCTCGTCGGGGGCAATGTACTCGCCCACCTTGCCAAGCAAAACCTCGAGATCTCCCTTTGGCACGCTGCTCCCGTGGTTCCAGGTGATGACTCGCACCTTGATGTTCGGCCTCTGCGGCTTGACTTTGCTCCGCGTCTCGGCACCCGTGGGCATACTCTCGCCTGCTGCTGCTGCTGCTGCTGCGCTCGACGGTCCAGACTCGGACGTTGGAGAAGTGGTGCCAACGGGAGCCGACGCCGGCAAGGGAGGCAGCGTGCTCTTTGGCGACAATCGATCGCCAGACTCGGTGGCCGCTTCGTTGTGAGCAGCAGAGAGGGAGAGAAAGGGAAGCAGGACGGCGTCCTTGGGCGATTCGACTCGCAGCTCGTCGGGTGCGTGCGGGTGCCACGACGGCGCGACGGGAAGGCTGCCCCTGGGTCTCTCCAAGGGCACCGATGTGCGCCTCGACGAGGGAGAGTTTGTCCGCCGACCGAAAGGATTGTGTTGGTGGTGATGAGATCGCAGATTGAGCGGGCTTCGATGATGGCCGGACCGGTCTGCCTCTCTGGATGCAGACGGCGACGCACCAAGCACATCGGCCGTGTGATGCCTCCTGGGTCGACGCGGGCGAGGCGTGGGTGCGCCGTGGTCAGTCGTACCTGCTCCAGATCTCTCGTCTCTGTTCCCAGCTACAGACTCTGGGCCCAATGAAGACGATGCAGCAGTGGAAGTGGAGCCCGAGGGCGCATGCAGGTTCTCGGTGTCGATCTGCAGTCCATTTGATAAGGTTCGATGCGAGCGCCGTCGTGGTCGCTCGCCTCCTGCCTTGGTCGACAGGCGAGGATCTTCTGTAGCTAGGCCGCGAGAGCGCGAGGATTGGGAAGGAGAACGTGCGGGGGAAGGATGCGACGACGACGACAAGGGCGATGGCGAGTGCGACGAGGAGGGCGAAGGGGGACGAGGCCCTGTCTCGACGAGCGATTGCAGCCTGGCCTGGATGGAGGAGGTGTCCTTGGGCGCTGGTGAGCTTGCTTCGTCCGGCTTGGTTCCCAGGGCGCCCCGGATGCGCTCCCGCAAAGGCACAATGGCCCTCTTGGGTGAAGCGGCCGTAGCCGAGGTGGTCGCAGCCGCACGAGCAGACGAAGACGAGGATGACGACGACGATCGAGGAGGGAGGGTAGGCGACGACGTCATCGTCGTGTGCTGGTCCATTGTCGGCGTTCTGTCCTCGTCAACGAGGATCGGCGACTCCTTGGAGCTCGTTGCTGTTGCTGAGTGACTAGGTTCCATATCGCCTGGAAGGAGGTCGGCGTCACCTTTCCATTCCCCAAGGGATGATCGATGATCAAGATCCCGGGGGACGTCGAAGAAGAGAACGCTGCTGAAATAATAATAGAACAGAAGGTTGTTGAAAGGGGTGCTCCACTAACTTTCGGCGCCCGCCATCTGCAGGCGCGTCGAGGCTAGGGGCGTCGACTCCGTCACGCATCATGATCCTCAATCTCACTATAGAGAGCAAATCGGGTTACTCATTTCACAAGAAGGTGTGATGGTGTCAGTTCAAGAGAAAAGTTATAGAACAGACAGTCTCGTCTTTGACGGGAAGGCTTGTTTCGTGGACGGAACATAAAAGAAACAGAGGAGTGAACGGCCGGGATGGGAGGGGGATATTGCGTCTGATCTTGTGCGATGGACGACGATCTGAAGTGATAAGGGAGACGCTGCTTCGTCACCTGGTTAGGAGCGACATGAGACCTGGGATGGGTCTACATGTACCACTGGGATTCACAGAACTCTGTCGTGTCGAGGCAAAGGTCAGTATGTTGACGAAACGAAGAGACAGGTGATACTCACGCTTTCCAAGCAGGGCGTTACGACTGAGCTGCGTCATGAGCTTCTTGGTGTCAATCGTCGAGATCGCAGTCCTTGTCGGCGCCGAATCGCTGACGCTGCTGGCGACGTCGGATTCATCGTCGCTTTTGAGCAGAATCCGGGCCTTTTCGCAGAGGAAGTGGGCATACATGGCAGGAGGGGCGAGCGAGACCGACCTCGTCGCACGAGAGTAGCTGTACGACAGCGAATTGAGGACTCGTTGGAGCTCGTCGGACTTGAAGGCATTGTCATCGTGAAGAACGACATAATGAGCTGGACGAGCAGTACCGACGAGGCCCGAGTGTGCTTGAAGGTACAGATCGAATCCGAAGGGATGAACGACATTTGTATCGACGACTGTGCCGGCGGGCAGGTTACCGCTCCGGTCATTGGCAATGTCGTTGGGGTTGGCAGCTTGAAAGCGAATGTGGTGGCGCTTGCCACATACGATGTAGGTGAGCTTGGGAACGTAAGCAGGCTTGCCGAGGGCTCGAGAGGTCTTGTCTGCGGCGGCTTTGAAGCTTGCAATTTCTGCGTCGACGGCATGCGAGTACTGGCCTTCACTGATTCCGTCGCGGAACACGATGACATTGGCTGGTAGACTCTTGTTGTTGGCCTCAGCCCACGACTGGAGATGGCCTTCGAACATGCCGGCGGCGTCGACGAGGATCTCCTGGGCAGAACCGCGCTCGTTGACCTGGCAGCGGACCTGGCTCGAGTAACGGGTGCGATTGCCATCCATCGTCGCGACTGAGCCAGCCACGCTCGGCATGGTCGTGCCGGGAGCGCCGTGCGTAACGTCAGCACCAATGAGCATCGTGTTCTTGCCAATCTTGGGCAGGTCCCTTTCGCCCTCGATGATCTGATTGGTGCCGCCAAGCTTGATGTTGATCTTCATAGAGACGTTGGCGCAGTACTGAGCCTGTCCGCGCTCGTTGAGCGCCTTCTTTGTGTTGACCACTTGCGACGGAACCGGCGACGCGAGATGAAGGGCAGCGACGCGCTTGATCTCTTCGTAGAATTCCTGGTCTTGCATATCCATGATGCAGAGGAAGAGCTGGGGCGGCTTTGGCTGGCCGCCCTTGGCCTTGGCTTGATTGTAAGCTGCTCGTCCAGCCTCGTTCATCGTCGACTGAATACGTCCCAGGTCACGCACGCCGGTGCGGATAACCGGCCGGTCGTTGACGACCCTGACTCCCAGTTGACGGAGGGCCATTACCTGCTGAGAGACAAACGCCTGGATGACTTGCTCCGGAACGTTGGAGAAGTTCACCACAGCCCACGTTGACAGCTCGCGTCCCGACTGGCAGAACTTCTGCCCAGCAAGGTTCCAGGAGCCGTTCCTTGCTTGCACGGGTCTTCCGCCGCCACCGTACTTGATCTCGGGCGGCTGGAGCACTCGGCCCTGGACTGCCACGGGTTGTTGGGAGATGTCTACTCCCCACGACTTGATGCGGTCACTGCTCTCGTACGCAAGTGATCGACGAATTTCAGAGATACGGCGGAACCTATCTTCGGGACGCTGTGCTGCTTCCCGGATAATGTCTTGTGTCTGCGCCGGCAGCAGGCGCTGTGGAGGGATTGGCGTGCCCGGTAGCACGGTGCAAACCTCCATGGGCACAAAGGCCTTGGACTCCAGAATGACGCACTGGAGGTGCGGCTGCCGTACGACGAAGTTGTACTTGTCCTTGAAGTAGGCAACGACGTTGGTGACTTTTCCGTCCGAGAGCGTGAACTCTGTCTCAGCTGCCGATCTTGGCGTAAATCCCTACGAGGTTCAAAAGAAATGAGTCAGAACGGAGAGTGCGGCGATGGTGACGGTCACTTTCATTACTCACCTTGAACTTTTCCGACTTCGATGTGTTCCGGTGTGTGACACCGATCAGGACGCCCTTTAGGTGCTTGCGCAGCACTTGGTACTCGCGGGGAGTAAGATTGCTTATCGTGGGCTCATGGCCGCCGCCACCGCCACCACCGAAGCCTCCACCACGTCCGCCGCGGGGAGCACCGCGGCCACCGCCCCGGCCACGGTCGAAGCCTCCGCCACGGCCTCCACGGCCGCCGAAGCCGCCGCCACCACCGCCGCCCATGCCGAGCAGGCGTGCGGCGACTACGAGGAGGGGGCCGCCAGCAATACTTTAGGTAGATGTACACCGTCAGTCAATCTGTGCGAGGAATGAAGATGACGAGATGAGACTCACAAAGCGCTGAATGCTACGTCGAGGTTGACCACCAATCCGCCCATTGTCGGTCGTACTGACTGGAAAAATCCCTTCCACACCTGAGCGCCATTTGCGATGGACACAGCGAGCCTGAGGACAACAAACTGAGGCTTTAGTCTGATGGAAAACGACCGTGGCGACAGACAGACAACACCCACGAAGGATCAAAGAATCTTCGACCGCCTTGGCCATACACCTTGTACAGTTTCTGAGGATCGTGGCGGAGAAGGATGTCGAGGGCTTGCAGTCCCACCGCAACCCTATGAGAGGAGATAAGGTCAGCGAAATTCAGAGGAGCGCCAACTTGTCAGTCGACCACGACTCACTTTTCCGGCATCGCTGATCCTGACGACATGACAGTCTTGCGATTTGCGTCGCAAAACTGAGGAAGAATGTCGAGGTCGATTTGATTGACCTCCGTGAGGGTCACCTTTTCGCAGAGAAGTTGAGGTCAGCATCTGTTCAGGAGAGAAAACACACTGATGTGCGTACCGAGAATTTGCGGTCCGACGGTTTGCCGGCCTTGTCATCCTTCGACGGGAGTGTGACCTCGAACTTGAGCTGCGAAGCGGGCAGGGCGCGAGCGAAGTACGCGTTCTTGCGCTGAGGGATGGAGGTATGAGCTGATTGCACGGTAGGAAACGTCAGAAGAGGAACAGAACACTCACACCGTCAAACGCCAGAGGCACGATATCGGCTCGCGTCACTCCACGGTCTCCGGCCTCGGCCACAGCCCTGAGTCCCACCTCGAGAATTTGCATCTGGAGAAGACCGGGGAGCGGACGGTCGGACTTGGAACGACGGCTGGTGCAACATACCATGTCAGTTGGAAGGAACAAAAACAGCCTGCCTAACTTCTTGCCTGGCACTCACGGACGGTTAGGGTCCTCGACAGGCGTGATGACGACGTCGTAGTGGACAACGTTTGAAGAGGCGGCCGACAGGCGGGCCTGCTGGGGCACTGAACCGCCACGGACGGCCTTGGTTGGCTGGCCAGATGCGGCGGCGACATTGACCTTGTACATGTTCGACAGGAGCGAGATGGGACGACCCTGGGTGCCTCCGCGGTCGGGGCGGGGAGCAAGGTCTACGAGGATGATTCAGCGGTCATGATTGACCGGAGACACACGAGCAAAGAGAGCGACTCACCGAGGAGGGTAATGGACGCGATCTCTCGCGCCCGGCGCTCCTGTTCGTCGACGGACATGGCTTGTGCCTGCTGTGCGAGGGCAGCGGCGTCGCTCTGCAGCATGGTGCCAGGATATCTGTGGGGCTAGATAAAATGGGGAAAAGGGGGAGGGGAAGGAGGAGGAAGGAACTAATCAAGGGTATGACTTGGCCTCCGTTTCCCCGTTGCGCTCGATGGCCGGGAAAAATCGACTCCAGGCCGAAAGAGTGTCGCGAAGGAGGTAGGGAGGAGGCAGACAGAGAAGATAGAGAGAGGACTCTGATGAGAAGGGAAGGTTTTGAGGGAGGAGAGGGGGGGGATCGCTGATGAGCGGCGCCGCCCGTCTTTAATAGCGAAGGACACAAAGGCAAGAAGAGGTCAGGAAAATTCCCTTTGTTAGTCTGTACGTAGTTGAGTAGCAGGGGACGCCCGTGCACAACTAGTGCGTTTTGGCGCGCGCGTTCTGATGATGTCGCGACATGTCATGCACAGTAAAAGGCGGGCGAGTCAACGAGCAAGGGCGAAGGAGCAAGTTGGGGACCAGATGTGCTGGTCGTGGAGGGGGCAATCACACTCGGCCAGGCATGTCACAGCGATTACGGTCATATTTCGGCGACTAGCACACCCTCTGTCTCTCGCAGACGGCCAATGAGAATGGGCCTTTGCTCCGAGTCAATCTGAAGTGCACAAGAGGAACCCGCGAATGCCAAGCCTGTACGCCGCCCCGCGGGAGATTCGAGAGAGCGCGAGAAGAGGAAAAGGGAGAAGAGGCAGAGGGGGGAGAGAAAGGGAGAAGTCGGTGGCGAGTAAGCAAGACGAAAGAGGGACCAACGGCATAGCCCAGCTCACCCTGCTCCGTGCCGCTCCGATTCGCGGCGATGAAGAAACGAGGGCGCGATGCAGACTGGGCGGCGGACTCTGGCATCGGTATGCCAACGCTGAGGAGAGGCCGAAGACGCATGGCCCAGTAGTTGATGACGGACAGTCCGTGGTCGTCGTCCGCGGCGGCTGCCCTCGATCGCAGCCAGGCCATGGTGACGATGAGACCGTCGACGTCTGCCTCTTTGCAGAAGGTGGCGAGTTCGCACTTGCTTTCCTCCGCCTCAAAATTCCAGGGATTCAAGTCCATGCAGATGGCGACGCAGATCTGTGCCAGACGTGCCGCGATGTCAGAGTCATTTCTCGAAGGCGCGCAAATGCAGGGCTGTTAAACCGACCTTGCCTAGCCGTGGTACGTGTATGAGCTCGAAGCCGGGTCCTGTGTGAGTGGTGAGCTTGATGTGCAGGGGCACACGTACTCTAGTATTAGTATCCCCTCACCTTGGCGAGCCCAGGTCTCATCGGTCTCGAAGAGAAAGTGCTTTCGAAAGGCGTGGATGACATGACCATTTGGATCAACGAGCAGGGCGCCGTTGTAAGGGCCTCGACCCGGTGACACACTCTCCTTGGCCTTGGCCTCTGCGGGGCGAGCATCAAAGGGGGACGAGAGCGCACCACTGCGCATTTCGGAGCCATAGAACGGCAAGCCGATGATGACGTAGGACCGGAGCCTCGTCGCGAGCTTGGCGGCCAGCTGCAGTGAGGGCGACTGCGGGGGTGAATCGAAGGGCCTCTCGATCAGGCGTTGGATCTCTTGGGCCGAACCGAAGACGTATCCTGTATTCGAACAGCAGGCTGTAAGTGGCCCGTCTGGCACAGCAGTAGGACTCGGCTGAGAGGTGAACGCACCAGTCAGGGCCATCTCGGGCAACACAACCATATCGAGCTCGCCTGGCTCGAAGCGGCTGGTCAGGGCCTCGACTTGGCGTGCATTTGCTTCGACATCGGCGTGCTTGCTGTCAAGCTGCACGCATGCGATTCTCGGCCGTCTACTTCCGCCCACTGTGGCCATGGTGCAAGCGTCGCTACGGAGCTGAGATGGTGGACATGCTCTATGGTTGCTGTTGTGCCACCGCAGCAGCCGTGGCGACACCAGCGATCTTTGCACACTTCTGATGAGCAGGATACTGACTAAGAGGAAGGGCCTCTCCTCTCTGTCTCTCTGTGTTATTCCCTTCTCCACCGAACGACGGCCAAATCGGTGCTCCCCCGACCTGCACCAAGGGAAGCGGCCGATGGTCCGCAACACGTGAAGAGACCCAAAAAAGCTTATAAAGTCTCGCCTCGGAACAAAGAGCACAAAGGCCAAGGTTCAGTTCAACAAAGGGCAAAATTGTGAAAAAAAGAAGAAGTAAAAAAAAAAAAAAAGAGTCAGTACCCCGTCCCGCCTTTCTTCTTGACGCCCATGACAGCTCGACTGCTCGCCTCGACCACCGTCCGAAACTTGGCTTCGTCACTCTCACGCCCTCTCTCACGCCAGCCCATTGCGCAACCCCTGAGGCACTTCACTTCGACGGCAGCCAAGATGTCTTCGGTTCCCCTCCCCACTGACTATGTGAGCGCTGGGCTTCATGTTCCTTGCTGCAACCTCTAGTACCTGTCTTTGCTGAGTGCGTCTTTTCACACAGAACAAGGTCCTCTACCAGCCTCTGGCGGAGGCGGACCCTGAGGTGCACAGCATCATTCAGGATGAGACCTGGCGTCAGTTCTCGGGCCTCGAGCTCATCGCTTCGGAGAACCTGACGTCGCTGGCGACGATGGAGGCTAACGGCTCCATCCTCACCAACAAGTACTCGGAGGGTCTCCCCGGCGCGCGCTACTACGGCGGCAACGAGCACATCGACCGCCTCGAGACGCTGTGCCAGCAGAGGGCCCTCAAGGCCTTTGACCTGGACCCCAAGGTGTGGGGCGTCAACGTGCAGCCTTACTCTGGCTCGACGGCCAACTTTGCCACCTTCACGGCCATCCTCCAGCCTCAAGACAGGATCATGGGTCTCGGCCTTCCCTCGGGCGGCCACCTGACGCACGGCTACTACACGGCCAAGAAGAAGATCAGCGCCTCGTCGATCTACTTTCAGTCGTTCCCGTACCAGGTCGACCTCAAGACGGGCATCATCGACTACGAGGGCCTGCACAAGAACGCAGACCTGTTCAAGCCAAGGCTACTCATCACCGGTGGCTCGGCATACCCGCGCGACTGGGACTATGCGCGCTTGGCCGAGACGGCAAAGAGCCAGGGCGCCTACCTCATGAGCGACATTGCCCACATCTCGGGCCTCGTCGCGGCCAAGGTGCAGAACAACCCATTCGAGTACTGCGACATTGTCACGACGACGACGCACAAGACGCTCCGTGGTCCCCGCGCCGGTCTCATCTTCTTCCGAAAGGACAAGGAGGCCGACATGGAGAGCAAGATCAACGCTGCCGTCTTCCCCGCTTGCCAGGGCGGTCCCCACAACAACGTGAGTGCCTGCTGTCGGGGCAAGCGACCGTCGTCGCTGTTCGCCTGGTCCGGCTCTTCCCTGCCCTAGCCTGCTCTAGCCTGGACTAGCCTGCCCTGCCATGTCTTGTCCTGTCCTGCCTTGTCTGATCACTTACCTTGGCCCACTTTTGCCTCTCACAGACGATCGCCGGTATTGCCGTCGCCCTCAAGCAGGCTGCCGACCCGGCCTTCAAGGAGTACGCAGCCCAGATCATCAAGAACTCGGCCGCCGTGGCAAAGGGCCTCCACGCCCACGGCTACAAGCTCCAGACCGACGGCTCGGAGAACCACTTGATCCTGTGGGACCTGCGGCCACTCGGCCTGACGGGCTCCAAGATTGAAAAGATCTGCGACCTGGCCCACATCACTCTCAACAAGAACTCGGTGCCCGGTGACGTGTCTGCCATGACACCCGGCGGTGTCCGACTGGGCTTTGGCGCCCTGACGTCGAGGGGTATGAAGGAACAGGACATGGAGAAGATCGTCGAGTTCCTCATCCGGTCCATCGACATCTCGTCAGAGATCCAAAAGAGCGTGGGCAAGAAGCTCGTCGACTTTATCAAGGCTGCTGAGTCGCACGCCGGCGTCAAGCAGCTCCACGCCGACGTCGAGAAGTTTGCCACGAGCTTCCCTCTTCCCGGCGTGCCTGACAGCTCGTCGATCAAGAAGCCTTGATTTGCCAGCATCTCGCCTATTCCCCCCCCCGAACCAATCTCCCACTCTCGTCGTGTTCTAGTTTCCGTCTTGGGAATTCAACTTCCAAGCCGAGGAGCCTCTCTCTCCTTCCCCGTCCTCGTCTTGCCAAGTGACTGTATTCATCCTGCGTCATGCCTCACACTCTTCAATGTTATCCCTGATCTAGATCACAGGCGCCATTGAGGCCCGAGAAAATTTTAGACTAAGGGCCCAGGCACGCGCACGCACTATGTGTGTGTGGGCGGGTACGTGGTGGAGCTCCGTATTAGCTGGTCTGACCTATGACTATAGCGTGCAGCAGCCGATCGACACTGGCGCTGCTACTGCTGCACTACTACCACTTCTTCTCACGTCTTTGGCCTCGCCGAGCTTGAGAGTATACCCAATCACTCGCTCGGAGAGGGGACAAAGCACGCCACCTGTCGCCAGCTTCACTTGGTGTCGATCGACCCAGCTCTTGTTCCGGGTCCAACGCTGTCCGTCGTCACCATCGTCAAAGGGGTGGGAAAATAAAAAGAAAATAAAAAAGGGCTCGACGCCAAGCTCACAAATTGAGCGTGGGGGAGAGGAGAGGAGAGGAGAGGAGAGGAGAGGAGAGGAGAGGAGAGGGAAGCGCTACATTGCTGGCGCTGGCGACGTGGAGAAATGGACGCCTTTGCCACATATGATGCCGCTGCGTCCGAGCTCGACGACCCGTCCAAGTTCTGGGCAGAGGTCGACGACATTCTCGATCTTCCGGGCGCCTCCTCCTCCTCGGTCGCCATCAATGTCGACGAAACGCTCCTCCAGGCCAGGCTGACGAGCCTCCTGGCCCTCTGCGACACTTGCTTTGGTGCGTGTGAATGCGCGCGCACACACACACTCTCTCCATACTCCCGATTGAATACCGCTCCTAATGCACACCGCTTACCTTGTCCAAACAGAGACCCACCTCGAGCAGCAGTACAACTCCGACTACCTCCTCTCTCGCCTCTTTGATTCGCCACTCGCCACCCATGCCTCCCCGCATGTCATCTCCACCTCGCTTCTCCACATGGCCACGACGGCTCGGTCGCTCGCCGTGCTCTTGATCCTCTACGACGGCATCCTTCGGCACGGTGGGCGGTGTCCGGACGTCTATCGGATACCGCCCCAGGTCCACCAGCTCATCCCTCGCCTTGTGCACCACTTTTGGGCCGCGCACTACACGGGGGAGGCCGGCAGCTCGAGCCACTCAAGAGGCTCGTCGTGGAACCTGAGGCCGGACGGCGAGGACAGTGGCGAGGCTGGCTGGGCAGGGGCCGACTTTGCAGGGGCGAAGTCTCGTGTGCAGAGGGACCGGGCATTGCAAGCCAGGCTCAGGAACAAGGCGGCTCGCATGCTGTACGAGGTATGCAGGGTTCAGAGGCTCGAAGCAGTCGATTTGAGTGAGTGTCTGTGGCGAGAAAAAGTGACTGGAAGTTACTGACGGACGGTGTCTTGTCGCTGTAGGGGCAATCGATGCTCGCTTCGTCAACCACCTCTTTGACCTCGTCGAGTCTTCGCGCAACTTTGACGACGACACCTACAACTACCAGCTGATCAAGCTCATCATCGCCCTCAACGAACAGTTCATGGTCTCATCCCTCAGCACAGCATCAACCGCGAACAAATCCAAGTCCACCGGTTCGAGCCACTCCAACGTCGTACTGACGGTCCTACGAACGCGGCTGAATGCCTCAAAAACCTTTGGAGAGAACCTTATCTTCATGCTCAACCGAGCATCGAGCCTGGATGCAGAAGACGTCTGCATGCAGCTCCTTGTCCTCAAGCTCCTCTACCTCCTCTTCACCACCAAGGAGACGGCCCACTACTTCTATACCAATGACCTCCAAGTCCTCGTCGACGTCTTCATTCGCGAGCTGCATGACCTGCCCGAGGAGAGCGAGTCGGTGGGTGTGGCATTGCTGCTGTCTCCTCGTTGTCGGTCTCACCAAGCTGACTTATCTATTATTGCCTCCAGCTTCGGCACACGTACCTCCGGGTGCTCCATCCTCTCCTTACAAATACCCAGCTGCTCACCTATCCCTACAAGAGGCCAGAGATCCGGCGGCTGCTTCTCTCGCTCATCTCGCACGGCCATCTGCGAGACATCAGTCCAACGACGAAGCGCCTTGTCGATCGGTGCCTTAATGCGCAGTGGTGTCTGGACCTTGACGAAGTGCCTCGATCCAAAAAGGAGCTCGCTTCTGAGAAGGGCGTCCACACGGGAGCAAACGAGGACATTCAGACGCATCGCTTCATGGTACAGACTGTCGGAGGAGGACCACAAATGATCGTTTCGGCAGACACCCAACAGGACAGCCAGGGCATCTCGATACCCCTCGGACCAGATCATAAGGCCTACCAGGCCACGCCTGCGTCCACGGCCTCTACCCTTGCCGTTGCTGCTGCCCAGGCGCCTATCGAGCAGCAGCTGACGGGCGAGCCAAGGCCAACGAGCGAGGCAGCCAGCAGTCGACTAACTGTGACGCCTGGACGCAAGCGTGTGTACTCACTCGGCGCGACATCAGTTCGTGATGCGCCACCTGGCGAGGCCGATGCTGCCGCTGTCGCAGCTGCTAATCCTGCTGGTCAGTACGGCGGAGGACATCATTCTCGGGGCCCGACGACAGACGACCAGGAGGAGATGGGCGGCGCAACGCCGTCTAGAAGCGAGCTCCTCGCATTGCGGAGACCCTCTGTGCGAAGAGATCGAGGTCAAAGGGCAGTCTCGGCGCGCGAAGCGCCAAGGACGCCACCACGGCGAGACTCAGATTCCGGGGCGGCTGCGCGTGGTGCTGCGGGCGGCTCGAAGAGTGGCCGCAAGGTGATGCAGCACTCAGGAAGCTACAAGGACAGGCTTGCTGGAACCGAAGGGGAGGAAAATGACGAGCTTGGGAGCGACGGGGGGTATGAGGCAATGCAAGGCAGCGGCGTCCTCTCTGCTGGTTCGTCGTGGCACGAGACCATGGCTCCGTACCATCCCGGTGGTGGCGACGGTCCCGGTGCCACAGCTGGATTACCTGGATCAACTCAAAACCAGCAAACATCTACGTATGTTCACCTGATGAGCTCCAATCCTCCTGATGCCACCCGTGTTGGCTCGCCTCTGAGCCAGGATTCGACCGACTACTATACCAATCTGGGCACGGGCAATCACGACACGGCCCGTCCCCCTCCTCCTTCTCAGCAGTCGATGATCCAGCGTCCGGCGCTCCGTGTCCAATCAGCTTCGAGCGAGGAAGTGCCAAGGTCGACAGAGTCCGATCATTTCGGCGCAAGGGCGCAGGGTGGCGGCAGCAGCAGCACCGATACCAGCTCGACGTACCAGACCAGCCCGACGTCGTACAATACCCCCTCGACGAGCCCTGGTCCTTCGCCTGCACTGAGCGCGACGAGGAACACTGTTCGACGACGGCCTCCGCCCGCTCCGCCTGCATCTGACGCTTGTGGTAACGGGGCCGATGGCAAGGGCATCTCAGCTGCCGCTGCTGCTATTGCAAAGCGCCGCCAGCTTCTCGTCTCTCCATCGGACCCAATGCTGCCCATCAGGCGGACGACGTCGACGGAGAGTTTCCACGCCCAGGCTCGCCATCATCACACTGACACCTACTCCCAAGCACCGTCGACGTTGCCTTCGAGAGCCTCATCCCCGGCAAGTGGCCACGGCAGCAGCAATGCTTCTCCGCCAGGTAGCGCGGACCATGCTTCTACCACCTCTTCTACACCTTCAACATCGACGGCGCGGAGAAGACCGCCCCCTCCGCCCCCCAATCGGGCGACCAAGAGCCGGCAGCAGCAGCAGCCCCAGTCGATGGCGAGGGCAATCTCTGGCAACCTTTCGTCAGACGGCGTTCCTGCCGTCATGGCCAACGAGGCTGTTTACTCTCACCCATCGTCTGCCTCAGAGGCCTACACGAGCCTCGGCAGTGCCGTGCAAGGACTCCGTCTGGAGGAGAAAACGGAAAACTACTGATCGGAATTCCGTTCAACCATATACAAATTGTACCATTACGCCTCCTTTCATCAATCACCCCAATCACTGTCATCATAATTACTCTTACATCTTGCCTCATCGTCTCCTTGGCCCTTTCTAATGACCGTACACTCTCACGAGCATGTCACGCATCTCTAGCCTGCCGATGCGTCTGCGATCTGCCACGGCTGCAAATCGCTTCAAGGCGGTATCTCTGTCCATATTGACGTACTTGAGCGGCTCCATCGGTGTCTCATCTCCCTCTTCCTCCTCTTCGATCCTCACTTTCGGTAGTGACGCTGACGACGACGAGGAAGGAGAGGCAGAGGCACCCGAGGCAAGAGTGAAGAGGACGTCGTTTGTGAAGCGCCGCCTACCCGACGAGTCCTCGGCCTGCGCAATCACGTAGACCTCGCAGGAGTTCGTGTACGTCTTGATGACAATGGCCGTCAGGATCATCAGCCTGTCCCCCACTTTCCGTTCAGCTTTTCCGAGCAGAGCAAGGGCTTCTATTAGAAAAAGATCCACTCACTCGCCTACACCCACGCCCACGCCAAACTCGAGCCCGTCCATGGCGACGGTGCTCCACCCGCGACCTCGGCCGACGTGGCGCGCAGCGAGAATGGCGACCTCTTCCATCCACTCCATCGTCTTTCCGCCAAAGATGATGCCGTGCGAGTTGGAGTGCTCGGGAAAGACGATATGCATCGACGTCGTCTGTGTCGCCGAGACGTGGATCGAGGAAGAGGACGAGGAAGAAAAGGCATTGTCGAGCTGAAGGGTTGGGGTCTCAGGAGCTGCGTCAGGCGACAAGAACTCGAGAGACTCCCGCCGCTCGAAATCTATTCGTTTGTCGATGGGCGAGGTCGGCGCAGCAGGGGCAGTAGTATGACTCGGAATATTGTCGGGCAAGACGATTTTGAGCCGGTCTGCTGCCGCGCGAACGTCTGTCTCGGGGAGTTGAAACGGTGCGTCGCCGGGCAACGAGACGTGGACAACGCCGTTTGAAAGCGTCACACCCGGTTCATGAGTCGCCCATGCTCTCACGACAAACTAACCGATGTGAGTCAGCTTTGATGAGAAGGAGGATAACAAGTCAAGGCACGCTCACCTCCTCCTCGAGAGCCCTGAGCTCGCGAGCCTGTCTGTGTACCGTCTGCTCAACAGGCGTGGCGATCCCGCTGGCGACTGCGCTCGATGGCTGGTCACCCCCACCCGCAGCGCTCCCTTTGCGCGTCCGCTCCTCTTCCATGTCAAGGACCTCTGTCCTGACTCGCTGTTTCACTTCGACGCTGACGCCGTCCCTCGCCTCACCGCGCTTGGCGTCGTCAATGCGCTTAGCTCGCCTGCGGCCCGCGAGAAGGTGTCGGCGGGCTTCGAGCTTGGTCCGCGGTCGAATCGGGACCAGGACCGGTTTTGGCGGTGGCTTGCCCTTCTCGAGCGGATTGAAAGTCAAGTAACGCCACAGACGTCCAAGCTGGGAGGACTCTTCGCGCGATTTGACCGCACTGGCGCTCCCGGTGTTGACGCCTGGGTGTGCCTTGGGTGCTTTCCACTGGCGCGAAGGAGACGCGAGGGCCTGAGGGTTGATGGCGACAAAGGTCAGGTATGCTTTACCCACATCCATGTTTTTCGTCAGCTTCTTCTCTCTCCTCTCTCTCTGCACTTGCGACTTGGACATCTGGGGACGCACCATGGCTCACGTACTGCCGGTTGCTCCTCTGTCTGCCGTGGCCGTAGCCGGCCTCAAGTGAATCTGGCGCAGGCTCCTTTGTGACCCGAACGCCAATCTCCATGCTTGTTCCCCACGCACGATTGACACTCGCACTGAGGTGGATGAGCTCGCCAAGGTAGACTGGCTTGAGGAGCAGAACCGCATCGACGCTGATGGTGACACAGCTACCGCCCGCGTGCCGTCGCGCGGCCACGCCGGCGGCAATGTCGACGAGCTTGAGCAATGCTCCTGCCCGGACCGTCATGCGTCTGTTCTGCGGCGCCTTGAGGTGCTGGGGTGGCTGGGAACACATGTCGGGCGTCGTAGCGTAAGTGATCTCATGCACGGAAGATGTTGCTGGCTCCTTTGCTTTCTCGCCGTCACCAGTCTTCGAAGACTGCGACGACTTCAACTTCGACGATGATGAAGGCGAGGAGCTGGACGGAGCAGCGAGGAGCTGATAGGCAGAAGCCAGGAAGAGAAGTCCGGCTGCGGCCACGACGACGTTGCTCATCCTGTCCGCCGGGACCCTCGCCGTCGACATTGAGCCTGGCATGGTGGAGGGCGACTGGGGATCCCTGTACGTACGCCTGGCTAGTGGCGCGTGCGAAATGCATCTTGTCTGTCTCTCTAGCTAATTTAGCCTCGTTTCCTTCATGCACACAGCTAGTGTAGCCTTGGCTGCTTAGCCTTCCCATGGAGCAGCAGTTCCTAGCCTGACGTTTTTCTTTCTTCGCGCATTTTACCGAAGAAGCTCCATAACGGCGAGTCACGGTTGTCGCCCACCACGCTGAGTCAGGTCGTCGTCCACCACCATCGACCATCATCACGCAGAATGTCTGCATCCATCGAGGAAAGTGAGCCACCGACGTCGCCGACGACGGGCCTGCCAGTGCCGCCGAACCTGGATCACCTCGTCCACCTCGTGCCGCCCGGCAAGCTCGACGAGGCCATTAAGCAGTTTGAGCGCCTCGGCTTTGCCGTTGAGCACGGCGGCGTGCACGCCGACGGGCTCACGCACAATGCCCTCATCGTTCTCACCGACGGCGTCTACATTGAGATCATCAGCTTTCTCGACGGTCCCGCAAAGGGGCGCTCCAAGAACGAGACAGAGACAAAAGACGAGTGGCACAAGCGGCGGCAGGCGCACTGGTGGTGGGGCAAGCAGGTCGGCTGGACCGACTGGTGCCTCGAGGGCGGCGTCAAGGATGGACGCGTGGCTTCGATCAACGAGCGCGCGAGGAGTGCAGAGGCGGTCGCCGATGGCGTCGTCGATTCGACGACTCAGCATGAGGGAGAGAGCACCGCATACAAGCAGCAACTCTGGGCCACGGCGGCCGCATATGGCGCGCCGACGGATCACCACCGGCAGGAGATGGAAGCGCGCCAACGGGCCCAGCCCAGCCTTGTCCGGTACGACGAGCCAAGGGAAGGTGGGAGAATGGCGCTGAGTGGTCGCAAGATTCGCTGGAAGGTGACTTTCCCCGCCGGCAGGCGCGAGGAGCGGGGCATAGTGCCCTTTTGGTGCGAAGACGTGACGCCACGGTTCTGGAGAGTGCCCCTCCCTTCGCCTCACCACCCCAACAAGACGCAGGGGCTCACGTCCCTCACGCTCCTCTACCATCCCGAGACGTTTTCGAGCCGGCTCTCGTCCTTGCGCCTAGTCCTCAACAACATCGCCCCGCCCTCGTCGACGGCCGAAGAGGGCGGCTCCCTCCTCACTGTGCCACCGCCACTCGTCGACGGCAACAAGCCTGCCATCCCGCCAGAGCCTGTGACGCTGCTCATCGGTACTCCCGAGGGCCCACCTCTGCCGGTCCGTGTCAAGGCAGCCGAAGATCCCGAGGAGCTGTCCTGGCTCGCAAAGTACGGCGAGGGGCTCTTTGAGGTCGAAATCAGCGGTGCGCATCACGTTTCGACGTCTTATTTTCTGCTGTTCTTCCTCTCCGCTGACTTGCTCTACCTTCTTTTTACGCCGACAGTCGCCCCAGAGATGCTGCCGGCAAGTGCACCGCCGGATGGGATAGGTGAGAGCGACTTCTTTGCCTTCATCTCAATGTACAAGCCCTCCTTGCTGACCAGACAAGCACAAAAACAGAAAGAGAGACGCATGCAAAGGGCTACGGGCGGTTGCGACTCCACCCAATCCTGCGGCATTGATTGTAGATTAGAAGCGGGTGGTAGTGGTGGTAGTAATAGTAGTTGTCCTCGTAGAATAACAGGAAGGATCGTGGCAAGGCACATTTCTGCTCGATATCAAAGTAAAGGGCTTATACCAAACCCAGATCACCACCTCGTCACATCCTCGACTTCTCCAAAAACGCTCTCCTTGACCTTTTCGCCGCCTGTTCCAAGCTTGCCCGCCTGTCCCGCAGAGGTGCCTGGCGGAATGATGCCCCAGTCCTTCCACTCATCCCAGCCGACGCCCTTCTCGCGCTTCCAGATGTCCTGGCCCTCTGTGCCATCGCCCAGGGCCTCTCGGAGAAAGGCTTCGACGTGCTTGTTGATCTGCTCAAACTCGAGCAGGAAGCCGTCGTGTCCGTCGGGGCTCTTGATGCTGACGAGCTTGCTCCCGCCAATCAGCTCGTGGAGCAGCGCCTGCTCAGGCGGCGCAAACAGGCCGTCGCTCTCAATGGACACGACCAGGACCTGTGGCGGCGGCGCACCCAGTCGAAAGTTTCGTCTGGTGCCGTCGTCCGCCCGGTGCGAGGAGAGAAGGGCGAGGACACGCTCGAGCGCCTCGTCGTCTTCCTTTCCCTCGCGCGGCAAGCGATTTTCGCCGCGAGCGACCTCCTTGTCGTCGCCGTTACCGTCACCATTGTCGTCCTTGCTGGCACTGTGCTGCTTCTCAAAGTCATGCTCGTCAATGGGAGATGCCAACGAGCCATCGCCGCCGCCACCGCCGTTTGCCGCTGTGCCCCGGAGTCCCCAATGCGCTCTCCCTCGCGCTACGTCGTGCGTGTCCATCTTTCGGGTCAGGTGGACGTAGCAGTTGGCGTCAAAGCGCTTGACGAATTTGTCTCCCTGGTATCGAAGGTAGGACTGCGCGCTGAAGACATTGACTGAACCCGCCGATGCCGACGAGCTGCCTTCTCCCTCGACGAGAGTCGACATGAGGGGCACCTGCTGCTGGGATTGCGGCAGGATCCTTGGGCTTTGGTTGCCCTCATTGTGCTGATAAGCGGCTTCCTCTGCCGTGCTCGTCCTCCTCGCTCCTCCGTTGACCGAGCCCGTTGCTGAGCTATTCGATGCAGCTGCCGCTGCTGCTCCACCGCCCTTCTTTGCACCACCTATCCGCCGACCAAATCGGCTCTCGAAGCTGTCCCTGCTCCTGTACGTCAATAGCGCCGCCATCCTCGCAGCGGAAAGACCGGCCCGAGGCGTGCGCTCTGGGTCGTAATAGCCATGCGCATAGGCAGGGTCCGAATAGATGGACTGTCGCTGCGCCTCGGCCCACGAGATGCACCATGCAGAGTGTCGCGCTGCCGTGGCAATGGGGACGATGGCGCGAATGTACGGCTTCTCTGCCCGTGTCGGCTCCGTCTCGTCCGAGTTTGAAGGCGTCCGAGAGGGAAATCGAACGGGGAAAAGAATGCCCCACTCAAGCACCGACATGCCACCCATCGATCCTCCCACGACGGCGGCCACCTGCTCGACGCCGAGATAGTCGAGGAGCTGCTTCTGGATCCGGACATCGTCGCGGACCGTCGTCGCGGGAAATTCGGGACCCCACCATCCTCTTCCATCCCAATGAGCACCGTCCGCCTTCAACTTCTCCGCTATTTCTTCGTCTTCACCGTGCTTTCGTGTGCAGGGCCCAGCAGATCCATAGGGCGAGCCAAGGACGTTGGCGCAGACGATAAAGAATCTCGTGGGGTCGAACAGCTTTCCCGGTCCAAGCAAGGGTCCCCACCAGTCCTCTACGTCTGCACTACCCGTCAGCGCATGGCAGACGACTAGCGCGTTGTCCTTGGTCGATGGATCGAGCTTGCCCCAAGTCTTGTATGCGAGCGGAACGTCATGAAGAATCACACCTGACTCGAGGGTGAAGGTGGGCAGCAGCACGTACGACTGGCCCGAGGCAAGCAGCGAAGACTGGGGCGATGTCGGACCGCTGATCGACCGAGGCGTGCTACTATGCGCTCCATTGGCTTCTTCTGTCGTCGCCATTGTCGCTTTGGGTCAAGCTTCGGGGAGCGCAAGAAGAACCGAAGATTAGTGACTGTCGACTTCACTTTCCCAGATGGTGTCATCGCACGTGCATTTACGTCCATCCGGCCGAGAGCCAATTTTTTTTACTCTTTTGGTGGTCCGTCCAAAGGAAGCCAAATTTTTTCCCTCAATCTTCTCGCTCGAGGAGGGACGACATCAACACACAGAGACCATGGACTCGTCTCCGGAGCCTTCTTCCTCGTCGGCGTCATCGTCGTCCTCGGCCTCGTCCGACGCTGGGCCTTCGACCCCGCCCTCAAAGCACACTAGTCTTTCTTCCATCAAGGGCGATGACGAGGTCCCTGCATGGCAGCAGCCGTACACCTTCCACACGCTCAAGAACCAAGAGAGGTTCGAGAACCCATCGGCGGATGGGTTCGATCACGAAGAACTCCAGCGGCTGACTGCGCCCCACTTGGAGTCCTTCAATGCTCTTTGGGCAGCCGACCCCGCCGTCAGTCTCCCAGCGGGGGCCAAGTCCACTACCGTCTTGAGCGAAGGAGTGGGCCTGCTGGAGAAGAGCATTCGCAACATTCGACCGCGGGTTGTCTTTGATGGGACCGACGAAGCAATGAAGAGAGGTGACCTGGGCAACAGGCTTGAATTCAGAATCGAGAACGTCACGCTGGGCAGGCCAATGTCCAACGAGAAGGGTAGGACTGCGCTGCAGAGCAGAATCTTCCCGGCCGAGGTATGTATGCTTTCCTCTCCATTCGTGTGGGCCGATTAGCTGACGAACACAACTCACAGGCAAGAGAACGACTTACTACATACAGAGCAAGACTGACTGCGCGCGTCTCTTGGAGTGTCAATGGCCTGCCAAAGCAGTACGATGAGTGCGATTTGGGCCAGATCCCCGTCATGGTCAAGTCGAACCGGTGCAACATCCGGGGCATGAGCAGCAGAGAGCTCGTTGACCGCAAGGAGGAGCCGACGGAGCTGGGAGGCTACTTTATCATCAACGGTAACGAGCGACTGATTCGTTTCCTCGTCGTTCCAAGGGCCAACCACGTCACCTCGATAGAGCGGCCTTCGTTCACCAAGCGAGGGCCATCCTACTCGTCAAAGGGCTGCCAGATTCGCTGCCTTCACAAGGAGGACCTTATCAGCGTCACCAACACCGTACATTACCTCGAGAACGGCGGCGTGACTCTGCGCTTCAGCATGCGAAAGCAAGAGTACATGATCCCCGTCGTCATGGTTCTCAAGGCCCTTGTCGATGCCACTGACAAGGAGATCTTCGCCGAGCTGGTTCAAGGCGATTTCGAGAATACCTTTTTGACCGACCGTGTCGAGCTCCTGCTCCGTGGCTTCAAGACCTACAACCTCTGGAATGGGTCGCAGTGCCTCGAATACCTTGGCAGCAAGTTCCGCATCGCCATGATGGATCTGCCCGAAGACATGACCGACCACCAGGTCGGCGTTGAACTCATCAACCGCATTCTCCTGGTCCATCTTGACAGTGCGCGAGAGAAATTCCGGATGCTTGTCTTCATGATGCGCAAGCTCTACTCCCTCGTCGCCGGCGACAGTTGCTCCGACAACCCGGATTCGCCCCAGCACCAAGAGGTTCTTCTTCCAGGTTTCTTGTATGGGCAGATCATCCGAGAAAGGCTCGACGAGTTCCTCAGTACCGTCAGGCAGGAGATTGGACGGCAAGTCCGAACGAAGAGGAGCAACGTCGACTTCTTCAACAACGCCTTCATTACAAAGACGTTGTCTAGGGTCAGCCCCGACATTGGAGCTCGCATGGCCTCGTTCCTGGCCACTGGCAACCTCTCTTCCCCCACGGGGCTAGATTTGCAGCAAGCTTCGGGCTTCACGATTGTCGCAGAGAAGCTCAACTTCTACCGATACATCTCCCACTTCCGCTGTATCCATCGAGGCGCCTTCTTTGCCGAGCTCAAGACAACCACGGTCCGGAAGCTGCTCCCAGAGGCTTGGGGCTTCCTCTGTCCCGTGCACACGCCCGACGGCGCACCTTGTGGCTTGCTCAATCACTTGTCTCATTCCTGCCGCATCATCACCTGTGCTCTCGACACGCGAAAGATCCCTGCCCTCCTCACCGACCTCGGCATGACGGCACCCTTCGCCAGCCGCGTCGATGGCCGGAGAGATGTGGTCGTCCAGCTCGATGGTGCTATCGTTGGTTATGCTACTCCTGCCCTCGCCCAACACATGGCTCGAGCATTGAGAATATTCAAGACCGAGGGCATCAATGATGTCCCTCTCGACCTCGAGATTGGCCTTGTGCCGACGAGCAAAGGTGGTCAGTTTCCAGGATTGTACCTCTTCTCGGGCCGATCAAGGATGATGAGGCCGGTGAAGTACATTCATAATCGAAAGAGCGACAGCGTCGGGCCCTTCGAGCAAGTCTACCTCGATATTGCTTGCCAGGATGTCGAGGTGGAAGAAGGTGTCACGTCGCACGTTGAGTTTGCGCCCACCAACGTCCTCAGCGTCATTGCCAACATGACTCCATTTACCGACTTCAACCAGTCCCCTCGGTCCATGTATCAATGCCAGATGGGTAAGCAGACGATGGGAACGCCCTCAACGGCTTTGAATCATCGAACGGACAATAAGCTGTACCGCATCCAGACGCCCCAGACGCCCGTCGTTCGACCCTTTATGCACAACCGTTACAGCTTCGACGATGCGCCAAACGGCACCAACGCCATTGTCGCCGTCATCTCATACACGGGTTACGACATGGAAGACGCCATGATCCTTAACAAGAGTGCGCATGAGCGAGGCTTCGGCTATGGGTCCATCTACAAGTCTGAGGTCGTCGACCTCAAGCAGATCAAAGGCGGCCGAGGATCTTCAACGACGATCCACTTTGGCTTTGGAAATGACGTTCCTGCCAACCATCGGAATCGCGAGAAGCTCGAGGCCGATGGACTGCCCAGCGTTGGTGCCGAGCTCAAACAGGGCGATGTCCTATGCGCTTACTGGGACGAGACGACGGGCAAGACGGACTTCAAGAAGTACAAAGGCGACGAGCTGGCCTATGTGGATACTGTCCGTCTCCTTGGGTCCGAGACAATGGACGCGCACGGACAGCGCCTTCAGATCACCCTCCGGGTCCCTCGCTCGCCCGTCATCGGCGACAAGTTCTCGTCTCGACACGGGCAAAAGGGTGTTTGCAGCCAGAAGTGGCCCATGACGGACATGCCATTCAGCGAGAGCGGAATGACACCCGACGTCATCATCAACCCGCATGCTTTCCCGTCGCGAATGACGATCGGCATGCTCATCGAGAGCATGGCTGGCAAGGCCGGCGCACTTCATGGCATTGCTCAGGATGCCACTCCCTTCTCTTTCAGCGAGCAGGACACGCCCGTTGAGTACTTTGGCGAGCAGCTCAAAGCGGCGGGCTACAACTACGTTGGCCACGAGCCGATGTACTCGGGCATCACGGGCCAAGAGCTCAAGGCCGACATCTACCTGGGCGTCGTCTACTATCAGCGACTGCGACACATGGTCAATGACAAGTTCCAAGTTCGTACAACGGGACCTGTCCACCATCTCACCCGCCAGCCGGTCAAGGGCCGCAAGCGAGCCGGAGGTATTCGATTCGGAGAGATGGAGCGAGACGCGCTGCTGGCCCACGGCACGTCTTTCCTGCTACAGGATCGTCTCATGAACTGCTCTGACTACAGCACTTCGTACATTTGCCGAACTTGCGGAAGCCTCATTTCGCTCGGTTACGACGAGGCCGGTGGTGCGTCGCAGGGCGTCATCACCATCGACCGGTCCAATGAGAACGCGGCGCACACTGCTCTGGGACCTAATGGCGAGTACTGCCGCGTCTGCCGGGAAGCGAGCCAGCGAGGTGTCGATGTACGGCTGCGCAACGGCCACCAGGGCGTCACAATCCCCAAGAGCAACGTCATCAAGCGCGGCTTGGGCGATCTCGACGTCGTCGCCATTCCTTACGTTCTCAAGTATCTGGCAGCCGAGCTGGCTTCCATGTCAATGCGGCTGAGCTTCAAGGTGGAGCCATGAGGCCAAGCGACTCAACATTAATGTTCCATCAATGCAATATATACAATGAACACATCCAATAATTTACAAGACATGAAGACGATTCTCACACCCACAGATGACCTAGCTCCTCCTCGCAAACAGACCCGTCCGTTTGCCACCTTCAACCCTTGTCTCTTGACTGTCGATGCTTCCCCTCCTGGCATTTGCCTGCTTCTTGGAGCTTGAGCCAGTGTTTGTAGAAGGTAGCTGTTGTTGCTGCTTTTGCTTCCACAGCCGATCGCACCGATCCAGCTCCGCCCTCGTGACGCGCTTGGAGGGATCGATCACGCCGTACGAGGCAGCCTTGGTCAGCGACTCGGGCGTGCACGGACAGAACGTCATGGTGTATGTGCCCCTCGTGCGTGCCGCTTCTGCTGCTAATGTTCGCTCTGTCTTGGAATGCTGTGATCTCGGTGTAGGTGTTAAGTAGGCCAGCGCGCCCATGTAGAGATGTGCGGGAAGCGTCGTGGGGGAGTGTTGCAGTAAGCGCACTCCCCACTCGTGGCTTGGAGTCCGCCGGAATAAAAAAAAAGTGGCACATGGCACGTGGCGCTCAACTCAATCTCTTTTTCTTCTCAAGCGTTTTCTGCGCGCGGCTTCTTGTTTGACTTTTTCAGAGTCATCACTCAGACGACCAGTGACGACGAGCGCTATCGAAAGGGCCTCAAGTCCAGTGACTCGACCCTGTCCTCGTTATCGGTCGATATTGAAGAAAAAGGACGCCAAAGCGAGCTGTATGCTTCATCGCATCGCTCTGTCCGTATCACGACGACGAATCTTTGCCTTCAATCCTCGACAGTTGCCCAGTCACAATCTATTTAGCCGCACCATCATGTCGTCGCCTCCCGTGAATGCGCCCCCCAAAAACGCGGCCGACGATGCGACACCACAGGCTCCTGCTGCCAATGGGTCCACGACTGCCGCCGCCACTGCAGACGGAGGTGCTGCTCCCATCCTTGGACCCGATGGCAAGCCCATGACAAAGAGCGCCGCAAAGAAGGCAGCAAAGGAGGCTGCTGCCGCCGCCAAAAAGGCCGAGAAAGAGGCGCTAAAGGCACAGAAAACCCCAGCGGCTGGTAGCGGGGCCAAAAAGGAGAAGGTGAAGAAGGAGCAAAAGGTCGAGCCGGAATGGGTTAACAACACTGTTGCGGGCGAGAAGAAGGACCTGTCGCAGCCGATGGAGTCCGGTTACAATCCAGAGCACGTCGAGCAGTCTTGGTACCAGTGGTGGGAGAAGAGGCAATTCTTTACGCCTCGACCCATCACGGCCGAGGACCCCTACGATGAGAAGAGGACCTTCGTCATCCCAGCACCACCGCCAAACGTCACCGGTGCGCTCCACATCGGCCATGCTTTAACCATTGCGATTCAGGACACTCTGGTCCGGTTTTACCGTATGAAGGGGTATCGTGTACTCTTTTGCCCTGGATACGACCACGCAGGTATCTCGACCCAGGCCGTTGTCGAAAAGAGATTGGCAAAGAGTGAGGGAAAGACGAGGCATGACTACGGCCGTGAAGGCTTCCTCGAAAAGGTCTTTAGCTGGAAGGACCAGTACCAGGCGCACATCGGCGGGCAGATGCGGAGACTCGGTGCTTCCTACGACTTCACCCGCGAGGCCTTCACCATGGACCCGCCGAGGTACAAGGCCGTGACGGAAAACTTCTGCAAGCTGCACGAGGACGGCATCATCTACCGCGCCAACCGGCTCATCAACTGGTGCTGCTTCCTTCAGACTACCATCTCCAACCTCGAAGTCGACCAGAAGCAGCTCAACGGCAGGACTCTGATGAACGTTCCAGGCTATGACTCCAACGAAAGGGTCGAGTTCGGTGTCATCATCTCCTTTGCCTACCAGATCGAAGGCTCTGAAGACAAGATCATTGTCGCTACCACTCGTATCGAGACGATGCTCGGCGACACCGCCATTGCCGTCCACCCAGATGACGAGCGGTATAAGCATCTGCATGGCAAACATGTCATTCATCCATTTATTGCCGACCGAAAGATCCCCATCGTTGCCGACTCGATTGCCGTCGACATGGCTTTCGGTACGGGTGCTGTCAAGATCACACCGGCCCATGACCCCAATGACTACGACGTTGGCAAGAGGCACAATCTCGAGTTCATCAACATTCTCAACGAGGACGGCACACTCAACGAGAATGCAGGCGAATTCAAGGGTATGAAGCGCTTCCACGCCCGTCGAGCCGTCCAGGAAGCTCTCAAGGCCAAGAATCTCTACATCGAGACAAAGGACAACCCCATGACGGTGCCCGTTTGCTCGCGATCGGGTGATATCGTCGAGCCCGTCCTCAAGCCGCAGTGGTGGGTCGACTGCAAGCCTCTGGCCAAGCAGGCTGTCGAGGCCGTTGAGAAGCAGGGTATGATCATCACTCCGGATGTCTCGAAGCGAGAGTTCTACCGGTGGATGGAGAACATCCAGGATTGGTGCATCTCGAGACAGCTCTGGTGGGGCCACCGCGTGCCGGCATACTTTGTCGACATCGAGGGCAAGGAGCAGGACCACGATGACGCCAAGAACTGGGTCGTGGGCCGCACAGAAGCCGAGGCGCACTCGCGTGCCGAGAAGGTGGCTGGACAAGGCGTCAAGTTCACCCTTGTCCAGGACGAAGACGTGCTCGACACCTGGTTCTCCTCTGGTCTTTGGCCCTTCTCGATCATGGGGTGGCCGGAGAAGACGGATGACATGAAGTACTACTACCCCAACTCGCTCCTCGAGACTGGCTGGGACATTCTCTTCTTCTGGGTCGCGCGCATGATCATGCTCGGCGTCCACCTGACTGGCTCGATCCCTTTCAAAGAGGTCTTCTGCCATGCCATGGTCCGAGACGCACACGGACGCAAGATGAGCAAGTCGCTGGGCAACGTCATCGACCCCATCGACGTCATCCAAGGCATCAGTCTCGAGGGTCTGCACCAGAAGCTTCGCGAAGGCAACCTCGACGAGAAGGAAGTCATCAAGGCCACCCAGGGCCAGAAGAAGGACTACCCCAAGGGCATCCCTCAGTGTGGAACCGACGCCCTGCGCTTTACCCTTTGCGCATACACGAGCGCCGGCCGAGACCTCAACCTTGACGTCTCGCGCGTGGAAGGATACCGCAAATTCTGCAACAAGCTCTGGAACGCCACTCGCTTTGCGCTCCTCAAGCTCGAGGGCGACTTCCAGCCTGCTGCAGACGAGAAGCCCACAGGCCGCGAGTCGGCTGTCGAGAAGTGGATCCTCCACCGACTCAACGCCGTGGCCGAGGAGGCGAACCGAGGACTGGAGGAGCGAAATTTCATGTCAACCACCGGCGCTATTTTCAACTTCTGGCTTTACGAGCTCTGCGACGTCTACATCGAGGCCATCAAGCCCATCACCGATGCCAGCGCAGAGCCTGCGGCAAGGGCCTCAGCCCAAGAGACGCTTTACACGTGCCTGGATGCTGGTCTCCGTCTCCTCCATCCATTCATGCCTTTTGTCACCGAGGAGCTCTGGCAGCGTCTTCCCAGGCGTGCCTCGACGCGGGATATTGAGACGATCGCCCTGGCCTCATACCCCTTCCCAATGAAGGAGCGACAGGACGAGGCCGCTGCGCAGAAGTTCGAGAATGTCTTTACGACTGTGCGAGCGACCCGGTCGGTAGCTAATGACTACAACCTCCTCTCTAAGATCCAGATCTTCCTCGAGTCCAACGATGCCGAAGTCAGGGACAACCTCGAGGCGCACAGAGACATGATCCTGACGCTCGTCAAGGGCTCGCAGTCGCTTGAGGTCGTCGATTCGTCTGCCAAGGTGCCGCCAGGCTGTGCCGTCTCGTCGCAGCCCCAGCTCAAGACCAACATTCACGTTCTCGTCAAGGGCCTCGTCGACATCGACCGAGAGGTATCCAATCTGGACAAGAAGATCGAGGTCAACCGGCAGGCGCGGGAGAGGGCTGTCCAGATGACGCAGAAGGATGAGTGGAGCAAGGCACCAGAGGAGGTCAAGCAGCAGCAGATTGAGAAGATCAAGACGTTCGACGAGGAGCTGGGAGCGCTCGAAGCTGCAAAGAAGAACTTTGAGATTATTAGAGGAGACTGAGAGCTGGGCCCCTTGTCATGTAGCTTGACTCTCACTAGTTTTGTCGGTCGAATGCCCATAATTTTAGAATGCCCATAATTTTAGAGAGCAGTTTGAGCTTATTCCGAGTTCCGAGCGTGACGCGCACTGGCAAGCAGCAATGGGAGAGGAAGCTTTGAAGCACAGACAGAAGGGGGAAGGCGACAACGACAACGACGACGAATCATGGCAGAGGGCGAGGATGGCAGGAGGACACCGTCGACGCCACCTGTCCCTACCTCTTTCCCTCTGCTAGACAATGAGGCCCCTCTGGACTTATCTTCAGCAGCCTTTGCCTCTTCGTCTGCGTCAGCAGGCAGCGGACCGACGGCCTCCTTCGACGTCGATGCGTTCCTCGTCTCGCACGCCTCGTCCGGCACCTCGCTGGCATCTCTGACGGCACGTCTCTCGCAGCACGCGGTCCAGCTCCAGACTCGGCTCGAGGACGTCGTCGAGAGCGACTTTCGCGGCTTTGTCAATCTCGGCTCGGCGCTCAAGGCTGAAGGTCCGCGAATCGCCCGGCTGGACTGGAAGGTCGCCCGTGCCCCCGCTGCCCCTGCTGAAGATGACGAAACAGGGGCTACAAGGAAGGCTTCTGTTGGAGAAGGGGCCATTGAGCCACACGATCGTGTGGGCAGTAATCTCGGGCTCGATCTCGTCAGGGAGGATGTCGTGCATGCGCGCGACCGGCTGAGGGCGGCCGAGGCAGAAGTGACAGAGGTCATGAAGAGGCGAGAGGCGGTCAGGGACAAGAGAGCGTCTTTGGAGCTGCTGGTTGGATTGGGAGAGTCGCTGGCGCGGCTGGAGAATCTCCTAGATATGGAGCAGAGGGACGCTCCAAGGCAAAGACGAGCGGAACGAAGAAGGTCGAGAGCGAGAAGCCGGGGCGATGAGGCCGACGAAGAGGCAAAGAAAGAAGAGTCACACGGGCAAAGAGAACAAGGAAGCGATGAAGAGATCAGCGAGCCGCAGCAGAGCGCAAGATATTGGCAGTCGTTCCAGGCCATTAATGACGAGCTCAACGGAGGTCTGGCAGTGGTCTCAGACGATGAAGACTCAGAAGCGGATGAGCAGGACTCGGACGAAGGATACGCTGCTGGAAGCACAGTCAACGGAAAGGTTCGACGTCCAAGCCTTGCGAGAAATTTGTCAAGCAACGATGCCAAGCCCCACCGCAGGCGGTCTTCCGCGCTGCTCTCGGGTTCTCGCGGAGCAGCTGCCATCGGGCGCGACCTGCATTCGTATGGAAGCACCACAATCTCAGGAGATGGAAGCCAATCTTACGAGAACGGGATCTCGGACCTATCACAACAGGCCAGCTCCACGACCTTGCCAACTCGCATCGCCCGTGCCTCGTCTGAATACAATGCGCTGATGTTTCTCCGCCAACGTGCTGTCGAGCAACACCTCGTTGGCTTTGTCGAAGCGCACGAATTACGGCTACAGAGAGCGAAAGATTGCCTGAAGGAGTATCTCGCCAAGCTCGTCAGTCTCCTAACGGAATTCCAAGGATCTTCCTTGCTTGTTCCTCCAGCTCATGAAGAAAACAGCGAAGACACCAACGCGTTGTTGCGGTCATGGAGCCACGCGCAGAACAAGGAGGAACGGAAGAAAGAGCAGGAGTCTTGGCTAGAGCTGGCACTGTCGACGTGGAGCAAGTTGGGTGCTGCGAGAGAGGCAGAGGAAGCGATCCGAGCCTCACTCTTCGACCCTTGGGCGAACGAGGTAAGTGATCACGGCCTTCGCGATGAGCGCACACCAGAGCGGCACTTTTCTTACTCCCTTTCACACAGACGATACATGCCGGTGTGCTCTCAGATGCCTCTGCTAATGGTGTTGTGGGGAATGGCATTGGCGCCGAAGACGGAGCCCGTTTCCAGGATGCCATGGCTCGCCTAGAGGACTTTGACGGCCAGACTCAAAGAAGGGCATCCAGCCTGATCAATCTCTACCGGCGCATCTTGGCTTTTGTGGCTGGTACAGGCAGCACCGTCAGTCAAGTCGCAGAGAAGGTGCTCCTCGGATCGCCACATCCGGTACCTTCAACTGCATCCACCTCGCAAATGCTGGAGAAGGAAGATAGGCCTTGCGACATCTATGTCAATGTCGTCTGCGACAGCATCTGTACGCGTCTGATGGACGAGCTCGGGGGACAACTCTTCTTCGTTGGGCGACCCGAAGTATTCCATCGAAACTTCAAGGCGACATCTTTGTTCCTGGCCTCATTGGAGCGTTTGGCGCCCTCGAAACGAGCCGCGGCAGCCTTTCGAAGTAGTCCGGTCAACTTGGCGTTACAGAAGCGATGGCAATTGCCCGTCTATTTCCAGATGCGCTTGCGAGACGTCGTATCACGTCTAGAGAGTCGTCTAGCGGCATCATCGGGACCAAATAACTTTGGTGTCCCGACTGCGATTGGGGACGATGAGATCGAGGCAGCGTCACACGATCCACCAAGGATGATTGCCACAGCCGCTACATTAACAGCATTCGTGGCGCCGTGGAGAGAAGAAAGCCACATTCACGAACTAGTACCAAGGCAGTGGAGGTTAAGTTTACAGGTTCTGAGTCGATACAAGGCCTGGCTTTACGACGAGGAGCTTCCATCCGATCTCATGGCCCAGCATTCCGCTGCTTTAATGTCCCTGAACAAGTCTTCGTCGAGGGGCCATTCGCGGACAGGAAGTGCCGGCGGATATTCGACGCCACCACCCAGCACTGTCATCAGTTCTCCAGTCAGGTCGGGCACGCCGACTGTCGGTGTCGACGTCGAGAGCCAAACGGCGCATGATGATGCCGCGCTCAAGACGCTCACGATTGTGGCAGCCGATGCAGCATGGCTGCAAAATCGAGTCGAGTCGGCCTTTGAGAAAGTGATTGTTCCAAAAATCACTGCCGTCGACGGGGAAGGTTGCCAGGATCGCGACGAACGAGCTTCGGCCGTGATTGAGCACCTCGGAAAAACGCTCGACGGGTCCTTCCAGCTCCGTCGGGCTCTCGTTCCTCTGCTCGGAAGTCGAGTTCAAGCGATTCTCAAGACAAGATGCGCAGAGCCGCTACGATTGGTCCGGTCTGTCTCGACGCAGTACCGGGGAGGAAATGCACCCTCCTCCTCGACGGAGCCGTCCTATTTTGTCGGACAATTCTTGCGACCTCTGAGGATGTACCTCGGTAGAGCCGAGCGCAACACGCATCAGCACCAGCACAACCAGCAACAACAACAGAGGCCAGCCAAGACGGCGGCACAGGAACTGAACACCGAGACCAGGAGTCTGTGGGCTCAGATCGTCGTGGAAGACTTTCTCGAGAGGTACACCCAAAGCCTGTACACCATGAACAAGAACTTCGAGTCGTTGAGACGGCTCAAACGGCCGGGTGCTGGGGGAGGCGGGGGTGGAGGAGGGGGCATCATGAGTGGTCTCTTCGGCGGGGGAACAAAGGGAGCAGGCCAATCGAACAACGATGCAGAGGCAGAGCGCATGTATCGGCAAATGTCGACCGACGTCGACTGGCTTGCTTCTGACGTAGAGGAGTGGGCTCTACCGCTCGAACAGGGTGGCGTCGATACGAGGATCGATACCTCGTCAGTCAGCTGGCAGAGGCTCAAAGAGGCGGCAAAGGGCGCAACTGGTGACTAGACCGGGCAATGACAATGTGTTGAAAGGAATGTTGCAAGATTTGCTGCTTGATTCTCTCTGAAGAGAAAATGACTACTACTATTACTAACACTACTGCTACCTCCGTTTACGGCTTTCGACGCTTGCTAGGAGGAAAAAGAGCGTGTGCGATATCAGACCGCACCGCTCTGACGACGGCGTTGCTGAGTCCTGTCTTTGGGTGTCACCTGTTTCCTCTTCTTCTCCACGAGGAATTCCTTGGCGGTGCTGGCGGAACATATCCTCCTTTCCTGTCTCGCATTGCTCTCCGAAGCGCTTGTCAGCGGAGATTCCGGCGGACTCAAGCAGGGCGCATTGCGACTGGCCAGGTTGTCCAGCTCCTCGATGCTTGTCTTCTTCTTGGGCCGAGAAGCGGCAAGCTCCTGCTCCTGTTGCGCCTGCTGCTCCTGTTCAGCCAACATTCTCCTCGCCCGCCTTCTTTTTCGCTTTTCCTGCCGCTTCTTGTCTTTGATCCGCCTCTCGAGATCTCTCCTTTCTTGCTCTCGCTCTTCCTCTTCCTTTGTCCAGCCTGCCCGTTCGCGCTTTCTGGCTGCACGCCTCTCTTGCTTTCGAGCTTCCTCGTACCGATCTTTCTCGCTAGGGGCATTGGCCATGGCGACCATCCCGGTGGCTTCTTCGTACGTTGGCATTGCGGCTGCCGCAGCTTGGTTGGTACTCCGCCGACGCGGTTCTTTGATCCTTCGGCCCTCAAGCTTATCGATCTGGGCCCTCTCGGGTCTCGATACTTCGGCTCTTGAAGCTTCCACTGCTGCAGAGGTCTCTGCAGACGAAAGGGTGAAAGAGGAGGAGTCGTTCTCGCGAGTGCGGTACGAAGGTGGATGGCTGTTGCTACTCTCTTGCCCCCGGACCGTCGACCGACTCCTAAGAGAAGAGGAAGAAAGGGATTCCTTCTCCCACAGGTTTCTTGTCCTTGTTTTTTTGCCTCCCTCCTTCACGGCTGACTGATCGTCGTCGAGGTACTGGTCTAGAATAGAGCTCATGCCTCCTTCGTCCTCCTCTTGAATATCGTCCTGTTCCACAGCTTGACCTTGAGTCAGCCAGCTCTGAAGCGTCGTTGTTGCAATGAAATGCGGTCGGATGCTCGGCACCCTCTCAACGTTGCTCTGCCGTTGCTGCAGCTCTTCCTCCTGTTGCTGTTGGACGACACCATCCAGGAGTTTTCTCGAACTGACTTTGTGCTGCTCCTTGCTGGCTTCATTCGCAACAGAGTAGAGGAATGTCGAAGCGATTGAGCCATGGCGGCTGAGCACGGGAGGAGACAAAGGCTCCGCCATGGTGCTGGCCATTTGTACCCAGCGTTGGATACCTCCACCACCTTGCCCTTGCTCCACTTGCAGGCCTCCGAATTGCAAAGCTCGGCCCTGCTCGAAGAGTGCCTGTTGACGCTTGAGCTCAGCCAAAGTAGGCGCTCTTGGTCCCTCGGATCCAGGAACACCCCCTCCCTGAAACGACATTGGCTCCTCCCGCTGTTCATGGCGCTGTCGGTGCCAAACGGACCCAACACCTGCCAGCCCTGGCGTTTTCGGCGTGCCCATGAACATGGCTGCAGCCGGTGTGGCCAACGGTCCCGGCCCGTAGGCCAGGTGCACAGGCGGAGCTGGGCGCGTCTCTTCGATGCTCGTCGCATCACATAGCAACATCCTTCTCGGCTCCTTGGGTCCGATCCGTTTAGCCATGGGAAGATCGCGGTCCCTGCCTCCAATGGTGCCCTCGAAATCCGAGTTGCAGTCGTTGCCATTGCTTCGGGTTGCGGCTGCCTTTGTAGCATTTAGCCTCGACGCTGTGTTGCTCCGGCTTGCCACATTCCGCAGAGAGGTAGGCAAGACGTGTAGAGAGCCCGAAAGGACCGAGAGTAGAACGCTGCCACTGCTCGACGAGTTCTGCTGGCCACGTCGTCTGTTGACCGAGTCCATCTCTGCTGGTGTTGCCGGAGCGTCGACGTCGTCAATGCCAGCGGGAAACTCAGCGAGGCTGCCAGAGCGGTGCTGGAGAAGCCGCTGAACAAATGTCGGTCTCCTAGCGGGAGGCAAGCCAGCCGCCTCAACGTCCTGATTATCCTTGCCCTCACCTTGCAGAACAGGGACTGGGCTATCGTAAAGCTGCCAACCTCGCGCGCCCTTTTCTGCCTGCTGAAACGTTGGTGCGGGTCTCTCGATCATGGCCGCCCCGACGACTTGGTCTGCATGTCGGAAAGTCAATGGCAGCTCGGGCATGTGCGCCAGCTTGTCTCCTCCCAAGACATCGCTGTCTTTTGCCAGATCTCTTTCTGTGCGGCTTTGTCTCTGGGACCGGTCCTTCTTTAGTTTCGGCAAGGGACTGTAGAGATCCTTGGACTCGTTGATCTTGCTTCGCCGTTTTTCCGCCGCCGACAAGATCGAAGATGAATCACTGGCGGAAGCCGATTCCGTTGCAAAGACACCCCTGTTTCCGGTGGGACTCCAACTCTTTGCCTTTCGACGGTCTTTCCCACCGCAGCTCCCGCGTCGACATAGCCAGGCGAGCGAGCCAACGAACATGGCAAAGAGCACGACGGAGAAGACGACGACGACGAGCTGAAGTGGAATGTTGTGCTTGATGGACAAATTGCTGTTGGAGGTGCTCGAGCTCGACGGAGATGGGGCTGCATCGTCGCGCCTGTCGATAGACGACGGTGAAAGCCATGCTTGTTGTTGCTGGTGATGCGGGAGAGTGGTGGCGGCTTCGACAACGACACTTTCCACCTGCACATAGATGGCCAGCGCCGTTGCCGTTGCAGCGCTCTTGACCTTGCGCTTCAGTGACTTGGACTCGGGCGCCGATCGCCAGCGATTCGAGAAGAGTGATGAGGCAGGTCGTCCTCTTGGTACTCTCCGCCGCGCTCTTGTGTCTCTGGCTCGTGTGGTCTCAGCGCTGGGCGGCTCGTCAAACAGCCGTCGGAGTTCCGCGTGGTGTTGTGCGCCGATCTCTGAAATGATCATCATCTTTGATGACGACGGCGCTGAAGCCATGTCCGATGTGCTCATCCCGGTGACCTCACTGTCCGCCGGCCTTGGCGATAGTAGTTGTAGGTAGTAGATTCGTCCGTCAAGCCGAAGCAAGTCGAGCCGGTGTAGAAATAAAACGAACCAGTCGTATGGTGGTCTAAGAAAGACGCCGATTTCGAATAAAGCGACCCCGACACAGTCAGGGTCTCAACGGCAAAGGAGAAGAAGAAGGGGGAAAGGGGGAAATGGAGGAAGGTGGTGTCGGCTCCAGCTCCAGGCCGAAGTGATGGACGAGAAAGAGAGGGATTGCGGCAGTGCTCTCCATCGTCTATAAGTTTTCCTGCCGATAATGCGCTGACTGCACAGTAGAAGTTAGAAGTTTTCCCCGCTCCATGACGGTCATGAATTCTCCGATTTGGCAGTTCTACCTCAATTGGCCTGCCCTGGAGGTCCCAGACGATGAGGGTGATATGGCGCGTCCAAAGTGTTGGTCTCGCGAAGTGTTCCTGTGGAGAAGTCTCTAGATTGACGCGTTCAGTCAAAGACGTTGCATTTTCTGCATTCAAACACGTCTCATGATGCTTCGACCGCAGTCACCGCGAACATTTTTCATGGCCGTTTCCCCGATGAGAAGATTGGCGGCTTGGTACAGTAAGACTCTATAAGACTTTCATCATCACTTTTGTATGAATGTAGGGGAGGGTGCTTCAAGAGGATGGTGGCGTTCAATCACGCCATCCCTGCCACTGCTCCATCGACTTGAACTTGAAACGGATGGCCTGCGCGCCCATCTTCTTTCCCTGGTCAAAGGCTGACTTGAGTTCGGCCTGCGATACGACATCCTCCGTGTCCATCTGTTTGCCTTCTCCTCCCTCGCATGAGCACGCCTTGCAGCAGTCGAACGAATCGTGCCAAAACTCGTCCGACAGGACGCACGTACTGCCGTGGTAGCCCAGCAGCATGATTTTCCAGTAGGACCAGTTTGCTTGGCGAAGACGCTTGCTGATTGGTCCCCAGTTCCAGAGCAGGTTGAAAGGGGAGCACAGCGTCCAGTGGTCCTCCGTGGGCGGGCAGAGGTATGTATAGCGCTTTCCTCCTTCGCGCCAATTAACAACAACGGCCATTCTCTTGCGGTCAATCTTCTTGATGTGGCCCATGAGGCTCTTGCACGCCAAAGTGCTGCTTGCCAAGCTTGATTCGAGGAGTTCAAGGCGACCACCAGGCAAGGGCGCGTCGCTCAGATCGGCCATGTTGCTGACAAATTGTACCAAGTTCTGCACTCCTTCACCATCTGTCTCTGGGTCGTTTTGCCAGTCAAGACTGGTATTGAAGCACAGCATCTCCATAGAAGGAGCTCGATTGACAGTCAGCCAATCTGCAACCTCGTCGAGAGGCTGATTGACAGCCTGCATGTGCAACACACGAGCTTTGGGCCAGATAGGAGGACCTTTGCTGTTGGACTCTGTGAGCGTGAATCCGTTAGGGTAATACTCGTTGTCGCCTTGGCAGCAAGCTATTGCGAATAGATGGCGTACACATGAGCCCTTTATTCGAACAGAAACGTCAGCTCACTCACCACAGCCAATAGGAGTGCATTCGAGCTGTGAGATAAGAGCCTGAGCTTGTCGTGGCCTCCTCCTTTCTGAATTCTTCACTCACCTTGATCATACGCAGATTCTTGTGGCTGGGAAGCTCGAAGACATTCTCTTCGTCGATAGGCGCGCGCGGCGGGCTTAAGAGCTCCAGGACCTGCAGATTTGGAAGCAGTTCTATGATGGCTGCGAGTGACCCAAGCTCAAAAGGATTCTTGACGAGTAAGGTGCGAACGTGATGCCGATATTTTGTCGTCGTATAGATGGTCCTCATGAACTTCTTGAATTGAAGACCTCCCTTAGCGAGGTGAATGCTTCTGTAGAGGGGACCGAGGGAAGCGCGCGCCCAAGTGCGGCTGACCAGGGCACAGCGGCACAACGACTGGAGTCTGTCACCTGTGGTGGCGGCGTACTGGATGATCTCTGAGACAAGCTCGAGCGTGGTTAGGACTTCGATGATTTTTGATGAGAATGGACTGACGGTGGTCGCCAGTGAGATGTTTCCTGAGACATTCTTCTCGACAGAGACATTCGCTTCGCTGTCTTGAATTGAAGCTGCGTGCAAGGGGATGCCGTCGGCTTGGGAAGGTTCTCCTACTCCATTCTCAGGTGTGGTGTGAACTCCGCTGTCATTCTCTTCGTCGCTGCCATCATGGAAGCGATTTTCCCCACCAGTAGTCGTAAATGGCGCAGTGGGAACTTCATTGATCTGTTCGTCTGCTTGATCTTGACCCTGATCTGCTTGAACTCCAATAGCCGCTAACGTAGCGCTTTGATGAGCTTCAGCTTCTGCTTGAGGTCCTGGTAGCTCTGCTACTCCTAGCACTTCTTGTTCGCCGGTAAGCTGTGCGACCCCAGTGTCCTCTCGCTCCGTTGCTCGAGGACCTACCGCCGCTTTTTCCATCTTCGCGAGCGAGACGTGGTGACGAACGGATTGGCGCGTCTTTTCCCTATTCTCAATGGCTTGTAGCTTATACGTCGAAGGTCCTTGTCTGTTCAGAGGAGGCTCTCACCGCTTTCTATCTCCCGTCGCCACGTAGGGGAGATGCGGTGTCAAGGGGATGGAACAGTGCGCAGTAGAGGAAAGGCTGAGGACGCAATCCGCGCTCGGACCTCTCGCTTCTCCCATGTGAACCGCGCGGAAAGAATTGTGGACCGCGCGCATCCCTTAGATATGGCAAAAGCCTCTTGAGGCCTTTCCTACAACTGATCCCCTTCGCTCTCGCTGCTCCTGTGCTCTTAGACATCGGCGAGACTTCTTCAAGACTAGCTCCGCCAAATATCGAATTACATACATGCACCACATACAATCGAAGCCTAAATAAGAGATGGTATGCGCCATGGCCTGCACGGAGCGCAAGGTGTTGCTCTGCACAAGCTGAGTCTTAAATGAGAGGAGCGCGTCTCAACACGTGGATCTCTCGCCTCCACTCCATCACCATCTTTGTTCCTTCATCGGCGATGACTGACCGGCACCCGGGAGCGCCTGCGTCTGGACCCGGCGGCGGCAGTGGGGGACCGGGGAACCTGAGAGACTCGCTGTTGAAGGCGAAGATTGCCAAACTTCCGCATCTGCCTGCCGTTGCGCCTCAATCATCGATGGCCTCCTCCTCTGGAGATGTCGAAGGAGAAGAAGAAGAAGAAGAAGAAGAAGAAGAGGAGGACGGACTGGGCTCGCTACCTTCTTCTTCATCGAAGCCCGCCAAAGACCGTTCGAAGCCCTTCAGAAACTGGAAGGACGACTTCAGTCCGATTCCCGCAGACGACTGTTTCGAGTCCGCTCTCGAAGTAGACGTTGGGGAAGGTGAAAAAAGGGCAACCTTTAGAGTGTACTACACCCCTCCGCGCATACCCACGGCGGCCCCAACATCGAAGCCGGGCGACAAGACAAGAAATCAGTCAGCTGATGCGGATCTCGAGACACTCAAGCCGCCCGCAGTTGATTCCGATGACTCCGATGAGGGAGATACGAGCCTCGGCAAAGGACCTCCCTCGACTGGCACCGTCTTTCTGCTGCACCATGGCGCGGGCTATAGCGCATTGTCGTTTGCCCTCGTCGCAAAGCACATTACCAAATCGACAAAGGGGGCTGCCGGTGTGCTCGCCTTTGACTGTCGAGGGCATGGTCGAACCATTCATGCCTCGCCCACCGAAACGAACGCCCTCTCCCTCGAGAATCTGACCAATGATGCCCTCCTCATCCTATCGAAGCTCTTTCCCGACCCGAAAGCCCAGCCGACACTGATACTGGTGGGACACAGCATGGGCGGCAGCGTCGTTGTGTCTCTGTCACATGCCCTATCTTCACTCGGAAAGGGTGCTGAAGAGAACGTGGCAAGACCAAGAGTGGCCGGGGTGGCCGTCCTGGACGTCGTGGAAGGAACGGCCATGGCGGCCTTGCCGTCGATGAAGACGATTGTGGCTGCTCTTCCCAAAGGGTTCGACAGTGTCGAAGATGCGATCCGATGGTACGTCGATAGCGGCACCATCGTCAATGCCGAGAGCGCTCGTCGAAGCGTAGCAAGCCTGCTCAAGAAGAACGAGGCCTTTGCGCCTTCCTCTGCTCTGGCTCAAGAAGAGGAAGAAGAAGAAGCGATGGAGGTCATCTCCTCGTCCGACTCGGACATGCAAAAGGACGACAAGCCACATGCGCTCATCTGGCGCCACAACCTCCTCGCGACAGAGCCGTACTGGATATCGTGGTTTTCATCAATGTCGGCTCGCTTCCTCAGCGTGCCATGCGCGCGCCTGCTTTTGCTGGCCGGCACAGACCGGCTCGACAAAGACCTCATGATCGGACAGATGCAGGGCAAGTACCAGCTCGAGGTCTTCATCGACGTGGGCCACAGCCTGCAGGAGGACGCGCCAGAGAGGACGGCGGACTTGCTTGTCGGCTTCTGGAAGAGGAACGAGATGGTCCTTCCGAAGAAGGCAGGCGCGGCAGGCATGACAAAAGTGCCCTTCCGCAAGGTTGGGCAGTAAAGTCGGGTCAGAGGTTCTCTTCTCCTGCATCAAGCCGTTGAAGAGACGTGAACTGATTGTCATTAGAGATGAACCAAAAAGTGCCCTTGATCATAATTACAAGCCCTCGATTGTAAGCAGTATTGTCTGTTGATGGGATGTATACTTGTATTGGGATGTTTTGATGGAAAGTCGTCGTCATCATCACGGTCGTCATTGATTTTGTTTCGTCGACACCGCCTTTGCGACCGTGGTGCATCGCAGTCATCACTATTGTCCAGGCAAAGAGCTCCCCTGAGCGCGTTGGACCGCATTGGTGATGCTGCGGATCCACTGGTTGGCATCGCCGCTCGGATCTTCGTAGACGTAGCTTCTTGCAGGCGTCTGAACGATGAATGTCCTTGCGCCCTTTTGATCGAGTCCGCTCAGGAAGTTTGGCAAGAGATCTGCTGCTGCATTGGAAGCTTTTATGGACGTCGTGGTGGAGGTGTTCGGCGAGGAAGGGTCGGGCGCAGCTGCTGCTGGCGATGAAGAGGAGTCACGACGACGGAGCGACGAGGAGATAGCCGAAGGCAGAGAGTCCCTCCTCAACAGAGGTCCTGTCGCTGTCGTCGACGTGTTTGAAGCAGCAACGACGGCGGCCAGGTTGTTCGCGACGACATCGTCTTGCGAATTGTTGGAGGACGGCCCATTCTGCGGAGAGTCGGCGGCAAAGGCAAAGCTGGGACCAGCAGAGCTCTGCCGTCTCATCGACGCTGAGTTGGGCCCAGAAAAGGGAATGCTCGCGCTCAAGAAAGCAGGAACGGCCAAGATGACCTCGCTCTTGACCTTGAGCTGATCATTGGTCTCCTTAACGCAGAGGAGTCTTGGGAAGTCTGTCAAAAGCAGCTGGCGCTTCTTGCTGTTTGTCCTAAAAGCACCCGCCTGGCGATGAAGGATGGGTGCAGCATAAAGCAAGGCTTCGTGAGGCAGCAGCAACGCAGCCCAGCTCATGTCTGCTGCCGACGAGGCAAACGTCCTGTCGTCAGGGGCGGTAGTTGAGGTGGTGAAAAGGGGCGTTCGAGAGGATTTGGAGGCGCGAACCGTCGCGTCGTTGCCAGCCCCGCTCGAAGTGCTGGCGCTTCCGATGGACAGGTGCTGCGACAGGGGCACTTGCTGAAGTAACCTGCCGCCACTACTGCCCGAGGCCGTCGGACCAAAGGAAGAACGATGAGTTGGGCCACGAGGAGCTCGACCACCATCATTGTTGTTGTTATTGTTGTTGCTACTGCTGCCACTGCTGCTGCCCGTGATTCCCGCAGCGATACGCATGATGTTGCTGCTTCGCTTGGCGCCCAGCATCCTCTCAGCCATCGCACTACCTGTGCTGAATCCTCTTCGACGAGGGCTTGGAACTGAGTCTGAGATCGACGAGTCGTCGTCATCTGCATCGTCTTGCGCCTGTCGTCGGACCTCTGCCAAATCGTTGCTGTTCTGGGAGACCCGGGAGGAAGGGTTGCCAGACTCGGTCGTGACAGCATCGTCGTCGTCGTCATCATCATCATCATCGCCCTCCTCTCCTTCCTCTTCTTCGTCCTCTTCTTCCTCTTCGTCCTCCTCGTCGCCGTCTCCCTCGACGCCACCCCACGCGATGCCCTCGAAGGCGCTCGACTGGGATGCATTGGCGGACCTGATCGGCTGCGGTCTCGCGTATATGCCCACCTTGAGCTCTGGCGCCGGCTCCTTCCAGATGCCCTTCCAATTGACACCCTCAAAGAACTTGTGCCCTTTCATCTCGTCGATGCTGAACCGCTTAGCTGCATCCAACTGCAGCAAACCCTGGACGAGATCCTTCGCATCCTCTGGGAACGCGTCTACGAATTCATAGTCGCCCTTGATGATCTTCTGAAACGTCTGGTATTCGCTCACGCCCTTGAACGGAGGTCGACCGCAGACAATCTGGTAGACGACGCAGCCAAACGCCCACAGGTCTGACCGCTCCGTCACCGACTTGTCCGTGAGCAGCTCCGGCGACACGTATTCTGCCGTGCCCACAAATGAGCTGGCCCTCTCTTGCTCCTCGTTGGCTGCGGGAGTCGCCGTCGCTGGCTTGTTGGGACCCTTCTTCTTGATCTTGGCCGAACCAAAGTCCGTCACCTTGACGCGCATCTCACCGTCGAGCAGCACGTTTTCAGGCTTGATGTCTCGATGCACAATGCCGGCGGCGTGGATGCCCTCGATTGTGTCGAGCAACTGGGCAGCATAGTAGCGGCTGCAGGCCTTGTCAAACGAGCCCAGCTTCTTGATGAAGCTCAGCAGCTCGCCATTGGGCGCGAGCTCCAGCACAAAGTCTGCCGAGAATGTATGCATGTCAGCACAATTTGACTACTCTGACAGCAATCCACAAAGGACAAAATCACAGCCTACTCTACTCACAGAGAGAATTTGAATCCTGAAACGTCCAGTAGAGCGTAATGACGCCCGGATGCCTGATGAGGAGGCTGAGCGCCTCCTTCTCGACATTGACGTACTTTTGCTTCTTTTCCTTGAGGATGTGGACCTTGTCGAGAATCTTGACGGCATAGACCTTGGCACCCTGCCTCTGTGCCCTGCGCAGATCCGCCTTGGATGTCTTGCCGACCATGGCGGCCAGGGCTGTGTTGCGCTGGTTGGCGCCCTTTGCTAGCGCCGCGGACGCAACGGACGGGTCATTGGACGTCGACGAAGACGGTGTGTGGACGCCACCGCTGCCTGCCGAGGCAGGCCTAGACTGGTCAATGGAGAGCAGGTCCCACGCCTGAATGACGGTCGAGTAGGACCCCTCGCCGAGAATGTCACCGAATTCAAAGTCGGACCGCACCCTCGTCGACCTGGCTGCCTTTAGTGCTGGTGCAGGCTCCCCAGAGACCTTGGTGGGAGTCTGCCCTGCGATGATGCTGGGGACTGGTGAAAGCCTGCTATTGGGCGTTCCAGGAATCGCAGCGGCCACCGACGAAGCTGCCAAGCTGGGCATGATGAATGGGTGCTTGACGGGAGCCTTGACCTGGGCGTCGGGATCAGAAGCCAGAGATATGGCTTGCGAAGGCAAGCTCGCATCCGATTCCTCGCCCTTGCTTACCGCAATTGACGGCGCCTTCGACCCCTGCTGTGGCCCTTCCACACCACCTTTCGCGGCCGCCATGCCGCTGCGCTGGTGCCTCTCTTCCTCAGAAACCTCCTCGTGGATGGTCTCCCCGGGTGCCCGCGAGTCTCGGTTGTTCGGATTGAAGCTCAATCGATCATTTGAGTTCTTGTTCCGTTGCTGCTGCTGATCCTTGCCTTCTTTGGCTTCGGCGTCAGCATCAGCATCCGAGACAGCCACGCTTGGCATCTCGGACGCATGGGCATTCGAGGCAGCATCTGCTCCCTTCGACGGCAGCTGCTGCGACATCATCGCCGTCGGGTTGGACGCTCGGCCCGTCTCTCCGGCACCTGCGAAGGACAGGCCTTCTCTGGAAGGGGTTGCCGTATTGACCTCGGCAGGTGACGAAGGTGAGCGCTCTGGCGACTTTGACCCGGGCGATTTGGCATCGGAAGGCGAGCGCCGACGCGGCGAGAGGGCAAACATGGGCGTGGCCTCGCCGCTACTGCCAGAGTAGGGTGGTATCGACGTTGGAATCTCGAGCCTGAGCTGCCCTGCCGCCGGACTCGAGGGGCTTCCCGGTGACGACGTCGATCCGCTCCGCATCGGCCGACCGCTCCAGTAGGCAGAGACGCCCGAGTTTTCATCCACCTGCAAGTCTCTGCTCCTCGACCGGGAAGGGCTGCCTGAGCCGTGCTGCCGTGCTGCTGCGTTCCTCGACGAGGACTCCTCGTCTCCTGCTGCTGCGCCTGCGCCTGAACCCTGGCTCCTTCGCTTGCTCATGATGCTCTCGCTCGTCATCGCCCTGAACAGTCCCGGTCTCTTTGCCGGTGGGGAAGAGGGAGCGGGCAATTCGGCAGGCGAGACCGCACTGCTGCTGTACCGATGTCCGGCCGTCGCAGCCGATCTAGGCTTCGCGGTAACAAGCGTGGACGAGATCGACGTAGAGTGGGGCCGACCAGGGATGAGGAACCCTTCATCGATGGATGAACCATGCAAAGAATTTGGTGTGGGAGACGAGCCCGGATTGGGCCCGCTGGGCTCGGCCGGTGGCCTCGCAAGACCGGCTTCAGCCTCCAATCGAACCTGCTGAGCGGGTGTGATGGAAGGCGAGCTGGCAAGTGGCTCTCCGTCTTGGCTCAGAAAGGGTGGGACAGGCGAAGCAGCCAGTGGCGACGGAGAACGCAGGGGTGTATGCTGCGTCGAGCCGCTTGTCTGGGCGATGCGAACGGCACCAAAGAGGTTGGTGAGGCTGCCAAAAGAGTTTGGCCTTCGCGCCTGTGGTCTGACAGGAGGCGACGAGGGCGAATGGGAACCGCCAGAGGGGAATTCGACGGTAGCTCCCTCCTCGCTCGTAGGGCTCACTTTGGGAGCCGGCGAGCTTGCACTGTGGAAGCCATAGATGTTGTTGGGAGACGTAGGGGCGCCCATGATGCCCGGCGAGGGTGGTGGCCCTGTGCCCGGAGGGCCTGGGGGGTGCTTTGGCACGATGAGGGGCGCATTCGTCACGCTGCTCGTGCGCATCATCGCCATGGACGGGTCATTGTCGCCAAAGTAAGACTTGGCCGCCCTATAGGAGGTCTCGGGGCTGAGGCGCGAGGCTTGGAGCAGCGGCACGTTGGAGGAGCTAGCGGCGGCAGAAGAGGACATGAGTGCGTCTGACCTCGCAGCAGCCATCGTTGCCGACGTGGGCGAGGCAACGATGGAGGAATCGACGGATCTTCGCTCTTCGTCGAGCAGCCTCGGCGCGGGTGACGAGCTTCTGGGCATGGCCGATGACGATGACGAGGACGAGGAGGCGAGAGCACTGGCAGCCTGTACATGCACATTCGTCAGGGGCTTGAGGCCCAGCTTGCCTGCCCTCTTGGCCAGCTTCGTTCGGATGCCGGGCTTCTTTTTAGCGCCGCTACTGCCTCCTCCCACGCCTCCTCCTGCTTGGTCAAGGTCCTCATCGGCACCGTAAATGCGCCTTAGCTGGTCGGCGGCGCCGGCGGAGCGAGTGACTGCGATGGTATTGAAGGAGCCAGGAGGCGGGAGGGGCCGCTGCCCGCTTCTGTTGATGCCCATCCCTGGCGCATTGCGATAGTGCCAGTCGTCGGAGGGGCCCTTGGGAAGGAGGCGTGCCTTGGCCGTCGTCGCGCTGACGGAGTGGGTATGCCGGGACTCAAGATCCAGTGCCATGGAATCGTCGTTTGGCAAGCCTGCGCTCCTCGGCGTGTCGTCGAGCTCGACTGCTTCGCCGGCCCAGGCTGGGCCCGGGTGCCGCCGCTGAGGCGCGCCTGCCGATCGTGGCGCAGAGGATGAGCCAGACGCATTGCCGCCGCCGCCGCCGCCCCCCCTGACATAGCCTCCGAAGCCGGTCCTTACGTTTCCCAGGGGCGCGGCTCGGAAGGGGACGGCCTCCATGCTGCTCGTGCTCGTGACGCTGCTGACGCTGCTGACACTCTTTGCGCGGTCCAAGCTGGCGCCTCCCTGGCTCAGCGCGCCATCCTCGCTGGCGTCGCCACCACTGCCAGCACTGGCCTGCCGCCTGTAGAGGGACGTCTTGCTCTGCAGAGGCAGGTGAGACCGACTTGACGACGCGCTCTGGCTGCTCGCGCTTCCCAGATGGGAGCCGGCCGGCGACAGAGGCGAGGGGACCACACCACGCTTGCTGCCGTCCCTCTGCAGGACAGAAGCCGCGGCAGTGGTGGTCGCATTAGCCGAGGCGCGGGGCGATGGGAAAGAGGCAGAAGGCGGAGCAAGAGGAGGCATGCCTGGCAAGGGCGAAGACGAGGCCGAGGCAATACTGCTTCTGTTCGAGGCGCTCGAGACGCTTCGCGGTGCCGATGAACTCGTACCCGCTGCTGTGGCCGTGAGCGGTGGGAAGCGCTGGGGCAAGGGACTCGAGTCGGAGTGCCTGGCTACCTCGTCGTCCTCCGAGGCTGAGGGCATGTAGCCGACCGAGTCTGCATCATCGCGCTCGTGCTCCGACGCCTGCCTGGAGAGGATCCCCGGTCTGTTTCGCGGCAGCTGGCTCGACGATGGTCTCGAGGAGGGTCCGAGAGCAGCCGGCTTGCGAGGTGCTGCCGACGCGAGCGCGTCTGAGGCCGTCGAGGGGCGCTGCTGCTGCTGCTGCTGCTGGCCATCACCAGTCGTCATCATCGGCACGCCACGGCTGTCATCCCTGGGTATGGCCGAAGCCATTGGGGCGCACGGGCGTGGCCCAGTTTCAGCTCCTGTGCCCCGACTCGTGCTCCTGCTCCGGCTCTTGCCTCCTCTTCTCCTGCTCCTACTCCTGCTCTTGCTTCTGCTACTGCTCCTGGTTCTGCTCGTCTCTGCACTCCCCTCGCTCGTGCAGCTCGTCGTCCTCAGTGGTCTTTGTGTTTGCCGAATCAGAGCCTACGACGCCAAGCCAGGCTTAGCCAAGCCGAAACGAGACGACGGGCAGTCGCTGTGGTGCGCGTGGTGGCTAGGCGGCCAACAATGGCGGCAAGCAGGCAAGAAGGCGCGAGAGAGCAAGACGACCAGCGCAGCGGCGCGGTCGGGCCGATTGGAGATGGGCGGACGCGCAGGCGCAGGCACAGGCACAGGCGCGCGTGGGCGGGCGAACAGGAGGTCTGGCGCAGGCGGGCGAACGCGCGCACCGAAGTCGATCGAATGGAGAGAGTGAGAGAGAGAGAAGGCGATCCGATCTCGAGCTCTCTTTAGTGTCCGTTGTTTGTGTGCACTCCTACTCCAGCTGGGGACTCTCCTTTCCCGTCGTCGTGTCGTGGGTGAGCCGCTTTGCTTCTCACCTCTGCCTCATGGCAAGCAACCGTCCGACTGCTGCTGCTGCTGCTGCTGCTGCTGCTTAGCTGTCGATGCCCACGTACGGCCGTCGTGGAGTAGTTGCCTTCCGGTGGCTTTTCTTTTTTCGCCCTTTCGCCCGACTCGAGCACCGATGGCGTCCTAATTACTCTGGTCAAGTAACTACACTACTACTTGACTAGTAACCTTTAGTAGTAGCCAAACTCGCATATGCAGACCGGACGGAATTTCTTACGTCTTGGGTTTCTATTTATTCCCGGATCGAGAGTCGAGGCCCTTATGTCCTCGGCTCACCTCGCACACATATGCGATGCGCCCTCTGTCAGATTGATCAACTCTGGATCTGCACTAGTACTACTACTCAATAATCCTGGTACACGCTGCATACATACTCCTAGCTGGACAAAAAGCAGGGCAGTCATTCCTACTTTTGGTATACGCGAAAAAGGCTGTGCAAAACTAGCTTCAGGGTCCTCAATAACCCCAACTAGCCCGCCGTATCCGACGCCCTCCCCGCGAAGGCGGTGCAAAAGGGGGGAAAGGGCTGATGTTTGAGCAGTCTTGGACCCTGACACCAACGCAACTCGATCAACCCTCCAGAGAGAAGAAAAGGGGAAGTGCAAACGCGCGATTAGCTCATTGCTCCCTTTGAGCACCAGGTCCGTCTATCTATCAATGGGTGGGCTGCTGCTGCTGCTTTTGCTTCTGATGTTACAAGTGGTACAGTGGGACATGGGCAACGTCATCGTCCGCAGAGGTGCTTCTCGATGAGACGCAGTGGCACATAGAGAATCGCACAGACTGCAAAGCCAAGCTCGAATCCCTGATTGAGCGGAGAGTAAGAGAGAGAGGGGGGAGAAAGAAAGTCATGAGCACGGAAACATAGGCCAAAATGAATTTAGAGGGTCAGAACTCACGAGGTCGCCACTCTTCTTTGCAATCGGGCCCGAGAACCAGGCCTGGTCCATCGAGGGAATGACGAGGCCCAGGCTGAGAATGGCTGCGGCCAGCGCTGCGATGCCCGGTGGCAGGCGTCGCCAGTCGGACCACGCGGTGGCGTCGTAGCGGCTGAAGTCGCGCCTGCGAATGACGACGTGCTCCATGAGGACAATGGCCACAAAGAGCGAGGCCCAGTAGCCCAGCACATAGACGAAGTTGGACAGGGTGACGTAGAAGTGGTCTGCGCCGACGATGGCCAGGGGCAGCGTGATGGCGACGGCAACGACGGGCCAGATGAAGCGGGGCACGTAGTTGAAGAAGGGCAGGAGCGTCTGGAGGGAGATGCCAAAGGAGTAGAGCGTCGCAGCAATGTTGCCAATGGCCGAAAGAGCCAGGAGGGTGGTGAGGAAGCGGCCAAAGTTGCCGGCTCCACCGGGGCCCGAAAGAATGACGTCAAAGAGGGCACCGTTGCTCGTCTCCAGTGCCGAGCTCCAGGCCGGGTTGTCGGTCGAGGAGACGGCAAAGGCTGCGCCGAGCATCATAAAGGGTGCCGTGCTGAGGAACAGGCCCAGAAATACGGCCCAGAAGATCTTGTATGGGCTAGTGTCTGGCCGCATATAGTGGGTCACATCTGAGGCGAGGCTGGACCACGAGACGAGGTAGCCGGCGACGACTGCACCCATGCCCAGGATGCCTCTGGCGTTAGGTGCTGGATCGTCGGCAGGTATGTGGAGTCCCTGTGGGCCAGTGCCGGCGATGCCGATGAGCACGACGAAGCAGACGAGGACGGGGGCCCAGAACCAGCGCTCAAAGAGGTGGAGAATCTTGATGCCAGAGAAGGAGACGAGGAGCGAGATGACGGCAATGATGACGATGCCCACGGTAGACGACAGGCTGTCGTCCTTTGGCACGGCCGAGAGCGTCTGGCCACCGAGGATGGAGTTGAGGACCATGAAGCCGATCATACCGATGCAGTTGAGCAGGCAGGCGAGGCAGGCAGGAAAGTAACCCCACGAGTACCTCGACTGGACCATCTGCCGCATGCCCAGCTTGGGCCCAAAGGTGGAAAAGTACGCAGCGGGCAGCGAGAGAAGTGCGCTGAAGAGCAGGATCGAGACCTGGGAAGTGACCATGCCGATGCCGAGCTGGGGCGCCAGGGTGCCACCGGAGAAGGAGAGCACGTTGACGTTGGCACTGAACCAGATCAGGCCGGGGCTCCACCACTGGGTGGCGGTGCGCTGGTGGGGAGCAAGCGGCTGGATGCCCACGCCCTCGATGCTGTAGCGGGAGAGCCGCACGGCGATGCGATGGAGCCGACGCAGGAATGGGCTCGACTCGACCCTCCGCTTCTGATCCGGGTCCGTCAGTGCGGCCAGCTGCGTCTCCGACTCAAACGAGGAGCCGCCCTTGTTCGTATCGCCATCGTCGCGGTCCGCCCTGGCCTCGAAGTCGCCTTTTTCGCGGTCCATGGCCTCTGCTCCGCTCTCTTCCTGCTGGTCGGGGGCCATCGTGATCCGACCAAGGCGATGCTTTATCTCGTCGTCTTCCTCGGCGAGTCACCGGTGGTTTTTCTTTTTACTTTATCGGGCAGGGTCAAGAATTTCTTCGCAAGCCACTCATCTCTTTCGATTTCCAATTGCCTGATTTCCATGCCTCTCGGCCGGGAGCGTCCAACTCAGCTCTCTTCGGACGTGCTTTCAAAACCACGTCGGGGGATTCAATGCGCTAGACCCGGCCCACCTTTGTTTCCCCCACATGCGAAGCTAAAAAATAATGTTGTTGTTCATGCCCTGATCGGCCACTGTCTTCTATTTCCTCGACTGCCCTTTCACACGGAGGTAAGAGGTCCTTCCTTTTCCTCCACCACCACCACCACCACCACAAAGAAGCCCCAATCCACGCCTGACCCCCTTTCCATCCTACGACATGTCCCTCGAGATCCCAGCATCGCCCGCCGGGCCAAAGGGCACCTACTTTGAGAGGCCGTCCGACTACTCGACCGCGCTCGACTCGGCTCGCTCGCTGCTCAAGGAGCTCGAGACATCCTCGGAGTGGGAGGAGATGCCCGCTCGAGAGGAGGTGGAGCTGTCCAAGATTGTCGACACTGTTGATGCGGCGGCGATGCCCATCACGCGCGGCTCGACGCTGGTGGAGAATGCCACGCCCCAGCAGGTGCTTGCCGCCCTCCAGCTGCCTGGTATCCGCAAGAAGTGGGACCCGAGGCTGGACGAGGGCCACGCCGTCCGGCGCTTCTCCCAGACGTCGTACGAGGTGTACAGCGTCATGAAGAGCCCCAGCTACTTTATCTGGGCCCGCGACATTGTGGCCTGCCAGGAGACATGGTGGGGCGAAAAGGCCGAAGACGCTCTCCTCGTCCAGGTCTCTGTCACCGACGACGAGCGGCTCCCCGAGGCCGGCAGCTACCAGAAGAGCAGGACGAGAGCGACCGTCGACCTCAGTGGGTGGAAACTCGAGAAGTCGGGAAACGACACCAAGATTACCTACGTCGTCAAGGTGGGCCCTTTCTCTTGCTCTTCTTCTGCGTTCTTCTTTCCTTTCGACGCTGATGATGTACCTCCCCTAGGTCGCGCTCAACGGATCGATCCCCACGGCAGTGGCGCAAACGCTCGCCCTCGAGACACCCATGTGCGTGGGCCGTGTCCGTGATGTCTACTACCAGAACGGCCACGTGCCCTACGATGTGACGCCGGCCAACAGCCCCGAGTCCAAGCCCGAGACGATGAAGACGGTGTCGGTGACGCAGACGTTTGAAGACGATGACGACGAGAAGCGCTGGACGGGCTACTACGCCGCACAGGGCGCCGAGACGTTTGCGATTGCCTACGATGGCGAGCGCATGTATGCCTCGGGCGTCAATGTCAGCGTCGCGAGCGCAGAGGACAACGACGTGAGCGCCATCGAGGCCAGCGTCGACGAGGCCAACAAGGTCATCAAGGTTAAAGTGCCTGATTCGATCGCCCAAGGCACGACGTTTGAGATTGTCACTGTGCCCCAGTAGAGACGGTCGTTCCCCTTATGATCCGGACGCCCTCCAGCTATACACTTACTACTGCCACTGCTGCTGCTTCTGCTGCTATCTCTGAGGTTGAAATAGTGAATTGAAATGGAATTGCCTCTTTTTCTCTCATCGACGCACGGAGCATCCGAAGCATCCATCTTTTAGGACGCGTTCTGCTTTCGTCGTTGTCGCAAGGGGGAGAAATAATATCAAAGCTCGCTCGCATCCTTCACCTGGATAACACATCGATTACTTACGCTGACTACCCGGCGCGCTTGCTCGACTCGCGGCTCGGTCACCATCCACTGCGGAACAAGAGCCCACGGGGGCCGGATGGGCACGCAGCCAGGAGAGGAGCAAGCGAGCGAGAGAGCAGACAAGGATAAGGCCAGAAGACTGACGCCATGTCGCTGATCCTGCCCGACTGGGTGGAGCACCACCTCGACACCGACGACAAGCGCAAGCGGCAGACAATCTTCAGCCTGCATGTTCATCCGGACGGCAGCCGCCTCGCCACGGGTGGGTTGGACCAAAAGGTGCGCATCTGGGCCACGGCGCCCATCCTCGACGCGGGCGCCGAGCAGGCAAAGGAGGGCGTCAACAAGGTTCTGTGCACCCTCTCGCGCCACACGGGCTCTGTCCTTGTCGTCCGCTGGTCGCCCTCGGGCCGCTTCCTCGCCTCGGGCTCCGACGACATGGTCGCCCTCGTCTGGGACCTGGACCCGTCGGGCATGGCCGGCAGCACCTTTGGCTCCTCGGGCGCCGAGGTCAACGTCGAGGCCTGGCGGCCCTACCGGCGCCTCGCCGGGCACGAGTCCGACATTGTCGACCTGGCCTGGAGCAACGACGAGGACGACAGCTACATTGCCACGGCCGCCCTCGACTCCAAAGTCATTGTCTGGTCGGGGCCCCGCAGCAACTCGTCGGGCGGCTTTGAGAAGCTGCGGCGCATCGATGGCCACCAGGGTTTTGTCAAGGGCCTCGTCTGGGACCCCATCGGCCAGTTTCTCGCCACCGCCAGTGACGACAAGACGGTCAAGATCTGGCGCGTGGGCGGCGACTGGGGCCTGGAGAGGACGGTGACGGAGCCGTTTGAGACGAGCCCCAGCAGCACCTTTTTCCGCAGACCAAGGTGGGTGGTGTGCGAGTAGAACGACAATCATCTCTTTGATCACTGACACTGGAGACGAATGCAGCTGGTCGCCCGATGGCGCGCATCTGCTGTGCGCAAACGCCATGTCGGGACCCGTCTTTGTGGCCAGCGTGGTGCGGCGCGACGAGTGGAGCAGCAACATCCACCTCGTCGGCCACGAGAACAGCGTCGCGGTCACGGCCTTTTCTCCACGCCTATTTCGGCATCCAGAGGCCGCCACCGTGCTCGCTCTCGGCTCCCTCGACCAGAGCGTCTCCATCTGGATCACGGGCAAGTCCCGGCCCGTGCTCGTGGCCCGCGACGTGTTTGAGCGCCAGGTCATGGACCTCAGCTGGTCCTCGGACGGCCTCACGCTCTATGCCTGCTCGGCAGACGGCCACATTGCCGTCTTTTCCTTCACCGAGGAGACTCTGTACCCCGTCGCCTCGCCCGAGGAGCTCGACCGCGCGCGCGAGGTGTTTGGCTACTCGCAGCACCGGGCTGCCATGCGTGCCATGAAGGCCCCGCTCTCGCGCACGGCCGAGCCGGCCTCGTCGCAGGGCACCCTCAACCGGCCCAACATGCTCGTCGCTCGCAAGCCGGCCGTGCCGCGCGCGGGTGCCGTCGCTCCCAACGGTGCACCCCAGCCAAAGGAGCGGCTGAACCAGACGATTACCATCAACAAGGACGGCAAGCGCAGGATTCGGCCGACGCAGCTCAACGGCGACGCAGACTACGTCGACTATGGCGGTGCAAGCGGTGGCTTTGATGAGGTCCACCAGGCAAGCCAGGAGGCAAGCTCGAGCATGAGCATGTCGCGCATCCTCGGCGACAATGTCGACGCACGAGCGACAAAGCGAGGCAGGTTCGACGATGACGCTGCGCGCACCAACGGGAGAACAAGAGATGTTGGCCGGACGCTGGGCGGGGATCTTCAGAGGAGCGCAGCAGGGCCTCAGGTGACGCTCAGAGCTGCAGCAGGCGCGGGCATGGCAGCAGGAGCAGGCATGGCAGCAGCATCAGCTGGGCCATTGTTGCCGGTGCCAGATGTGCTGAGCATATACAGAAAAGAGGAAGGGCTACACGGGACAGTGGAGTTGCGCAACTACGAAGACGGTCAACCATCAGAAGTGGCGCTGCTCGAGGCGCCGGCGGGGTCGTCGTCGGCAGCAGGGTCCTCTTCCGCCGAGCGCGTCCTCTGGATCGACTTCTGCCCCGTGCCGGCCTTGCTTGCCACGGCCTCTGCCTCCTTCTCTGCCGTCGCATTCCAGGACGGCTCGCTTGCGCTGTACACGTCCAAGGGACGGAGAACGGCGACCATGTTTCTCGATGCGCCCTGCTGCCGCCTCGAGAGTGCGCGCAACATCCTCGTTGCCCTCACTGCGGACGGCATGGTGCGGCGGTGGGACACAAAGGCAGAGCGCGAGCTGCACCGGCCCGTGAGCATCCACTCGATCCTCGACAAGCAGCGGCCCGACGACGAGATCCTCATCTTCCGCGCCCACGTCACAAACGGCCTGCCCATCGTGGTGACGAGGTACGAGCGGGCGTATGTCCTCGACGACCGCAAGCTGGCTTGGGTCCAGGTCTCGAGCGGCTGGCTGGCCGACTGCAGCCCGATGTGGGAAGGCCGGATCCGGGTGAGAGACTCGATTGGCGGGCTCTCTTCCTCTGCGTCGTCGGCATCGTCGTCGGCCTCGCACACGCTCAGGATCGAGCCGGTGCGCGCCATTGAGAGCGAGATCAACGACCTCGTCGTGCTCCACCGCACCGCCTCGGGCATCCGCCCGGCGGTCAAGCCAGCGTCGCGCGACACCCTCGCCAGCTTCGAGACCGCCGTCGGGCTCAGGCACCTCGAGATGAAGATGCAGGCTGCCACCTTGCTCGAGTCCGGCAACGAGTTCAAGACGGCGCTGATGGCCTATGCGCGCAGGCTTGGCGACGAGGGCATCCGCAACCAGGCAGAGGACCTCGTCAAGAGCCTGCTCGGGCCTGTCTACTTGTGGGTAGACTACTCTGCTTCTTCTTTGCTGACCGTCAAGAGACGCTAATTGCCTCGTCTCTCCTCACAGCAAACCGGGAGAGCAGGAAGAGTGGGACCCGAGGGTGTGTGGGCACGTCAAGCGGGAGCTCCTGGCAGAGGTGCTGCGCAACATGAGCCGCGGCAGGCTGCTCCAGGGCCTTGTGACGAGCTACCAGGACACGTTGCGACAGGTGCAGGCTTCATGACGTTGTTGTGTACAATTGCTTCTCGCATTCTTCTCTTTTTGGTTTGGCCGGAGGCATCCTTGGGCTATAATACACACGTTATAAAGGAACATGAGGCTTTGTTTGCAGATGCAGATGCCAGATCATTGGGCCGAAGAAGAGAAGCCCCGCTGCTTTCGCCAGGCGTGGATCCACTGGACGATGCGCTCGACATTGTCCTCGACGTCCTGGGCCGTCTCGCTGCGCAGCTCGACGATGGCCTCGAGCGGGTACGAGTCCCGCGCCTCGGCCAGCACCACCTCCATGATTTCCGCCTCGTTGTTTTCCTGAATCTTCTTCAGCGGGTAGTCTCTGCGCGTGTGGCTCTTGGCCGTCAGCTGGCTGGCTGATGAAAGAGGGAAAGGAAGATGCGAGAGACAGCTCACCGCTTCTCGAGGCGCTTCCAGAGGAGCTCATGGTTGCACCGCAGCACGACGACGAGGTCGATCCACCGCTCTGGGTAGGCCTCGACGGAGTGCCAGTCGAGGATCAAGCCGCCCCGAGCCTCTCCCCCCTCTTCCTCGCCCTCGCCCTCGCCCTCGCCCTCCTGGCCCGCCTCGTCGTCCAGCGGCTCGGGCGCGTGGCCTCCCGTGAAGGGCTCGAGGTAGTCCAGCAGCGGCTCCTCGTCGACGTCGTACGTCTTCCACTCGGCGTCGTAGCCCGTGTGGAAGCCGTTGGCCTTGACGATCTGGCCCATGTCCATGTGCCGAAGCGGGCCTTCGCCAGCTGGCCCCCACGACGTCGACGACGTCGATGATGAAGAAGCAGACGCATCTGCAGACGCAAAGCGCGAAAGGATCTGCGCAGCGTGCGTCGACTTGCCCGTCCCCGGCGTGCCCGTTAGCGCAATATTTGGCCAGCTCCGCACCATTGTTCTGTCTCTGCCTTCTCCTTTTTGACGGCAGTGAATGCAGCTTCAGAAGTCCGTCCACTTTCTCTCAGTCTGAATTTTTTTTTTTTTGGGTTCTGTGATCGCGGCACGTGCGAGACCGAGCGTCCGAGCGAGAAGACCGGAGGCAAGAAAATGCCGCCCCGTCGAAAGTGGAGCCAGAGAGAGAGGGTCAGGTGGCTTAGCGAACGCAAGCACCATCTATGGGCCAGAATACGAGCTCCGAGGGCACCTATGCGCGCTCGCCGTCGGGCGCGGCGACGATGGGTGGGGTGCACAAGCGCGCCAAGCAAGGCGCCGAAGGCTGCGCGGGACAAGCCGTCCGGATCGAGTACCGTCCCGAGCCGTTCCAGCGACCTGGGCTTGGGAGGCAGGGGTGGGGCATCGTCGAGCAGAGGCAAGGGGGCCAGCAGGCAAGACAGCATTCGATGCAGAGCCCCTCTACGGCAACGCAAGCCCGCACGACTTTCACTGCTGCAGCAGCAGCAGCAGCCTCACAAGACCAAACAGACGACGAACTGCCGCCGTACGAAGCCTCTCGAGCCCCGCCAACATATGCCAGCCCGACTTCTTGACGATTGCGCCTTCGCTCGAACATCGATGACCCACTGTACCCAAATTTCGCTTTGCGATCCGTTCTCAGTAACGACCCTGTATAATTTGAACTCTCTCTCTCTCTCTGCCAAGCATAGCCACCAGTCTCTCTAAATGGTTTCTTCATTTGTGCGGGACCTAGTGGCCCTGAGAAAAGCCGATTACTTTTGATACTCTCTTAAAGAAACTCGTCTGCGTAGGGCAGCTTGTAGACGTCGCCGACGGCAACCGTTGTGGGCTTGCTCTTGAGGAGCTTGGCGGCAGCCTGTCGAGGGAAGAGTCTTGTCAGCTCTCAAAGAGGCCAGTGTGCAGAAGAGGATGAAGGATAGAGTCTCACCGAAGAAAGGTTGGACGCGCTCACGCCCTCGATCTTGGCCAGGGTCTCGTCGAGGGCCTGCACCTTGGCCTCGAGGAGCTGTCGATGAAACGAGATGTCAGCAAGGTATATTCTCCAAAGAGGTTGACAGAGACTCACCTGACCACCGACGGCTGCGTGAATGCCTGCTCTGCTCTCGATGGCAGCGGCCGCCTCGAACCTCGCCTTGGCCTTGGCCTTGGTGAGGTCCTCTGCGCTGATGCTGCTGCTGGCGTCCTTGAGTACCTTGGCAACCTCCTTTGCTGCATCGAGCAGCTTGGCGTGGGGAGCAGTGATGTAGGCTCCAAACAGGCCCGAGTCGGTAAAGGCGAGGTTGAATGCAGTCGCCTCGGCGCCAGCCACCTTGTCCTTGAGCTGGGCCAAGGGCGAGAGACCGGTGGTCCACTTGACCGACGACTCGCCGCCGAGGTGCGAGCGCAGGACGGACAGCTCGGGCGAGGCGTCAACGCCAGCACCCTCAAAGGCGACAAAGTAGTGGCCAAAGTGGGCGTGCGGTCCCTCTGCACCCTCATGGGGCACAAAGGACACCCGGGCGTCACCGCCAAAGTACTGCTTGGAACCAGCCTGAATGGGCCCCTTGTTGGAGCGCACGTTGGCAAAGTGCTTGCCGACGAGCTTGCTGAGGTGCGACTCGTCGATGCCCGAGCCAACGACGGCGATGTTGTCCTTGGCAAAGACAGCCTGGGCAAACTTGACCGCATCGCTGTGCGACACGGGCGATGCTGGGTCTGAGAAGAGGGATGCACCAAGTCCACGCTGTCGGTAGGCAGTCTGCGAGAGCTTGTCGAGACCAAGGACCTGGGGCTGGTTGAGGGCCTGCTCGTACTCGGACTGGACGGCGGGCACAACCTCCTCGGAGAATTCGTGAGGGAGGAGCTTGGACGAAGAGAGAACGTCACCGAGCAGCTCAACAAAGTAGTCCCTGAAAAGGTGCATCAGCCATACGGTTCTCTGACCAGGATCTGTGGAGATGGTGCCGCACTCACTCGTCGCCCCTCAGGAACTCGGCGTTGAGGAGGAGGTGCTCCTTGGTCAATGACGCTGACAGCACACCTCCGTAGAGCTCGGCTTCTCGGACAAGTGCGAGCGCAGACCTCTTGGCGTTGGACTTGAAGGTGAAGCTGCAGGCAAAGGTCAGTATGTGTCAATCAGTAAACGCCCTCACATCGGCCGACGCACTTCTTCAGGACGTCTAAAAGGAAAGAAAAGCGAAAGTCAGAAACGCGGAAGCGAACCTTGCGGACTTCTCCCACTCACGGGCAACACCGGGGCTCGTCTCGAACCGTGGTCCAGCTCGGACAGCAACTGTGATCGAAGTCGTTTGAATCCCATTGTCCTATATCATCACTTCAGCCTTTCTTCTCTAGGGGCCCTCTGTCTTCGGAAAGCTCAAACTCACGGCAGAGGCAGCAATCGGAATCGTGTCGGCCTTGGACGTCGTAAAGGACCGGGCCAGCGGCGTACGAGCGCTGACGCTGCGAGTCGCAGCTCGCAAAAGAGGCGACCTGGCGAGCGACATGTCTCGAGTTACGAGGGAGGGAAGGGAAGGAAAGCGAGAGGCCTTTGTTACAAATGGAAGAACGATGAGAGGGCCATGGTCGCCGGCCAGTTCCGGACACGTGTTGAGAATCGATTTCCACGTGTTTCGAGCCCTCGCTCGCTCGAGGTGGGCCGTTTGGAGCGCGGACGCGTCTCGACAAAGACCAACACTGCTTCGCGAAGTGACCATGGCATCGTCCAGGGCCACATTTGGCTATGGAGGCGGCAGCGGAAGCACCGGCGCTGGCAGCGGAGTGCCGGCGTTGTGTCTCGATATCCCCTCTCATACTCCTGCAGGCGAACCGATCCCCCCGTCCGAGCAGCTGATGCAGCTCGATCAGGCCATCACTTTGACGCTTCAAGAGATCGACGCAAACTTTGCACGCTCGCATCAGACCATCACCAATCGCATCTTGCCGGCGGTGCGCAGGTATGGTGTAGCGAGCATGACGACATGGGAGGGCGCCAAGGTAAGAGCACATTGTTGCGTCTTCGAGTGCTGAGATGACTTGAGCTGAGTGTGCAACTGGAAAAGTTCTGGCAAGGCTTCTTTGAGACCGCGGCCAACGTGTCGCTTTCGCCGCAGTCGACGATGGACCCGGAGACGACGACGGAGGAGACCTCTTCCCAGACTCTAACGTTGGACGGCCAAGAGGACACCAGCGCGACAAGCTACGATGATCAGAGGGGAAAGGGAGCGGGGATCGATTACAGCCTTAGCTCAGTGGGAGCGGGCGAGGACGACTCGATGGACGACAGCGTCGACCAAGAGGCCTTCCTGGCGAGTCTCAACAAAAAGACGCGCAATCTTAGCGTTGCTTCCGATCCGCGTGACGAGTCGCAACGGGCACCCGTCGAGTCGCCATTCGAGAGGCTCCGCAAGGAGCTCGAAGGCGACTTTGAGAAGGGCGATCGAAGACCAAAGCATCCTTACCCACAGGGCGAGGACCTGGCACCAGACCAAAAGGAGCTGACTGAGGGTATCGCGGAGCTTGGTCAACACAAGAGCTCGACGACACCAAAGCCGCCAAGCCATAAAGCGGTGACGCGCATCTTGGATTCGGCTGGAAAGCGACGCAGCGGCGGTCCTGGCTCTGTCGCCCGTGTGCAGGCCACTCCTCGGGGCAAAGCGAATCCGTTTGCAAACATCGACCAGAATGGCGAGGCCAAGACGACAGGGCGGCCGACGCCTTCGTCCTCGAGCCCGTCGAAGTGGAATGGAATTGCGGACCTGCGCAAGACGCCTCTGGCCAAGGTCAAGGACAAGAAGAAGCAGAGAGACGATGGCAAGGCACGAAAACAGGAGTGGGAAGCATCAGATGACGAAGAGAGCGGCTTCGGGCTGCCGGCAGGCATGAGCCCGCCGGTGACAATGCAATTCTCGGTCCCCAGGAGTCGCTACGCCAAGACACCCGCCAAGCAAGCAGCTCAGTTGATGGTCGATGACCTGCTCAAGTCGGTCCAGGCGAATAGCCCGGCAGCCAGAGCGAGGGCGCAGAAGCTTCGCAACTCTCAGTGGGAGCAAGACGGTGTCTCGAGATCAGGCGAGCCATCAACCTCGTCCAAGCCGAATCTGATCAACACACCTCTCAAGAAGGTCGTCAGCAGCTCGCGCAAGCGTAGAGACTCGCTTCCCACGCCTCCCACCATCACCAAGCGTATGGATGCGACCAAGACCTTTGGCCCCACAACGACACCTTCTGCGGCACCCTCTGCTCTGCACAGTGGATCCATCCCCGCCTCAACTTCCGCGTCCAGCGTCAAGTCTTCTGGTCAAAAATCGACTGCTGCCAAGCTCATCGATCGAGACGAGGGCGGCGGTGGAGGTTCTGAAGATGACGACGAAGAGGTGCCAGAGGACCTGGGCACAGGACTGTCCAAAGTGGCCATGGCAAAGACCTCGGCGGGTGTCGACAAGCTGCTCCAAGTCGATGACGATGAGGAGAGCGACGAAGAGAGCGACGATGACGATGAAGAGGAAGAAGAGGACTCAGAAGAGGACAGGGGCGCCCGTGGGGCAGCGCACAGGATGAGGACGACGGTGGCCTCGCCCCTGACAACGAGCAGCATGGCGAGCAGCAGTCGCAACATCGACCAGGACACCTTATTTGGGATCCGCGAGGTCGACCAGCGCCCGTCGCCTGCTGCGTCCGGCAGCAACTTCAGGCCGATGGGACAGGTCGACGAGACCGTGTACAACGGAAGACCACTACTGAGCGAAGGAAGGGACGACACATACAGCGCTCCGAGCCCGACTCCATTCGGGAGGCGGTGAAGTCAGCTTTATCTTTCCTTTCTGCCTGTACACCCGATTGTAATGTAGCGAATATGGGAGTAAAATTTGGGTAGCAAAATGTACACTATGGAGCCTGTAAAGAAACAGAGGAAGGAAGAATCTACTCCTCGGTCTTGGCCTTTTTGTTGGAGTCGCCAGCAGCGACAATCTGAGGAGGCTTCTGGTCGGAGGAGGCCGTCGCGCCTCCGTCGCCCCCCTTGTTCTGGTGGTGGTGGTGACCACCCCGACCACCTCCGCGTCCACCGCCACGCCCACCGCGCCCGCCTCGTCCGCCTCCCCTGCCACCTCGGCCACCCCTGCCTCCAAAGCTTCGCCCGCCCCTGTGGTCACCGCCGGTGCCAGCCTCCTTCTCCTCGCGCATGCGGATGAGGAAACCCGCCCTGAAGTTGGCTCGGTCGATGTAGAACTGCTTTTCGCGCTCTTCCGGGACCCGGCTCCACTGCACTGGCTTGCCGCCAACAAGGATGTTCTTGTTGTCGATTTCAGTGTACTTGGCATCGTCGACAGTCGCCTCGAAACCAACAGCGCCCTCGACGGCGCCATTGGGGAAATCGACAAAGGACGTGGGCAGGATCGTCGAGAGCGTCTCCTTGAGGTCTCGGTAGTTGCCTCCCTCGCCTGCGCCCGTGAAGCTCAGCACGCTTCCCTTGGAGTAGTTGAGGTCGTCGACGTTGCTGATCTTCTCGTCTTCGCCCGTCCGAAGCTTGCAGCCAAGGAATTCAAACTCGAGCGGCTTCTTGCGGTTCTCGCGCGCCTGCTCCTTGCGTGTCTCCGCATCGTCCTCTGCCTTGCGCTTGCGCGAGCTGCCGTCGGCGCTGCTGCCTCCGCGTGATTCGAGCTCCATCTCTCGGAAGGCGTTGAACTTCTTGGTGGGGCCCCGAGACTTGTCCTTGGCGCCGCGGTTCACCGCGCTAGGGTCAATGCCCTTCTCGGCCATCTTCATGTTGCAGTATGCGTCTCTGTGGCCATCGGTCAGCTCGAGCTAAGAAGCAGATGTGAAGGGTGTCCTGCATACACTCACTTGGACATGATGACAAGGGGTTCATCACCAAACTTGATACCCTCCGACTTGGCGGCCTCCTCGCCCTCCTTCTTCTCGCCAGCGCCAGCCGTGGCCAGGAACTTGTCCATGTCTTCGCTCTCGGCAAATTCGACAAAGACGCTGCCCTTGAACTTCCGCTTGTTCTTCTCGTCCCTCCTCATCCTGACCGAGTTGATCTTTCCAAACTGGGCAAAGAACTTCTCGAGCTCCTGCTGCAGCGTCTCGTGCTCCTCGGGGAATCCCTTGGCGTACACCGATCGCGCAAAGGCATCCTTGACGGGGACCAGGGGCTTCCTGCGCTTGACACGCTCGCCATCCTCGGACACTTCGAGAAACTCGCTGGAGCGCAGCACCTCTGCAATCTTCGGTAGCCCAATAGCATCCTTGATGGGCTGCATGCGCTTGAACGACGCGAGCGTGGCAATGGGAACGAACCCTTCGGGGTCCTTCCGTGTGAGCGTCCAGAGGAACTTGTCAAAGGGCAAGTTGGAGTCGTTGAAGTAGAACTCGACTGTGATTAGAGTCAGCCACGATGAGTCCGAGGGCCAAAGCGCAGACATCCGACGACTCACTCTGGCGGACGGCCTCCTTCTCGGCATCCTCGGGAGCCAGCGAAGCGGGAGCCTTCTCCTCGACGCTCACATCCTCCTTCTTCTCCTCCTCTGCCGGGACGGCAGATCCGTTCTTAGCGGGTTCAGTGTCGGCCATGATCTCTCTCGTGTCCTTGATCTCTGTCACAAAGAACAAGCTTTCGAAGTAGGAAGCTCTTGGGTCACAAAAAAAAATTCCAGTCGATTTGCTCACGTGTCCCTCGCACGTGTTGAACCACGTCGGGCACTCATCACGGTCGTCATGGTCATGGTCACGGTCACGGTCCCCTTGATGATGGTCCAAGATTGGAAACTCGGCTCTTTCTGATCTGCCCACAGGTCGAAAGAGAGTCAGACGTAGTGAGTCTGCGCCGGTATGTAAATTTCTAGCCTTCAGCGAAGGGTTGAAATGTCAAAGCCAATAATAGGAGACGAAGGACGATAGCGACACAACCTCAAAGGGACAAGCTCTACACTTCTCAACGGAATGCAGCTGTGTGTTTGACCACATTCGTCACTCCTCCCCCCTATCACCCCCTCCTCTCCCCTCCTCAAAAAAGGAAGGGCGACCTATGATGCTGAAAGTGTTTGCCCGAGCGGCTTCCACTAATCTTCGTTACCTGGTAAAACTAAAGAGATGATTAAATCGAGGCTGTGAATTGTGACTCTCAGAGAAGATATGGTCAACAAGGTTTGACCCAGCCTTCCTACCTTGACTCCAACTTGTCCGCAGATACTTTCGCACCATGACTGTACCGTAATACGCTGCCAACTCTTATTTTGCCTCAAGATGGTGAAAAGTGGCCGAAAGGTTGCTCGATTAAACCTTATACGGAATCCGAGTACTGTGGCAGGGCTCCCAGACTCACATTTGCGCAAAAGCAAGATCATGAGCAGTCAAGTTCTCTACTTCTGGCACGGGAAAGGGTAGACGACAAGGAGCGATGAGGTCTTCTCGGTCACGTGGAAAATTTCGAAGGCTCACGCTCACTTGCATCCGCGTCGGCGAAGCTGCGTTAAGTCTTAGCCTCACTCCATTCAACAACGTCGACGTCGCCTTGAGTGAGCCTGGTCGATCGGTCTTACTCGATGCAGAACAACGGAGGGGGAAATGGGACCCCCCCACTCCAGGGGCAGCCGACCACTCAGCAGCAGCAGGAGTACCGGGCTCGTCTGCAGCAGCAGCAGCAGCTTCAGATGGCGGCCTTGCGCGCGCAGGCCAATGGCGGGGCGCCCGCGGGGGCCGGGACCAACTCTCCACAGCCTCAGGGTCGGCCACCCCAGCAGCAACAACAACAACAGTCCCTGCAGTCGCAATCGAACAGGCCGCCACAGCAGCAGGCCCCGGCGGCAGGCTCGCCGCAGGCCCAAGCCGCGCAACTGCAAGCCATACAGCAGCTGCTCCAGCAGCGCCCCGAACAGTTCCAGATCCTCCTCAGCCTCGCACGAGAAGGCAAAATCAGCTCTGAGCAATTCCAGCAGGTCGGTCGCTTCTCTTTTGCCTGTGAACCAGAGACATTCAGCTGACAAATCCAATCATCCTCCTTTAGCTGAGGGCGGCAATGCAGCAGCAACAGGCACAGACTCAGGTTGGTCAGCCCGACGTAACCTTGAGGGGTCTCTGTGACTGACTGAGAATTCTTCATGACTATCAGGGAAGACCACCACAACAGCAACAACAACAACCACAGCAACAGCAACAACAGCAACAAGCGCAACAGCAGCAGCGGCCCCCTCAGGCGCAGGGAGCGCCCATGCAACAACAAAATTCACAGGGGCAGCAAGCTCGCCCACCACAGCAGGCCCAAGCGCAGGCACAAGGTCAGCCCCAGCCTCAGGCGCCAAATCAGGGACAAGTGGCGAGTCAGCAGCAGCAGCAGCAGCAGCAGCAGCCCCAGCAGAAGCAGCAAGGAGCTCAACAGCCTCGTCCACCGCAAGGTCAAGGTGGCCAGCCAGACTTCCAAGCCATCATGATGCAGCTGCAGAAGATGGCAGAGCCCATCCTGCGAAGGATCAAGGAGATTGAGACAATCCTGGGAGGGCAGACACCGGCACAAGGGACGCCAGAGCGGACGAAGCTGGAGACGGAGCTTGTCGACCTCAAGCAGCAGCAGCAGCGCCTCTCGCACCAGTTCCTCCTCGCAAAGGCCCACCTCGCCCAGTCCCAGGGGCTTACGGCACAGTCGCAGCAGCTGATGGCTCAGGCACATTCCATGAATCGGCCGCCCTCGCAGGCTGCTTCGTCTACCGCCTATCGTCCGCCTCAAGGCCAAGGCCAGGGACAACGGCCCTTGACTCCCCAGCAGCAACAACAGCAACAACAACAACAGCAGCAGCAGCAGCAGCAGCAGCAACAGACGAACCAGCAGGGCCAGGCATCAGCAGGTGGGCCAGGCACGCCTGCCTCGGCCACACGCGGCGGCGCGCCTGGTGGTCAGGCCTCGTCGCCTGCCGTTGGCCAGAGCAACACCCAGCTACCAGCCTCTGGCAGTGGGTCCACCAGCGGTGCCCACCCACACGTGCCGCCCGAAGCGATGATTCAGCGATCAGGCTCGGGCATTGGTGCTATGGGCGCAATCCCAGCCCACCTCAACGTGTCTGCCAGCGTGCCCGAAGGCTACCCTAATGCCAATGGGCCGAGAGCGACGCTGAGCCAGGGGCTGGGCACCCACCCGGTCCTGGGCACGCCTGCCATTCTGCGGCGGCCAGACGTCGGCAGCGGCAGCGGCAATGGCGCCGTGGGCGGTGGCGCGGGCGGGGGCGGAGTCGCAGGCGCGGGCGCCGGTAGCATCACCTCGACCAACCTCGAGGAGCTGCTGGGCTTCCGATCGGCCAAGGATGTCTCCAGGCCAGCAAACTCGGCAGGCGATGCCGAGGCCATCGAGAGCGGCAATCCAGACTACTGGGACAATCTCACAGGCAGGGGGACGGGTGCTGAGTCCCTGTTGAGCAACGCAGTCACCACGGCAGGCGCGGGCGGTGCGGCGGCATCGGGTGCGCTCGGAGGCGCTGGTGGTGGTCAAGCCTCGAGCGAGGCGGCGCCCTCCAACGACGGGCGACTGCTGACCAAGCGCAAGGTGCAGGAGCTCGTGGCGGAAATCGATGGAAACGAACGGCTAGAAGGCGACGTCGAAGATGTGAGTTCTTTTTGTCGCTGCTGCTGTTCATCTTGCGTGCATCTCGCTGACGAAGTGTCCGTGAACAGCTTCTGCTGGAAGTGGCAGACGAGTTTGTCGAGTCGGTCACGCAGTTTGCGTGTCGCTTGGCAAAGCACCGCAAGGGCGACCGACTCGAGGTCAGAGACGTCCAGCTCCACCTCGAGCGGTCCTGGAACCTGAGGATCCCGACGCCGGGCTCGGTGCCCGTGCCCCCACCGAGGATCCGCGGCGTGGGCACTGCGGCGACACAAAAGGGCGCGGGAGGCGCAGGGGGAGGGGTAGCATCAGGAGGAGGAGGAGCAGCTGCAGCTAGCGCCACGGCTGGCGGAGGAGGAGGAGGAGGCGACAAGTGATGCAGATTATTGACGACTATTTGCGCGATGTACAAATACAGACCAGACACCCCATTCACAGATTGAGACCTCTACAATGTCTAGCAATAGCATCTTTCTCTTTCTCTTTTGTTCACCAGGCTGCCGAAGAAGCGTCGAGGCTGAGGAGTGCGTCGCATGTATCCACCTCTTCCTCCAAGATTGTCTGAATGAGGCCGAGCGACTCCTTCTCTTCAGCCTCGCCGGCAAGGGCGACAAGATCAATAACCTTGTCCAGTCTCTCCCTCGCGACCCGGTGAGCCTCGTCGACGATGCTGCGGAGGATGCCATGCGCCCTCGCTTCGTTGTCGGGCGACACGAGGTCCCGCTGGCCCCACGTCATCTCGAGCCACATCTGGACGGAGTCGTCCTCCTCGCCTGCGTTGTTCGGTGGTGGTGACCCCGAGGCCCTCTTCCCTCTTTGTCGTTTTGACTCGCGCCGCGGTGGGTGTTGGTGCTGCTGCCGCTGCACGGGTCTTTGTTCACGAGCTGGCACCTGTTCGAGCGCCAAAAGGCGGAGCGCGACGACGAGCCTGTGCGAAGGGTGGGCCGGTGCGGGGTGTGGATGGATCGTGTAGTCTCTGATCGGACGACAGATTGTCAGTGTCACAGCAAAAGCCAGCTTGAGAGAGAAAGGGAAAAGGGCCAAACTCACCTCCAGTAGCCATTCTCCTGAAGCAGCTGCTTCGTGTCCTCTCGCTCGCGCTCTGGCCAGGCGTCGAGAAGGGCCTCGATGTACTTGTCGAGCCTGACTTCGACATAGGGATTGCCCGTCTCCCACGCCTTGCCGCTCCTGCCCAGCACGAAGCCGTACTCGGAGAGCAAGGTGCCGTTGCTATGGGCGCCATACGAGATGAAGAGCTCGTCGCCTCGTCGCAGCCCTGCGGGTCTCGCGGTCACTGACGGAGTGCGCAGCTGGAGGCCACCGGCGGCAGTCCATGAGACCTTGCATTCGTCAGCCTTGAGCCAGGTGTGGTTGCACATGTCGAGCACGGGCGCCAGGGTGAAGTTGTCGCTGTGAGGAGTGAGACCCAGGGGCAGGTAAACGCAGCGCGAGTTGACGCAGCACCAGGCCCATGCAAACGCGGTCAAGTCGATTGGCGATTCACCAGGAGCGGGCCTGAGCAGCTCGGGCCGTCGGTCCTGTAGGCAGGAGATGAGATGGAGAACACCTGTGAGAAGCGCAGAGGAGAATCTCTCACCTGAACGGCCTTTACTGCGGCCCAGTCCCAATCGAACTTGGCCCGGACCTGGCGACACAGCTCGGCAGTGGGCTCGGGGAGAAGGTCGATGACCGAGATCGTCTTCGTCCCGCTTAACGACCAGATCAAGGGCGACGTGGGAAACGCTTTCGGGAGCGAATCGACAAATGCGGCAATTTGACCGTCTCCCGTCGGAGGGCGAGCCTTCCATTTGGCCAATAGGGCCGCGAGGAGCTGGTACGAGGTGAGGGGGAGCAGCAGCGGCGTTTCCTGGATCTCGTGAGACTGGCCAAGTGTCTCTCTTGAGTGATGTCGCTCGTGCGACGGCCTATCTCTGGTCGGAACGAGGTCGCTGTGGAGCCACTTTTGTGCTGTGCGGGCGTTGATGAGTAGGGAGGGCGCAAGATCGAGTACGAGGGCGGCGGCGTCCGTGTCCCTCGTCAACACCAGGCCTCTGCCAGCTGCTCTTCCAATTCAGAGATACTCGCTCTTGCAACGAGGTAGGGATCACTCACCAGGGACCTCTTCGGAGACTGCCACCGGCCTGCTTGGGTCGCAGGCCTCAACGATGTCTCCCATCCGTCGTCTATGCTGTCTCTCTGCCAGAGTGAAGCGAAGAGGGAGTGAAACGGAAGAACTGGAGGTCCATGCACGCCAATTTTCCGGAAGACGGAATTTGAATCAGTGGGCGCGTCCATCCTACCATTTATTGTTTATTTGGACAGTCAGAGAGCGAAGGCCACCACCGCCATCACAAGCATTCTCAGAGGGGACAAAGATGGTCGATGGGTCCAACTGGATATGGAGTGAGTAGCGTGGAGCGACGGTGCTGCCTCTCAATACCTGCTGACAGCAAGGAGTGCCAGTCCTCATCGTCCTGGGCCCCGTAGGATGGCGCAAGTTGCAGTCGTGGCGCGCAACCAAGCGGGCTGAAGCAGCAGCAGCAGCTGCCACCTCTTCGTCACGGCCTGCTTCTCGTCGACCCTTCTTCCAGCTGCCAAGGCCTCTTTTCCTACCAAGCAACCTTCTGCTCTCGGCCGTTGTCATTGGACTCGTCGTGTACCACCTCAGGGTCCTCGTGCGCACCGCCCTGGGCCAGGATCTGCAGGACGGCGATGTCTTTCTCGTCTCTGGCACAGGCACGCGTGCCTCGGTCGCAGAGGTGCGCTCGCGCGTCGCCTCCATGTCCTGGTCCGAGCTCGGCTGGCGCAGTGCCTGGGGCGAGGACGGGCTGGAGATGCTGCTCCGGCGGCTGACGAGCTACGAGGGCCGGCGCCTGCATCTCCTCGTCGGCACCGCTCCTCTGCTCGAGTGCGCCTTTTGCACCACGGCCTCGGATCTCGCGCTTTACAGCCTCGCCGGCAGGCTCGTGCAGTACAGTGCCCACCTGCTCCTCTTTGGCCTGCTCACCCTCCGGTGCGACTCGCTCGAGGTGGTTGATGAAGTCTTTCGCACCCTCGGCCTCCTTCGCTCGCCCTCCTCTGCGAGCACGCCCAACGGCGCGCCGGTGCGCCCACACCGGGCTCCATGGAGAGGCACGGCCACGTATGTGCTGGTCGCCATGCTGCTCGTCGAGTGCGCCATCCTCTTTGACTTGTTCGACCTCAGCTTCGGCTACGGCGCAGGCGGCCGAAGCAGATGGAACCATGCAAGTGTCTTTCTTCCTTCTTTCTACCTGCAGAACTCATGCTGACATGACCAAGTCGGGGCGTTTTTTTTTTTTGCCACAGTGGCACGCCAATGTCCACCTGGCGCGGCACATTGTCCTCCTGCTCCTGAGCCTGAGCATCTACCTCCGCCCCACGCTGCCCCGGCCGCCCGCGCTCGTCGAGGCCGCCGTGCTCCTCGGCCGGCTGCGCACGAACCTCGAAGAGACGATGACGCAGGTCCAGACGCACCGCCTCAGCAACGAGGTCGTCTGGTCCGACGCCGGTCTCCGCCAAGCGGCCGGCCGCTGGTGGGACCACGTCGAGCAGCCGCCGTCGGAGGAGGAGCAGCAGCTGGACGGCGGCGCAGGCGTAGTGGACATCGGCGCGCTTCAGGGCAGGGCTAGAGAGACGGCTGCAAAAGTCTGGGCAGAGGTGGAGCGCAACTGGGCCAGGTGGGGGCCAAAGACGGTCCTCCTCGACCGAAGCCAGGACCAGCCGGTATCACAGAGTCAGAACACTGGCAGCAGCGGCGGCGGCGGCAGTAGCAGTAGTGGCAATGCAGACCAGCAACAGCAACAACCACCCTCCGTGGGTCCTCTGCAGGACTCGCGCGCGACAAATGTGGGCGGCCCAGGCGCTAGAGACAGCGAAGAGCAGCAGACTGGCAAGCCGGCCGTCCATTCGTCGGGACCATGAGACACATACTGTATATCCATTGCTCAATAATACTACTTGTGTGAACAAGAGATGAACAATCACGTCTTGAGAATGGGGTGCTCCCTCGGCAGGGGAAACTGCACCTGCACCGTGGGACAGTAGATGCCCACACCAAGCGTATGCTCCGCCTTGGGAAATGACGTTCCATCACCATAGTGTTTGTCGGACCCGATGGGCTTGCAGTAGGCAAGCGTCACTTTGCCGTGCTCAAACGTTGGGCACGTCGAGCGGTACAAGTTGTCGGGCTGCGACTCGATGGCGGCCGTGTCGCGCTCAGGGTACCGCTTGCCTCGACGAAGCGGTGGCTGGTAGAGGGGAATCGAAGGAAGAAAGGGGAGATTGGTGTTGAGGGGAAAGTAGGGCAGCCAGGAGGACTGCTGCAGTCGTGCACTGAAGAAGGGCGCCTCTCCGTCTGCTGCTGAAGAGGAGGAGGAGGAAGCGAGTGGCGACGTCGAGGGATGCGACACGCTGACGGTCTGAGTCTGAAAACGCGTCGCTCGCATTGGGTGGGACCACTTGAAGTCTGCGCGATGCTTGGGGATATTCCAGTTGCGGCGCCCGTTCCAGACGCTGGCATCCGTCGAGACGTAGATGTTTGTGATGCGTAGCCCACGCGTCTTGGTCCGGGGCGAGTCGAACATGCCAGCGACATAGATGAGCTCGTCATAGGGTCCTGCTGGGCTTGACGCGTACCGGTACAGCAGCCAACCACCAGCGCCTCCAAGGAAGCGATCGAGGGCAAGCCATGATGAGGCATCTTCGAGCGGGTGGATCGAGCCCGGCTCAAGACCGGCCGTGTCTTGGAATGACTGGATGCGGGCCGAGGTGCTCCAGTTGGGAAATATCCACGTCTCGGCGTCCAGTGTCCATGGCGGAAGCGCCTCGGGCACACCCTTTGGCGGCTGGGCGTGCAGTGGAAGCGACATTGGGCGGCAGCGAAAAGCAAAGGAGGACGGGACTCTTTTTGTCCGGCTTTTTTTATGGCTCGGTGACCGGGGGGGAAGATGTCCAGGACTAGCCGCGCACGGCCTTCTAAGTTTGTCACAATTTTGTCACCCAGCCTGCCTCCTTGTCGACGTCTCGAGTTGAGCCGATCACTGGCTTGTACCTATGAGTTTGGTGTCAGCCTCATATCGGCAGCTAGAAGGCGCTACTACTCAGAAAGAAACTCACTTTTGCTGTCGTGCGCTTGCTGCACCTCGTCTTCGTCATCGTCATCGTCTTCTTCAACGTCGTCGTCGTCTTCCTCCTCCTGCCCTTGCTTTCCTCCGTTCTTTGCTTTTCTATCGCCGTCCACCTGCTCGTTCCCCAATGCATCTTTCCAAGCCGTGAGGTCGTCGTTGACCTTTTGCTGCACCCGGTCGATTGCATCAATGAGCGAGGGAAGGTGACGGTCGTCTTTCTCGATGTTCTCGACGATAATGCCTTGCTTGTCGAGCTTGAGGTCCTTGGAAGACGCCAGCGAGGAGCTGGAGGGGTCGACCTTCCACGCCGCGCGGAATGATGCCATATCTTTCCTGTTGCTTGTTGTCTGTCGTCAGATGCGGGAGCAAGTCGGAAGCGCTGCTGAAGAGAGGGGGAAAGAAGGGAGGTGATTGAGGAAGACAGAAAAGAACGTCGCGCCTCGGAATTCGGGCCTCGAAGATTTTCCTCTGACATCAACCAATACGCACGCACTCGAGCCTCTCCACTAACGGATCTCTTTGGCATCGACAGAAGGAGGAGGTCCGACCGGACGGGGGCCTGTCAGGGAGAACAAGATGTCGCTGACACGCTCTGCCGCGGTCGGGATACGCTCCAGCAGGCGCGCAAGCCTCCATCTCCACGCCACCGCGAGGCGCCTTGGAGTAACAGAGGGGTCCCGTGTGACGCAAGTCGCTGCACCCCGTCGAATGGCTGTGTCGAGAGGCTTTGCAACAGCGACCCCCAATCTCACTTCCACTCCCACGACACTCGTCGATGGGCAACAGGACGAATCAGACGTCGTCGTCATTGGCGGGGGCGTCGTGGGTCTGTCTCTTGCGTGCTCACTGAGTGAGTTGCGTCCTTCCTCTCCAACCCGGACCGACACTGTCCAAGTAGTGCTGACAATTCCCTCTGGCAGTCTCGAGCCCGAGCTTTGCCACCTCTGGCAACAGCCTGACGCTCATCGAAGCATCTGATCTTGACCGTTTCCGGACATGGGCCGAGACAAGACAGAAGGGAGGTGCGGCAGACGAAGCACGGCCGCACGATGGTATCGACTGGGAGAACCGGGTCATCTACCTCACCGAGGAGAATCGCGCTTGGCTTGACGGTGAGAATTCTGTTGATACAGTTTGCTCTGAAGCCTACGCTGAGAGCGACCCTTGTGAACAGACATTGGCGTGTCGCAATACCTCGAGACACAGAGGCTGGGACCGGTGCATTCAATGCACGTCACCGATGGACTGACTGGTGCCGCACTCGACTTTGACATTGAAGATGGCGGGAGAACGGCCGCAGAGGCACGCCTGGGCACAATGGTTGAGATTTCGAACCTGCAGCAAGCCATGATCCGCCGGTTGGACGATGCTGCGAAACAAGGCCTGCCTGTCAGCGTGCTGCAAGGCACCAAAGTAGCGCGCATCGACGCCTCGACGGGCGCATCTTCAAAGGATCCCTGGCCGTTGCTCACTCTGGACGAGGGCAGCCAACAACGACGTCTGCGTGCGAGGCTCCTCGTCGGTGCAGACGGCCACAACTCGCCTGTGCGGTCCTACGCCGGCATTGGTGCATTCGGGTGGGACTACGACCGCAAGGGCCTCGTCGGCACCCTCCGACATCGGCGCCCTGGCATGGCCGAGGAGCAGCCGCGCACGGCATTCCAGCGCTTCCTGCCGACGGGCACGATTGCATGGCTGCCACTGTCTGAGCAGACGTCGTCCATGGTCTGGACACTGCCGCCAAAGATGGCCGAGGCATTGACGAAGATGCACCGAGAGTGTGCAGCGACAGCAACAAGGCAGACGCTGCCCTTGGCCCATCTCATCACGGCCGCCTTTCGCCTGCCCTACGCTGCCCTGAACGATGTCCTGTGCCGCATCGTTGCGCAGTGCGAGTCCCCCTCTGCATCTCCGGGTCAGGACTGGAGCTGGGTCGTGGGCGCTCTCGAAGAGCACCTCATCGCAGCAGCAGCATCGTCCAGCTCGACGCCGCACGCACCAGCAGGCCTGACCATGACCGAGTCCGAGGTGCCGCCGCCCGTGGCCTCGGTCGACGCAAAGAGTGTCGCCTCGTTTCCCCTGCGCCTCTCGCACGCCGACGCCTACCTCGGCTCATCGCTTGCCAACGAGGCAGACGCCAGCACGTCGGGCGCCGCCGCCTTTACGCCGTCCTTCTTCCTCGACAAGGCCCTCGCGCTGGCCAACCTCAAGAGCGGCGGGCAGAAGGGCGCACCAGACGCGGACGCACGGCCCCGGACCGCCCTGGTGGGCGATGCAGCACACACGATCCACCCGCTCGCGGGCCAGGGCCTGAACCTGGGCCTGGCCGATGCGCGGTGCCTCTCGCAGGCCCTCGAGAGAGCATCGGAGCGCGGGGCCGACCTGGGCGCCCATGCATCACTGTCCGCCTACCCGCGGGGCCGCTACCTGGCGAACCAGGCGGTGCTCAGCGCCGTCGACCACCTCCACTGGCTCTTTGTCGTGCCGCCGCCGCTGTCATTCACAGGCGAAGGGCACGGCCAGGCAGGGAATGGCGTCGTGCAGGAAAGCGTCGCGAGGGCGGCCATCTGGGCACGGAGCACCGGCTTCGAGGTCCTCAACGAGCTCGGCAGCGTCAAGCGCGCCATCACCTCCTTTGCCGGCTCCACCACGTCTTCCAGACGGCGATAGCAAGACAGAAAGAGAGTTTGCCATTATCCAGAGGGCCCTGTATTATTTTCTCACAAAAAAAGGAAAGAAGGAAAAACAGAAGAGACAGATGACCAGAAGAAGAAGGCTACATGCGCATCTATCTATTTTGAGTGACTGATGGAGTGAGATCAGCTGGTGGGCGCGGCACTATTGCTGCCCTGCACCTTGTTGGCGATGATGTCGGCGCCCCGCTGCGGGTGCGCGCTCGCGACGCCGCCCAGCTCCCGGAGCGCCTCGAGGCCAGCGAGCCGTCTCTCTTCCCACTCGGCCATGCTCCAGCTCTTTGGATCCTGCCAGCTGCCGAGGCCCTCCTGCTCCTGCTCGTGCTCCTCGGTCCCTTGTTGTTCCTCCTCCTGCTGCTGCTGGCCCGGCTTGCGCGAGGGATCGTAGGCGGCGAGAATACCAGCGCTGCGCACGCCGCCGCCGAGGATGACATTGTCGCGCGGGAGCGGCCGGCCCGTCTGCTGGATGTGCCGCTTGCTCGCGCGGCTAAAGACGGAGCGGCGCAGCGCCTCGGCCTTGTCCCAGTTTGCGCGCGTCGAGGCAAAGGTGCCGTAGCCCGACGTGGCAATGATGAACCACGGCGGGATCGTCTTGCGGCCCGACTTGAAGCAGTACCTTTTTGCGTGAAGAAGCGGCAACAGCTTGGGTTAGACAAGAGAGGGGACAATCAAGGTAGAGCAACGTCACACCCACCGGCTGATGCTGGTGCAGTACAGCTTGCGCCGGTCGACGGCGCGTGCCTGCTGCGACGGCGCGCCGTTGCTGCCGCCGTCCTCGACGTCGGTGCCCGTGACTGACTCTTTAGCACGCTTGGCCTTGCGGGCCTCCTCGGCCTCGTGGCTCGGCTTGACGACGTCCTTCATGAGCTCGCGCAGGTTCTGCGCGCTCTTGCTCCGCTTCACGCCGCCGGGACCAGCACCGCTAGACCGCGCACTGGGGCTCATGAAGCGGGCGACGACGTAGAGCCACTTGTCGTCCCAGGCACCCACGCTCATCTCGATTTCGTACTTGGACAGCGCCGGGATCTCGGCGTGGTAGGTAAAGGCCGAGCCGCCGAGGGCCATGCGGGCGCCGTCAAAGTGCATGCGCAGGAAGCGGCCCGAGAGGTGCTGCATCCGGGCGAAATCGAGGTTCTTGGCGTAGCTCGAGTTGGACAGGTGGCCGTTGAAGTCGCAGTCGTCAAACGAGGCGCGGATCGAGACGACGGTCTTGTCGAGAAAGATGTCGCGGCCGAGGGGCAGCGCGTCCAGCCGCAGCTTCGGCGGCACCCCGGGCGTCGTCGTCGGGTGCTTGTTGGAGCGGATAAAGGGGATCAGCGGGTGGATCGAGGGCCGAGCGACGGCGCGGGCCCAGATGGCGGGGGCAAAGACGCGGACATGCCACACGAGGGGGAAGCTCTTGATGTTGGCCAGAAGCAGGACGGCGACAAGGTACTTGAGCCAGCTGGGGATGCTGTCGATGACGAGCGACGGCAGCATCTCGAGGATTGCGGGCGACAGCAAGCTGCGCAAGAGCCGCCGGACATAGTACGGCGGGATCACCTCGGGCTCGAGGACCTTCTTGGAGCCAGCCATTGCCGTCGGCGCGTCTAGCTCTGCTCTTCGCTTTGTCTAGGGCGTCGAAGAATGAAAAAAAAAAAAAGAAAGCGGGAGCAGAGTCTGCTAGTAGACACGCTCTTCTATATCGTGGGTCGCGAACCGAACGAGTGGCGACGAGGCAGAAAGAGCCCCAACAAGGAAGCAGGGGCACACAAAGGGCGGGAAGCAGTCAGGTTGTGAAAAAGGCCAGAGGAGCGACGAGCATAGAGCGGTGATCCTTGCCCCATGCGGGGCTCACACACTCCCGAGTTCCGGCCCAGGCGTCCGCCGGCTACTCCTCCCCCCACCTTCTCCCACGCCTCAAGAAAATCAGAGCTCTAGCTGCTGTCCAGCGAGCTAGCGAATTGCTTCAACGACTGACTGCTCCGAGCGAGACACCATGGCTGCTGCTACGCGGGCCATCGCCAGGCTGGACCAGGCCTCGACGGTGCTGTTCGTGTGCGATATCCAGGAGCGCTTCACCAAGGCCATCTACGGCTTCGATCGCATGGTCGATGCCTCGGCCAAGCTCCTTCGCGGCGCCTCCATTCTCAACGTGCCCGTCTTCGCCACGGAGCAGAACCCAAAGGGTATGCAGATTCGGTCTTGATTGCTTGCTCTACTTCAAACACAGCTGCTCAAGCACGAATCTCTCCTCCAACAGCCCTTGGCGCGACGGTGCCGGCACTGACGCAGCATTTCCCAAAGGATGCCGTGACTCTTGCCAAGACACGCTTCAGCATGTGCCTGCCCTCGGGCGAGACGGCCGACTTCCTGACCAAGCACAAGGCCAAGTCGGTCATGATTGTCGGCATCGAGTCGCACGTCTGCGTGCTCCAGACCACCCTCGAGCTCTTGGCAAAGGGCTACGATGTCTTTGTGATCCGTGACGCCATCAGCAGCTGCAACCGCGAGGAAGTCTCGACGGCCGTCGAGGTGCGTTTGCTCTTGGATCGCACCAGCTTTTTATGAATGCATTGTGCTGACCAGAAGTGGAACCCGTCTCCAGCGAATGCGCCAGGCGGGTGCGACAATCACCTCTTCCGAGAGCGCCCTTTTTGAGCTCATGCGTGCGTTGAAAATGCCACCAGCTTCTCATCACAGCAGCTGATGGAATGAAACTCTTCACAGTCGACGCCAGCCACCCAAACTTCAAGACAATCTCTGGGCTTATCGTGAGTCGATCAACCTTGGTCATTGATAGTAATAGTACGGTGAATTTTCGCTGACTTTCTGGCTTGGGCGATCGTAGAAGGAGGAAAAGGAACGGACAAAGGCGTCGCTGGAAGCACTTGTGCCCGCCGCTCGTCACTGATAACTTATCTCTCTGGCTTATTATTGCTATCACCATCGCCAACCCCCAGCCCTGTAGGGGCGCCTTTGGTGAAGTCGAGCGAAGTCCGGTGATGTAATCCGATTTCGGCTTTGCAATTTTCTTCTTCCTCTTCAGCTTTGGCTTTTTATTTATTTATCCATTTTGGAGTGCGTCATGACTCTTTGATTGGTAAAGCCGTCTTCTCCACCAGATTCGTGTGACTTGGATATCGGCTTGAGGCTAATAAGACGCCAGGCTAAGATGATGCGCCTCCGTCCCTTCCCCCCGCTCTCCCCACTTGGACGAAGACTCGTCCGTGGACAACAACAACAACAACAACAACAACAACAGCGCTCTCTATCCCTGTCGAGAAGTAGCCTCGCCGCCGCCCCTGCCATGGCTGCCTCGTCTTCTTCCTCGTCTTCCTACAAGCCCGTGCTGACCGTCGAGTCCATCAACCCGCATGTGCCCAACGTCGAGTATGCAGTGCGGGGTGAGCTGTCGAACCGCGCCAACGACTACGCCAACATCCTGGCCGAGGGCAAGGGCAAGGAGCGGGGCCTCGCCTTTCCCAGCGTCGTCAGCGCAAACATTGGAAATCCGCAGCAGCAGCCCTTTCTCGCGCAGAAGCCCCTCACCTTTTGGAGGCAGGTCGCTGCGCTGACAGAGTACCCTGCCCTGCTCGATGCCAAGCTGCCCGACGACGTGTTCCCGCGCGACGTCAAGGATCGGGCGAGGCACATCCTTGACGATGTCGGCAGCGTGGGTGCCTACTCGCACTCCAAGGGCGCTGCCAGCATCCGCAAGCACGTCGCAGAGTTCATCCAAGGTGTGTTTTTAATTTCTTCTTTCGAGTATATGCCAGCTGACACTTATCGAGCCGTCGCATTGCCATTGCAGAACGAGATGGACACCCCTCGGATCCAGAAATGATCTACCTGACGGCGGGCGCGTCTGCCGGCGTGCAGCTCCTCCTCTCCATCCTCATCGCAGGCCCCCAGGTGGGCGTCATGATCCCGATTCCCCAATATCCCCTCTACTCTGCCGCGCTGGCCTTCTACGGCGCACAGCCGGTCCGGTACTTCCTCGATGCGCACCACGACTGGGCCATCGACGTCGACGCCATGGCGCGCCAGGTCGACGAGTCGCGGCAGAAGGGCATCGACGTGCGTGCCTGCTGCGTCATCAACCCGGGCAACCCCACGGGATCATGCCTGTCGCGGAAAAATATCGAGGACATCCTCAAGATGGCCCACGACAAGCGCCTCGTCGTCATGGCCGACGAGGTGTACCAGGCCAACATCTACCAGCCCGACACGCTTCCGTTTATCTCGTTTAAAAAGGTCCTGCGCGACTTTGAAAAGGACGAGGCGACAAAGAACATCGCTTCCGAGGTCGAGCTCGTCAGCTTCCACTCGATCAGCAAGGGCGTCAGCGGCGAGTGCGGCCGGCGCGGCGGTTACTTTGAGCTGACAAATATCAGCTCCGACGTCGAGGCCCAGGTGTACAAGATGGCGAGCGTCAACCTGTGTCCCTCGCTGCAGGGCCAGATTGGCGTCGATCTCCTCGTGCGCCCACCCCGGCAGGGTGAGCCGTCGTACGAGCTGTGGAAGCACGAGACGCAATCGATCCACGAGACGCTCGAGGCGCGCAGCAAGAAAATGGCTGGCAAGTTCAACGAGCTCGAGGGGATCCAGTGCAACGAGGCCCAGGGCGCCCTCTACCTCTTTCCCGAAATCACACTGCCGCAAAAGGCCATCGAGGCCGCACAGAAGGAAAAACGCCAGCCGGACCTCTTTTACTGCCTCAAGATGCTCGACGCCACGGGCATCTGCGTCGTGCCTGGCAGCGGCTTTGGCAAGATGCCCGACTTGGAGCAGAGAAAGGTGTTTTTGCGGACGACGGTCCTGGCAAAGGAGACGGACGAGTTTGTCGAGCGCTTCGGCACGTTTCACAAGAAGTTCCTCGAGGAGTATGCCTAGAAACATCCGCACCTATATTGCTCTTCCTTACCAGCGGGTTTGCTAGCAATTATGTAGAAAAGAAATGAAGAAAAGGGAACACAAAGGTCCATAGCACATGCAGAGCAATAAAGCAGCGATTGGTTCAATCATTATTGCGGGCAGTGTGGGGAAAAGCAGGGAGGCGTGGATCCGAGAGAGAGGGGAAAGTCTGAATGATGAATATACAAGAGACGAGGTGGTGGAAGCATTCGTAATGAGAAGATGAAGAAGAAATAAAAGAAAGAAACTCTAGGCAAATTCAATGTCGGTGAGCTGGTCGCCAAAGGTGGTGCGGAAGTAGTCCTTGATGTAGTTGTCCTTCATCTTCCACGGCCACTCGCCCGTCGACTTGGGGAAGATGCCCTGGGCACGCTGGATGTAGCCGGCGTTGAGGTTGATTGTGGGCGCCTCCTTGTCCTTGGACTTGGGCAGGCGGGGCGTGGCCACCTTTTTACCGTTGAGCTGCATGTGGTTGAGCAGGTTACCGACGTACTGCGAGCACAGGTCCGAGCCGAGGGTCCACGAGGCGTTGGTGTAGCCAAACGAGAGCGCGAGGTTGGGCACACCGTCGAGCATCTGGCCGCGGTAGATGGTCTTCTTGCCCGTGTCGACCTTGCGTCCGTCGACGATGAGGTCGCAGCCGCCAAAGAGCTGCACCTTGAGACCCGTAGCCTGGACGACGAGATCAGCATCGAGGACGGTGCCGTCCTTGAGCCGGATGCCTGATTTTGTGAATGTGTCAATGTGGCCGGTGGCAATGTCGCCAGTTCCCTCGCGGAGCGACGCGAAGAAGTCGCCGTCGGGGACGATGCACACGCGCTGGTCCCATGGGTTGTAGCTTGGCTGGAAGTGAGGGTCGAGGGGGATGCGACTGGGCAGCTGGCGGGCCGTGAGGAAGCGGATAATGCGGCGCGCGGCGCTGGGGAACATGCGGCAGAGTACAAAGAAGACGGTGAAGCGGATCGAGTTTCGCACGCGCATGTACCACGACACAAACGCCCTTGGCAGGAACCAGCCGAGGACGCGGGCCACGGGGTCAACACGGGCGAGGAGCATGTAGTAGCCGGGCGAGCGCTGCAGCATCGTCGCGTGCTTTGCGCCGCCCTTGATCATGTTTGGAAGCAGCGTCACGGCCGTGGCACCGCTGCCAATGATGACGACCTTCTTGCCCGTGTAGTCGTGGTCTTCGGGCCAGAACTGGGGCTTGAGGATCTCGCCCTGGAAGTCCTTGGCTCCCGGCAGATCGGGGTAGTAGCCCTCGTCGTACGAGTAGTAGCCCGAGCAGGCAAAGACAAAGTTGGCCGAGACGAGCTTCTCCGAGACGACGTTTCCGTTGCCGTCGGTGATCTCCATCTTGAGCGTCCAGCGCTTCTCCTTGGTCGACCACGAGGCCTGGATGACCTTGTGGTTGTACTGGATCTTCTTGTCAATGCCAAACTCCTTTGCCGTGTCCTCGATGTACTTTGCGATGTCGTCGGCATCCGCAATCGATGTGTTGCTCTTCCATGGCCGGAAGGGGAAGCCTGAGAAGAGCACAACATCAATTAGCACAGGGAAAAGAAAAAAAAAAGGTCAAGGGGGAAGCTCTAGGCGACGCACCAAGTGTGTACATGTCCGAGTCGCAGCGGATGCCAGGGTAGGTAAAGAGCCGCCATGTGCCGCCGAGGACGGGCTTTTGCTCGTAGATGGTATAGCTCAGGTTTGTCATTTCCTTGAGCCTGTAACCAGCTGTGAGAAGGATTGAATTTTGCCATCAGCCGACAGGTTCAGACATCTGGTGGGCGCTGTCCGTTCTACTCACCATCAATGCCTGAGAGACCGGCGCCAATGACGGCCACGTCGACCTCTTCCTTTTCGATAGCCATAATGGATGAAGGAGGAGGAGGGTGCGATGTGAAGAGAGTACGTGAGGTGGTGGATGTGTGAAAAGAGAAGCTGGAGAAACGTAAGAGTACCCCAAGTTATACACTCGCCCAATCCGCTCTCGCTCTTCTCTCACACACACTCTCACGAGGAAGGCGCACCCATTATTTCGTTGCTAAGTCAGAGGATTGCTTTTCACAAATGACGGTTCCACACTCCACAGCCTGCAAATTTACCGAGCTTGAATCCGGATGCGAGCTGACCGAGGCCGACGCGCAGTGCGCCTAATCAAATCTCTACAGATTCAGGCCGATTTGCTTATGGAAAAGGGCTTGTCCCACTAGTACCATTACAGTCAGCCGCGAGTTGCGGAAGGCGGGAATCGGAGAGCAAGCGTTCTTTCGCGCCACATGTTACTCGCCTACGTGGCTTGTCATTTCATTCCGTCACTGACGGACTGACGGAATGGCCCTTGAGGCGATATCGGCCGTGCCGACGAAGGAAAATTTTAACTTATCAGATTTACACTGGATATGGGAACACTACTGTCTCCGCCTCTTGCGCTCCTCCGACAGTCGGACCGAAGAAGTAGGAACGATCGGTGCTGAGTCGACAAGCCCTTACTGTTGATCTAGATAGGAGTTGGAGAGGCAGGACCTCTTTGTCGACTCGACAGTATACATAAATAGAGACAGAAAGACGGCAATCTCCCCTTGGCGCCACACGTCTACCTAACTCTTTTCTCTCCGCTCGACAGAAGTTTCTTTTGCTTTTCCACCTTTCATGGCCCTTTTGCGCCTCGTCCAAAGACCACTTCACAGTACCGCCTCGTCACGACTGAGCATCCTGCAGCGCATCTTTGCGAGCATGTCGGCACCGATCTCCTCGTCAGCCGAGGCAGTCAAGCCGGCCTCGGGCCACACACCGACGCGCACCGTCCTTGTTCTCGGCGCCTCGTACGCGGGACACCGGGCAGCGCAGATGCTTTCCACCCAACTGCCACCAGACTGGCGCGTCGTGGCGCTCGAGCGCAACACCCACTTCAACCACCTCTACGCCTTTCCCCGCGTCTCGGTGCTGCCCGGCCACGAGCAAAAGGTCTTTGTGCCCTACACGCGCATCTTTAATCCTCCGACCGGTCCCCCGGCGATTGCAAAGCAGAGCATCGTTGTCCAAGGGTCCCTGACACACCTTGGAAAGCCTGAGCCGGGTCAAGTGGGTAGGGGTGTGGCCCGCTACCTGCCTGTCGACAAGGACAAGGAGGAGAGCATCGCCTTTGACTACGCAATCTACGCCCTCGGAAGCCAGCTGCCGCCACCGATCAACGTCTGGTCCACAGCCTCGTCCTCGTCATCAGAGTCGAAGAACGGGATTCTTGATCCGAGCGAGACGACGTCTCGCAGCAAGGTCGAGGAGGCCTACAGGGAACAGATTGCCGAGCCCCAGCAGCCCGGCAGTAAGAAGAAGGGCATGGACTGGCTCAAGGACACGCAGAAGAAAATCAGAGACGCGCACAGCGTCCTGGTCATTGGTGGCGGAGCTCTGGGGGTGCAGTATGCCAGTGACATTGCCTATCTCTACGGTACACCCACAACCGCGCCTGTGCACCCGCAGGAGGAGCCGAGCGGCCCGAGAAAGAAGGTGACGCTCCTGTCCTCGCGCTCCCTCCTTCCCCGCTTCCGGCCCTGGATGCACGAGGAGGCAAAGAAGCGGCTCGAGGCGCTCGGCGTCGAGGTCATTACGGACGCCCGTGCCGATCTGAGCACGCTCGACGACAGCAAGGACGCCAGCAACAAGGACCGCGTCATCAAAACGCTTGACGGCCGCCAGCTCCAGGCCGAGGTCGTCCTCTTCTGCACGGGTCAGAGGCCCAACTCGTCGTTCGTCGAGGCGGTTGAGCCGGGTGTCGTCAATGAGAGCAACGGAATGGCCTTTGTCAATCGCCACCTCCAGCTCGCGACGCCTTCGAAAGAGGGCGAGCCGCAGACAAAGCAGGGTCTCAACCACATCTTTGTCGTCGGAGATGCTGCAGACGCCTTTGATGCCCTCAATGCAGGCCACACTGCCTTTGAGCAGGCCAACTACGCTGCCCGAAATATTGCTCGTCTGGTCGCGTCCGAGCGTTCGCTGGAGAATGGTTTCGCAGGTCTGTCCGTAGAAGACGGAGGGGACGAGAAGCAGCAGGGGTGGGAGGAGTGGGAGAAGCGAAAGGCGGAGCTGGGCACAGAGCTGGAAAAGTACGAGCCAGAGGGACATCGGATCAAGGTCTCGGTCGGCTTCAGAGAGGCCATCATTCAGCGTCCAACGGAGCACATCACCTCCAGTGAGGGCGCAGATGATCTCAACACGCCAAACATGTGGAAGAACAGGGGTCTGGACACGGCCGACTTATTCGTATAGACTAGCAATCGAGTTTCAGAGACACAGAAGCCAATGCACTCATGTTGTTGATACACATTGAAAAAATACACTACAAGAATGGACCAGATCAAGCGGAAAGACGGGGACATGACTCTGGCATGATGTTGCCCAGGTTCGGAATCACTCCCGGCTCGTCCACTGTGGCCATTGCGAGGCCCGACACCATATGAACGAGGACATGACTGTTTGTATTGTATCAGTGTATGCAACGAGAGAGCAAGGGGCGGACGAGTGCGACCAACTCACCAGTGAAAAGCCCATACACCAGGATTATCCATCCGCCACCTCAATACGGCATAGCCCAGCGCTGGCACGTGAACAGTATCCCTCTTTGCCCGTCCCTTGAGTTCGTAGGCTTGACTCCGCTTTCCCTCTGGATCAAAGTAGAAGCTCGGGATCATATTGGGAGACTCTTCAGTCTCCATGACCCAGAAGTGGTGGCCGTGGAGGTGAAAAGGGTGCGGTGCCTCGTCTTTGTTCTGAACAATCAGCTCAATCGTCGTTGGGCGATCATCTCTCCCGGCGTGTCCTTCGAAGATGAGCTGATTTCTGGACGTCTCGCGCCGCCCTCCTTTAAAGTATGACTGTAGGATTGGCTCAGTCGGAGCGCGCCAAGTTGACTGGTTGAGGTAGCCCACGGGGACAAGGCCGTGTCGCTCCATCTTTGGCATCGTTGCTGTAACGACCACTTTGATGTCACCCTTGGCCAAGTCCAGCGCTGGCGCTGCTTCCTCTTCCTCGAGCAACGGCTTCAACAGGGCTAGATCGACGTCGTGACATTCTTTGCCGTCTTCAGGCGAAGCTGGCCATGCCTCGGTCGTCGGCAATGAAGGGGCAAAGGGGAGACCCCGGCTTCGGAAATCGAGCCCTTTGTTGCTCTCGAAGGTTCGACTAGATGGGGAGGCATAGTCGACAATTGCGAGTGTCGTCAGATTCAACGAGGGATTGGCCATGTTGAAACACCGGCTGTCCATTTGAGCACGCAGCCAGAAGCGCGAGTGCTTCACCCTTGTATCCGGGCTTTGGACCAAGACAGAGTAGCGCTGACCGGGTGCGATGGACAAGCGACGGCTTTTGAACGGTTTGATGAGGGTTCCGTCAGCCTCAATTACTTGTAGTGCGTGACCATCGATGCTAAAGATCATATCGGCCAATGCGCCTACATTAACCAATCGCAAGCGATACGTCTTTCCTCGCTCCCACTCGAGTGTCGAATAGCTTCCCAGACTTTGGTCGCATCGGATCCCATCAACCATGTTTCTCGCGCATTCGAAGATGTGCCGCCCGTTGATCAGGCCGGAATCGGGCGTGGGCTCATAGCCGAGGGAGTAGCGCGACATGAACCACGAGATCTGCTCGGCGCCCGGCTTGTGGTAGTGATCACCAAGTGCCACGACTTCTTCTTTGTCCCACCTGAGACCAGCCCGTTGCACGAGATTGGCCCGCTCTTTCTTGCTATGCACGATGAGGCTCCCCCACAGCCCGTCGGAGCGAGACATGCCAATGTGGCTATGCCACCAATGCGTGCCCGCATCCTCCTCTTGGAGCTGGAACGTGTACGTCTTCTCCTCCCCGGGCCCGAATGCGCACGAAGTGAAGCCATGGGCTCCATCGGATTGTGGGCTCCCTCGCATCGAGAGACCATGCCAGTGGATAGACACTTTGCTGTCGGTGTCGACATCATAGACTTCGTGCATCATCGTGGAGTAACGCTCCCGTTCCGGATGCGAGATGTTGCGCGGTAGGCGGTTCCTGACTACAACAGAGATATGGTCCCCGACGTTTCCTTCGAAGCAGTGATGAGTTCAGCTGGCTCGTGTTTCGAGAGGCGCAATGAGCTGCCCACCTTGGATCGTTGGGCCAGGGAATCGACCATTTACGGTGATCATGTCCCGCTTGACACCATCAGGAGCCAGCTCTGTTCGTTCAACGGTCCAATCGTAGTACCTCGTTGTCGGCACCTCATCTTGGTGAAAGACAGCGCCAATACTTTGGTCCAGGTATCGATGGTCTGGAGAACCAAGACGATAATGGTGCACGTACAGCAACGATGTTAGCAACAACCCGGCCACCAGAAGCGCGAGCCTCGTTGACAACGAGGACAGCGAACACGACCTCTTCATTCAAGGAGCCTCTCCTCACTCCGTTCCTTGGTGTTGGAAAGTCAAGCGGCGACCGACGGTTGACTCTATCCTTCCTATCGGCAAACCGGCCGTGCTTCAAAAGACTACGGACTTCTCGCCGGACCCTGGTCTTGCACTAGACCAACGTGCATTCTCTCCGCTGCTTCTCTGCTAAGTCAATTAAGTCCTTAGTCGAGGAACAGCATTGCAAATTGATCCTCTGGAAGTAGCCTATCGCTGCCTCTCCATGCTCGAGTGAGGGAACGTGGACTAGGCTTGCTAGGCTCCGGATCTTCTTTCTTGAACCCTTAGCGCGCTTTTTTTGATGCAGGCAAAGTAACTTTAGGCTCAAAAAGATTGAGCTCTTTCCCACCGAAGACGAAGAACCAACGGCGAGCAGCGCAATTCAAACAGAAAGACGGAGGAAGAGTGTGGGAAGTCGCTTCCTTCGCTCGCTCCGAAACGTGTACAACACTATGTGCTGTACATCAAATTGATGCGTGAAGACGGTTGAGGTGGCCGACCGACTCACTGCCGATGTTTATGTGCCTGCCTCCATGCCCTGATTTAGGAAGAGGGTCCAAGTACGTCCTCCTCGTCTATTGCCAACGTTCACCTGGAGGTCGCGGAAGAAGCAGCACGGAAGCGTCCTCCGTATACGTGCCGAGCCGAAGTGGTTTCCAGTCAACCGCTGCTATATAGGCATCACCGGCGCCACCACACGCTCTGCTTCCTTCAAGGACCCTCGCCTGCAACTCATTGCCTTCCTCATCCCTCCCCTAAACGCATAACATGGTCTTCGGTCTTACCGCCGTGGCCGCCATGGCCATCCTGGCAGCCGCCAACGGTGCTCAAGCTGCCCCGGCCGCTGCCAACCCGCTGTCGAACATCAAGCACATCGTCCTCTTTATGCAAGAAAACCGAGCATTTGATCATGTGAGTAGCAGGCACAGGTAGTACCTCAGTAAAGAAGTAGCTCAAAAGGGCGAGCACCAGTACTTTGGCACCATGGCTGGTGTCCGTGGCTTCAAAGACCCAAATGTCGTCATCAGCCAGAACACCAAAAAGGATGCCTTCCATCAGCAGGTTGACAGCACCGTCACCCCCAAGCCACCTGCGGGAGTGACGGAGCTGCAGCCCTGGTGGATCAACGCTGCGGGTGGTGACAGCCTCGACCGATACCAGTGCATGCTGGCTGGATCGAATGGCTGGCAACAGAACCACGCTGCCTGGAACAAGGGCAACATCGACCGATGGGCCCTCAACAACACTGGTGAGAAAGTTGACTTCATTGCACACTTCTCAACAAAGATCTAAATCTAGCTCTCATTTTTCAGGTTACTCGCTTGGCTACTATACCAGGAACGACCTGCCGTTCCACTACGCCTTGGCTGATGCTTTCACCATCGGTGATGCTTACCGTGAGCCATGACTACAAAATTGCATCTCTCTTCCTGTCCGATCTTTCTAATACCCTCTCAGATGAGTCTGTGATTGCTGCGACAAACCCTAACCGTGTCAGCTGGGGTAGTGGAACGAACGGAATCAGCCAGCACAAGGCTGGTTTGGGCGGCCCTGTTGTCGACAACAACGACTCGCCCGGCTGCGAAACATCCCCAGACGGATCTCAGTATAGCTGTTACCCCTTCAAGTGGAAGACCGTTCCCGAATACCTTCAAGGGGCCGGCATCTCTTTCTTTTCGTACCAGAACCAAGACAACTTTGGCGACAACCCCTTTGCCTACTTTGAGCAGTACCAGACTGCGCCCAAGAACTCTTCGCTCGTCACCAACGCCAACTCCTTCGCTGGTCTGCAGAAGTTCTACGATGATGCCAAGGCCGGGACATTGCCAGAGGTCTCTTACATTGTTGGTCCCACTGACCTCTCTGAGCACCCGCCATATGGACCCCTCGATGGAGCTTGGCTGCAACAGCAGGTTGTCAATGCTGTCCTGAACGGCAAGAATTACGATTCGACAGCATTGATCATCTCCTACGATGAGACAGGAGGATGGGGTGACCATGTCATGTCGCCTCACCCCCCAACCTCGGAGACTGACGAATACATGATCGACCCATTCAACCCCAGCCTTGGCAACCAACCCAATGGTCCCGGCTTCCGCCTTCCCTTCACCATCGTGTCGCCATGGACGCGCAGTGGAGGTGTCTTTACGGAGACTTCTGCTCACGAGTCGCAGATTCTTTTCCTTGAGCAGTGGGCTCAGGCCGTCGGCAAGCCTTTTACATCGAAAGAGATTACCTCGTGGAGGAGGAGCCAACTTTCGGACCTGACCCGCGCCTTTGACTTCTCCAAGTCCGACACTTCCAAGCCTACTCTGCCTACCATTCGCCAGGCTTCTCAGGATGCCAACGGACAGTACAATGGCGCCAGTGTATGCCAGAAGAAGTACGGCAACGTCCAGCCTACGATTCCGTACAGCAACACCCAGGCCGGCCCTACCGTCGAGAAAGGCTTCAAGCAGATCCGAGGCACGCCAACCGAGGGTCGATACCTGACTATCGAGTCGGACCAAGGCACAGCGCTGTCATACGACAGCAAGGCTACAAAGCTTGGTGTAAGCCAGGCTAAGTCCGACCACTCGGATCCTCTCACCCGCTTCGTCTTGCACGCAGCCAGCCCAGATGCCAACAACCAGGTCTTTACCCTGTCAACGGCGTCGAGCGACCCCATCAAGTACATCGCAAGCGATCTCTCGCTCACCGACGCCAGCAAGGCCGGCAAATTCAAGCTGCAAGACCAGGCGAACGGCAAGGGATACCTCATCACGGAGACTTCCTCCAACAAGCCCGTCAACATTCAAAAGGACAAGGCCAGCCTCAGTGCCACCCCCCCCAAGATCGAGATCTTTTCCGTTACCTTCTAAAATGATTGTTCTTGTCTCGTTGCGTTGCGAGACTACCGTGAATGATGATACATCTTTTGTCTGTGTTGTCGAGTCTCTCATCTCTTCAGATAGCTGGGTCTAACGACCACTCCCCTCACATGCTAACATTACGCCCTTACTGGGGACACTTTCCAGATTCGATAAGACAAGTTTAGACCCATAGTCTTTGAACAACAGATAATATGTATCTGCGGCCATAGAACCGTGAAAGCACCGCATCCCGTCCGATCTGCGAAGTTAAGCACGGTATCGCCTAGTCAGTACTGCGGTGGGGGACCACGCGGGAATCCTGGGTGCTGCAGTTCTTCTTTTGCTTTTCTTTTTGCCTCAAAATTCCGAGCAGACTTTTGTTGAAATATTTGATTGAGCAGCATGCAGCAAGATGCCCCGATGGCGAACAGCAAGGTGCATGTAAACGAGCAGCAGGCATGTAGCATCAAGCAGCACGTCCCAGCAAATAAGGAAGAGTGAAGCTTGAGGTTGCCTCCACTAATATTTCTATTTTCTCTTGCCTTCGCGTCCACACTATGGCGACCGACGCGCCGACGGCCTTGCCGTACGAGGCTCCGACGCAAGTGGTCATTTTGATCTTCCTTTCCTTCCTCATATTCGTCAATGCGGCTCGGAGACTGTTTGCCCGCATCGTTGGAGCAGGGTTGCTGGGTGAAGTAATCGTCGGAGCCATCTACGGGGCGCCACTCGCTTCCATTCTACCATCATCTGCACAGCATGCAATCTTAGCCTTTGGCTATCTCGGCCTCCTCCTTCTTGTCGTGGGCGGAGGGCTAGAGACCCGACTCGACATCCTTACGCAGCACCTGTTTGTTGTCTTTATGACTGCAGCCATTGGAGTCGGCCTCCCGATCGGCTTTAGTCTGGCCCTTCTTCCCTCCGCCTTTGGCTTCAACGTGCTTGAAGCCTTTGCGTGCGGTGCTGCGCTGGCCAGCACAAGCTTGGGGACTGTCTTCTCTGTCATCGGATCGATAAGCTCCGAGGAAGATCACAACAGCGCTTCAATCATCGACACACGAGCCGGCAGCACACTGATTGGGGCAGCGCTGATCGACGACATCGTCGGTCTCGTGCTTTCCAGCATCATTGTCAGCCTATCCTCGTCTACATCGCAGATTGCGCCCTGGAGTATCGCCAGACCCATCGTGTCCTCGACTGTGTTTCTCATCGTTGTCGCTCTCCTTTCCCGCTTCGTTGTCGGCCTGGCGCTGAGTGCACGACAAGGCAGGTTGGCGCACTCGATTCGGCAGGGTCTGGACCATATCAGGAACAAGCATCCGTCCTTCTGGACTCAGTATGGTCTGGAGTCGGCGACCATTGTGTTTGTCGTTGTTGTGGCTGGTTCGGCATCGGTCGCAAATTACATTGGCTCATCGAATCTCATTGGGGCATTCTCTGCCGGCGCATTCATGGCCACCAGTTGGACTATGTTCCAAAGGCAGCTCAACGCCGACGACACGAGCACTTATGGCGACAACGCATCGACGGCGGAGACTGGGATTACTCTCATCTCGCCGAATGCAACCTTTGGATTCTTGGAAAAGTCTTTCGGTCGGTACGTCCTCGTCCCCTTCTTCTTCGCTTCCATCGGCTTTGCGATACCCGTCAAGGAGATGTTTTCGGGCGAGATCGTCTGGAAGGGCTTCGTCTATTCAGGCTTGATGGGCCTTGCAAAGATGCTGGCGGGCTCTCCAATCCTGGTCGCAGAAGCTGTAGCGAGGCTCAAAAGGAGGCGGAATTTCAAGAAGACCGGACAATCGGTGCCAGGGGAAGAGGCAGGAGCAAAGGAGAACAGCCGTGTCGAGATGGCGGCAGCAAGCGAGGAAGAAAAGGCAGAAGCTGCGTGGCCGGCCGCTCTCTTTGTCGGCAGCGCTTTGGTGGCTCGAGGCGAGATCGGGTTCCTCATTGTCAACCTGGCCTATCAGGGAGGTTTACTTAGTAGTGAGGCCTTCCTCGTCGCTACCTGGGCTATCACGCTCAACACAATCGTCGGACCAGCTTGCGTGGGCATCCTCCTTCGAAGAAAGACGTTTGCCAATGCTGTTATTCATGGACCCTGGGGTACAGTCTAGACATTCGTGGGCATCTAATGTATATACATGTTCTCTTGAGGCTTCTCCATTGTATAGTACTGTAGATCTCATCACAATTTGTAATGTTGCTGCAGGAGCAACTTTGTCTCTCTTTGCTTGTCTGCTGCGGTGTCGTGATAATGTGCGCCGCCTTCATGCATGTGGCTGCTCTTCGTCTTTTGCATATCTAAGGCCTGAGTCTAGAGTGTGCCGTCGCCAACGCCATCATTATCGTACTCGCCATCATCCCACAATTTGTATCCTCCGTGTTCTAAGCGCCTCTTTGAATCGAGACATCTCTTTTCTCGCTCTTCGGCCTCCTGCCTGATGCTTTCGTTTCGTGCTTCCTCTCCGACTTCAGACTGAGTCTTCAACTCGTCGTCGAATCCCTGATGAATTGCACAGCTGGCAGGCGAACGGTAATCGCCTTCGGATTCCTCATCGTTGTCACTTTGATGCTCCCCGTCAAGAACACCCCTAATTACGTCTTGGACGCCCTCTTCGACGACCCCACACAACAAGTCTTTCCATTCGCTCTTCACCCCTTCCTCCTCGCTATGGTCAACCTCTGGCGACTTCTCATCGTCGCTGCTCTGAACGGTGCCGCGCTTTACGTTTCTTCGCTCCTTGGTGCGTCCTGCGCTTCTCTTGGCCTTGTTGAGCAGCTTGCGGCCCGTCCCGCTTCGCTCCTTCCTCCGGGACAATCTTGGGCGATTGGCCTTTTGGGTAGATTGCACCGTTGGACTCAAGGTACATATTCTTGACCTTGAAGATGAAGGTGCCAAGACAGATGATGAGGACGACGTCGTTTCGAGCCGCCCGAGGTTGGCATGTAGGTAAAGAGGCTGGGCCTGCTGAGGGACACTTGAGGTGAACGAGTGCTCATGAGTTCCTACGATAATCTCCTCTTTGCTCTTCCTCTTGCGCTTCCTCGGCGATGAGACGACCAAGTCCTGGGGAATGGTCCTGCTGACAGCAGACGGAATTTCGTCCATGCCACTGACGGAGACAGATGCATTTGGTGACGAAACATCCTCCTCTTTTTCTTCCTTCACTGTAAAGGAAGGATTTGGGGACCTTTTCGACATAGAGAGCGCATGGACATTCGCGACATCTTCCCGCCGATACTTCATTGCGTACAGGTTGATGGAAGGAAGGAGCAAGGAAAAGGCAGATACCGGAAAAGGGGAGAGATGGGAAAGAACGTGCAGCGATACCTTTGTGGCCCGAGAATTTTCAACGTCTACGTGCGACAGTACAGTGGCAAGGAAGCCCGCCAGCTGGCCAGTCACACAAAGGAAAGGGTAAGCGGGGGCCAATTCTGCCGAAGGGCTCAGTGTGAAGCCGCGTACCCGCGTGGAAAAAGGGCTCAGCGCCAGAGTGCGTGAAGGCAGTCGCGAACGTCTTCGACAAAGTCTGCAGGCTTCTCTAGGGCCGCAAAGTGGCCGCCTCCTTCGTGTGACCTGTACCAACGAAGATTGCAAGTGGCCGCAGCCCACGAGCGCGGGCTTGCGATGATCTGTCATGTAGATGTGTACTCATTCAGTAACGCTCAAGGAGCAGGTCGAGAAGGGCACACTCACCTCTTTCGGGAAGTTCGAGAAGCCTGTGGGTTGGTAGACGTAGTTCTGTCGCATGTCCGACACCCAACGGGGACCGCCCGGAGGACGGTTGCGGTAATTGTACAGCGAGCGAGGCATTGTATCGGTGCACCACCACAACGTGAGGCTCGCGGCAATGTCCGCATCGTCAGGGCTGTTATGCGGAAATCAGTCAATACACCCAGCGTGCACGAGGATAGGAATGGGCTCACTCTTCGTCGCTCCAAGAAAGGAACTTTTCACCGATCCAAGCAAGCAACGCAGACGGATCTGAGGCGCAGATGATGCCAATCGTCGAGGGCCGGGTGCCATGCATGATCGAATATGCTGAGCCCGTCGCGACGAACTCGTCAGCTCGTCGCACGCAATCTTGCTCTTCCTTGGTCAAGGGCGCCGGCGTGCCGATAAACCAATTTGCGAGCGAAAGGAAAGGCTTTGGCCACGACTGCAGGTATAAGCTGCGGGCTAGTGGACCGCGAGTAATTTCCTGCAGAGAGTCGACAAGGTAACGAAGGGGTCCGGGAAGCAAGAGGACGGGATCGAACCGGATGGGAATGAGGGAACGAAGGGGGCTGAGAATAAGTGGCAGGGTGAGACGGGGCGGAGGCGCTGGAATGGCGTTGAAGTGGGCCACTTTGACATGATCGGGGTACTTGACAGCGAGGTATCGAGCAACAGAAGAGCCCCAGTCGCCGCCCTGGACGGCATAATGCTGGTAGCCGAGGCGCATCATGAGCTTGTGAACAAGACGAGCTGAGCAGCCAGGCACAATCATCGATCAGTATCTTATATGCGAAGTGGACACACGCAGTTTCTCTCGCTCACCCTCATCGGGGACAGTGAAGTCACCATCCGGACCACTGTGTCTGCCCTTTCCCGTAGAGTCGACCTTGGGAGTGGAACTAAAAACGTAGCCGGCATGGGATGGGACGACGACGTGGAACGCGGGCGTATCAGGAGGCGCATCCTCTCCAGGATGGGCGAGAGGCTTGATGACGTTGAGGAACTCGTGGAAGCTCCCGGGCCAGCCGTGGAGGAGGACGATGGGGATCACCTTGCGTCGGTCCGATGTCGAGGAAGCCCTCTCGTGAATAAAGTGAAGTTCAATGTCCTCGATGCTGGTGACAAAGTGAGGAAACGTATCGAGGTGCTTCTCAAAGGCTTGCCACGTATCGTGGTCGGGCCCCGGCCTGCCCTGCTTGCCCTGCTCGCTGGGTGAGACAAAGTCTCGCCAGGCATGGAGCAGCTCGACAAAGCGTGAGTGCGTGAGTCCGAAACGATCCTTTGTTGACTCGAACTGCGCTACCTTTGCGCCGGCCGCCTCATGCTGGCAGGCCAGCTCCAGTCGCTTCCTCAGATCCTCGAGGCGCGAATCGTCGAGCCTCGGCTGAAACTTGCGGACGTTGGTTCCTGCCATGGTGTTTGTTCTGTGGGCAAGAAGAAGGAAACAGGAAGCGAGTAGGAAACTCAGCACGTCAGTAGCTCTTATACTCCACAGAGAAGGAAGCACGCCCCCCGTTGTCACTCTCTAGCGCATCGGACCTCGGACGTCCAGCTATTTCATGCGTCGCGCACGGACATCAGGCTTCCGACCTTCGGCCGAAGAAACCTCGAACTTGGGGAGCATTTTATATATATATATTCTTTGGTTCGGAAGAAGCTCATCATGCACCATGGCGCATTCAGAGACGAGCGACGACGACGGCGGGCTTGACCTCTTTGACGAGCCCGAGGGGTTTCGGCCAAAGACGCCGCCACCAACGACAGCATCCTACACGCTGCGGCTGTGCGGTGATGGGGAGGGGCAGCAAGCTGAAGAGCACGAGATCCAGCTGGACCTCGTCGGTTCGCATCCCTTGTGGGGGCATCACCTCTGGAATGCCGCGCCGACGCTGTCCGATTTTCTCGCTGGTTCAGACAGGGGCCACCACTGGTGCAAGGGAGCGCGGGTGCTCGAGCTTGGAGCCGCTGCGGGCCTGCCGAGCATAGTGGCGGCGAAGCTCGGCGCGAAGCGAGTCATTGCGACCGACTACCCCGATCCTGGCCTCATCACTAATCTCTCCACGAATCTGGCCCGGGGCAGCACTGAGGGCAGCGCAGGCTGTGCGAGCGCGCAGGGATACATCTGGGGCCACGATGCAGCGCCGCTGCTCTCCGAGCTCGAAGGAGAAAAGTTCGACCTGCTCATCCTCTCGGACCTCATCTTTAACCACCAGGCCCACCCAGCCCTCTTGCAAACAATGGACGCCTGCCTTGCCCCACCACGGTCTTCGTCTTCCGAAGAGAGGCACGGAGACAGGCCCTGCGCGCTCGTCTTCTTTAGTCACCATCGGCCGCACCTCGCCGACCGCGACATGGACTTCTTCACTCAGGCGGGGAATGCCGGCTGGCTGTGCGAGGAGGTGGGCCAGTGGAAGATGCCGGTAAGTCTCTTTGTCTCTCCTCTCCCCTTTCTTCGGCAATGGGTAGCTGACTTGCTGGTGGAAACAAGCCAATGTTCCCAAAGGACGCGGGAAGCGAAGAGGTCAGAGGGACAGTGCATGGCTGGAGAGTCTGGCGGTGATCAGTCATGAGGTAGATGAAAGCGATCACGTTGTCATTGCAATCCTTATCGTTCAGTGGGACGGGGACGAAAACAGAAGAGAGAGTGGTGAGAGGACACGGCTGGACTTGGTCTGAAAGTCGTGTGCGGCACCAACGTGGGGGAAAGAGACAAGTCATGAGGAATCATGGGGCGAGGGAAACACAAAAAGAGAACCGAGGGTATATCGACGCTTGATTTGGCTCAAGGGTACACCTTGTCGATCTGCAAAGGCAAAGGAAGAAAGTGAAGAGCAGTCAGCGGGATGAAATCAAAGACTCAAACATATGCAGTCAGAGCAGACTCACCTGCTCCTTGTACTTGTCGACAGCCTGCTTCCTCTGGATCTTTTGCGCAGCCGTGACGGGCAGGTCCTCGGGGACGAGAACGACAGTCTGGAGCTGCTCGAGGCTCTTGAGTCCGGCATTCTTGCCCACGGCGTTGAGCTCCTTGAGCATGGCGGTGGCCAGCTCCCGCTTTTCACACAGGTTCGACAGGTCGGCGCCAGATCCGGCACCGGGCAGCTTGCGGAAGGCCTCTTCGCGCGGGAAGACGAGAGCCATGGGCTGCTTGGCATCCGGGTCGGCATGGACGCAGATGTTTTGCACGTAGTCGCACGACTTGTACGTCGACTCGAGCTTCTCGATGGCAATGTACTCGCCCCCCGACAGCTTGACCAGGTTCTTCTTCCTGTCAATGATCGACAGTGTTCCGTCCTTGTTCCACTGGCCCACATCGCCAGACATGAACCAGCCGTCTTCGGAAAAGGCCTCGTTCGTCTCCTTCTCGCGCTTGAAGTAGCCCTTGCTGACTGCGGGGCCGCGGATCCAGATCTCACCCTGGTTGTTGGCAGCACGGTAGCCGGCATCGGGCACGTCTACGAGCTTGACCTCAACGGCGGGCACGGGGACACCGACACAGGACGATTGCAGGAAGTCGGGGATGAGAATGGCGCACATGCCCACCGTCTCGGTCAGGCCGTAGCCCTGGAGGACGTCGACGAGAGCCGTCTGGAGGAACTCCTGCGTCTCCTTGCTAAGCGCAGCACCACCGCTCAGCGTGAGCCTAAGGCGACCTCCCGTCTGGGCACGGACCTTGCTGAAGACGACGGCATCGGCGGCGTTGGAGAGGAGCGGCACCTTGTTCTGCTTGAGCGTGTAACCGGCCTTGAATGCCATCCTGGCCACTGTGGGACCCGAGTTGACCTTCTGGTTGATTCCCTTTCGGATCGTCTCCCAGACGGCGGGCACGCCCACCATGATACTGGGCTTGAACGTCGGCAGGTCGCCCTCGCAGTTCTTTGTGCTGTTCGAGGTGAGCGTCTTGACGCTTCCGTAGCCCATCGTAACGCCGACGTAGGTCAGGGCGCATTCGACGATGAACTCAAGAATGTGGGCAAGGGGCAGGTAGGCAAGGAATGTGTCGCTAGGCTTGAGGTAGGGGCCGAGCAGCTTTTCGACAGCACCCACAGCGGCGATGAGGTTCGAGTGGGTGAGGATGACACCCTTGGGTGCACCGGTGGAGCCCGAGGTGTACATGATGCAGGCCACGTCGTCGGGCTTGGGCGGGTTCCTTTCGGCCGTGTTCTCCTTGCCCTGCTTCCTGACCTCGTCAAAGTGCACGACCTTGAAGCCCTCGCGATCGCCAGCGTTCTTCTTGAGCTTCTCGAGCTGCTCGGGCTTGGCCTCGCCGTCGTAGACGACCGTCTTGACCGTCTTTGTCTCGCCAATGACGTTGGCCAAGACATCGAGCAGGTGGGCATTGGTGAAGATGCCGACAACGTCCGGCTCGTTGAGGGAGTGCTGCAGGCCCTCTTCTCCCAGCGTGTCGTAGGCTGTGCAGAATGGAATGTTCTGCGCGAAGCAGGAGTGGGCCATGATCTGCCAGTTGAGACTGTCGTCGCCTTGCTCAGCTTTACGTTCAAACAATCAGCCAGCTAGCCAGACCAGACTCACCAGGTAGAAGCGTAGATGTTGAAGCGTGTGTCGTGGCTCAGACCCAGGTTGGTCAGCCCACTCGAGACGTCCTGGACGTAACCGTCGAATTCGGTGTAGGTGAGGTACTGTCGTGGGGACACGCGAAAAGTGAGCAAGGAGAGGAGCCATAGTAATCAAAGAGAGAGGGAAAGAAATGCGCACCTTGTACTCGCTCAGCTCGTAGTACTGCCACTTCTTGGTCTCTGTGAGGTGACAATGAAGGGGGCTGTCAGTCGCATAGCCAAGCGGGGAAGCAAAGCTTGCAGCAGAGCGCATAGCGAACTCACCCTTGACCTCCTTTCCCTCGACCGTCTTTGTGATCTCCTTCTCCTCGGTGTGAATCTTGATCGTGTCACGGTAGCCCATGACGGGCTTGTTGGTGAACTTCTTGACAGCAAACTGCAAGACGTCTGCCATCGTCTTGATGCCGCCCTCGGAAGGCCGCTCGATGAGGGCGTCTGGCGAGCAAAAGGCGCGTCGCACGCGGCCGTGGCCCTCCTGCGTCGGCTTGTCGCCCACCTCGACCGAGGCGTACTTTGGCTTTCCAGGATAGTGGTCTGGCATTGTGTCTGACAGAAAAGAGAGAGGATAGAAGGGGAAAGAAAAGCTTGAAAAGAGGTCAAGCGGTGGTGAGAGGAAGGTAAAAGGAAGATCAAAGATCGAGCGTAAGAGGCGTGGGGACGAGAATCAAGCTGCAATGTAGGCAGGCTATGACGACGATGGAGAAAATTGGAAAGTGGATTGGTTCCCCCGGGTCGGCTCGCGCGCAGCTTTTCACAATTGCTTAGTGGGCTCCACTTTTTTTTTGGTTTTATTTTGTCTCGCCAGCGAGGGCACCTCGACAGTCTGGTCTCAGCTCAGGAAACAGAGATCCAGCCATTGGCCTGCTCCAGTCCGCGTGGGGTTGGGCTCCAAGATCGGTGCCAGTCAAGAAATTAGAGCACAGCTGTATGTTGTGCTTTGGTAGCTAGTGTAGTCACCTGTAGTACTAGTAGTAGTAGTGCAATCGTCGGAAGCCACTGATCTGCATGTCCTGCCAAGTACTCCCGAGCTCCTGGAGCAGTAGTCACGGTCTCAGACCCTGACTCGGTCTGGTTGTCAGCTCCTCAAAAGTCAATCAACTCCGCCAACAAGATAACAGTTATAGTTGGGAAAAAAGCAGCCTGCAAATCATAGCACGGTTGCGGTGTGCGGCAACCTGCTCGCTTGTCAACAGCGAGCTCAACCTTGGTTCCTTGTTTGATGTTTGAAAAGGACCTCACTCTGGCCACTGGCCGGCCTTGCGCTCGGTCGCCGAGTCTTTCACCGAAAGCTATGCATAGCCTCGCTTTCAGCAACGCTTACCTGGCCTGTCCATGCCTCGTACTATGGCACTCGAAGCTCGAGGGTTCTGGCAACCATGTCGCCATCAAAATTGCAGCATAAGGAGATTCAGCTCACTTTCTAATGCAGCCTGCTGTGGGCGCTCTAAGGAAGTGAGTGATTGATCAGACAAGTGGTCAGTGCACATGCGTGTGTCGCGAATGTAGACCTGGATTGGAACATGACGTCGCAAGGAGGCAGGCAATAAATAGAGCCAAAAATAAGAAAAATGGGAAAAGAAAGCACGCAAAGGCCACGCGACCTTAGCCTCCATAGAAGGTGTGGATATTGCCGACGGGAGTGACGCTGCCTATCTGGAGGCCCCCCCCCCTTCCTCACCACCTGCGCCGCTCGTCCCAATTGCCCGCAGCCTTGGTCACGATCTCTCGGTCCCCTCTTCTTTTATCTTTGTCCTCTGAAGCTGCAAGCGAATCGCAAATGTCCAAGACGTCGCCAGTGACGATCCGCCGGGCGGGGCCCAACGACGGGGTGCCGTCGCGTGACGAGCTCAGCGCAACGCCCGGCGGGCAGAACCTCTTTGGCACCACGCCTGGCGGCTCCCGAATCGTCTACTCGCGAGAGCAGCTCCTCTCGCTGGCGTCGAGCCCGCTCTCGCAGACGCCGCCACGCCACCTGCCACTGAGTGCAATTCCAGCCGAGATTTCGCGATCGCCCGAGAAGTCGCAGGTGAGCGTCAATGGAGGCGGCGTCGGCGGAGGTGGAGGAGGAGGAGGAGGAGGACTTGGAAGAGGAGGAGGCGCCGGACTCGCCTCGTACACCAACGGCGGACAATCGGGCGTGGGTGCCAATGGGCCTGGCTTCGGGGGCGCAGGCTCGCTTGGCCGCTCGCCCGAAAAGGCAAGCCTCCGTGGGCTGGCAGCGGGCAACCGTGCATTTGGAGCGACGCCTGGCGCGGCGACGGCGACATTCGAGCACGCTGGTGCGTCTCGCAGCCCGGGAACGGCCTTCAACTTTTCAAAGGGACCCGTTAGCCCTTCGTCGGCGGGACAGCAGCCGGGCAGCTTCCGGGAAAAGCTGGCCATGCAGTCGAGTCCCACCAAGGCCTCGGTCGAGGGCGTCGACGGCGATCGCCGGGTGCAGCCTCAGACGGCCGAGTCGGGTCCGGGACCAGCGTCGGGCAGCCTTGCGGGAGGGGCCCACACCGGCGACGAGCAATTCGACATGGAGATGTAGGCAGGGGTGGTGCGGCACGAGAAACGCTAGGCCGATGGGGAAGCGAAAGGAAGGAGTAAGAATCAAGAAGAGAAGAACAAGTGGGAGGGAGAGGGTTAGAAAGGTTGGGGGGCACAAGACACACCAACGAATGCATCACGCAAACAAGCAAGAGCAAGGGCAAAGGGCAGCAGTAGCGTGCTTGCTTCCTCTGTAGCATCAGATTTCTCAACTTTCATCAACTTCATGAATACACCATAGTCTAACGAGCAGCAGTAGTAGTAATCCCCGTTGATCGCTGGCGGTCCACAGGTGGCAGTTCGAGGTATCTGGCGCGTTTGGTGAATGATGGCTCGAGCAGGAGCATCGCGTCTGCCTCCCGTTGTATTTTTCGGTTACTCCCTCTTCCTTCTAGCTCGCAGCTCGTCCTAGGCCGCCTCCGAATAGTTGCAGAAGACGAGGAAGATGGCTCACCCACAGCCCGTTTCGCCATGAGCTCAATTGGACCAAGGCTCTTCTTCCTTCCTGCTGCGTGCCGGAAGAGGCCGTCGAGGACCTGCTCGAGACGCTGTGCCCCCAGGTTCCCAGGCCTTTCGCCGTAGATGTCTAGCAGCCGTTCCCTGACTCTGGCAGTAACCACCGTTGGTATACCGTGGTCGCCATCCTCCAAATAGTGGAGGACATCTGTCCAGTCTGCAGGATCCTCTTGACTGTCGTGGCCTCTCCCGTCGGCTAGCCAGTCGAGAATTGCCGTCGTCTTGTCCAAGGCAAGGGCGACCGTGGGCATCGCAATCGCGGCGTCTGGCGGCTCGTCGCTCGTCCTCGTTCTCCTTATTGCGCGCTCCATGATGCCCACGATCTCGTCCCCAAACGTCCACGGCGGCACGTCACACTTTGACGGATGTACCGGCCAGCGAAAAGCAGCCGAGCGATGCCGAATCGATTCGCTTTTCGCAGCCCGTCTGCAGATTGTCGCCTTGATGCGCCTCCAGTCCTGCTCTTCCTCTGTCCCGCGCTCTCCTTCCTCATGCTCCTCCACTTCATTCTCTAGACTGCTCCTGCTCCTCTTTCGTCTCTTCTCCTCCTTTCTCTTTTGTTGTGCCTCTCTCTCAGCAATGATGCACGCAGACCAGAACCTGACCGCGAGCCGTTCGAGGTAAGCGCGCTGAGCGAGGCGCGCTGCCAGGTCCGATGCCTCTTGCTCCTGCATTTCCTTGACGAGTTTCTTGTACTCTTTGAGCTCCTTTGCCCGCGATGCGCGTGAAGAATTCGTTGGCGGCAGCGTCGGTGAATCGCTGCGTCTCGATGTGGGTGACGGGGCATCGGCCAGGTCCTCGTCGGTCGACGAGGTAGAGCTCGGCGGCGAGGGCCGCGACGGCCCCGCTTCGGGCTGCGACGCACCCGGCGCTGGGCTTGGCGAGGGCGAGGGCGAGGGCGTGGGCGAAAAGGTAATTGTGGTGCCTCGCGAGGAAGGCGGCGCCCGCGCCCACCTCGCTGCGTCCATGGGTGTAGAGGTTCTCACCTCCTCCTGGGGTGTGTAGTACGGCGTTAATTTGGGAGAGCTGGATAGATGGAAATCCGTCAAGCCATAAAAATAATCCGATTCGGGCTAAAAATGTGCGCCCAAACTGCGCGCTCCTCGAGCCAAAATGCCGCACAGTAACTCGAGAGGGCTTTGCTCACAAAAGGCAAGGACACTCAGAAGCCTTGAGTCGACGTCCGGCCAGCTTGATGTTTCGGGATCCTCCAATCCAAAATAGCGGCCTTGAGACCTACGGGAAAGAAGACGCAGAATTGTGTGACTCTGCGATCGGGATTAGCGCACTTTCTCTCTGTCTCCGTTCATATGCGACGCATCATCAGTACTAGTAGCATAAAGGTGATCCTCGAGCCCTCAGGGCAATTGTCCTTGTGGCCTGATTTAGAGGTGGTCCGCGCCACAGACGGCAAATATGGCAGAAGCGAATGAGCGAGACGCGCTCGGACCGCACCTACGGCGCCAAGCACTTCTGCTTGCCACTTCCTCAGCGATCATCAAGCTTGCTCATATGCGCGCCGCACCGCATTGCTTCCCCTTTTGCATCCAGCGCAAGACGGAAGAGGGGGCCCTCTCTCATTATAGAAGAGAAGGAACGTAGCAAGTTATAGGAGCAAGCAGTTGCTCCGCGCTGCTCTGTGTCAGGCTCATGCGCCGCGTTTCTGGTCGCGCTTCCGTTGGAGTTGCGTTGCCGCTTGCCAATGGACCGCCCGCCACGCCTACTCACGGCCCTGTGTCGGAGTCAAGTCGGGGCCGCAAATCAATTGGGGACTGTCCCTGGTTTTGAGCCCATCACTTGCCTCTCCTTTGTTGTTGTTATTGTTCAAGAGCCTCACGTTCCCCTCTCCGCTCTCTCTCTCGTTCCTCCAAAATTTCCCCCTTCTCCAACGCCGACGGTCAACCCTCAACCCTTTCCCCACTTTTACATCGATCCCTCCCACGCCCATTGTCACGCCAAGCAAACAACGCAAGGTGTCTCTCTACGCCCAATCTCCACTGTCTCTGGCGTTGGCGCGCCTTTTTCTTCCTCGAAACGACCACCTGGACGAGAGGGCGTACAGCACTCTGGCACGCGTCCATCGAGGGGTCCATCCATCGGGTCACTACACCAACGATTCCCATTCTCTCTCTTTAGCCACATGTCCTCGTCCTCTCCTCTCGAGCCACCCTTGGCCGATTGAGTCGGCCTACACTCCTTCGATACTGTCCTCTTTCTCGACAATATGCGTGCGCACAACTTTCTCGCAATTGTGGTGCTAGGTACCACGACGGTCCTCTGTGTTCCCCGTCCTCTCCTCTCGACCTCTTCTTCCTCTTTGTCATCCGAGCTCCTTCCACGCAACAGCTACGTCCACCCCGCCTCTCTAAAGGCAAAGAAGCACGAGAAACAACAAGTGGCCACTGTGATCACCTGGTACGATGGCGAATCGCTCAAGGAGCCGGCTTGTGGGGTCAAAGAGCCCAAAGACAGCGACAACATTGCTGCCGTGCCTGAAAGCTGGGGGTTGGGCTGGTGTGGAAAGGATATTGCTTTGCAAAAGGGGGAAAAGAGCGTCGTCGTCCGTGTCGTCGATTTATGCGGGTCCTGTGAGCAGTTTCGCGCCTCGATATTCTTCTCGGAGCGTGATGGGATGAACTGACAACTTTGGATCCCATAGGTAAAAATGAGTCCCACTTCGATCTGAGCAAGGGTGCGTTCAAGCAGCTGGCCGATCTCAACGAGGGCGAGCTCCATGATGTCACTTGGAGCGTCAATGAAGCGAGCAGTACAACTGTTACGACAAAGCTGAAGACGCATGGTCACCAAAAACGCCATCGTCGCCGCCTCGACAGCAACGTCATCCACATCAGCTGAAACGATAGAAGGCTCTGTCAGCTATAGAAGTTGTCGCGGTGCACCACCGCCATCGCTTCTTTCAAGCATCACTTTTACCGCTTTCCGCACCCCACACACCTTTGGCGGCGACCCAACTTTCTCCCACAGGTTTTCTCTCTCTCTTAAGCTTCCTCTTCCTAGCCCCCCTACCTATCAGCATCATGTTGAGATACCTTACACCTCCACCACCTTCTACAACTGTCCGGGCGGCAACCAGTATATCTCAACGGAGCTGTCTATCTCGAGGAGACTGGTCTCCCCCTTGCCATCTGTACACGTTGTTACCTTCCTTCCTCAACCACCCCTTCCCCCTTTACCCCACTCTCTTCCCACCACCTCGTTCTACGACGCTCTCGCGCACAGGCATGCAGAGACAATATCATCATTTGGAGTCTACATGATGAAAGGCCGATGGAATCATGAATGAGAAAAGGCAACTTGATGACCACCACTGGCAGGAGCCGAAGAAGGTAGAGCGAGCCTAACCATCGTCGAGGCTGCGCTTGCCGCCGAGGAAGGCGCAACGCGAGCGTGCAGGACAAGCCGGGCCGAGATCTCGCCGCAGGCCACAAAGCACGCCACGACGATGAGAATGATGATGATCCATGTGCTGTCGGGGGTACTCCTTAGCTTTGGACAAGCCATATACTCAAAAGAAATCGAGGAAATTGGCACTCACATCTGGTTCATCGACTGCGATCCCAAGTGGTCATGGATGACCTCGAGCAGATCGTTGCCCACGGCCAGGCGCTCGTTGAGGTTCTCGACGCGCTGGTCGATTTCGAGGTACTCTCGGATGGCATCGTACAGCGCCTTGAGGCTTGCCTCGCTCCAGAACAGCTCTGGCGTGTCGAGGACGTTGGAGGTGAGGTTCACGTCGACGCGGAGCTTGAAGAGGCGGCCCGTGAGCCGGAGGGCCTCGCGCCGCTTGAGCTTGAGCTCGCCGGATGAGGCCAGCTCCTTGGGAATGTGGCTCGTGAGCTCGAGCGTCCGCTGCATCGACTCCTCGAAGACGGACAGCTTGGTGCTCTGGGCAATGGCGTGGGCCAGGCTCAGCTTGAGCAGATGGTTGGAGGCTCGGAAGGTGAAAAAGTCGTTGAAGATTCTCGGCGCCGGCACGGTGGGATCGTAGCAGAAGTGGAAGGCCTCTGTCTCCTCGTCGTCGGCAGCGTGCAGGGGAGCGCCTCCGCGGACGCACCCAGACGAGAGAACATCGTTGATGATGCTCCGCTCCTCCTGCAACGAGAGGTTGTACATGACCAGCACGCCATAAGGAAGGATGATGAGCTCGGCCGTCTGGAGTGCCTCGAGAATCGACTGTGAGGTGGCCATGTTTGGACTTGTGTCGTGATTGTGCGAAGCCTTGTTCGGCATCCTCCTCGACTTGCGCACGATTCGCCTTCTTCTCTTCGAGGACCGCTCTCCCTCGGCGCCACCGGACCCATCCGATCGACGCTGCTGTTGACTCTGTTCGGAATCGCCCCAGTTCTTGGACTCGTTTGATCGCGATTGGCCCACGTTGTTGTCCTGCTCCCAGCGTGACGAAGTCACAAGTGTCGGGCTAGCCTCTTGGGAGGTGATTCCATGCGGTAGTGGAAGGTCCATCTGTTCGCCCTGCTCCTGGAGGTGCTGCTGATGCTGGAGATCCATGGCGCCAGCCACATCTGCTGACATGATTCCTTCTCCTTGCTTCATAGCCGCCGGCGAAGAAGAATTCGACGAGGACGAGGACGAAGCCTTAGCATCGAGACCATGGCTGGGGGGCGACGAAGCTTCAAAGTCGCTAATATTTTCACGCAGGTGCCTTTCCAACTCATCGTCGAGGGAACGCTGCGGCTTGAGCGCCCTTGGCGTGGCAAGGCCGCTTTCTTCACCCTCGACGTCCGAGACTTTTGTCAGTCGCTCGTCGAGCTGACTGTCGGCACTGCTGCTGCTGCTGTATCGTCGCTGCAGCAGCTCCCTGTCCGTCTCAATGTCGAGCTCCGTCTCGCTCGCCTCGCTCGCCTCTGCTCGAGAGTCACGTCTCTTGCTGCTGCCGCCATCCTCCCTCTCCGTCTCGCCCTCTGTCTCTGTGACCTCGCCACCATCTTTTCGCTCACCCGACTTATCTCCGCCACCGCCCGACGATGCCCCACCGTTGCCACCCTGGCTCTTTCCGTTCTCGCCGTCTCCCTCGCCCTCGCCGCCCTTGATATAGCCCTGGTCGTCGATGTGCTCCTCGTCGTCCTCCTTCTTCGCCGCAAAGTAGCTACCCACGTACCCGCTCTCCTCTCTCTCTACAATCTCACGCTCTCTCCTCGACTCGTGGCCTGGTCCGCCACCGCCCATCGGCTCTGGTGCGCTTCTGACTTCTGCGCGACCAAAGCCAGGCAGAAGCGGCTTGAAGTAGACGACGTAGGCGCACTCGTCGTACAGCCTTGGCCGCACGCCGTGCTCCCTCCTCAGAAAGCCGATGAGCGTAGGAATGTGAATTGACGGTGCAATGGCGTAGGCCGTCAGGCGGGGTAGAGGTGTGTGCATCCTCGCTGATGGGGCCAGCCTTTCAAACGTATGGTAGGCAGGTCCAGTCGACTTGGGCACGCGGGGTGGCGCCCGAGCATGCGCAGGCCCACGCACCGCAGGTAGCCCCGTCGCCCGCGGCGATGGTAAACCGTGTCGAGCCTTTTCTTCATCGTCGCGGAACTTGACGCGGTAGCCCTCGGTGCCCTGCTGCTGCTGGAAGCCAGACGTGGGGGCCATGGCCGACTTCTTCTTCGTTGGTTCGGCCTTCTTCTGTTGCAGACGAGCTGCCTCCTTCCTCTGTCTTCTCTGCTCTCGCTCTTCGTCATCGAGCGCTTGGTCGGCCTCCTCGTCATCAGCAGCCTCGGCCTCTTCGGCGTCCGTTTCCTCTTCTTCTTCCTCTTCTTCCTCATCATCATCGTCGTCATCATCGTCTTCCTCTTCTTCCTCCTCGTCGGGCAAAGGCGCCAACTGGCTCTCGCTCGGCAGGACAATGTGTTTGCCAGACGTCTTGCTCGTCCGGATCGGCTTCTCGGCTCGAACAGGCAGCGAATACCTGGTCGTCCTCGCCGGCGTGCCCTTGTACCTGTTTCCGGCACCCGCCCCCTTCGCAGCCGCCACCGTCGACGAAGAAGATGAAGAGGCCGAAGAGGAACCTGCAGTCTTTTGCGAAGCGACAGACGAGGCAGCCGAAGAGCCACCTCCGGGCGTCGTCGCACCCCCACTCGCTCCAGGCGGACGCTTGATGAGGCTCGCCTTGAGCGTAGCGGGGACCCTCGACCTGACTTGATTAGCCAGAGCGACTTGCTGGCGGAGCGAGGCCGCGTGATCTCTTTGCTGCTGCTGCTGTTGTTGTTGTTGTTGTTGTTGTTGCAAGTGCTGCTGCTGTTGCTGCCGTTGTAATTGTTGCTGCTGCTGCGTTGCCTGCTCAGGCGTGGCAGCAGCAAGCCTATTCCCACCCATTCCCGGCATGATGATGCCCGCTCTTAACTCCTCGAGCTGTCGCGCCGCATCGCCCGGCCCATCCACAAGATCGTCGACATCATCATCGTCGTCGTCGTCATCGTCAACATCGTCTTCACCGTGGTAGGACTGCACGCGGCGCAAAGACGATCTGCCCACGTTGGAGCCGGCAGATGCGGACCTCCCCCCAACTCCACCGCTGTACGAGCGGTTCTCTGAGCGTCGGTTGCGGCGGATTGACGAGGCAGTCGTGCTGAGGCCCGGCAGGGGCGTCGTGGTTCGTCGATTGATGGGCGGGTGCGACACATCAGCCGCTGTAGCCGGCGTCAAAGGCACAGACGTCGTCGGCACCGCAGGCTTCGGCTGTGGGCCAGTCTGTGTACCACCACCACCGCCGCCGCCGCCGCCGGGGGGCTTTGCGCCTTTGCTGTTGAGCGACGAATCGCCCGATGACATTTCGCCGAAAAGTCGAAGCAAAGTTCTCGACGACTCAAGGTGGAGAGCGAAAGACGGGACAGGAGAGAGAAGGAGACGTGCTTCAAATCTTCGCGCGCCATGTGGAGTCCACTCCTCCCCCCGACCCCTGTTTCACTTACGGTGCCCGTGGTCTCGTAAAGAATGATGGTGAACCAGATTCATTGTTCAATAAGGCAAGCATCTTAAGATCGAGCATCGTAAGGTACTACACTACTACACTACTCTGCCTGCCTTCGATGCTAGGGAGCCATAGACCAGATCGCTCTCGACGGACCTATTGTGCCCGACGTTTCGTCTGCCGAAGGTGTTGCCGAGATCGTCGCTGTAATCCAAGATCGTCAATGTGGTCCCGTCACCCGCTGTGGATTGCCCGTCCTTCAACGTCACGCTTGCTTCTGCCTTTTGCTCCGTGGCCAGCCGGTAATACGATGGCTCCAAGGTCGCATTCTCGTGGAACTGCTGCGTGACGTTGTAGGCGTGGTTGATGGTAGCATTGATGACATCCTTCGTCTGGTACAGAGAGATCTTGATGGGAAAGTCAAAGCCGTATTGAAGATACAAATCCTTTCCATGAAACGACTGGTGGGATCCCTTTGCCTCTTGATCTGTCGTCGAGGAAGGTCCTTGCTGCGTTGTGATGCTGTAGAAGTCGGCGCTTTGGGACCAGCTAACGGCGATGTCCTCCTCTGAGCTTCCCGTCTTGAGCTCCGCTTCGATCGAGAGTCGCCGAGGCGAATCTAGTCGGACTTCTGCCCGGAGTGTGCCATCTTCAGACACGTTACCTTTGACGTAACCTGCGGTCGAGAAGTTGCCGGCCGTGGGCGCATTGTAGGACGTGATGCGTCCTGTCGTTCGCGTGTCGGACTTGTCGAGAAAGACTTGAACATTTCCGCTGACAAACCAGGAGGCATCAATTTCTTGGCTCTCTTCTGCGCTGACAACCTTGAGCTGAATCTCGTGCTCGGCATCGTCGGTGAGTTGGCCGAGGAAAGGCGTGATATCGACGAGGTAGGTGGGCTGATCAAATGCACCGAATGCCACCGAGGGACGCCAGAGCAGAGGGTTGATGCCACCGGTGAAGACGACTGGAAATGGCATAGCGAATCCTGCGAGGCGACCGTCTATCAGGACTTGAATCTCTCTGTAGGGCCCGCGTGGGTAGAACAGAGATGCCGCGTCGCCGCCAACCTGATTGTAGATCTTGTCGGGTATGTTGCTATACCAGAATTCGTCGGTCGCTGTTCCACTCGCATAGATCTCGACCAGTGCGCTTCTCGCATTTGGAGGAAAGCGAAGCTTGGTGATACCATCGTCGGCCGGTGTCGTGCCGTCGCCCCCCAGAGCGAAGAAGGAGTTGTCAGTCTGGTTCTGCTTCGACAGGGGCAGCACGATCGCGCTGGCCTCGGAAAGCTTCCGGCGGGGCGAAGGGATATCGGCGACGTAAGCAGTAAAAGAGACCGTCATTGCCAGAGATCCGGTGTAGACATCGTTGACGATGTTTGGGAAGTCAAAGACCAAGTTGCGGTCCTTGCGGAACACGTCATAATAGCGGTTCATCTGGTAGGAAATGAGCTTTCAGCGATGCTGTCCGACGGTAGAACGAGTTAAAGCCCTCACCTCCTTGGAAAACTTCCACTGGGTGATGTTCGTGCTTGGCTCTGGATTGTCCGTACGGAGCACCTCGATGCCGTCGAGCTGGATGGAGCCTGCAACACAAGCGCGTCAGAGCGGAACCCAGGCAACCGAGAGCCCAGACACGAGCTTGACTCACCAAGACGATCGAATTGTCGGCCGCTTACGCTGCCTTCGACGGTAAGCTCGATGAATTGCCACTCTGTAGGATCCTTGCACACAGGATCGTCGAGTAGGCTGGGCGAGTACTTTCCGATGTAGGGATGGCCGTAGCTGTGTGTCAAAGAGGGTAATCGATGATGAGTCTTGTCTCCCACACAGGGCAACCACACGGTCCTCACCTGTTGACAAAGGTGTGCTCGAGGAGCTTCACTGTGCAACTTCGAAAGCCCTCCTTTTCTGGTAATACCCGAGTTGGGACATTGATCTCATAGTTGATCTTTGGTGGAGCTTCTTCCTTTTCTGACGGCATAGCGGCGAGCTTTCCAGTTCCGAGATGTGACTTGTGTTGCTGCTGCTCGGCGCTCGGCGAGGGGGCCTGAAAGGCACAGAGCAGGCCAGCTAGCGAGTATCTCGAGGGATGATCAAGGAAAAGGCTTGCCCGGCTCAGTGGTTCGCAATCTCCTCCCCTGCATTTATTTAAGGGCTCTTGAAGTACCAGTTGTTGGCTCAGTGAGCTCAGTTCGGAAATGCGACCGGCTGTTGCAGCTAAAGGGACCAAAGCGATCAAGTGAATGGCGAGGAGAAGCGGATGCATGCTCTCAAGGTCTTGCAAAGCGAATCGAGTCGGTCCTATGAGCGGTGAAAGAATGGGGCGCGCAAACGATTGACGAGACGGGGTAAAGATGTGCTAAGCCAGGATGATGTATGATCGAGAGAGAGAAAGTCCTTGATGCGCAGCAAAGGGGAGGAGAGGAAGAGGAGGAGGAATGTGCCCTCCCCTTCAATTGTCCTTTCAATTTGCGGTCGGCGGCGAGCAGGCGACAAAGAGGTCCGCGCAGATGCGGCGTTCGGTAGATGGTCGTGCGACGTTGAAGAGAAGCGCCGCCGCTACGCCCTACAAGCCCTCTTTCTCAGAAGATTCTTTTCATATCCCCCTTCCTGATCTGCCGTACGTCCGGGTGGTCAGGTTTTTGCCAATAAAAGGACTCTGTTGAGCCATGTCCGTGCATCGTTAGATTAGGAGATTAGCCTGGTTCTGAGCCGAGTCCCGAACACGGCATGCGCGCGCGCTCTTGCTTCACCTGGAATAATGGCGTCTGCCAACCTCGAGAGCGCAGACAAGCAAAGTACGAGTTGGTTTGACGGCGCGCGCACAAGGAAAAATACCTGAAGCGGGACGGGAAAGCGAGATGAGCAGTAAGGAGACCTCCGCAAAGATGAGCAGGTGAGTAGGAGCGCAGCAGTTGGTTGTAGGAGTTTTGAGGAACGGGTTCGGGCGCCCAATGTGTGTGTGTACGCGCACGCCCGCCGCGCCGGGGCCACCACCTCAAGAGAGAGAGTGTGTGTGTGCGCGCGATTAAAACTGACGGAGTGTCCCTTGGGAATCTACACCACCGAGCAGCGCGAACTCCCCTTCGTCGTCGTTGAGCGAGCCGCTGAGCGAGGAAGAGTCCGGAAAGCATACGAGACGAGCCCGCAAAGACGACGACGACGACGAGGCCGAGGAGGACCCGATGCTGATCACACGCGGCGCGCGAAGCAAACAGAAGGCCGCCGAGGAGGACAATGTAGATGAGCTACAAGACGACGAGGAGGATGCAGAGGGTGAGGAAGAGGACGCAGAGGGAGAGGAGGAAGAGGAAGAGGAGGAAGAGACGGCTGCGGATGGACGAGACGACGACGATGACGACGATGCGATGGAAGACGAGGAAGACGAGGAAGAGGAAGACGAGGTCGAAGACGACGAAGAGGAAGAGGCGGAAGATCTCGAGGCTGGCGATGGCGATGACTATTCTGACGAAGAGGTGGATGCGACCAGGGCTGTAAAGGGTTCCAGACGCAAGCCTCCGGCACGAGCTGCAGCTACGAGCGCAAAGGGAGCCTCTGGCGCGCGCAAGCGAAGAACGGCCATGAGCGAGGCCAGTGCTAGCCCAAGCCCGGCCCAAAGCAAAGGTACAGCGACAGCAAGGAACAAGAAGAAGATCACAATCCGGCTCAGCCCAGGAAAGAAGAAAGGCACAGGTTCAACGCCAGGCAGGAAGGCAACATCCAAGAGGGCAGCGACTACCGCTGCAAAAGGAAGATTATCGACATTGAAAAGGGCCGCGGCGAGAGGCGTGAGCGCTTCGGAAGACGAGGAAGAAGAAGAGGAGGAGGAATTGGATGACGACGACGAAGAAGAGCAGGATGACATCCAGGCCGGCTCGGATGCCTCGGACGAAGATTTTGCAAACGTGGCCCTGTCCTTGCCCAAGACGGCGAGGCAACGAGCAAAAGAGGCCGGCAGCGGTGGAGACCAATCCAGTGAGCTCATGGAGCTGCCCGCCGAATCCAAAAAGCAGAAGCTTTCCGAGTCCGAGCTGGCCCTGCGCAGGTCTGAGTTGGCCCGAAAGCGGCGCAATCAGACGGAGAAGAAGCTCGAAGACGACAAAATCGAGACCATCAATCGCCTCCTCAAGAAGCAAGTCTCGAGGCGGTCCAACCGAGAGGGCAACAACGCTGTTGCAGATGATTCAGACGCAGAGGAAACGAGCGAGAGCGGGGCCGTGGAGAAGCAGGGCAAGAGAAAGCGGACCCCTAGCCCGACGGCGGAGGATCTCAAGAACCGCCCGAGACCGTACTTTCGCTATGTCTCGAGAGCGGACGGGGCCACACTGAGTATCCCACCTGTTGGCTCGGAGCCAGAAGACCAAAGTTACCTCCTCAAGTTCAACAGTGCATTTGGACAGGCCGTCGGTAGCACATCTTGAAGCTGTACATGCAACCCTTGACTACTCTCCTCCTTCAATTTACTCATACACACTTTCAGGCCCTTGCTGCTGCTTTTGAGCGACCATGTGGACGGAGCGGGAATCTAATGTATGGCTTCCGAGGTAAGAACGGTGAGAGAAATGTACAAGCGAGATGGTGGCTGAGGTGAGCGCGATGTCGTGTAGATCACTCTCCCGACAAGTCCAAGTCGCGATAAACGGATTCGTCGCTGTTCGTCGGCGTCTTGAAGGCGTGGGGGAGGTGCCTCATGAGGGGGTACAAGCCATCATGCAGCTTTGTTCTTCTCTTCATGGCCGTGATGAGCTGCTCAGAGAATTGAGGGCGGATCGGCCCTGCATGCCTTGTTTCGGTAGTCGACCCACCCGGTGTCCCGACGCTGGCTGGCATCGAGGCATCGTGCGCAAGATCAGAGCTCGGTGCTCCCCCAGGCGTTCCCGGACCACTGGAAGCCGCTGCCGTCGCCGCGGCTACAAGAGAGTTTGTCGCACTCGACGAGCCCGGAGGCCCGCTCGAAGATGAGGAGGGAGCTCCACCGCTATGTCCAGCGCCGCCCTTTTTCTTCTTCTGCGCCTGCAAACTCTTTCGGATCTGCGCTTGCCTCTTCATCCATCCCTGCTCGATCTCCCTCTCGGTCGTGTTGAGCGCAGTCATGTAATCCTGCCAGGCCAACCGATCATGTGCGATTTTGAAAAGCCGCGATTTTCGCAGTTCGTTGATTCTCATCTGTCGACGAAGGGCTCGTTGCACTTGTCGCAACGTCGAAGAGATCTCGTCATCGGTCCGATTGGACCAGTCTACGTCTGCATCTCCAGTGCCAGTACCAACAACACCGGTCAAGCTCCCCGTTGCCGGCACGACGTCTAAGGCCTTTAATTCTCGCCGAATCCGTTCTTCAAATTCAGCCATGTCCTGACTTCGGCTTGCCCCTTCGCCTCCTTCTCCATGGTGCCCGTTCAAGACAAGGCCTCCCGCTGAGCTGTTCCCCATGTCCATTGCCACACCATTGGACGAAAGGTCGGAGCCATGGGCGCCGCCATTGCCGCTGCTCGTGCTGACGCTGGTCGGCAGTAAAGCGGCGATCAATCGCTCGGTGAATGGTCCTCCACGCGCATCCTCCTGCGCCGTACCAAAGACATGCTCATCACGCATATGTCGTGGATCGAACTTGGGCGCAGGCTCGATTGCCAGCTGATTGAGTCCGCTCCTGCTCTTGGCATGGACTCCGTTCGGCCCTACCGACCCTGCTGCTGAGGTCCCGACTCCATTCGCTCCTGGACGGACCGAGGATGCTCCTAGCGTTGAAAAGGTCGAAGAACCTGGGGTCGGAGGGTAGCCCAGTGCAGCAGCAGACGCGCTGCTCGTATCCTCTTCCTCCCACACCTCACTGTAATGCCTTCCAAGTGGTGGAATCTGAAAAGGCTCCATGTCTTCTGACTTGCTCGATAGCCACGCCAGATCCTCTTCGGTCATCGTCCTGAAGTAGGCGTCGACCCAGCTCTGAAAAGTGTGATGAGGCACTTGCTCTTGCTTCCGATCCCTTGCTCGCTGCACGGCCGTCTCCTTGACGATGGCTTGACCTGGCCCAGGTCCAGATGCAGCCGCAGCCACGGCCTCCAGTCTGTCCCTCTCCTTGTCTCTCTCGCGCCAATCCATCTTGGCAAAGTCAACGTCGACATCGTCCTGCTTCGTGGGGTAGGGCCTTGGTGGCTTTGTTGGCGCCAATTTCGGAACGAAGGTCTCTGGTGTCTTCTTCGGAAGCTCCCACATTGCCGCCTGAGACGCCTGAGCGGGTGTCATGGGGGTGGAGGCGACAGGAGAGTCGCCTCGAAACGTCGAGCCTCGCCGCAGGTGAGCCGACGCAGCCGAGTCTCGTCGTTGGTGCTGGGACGCTGTAGACGCAGTTGGATTGAGCTTAAGCTTGATGCCCAGGTTCGAGGATGAGGGTCCCGTAGAGCTGCTGGGCCCAGCATATAAGTTTGAGCCGAGGCCTCTCGCGCTGACATTGCTGTCGGTCGACGATGACTGTTGCTGGGGTTGGACATGCGATACTTGCTGCGGGTCTTGCTGGGGCTGGGCTTGCGAACCCGGTTTCTGGGAGCTTGGAGGCTGAGGCGAAGCAAATTCAGACGTCGACGAATCGTCTTGAGAATCTGCCGTCCCCAATCTTCCCCTTTTGTTGTTGTAGGTCCTTCCGGGTCGAGCCAGCGGAGCATCTTCCCAGACCATGTCCGAGTCCAGACCTGGACTGGCTTCGCTACCTTGCCTTGGGCCGCTACTCTGGGCACCTGTGCTCGCTTCTCGCTTGACCTTGCTCTTGCGAGGCTTGCCTCCCACATTGGCCCCAGACCCCGTGCCAACCCCTTGTGAAGCCGACGCGGACAGTGGGGCCAATGGAGGCGCCGACACTGGTGCTGGTGACGCCGAGGGGCCCGGTGTGATGACCCGCGATGGCGGTGAGGCCAGGCTCCCTGGTTTTGGCTTTGGCTTGCTCGCTGAGCCAGAAGCGGAAACATTTGAGATCGAGCGGGCTTTTGAAAGGGGAAGTCTACCCTTGGAGATGTCATCTTGGTCCTTCACCAGACGCGCACTTCGCTGCTCGGTCTCTGCACGTAGGCTCAAGAGGCTGGCGTGAAGCTCCTTGAGATTTTGTATCGGTGGGATCCCATCTTGAGATGCAAGGGCATGCACCAGAGCAGCTGAAGACGATGACGAAGAAGATCGCTGCGCCAATTCCCGAGACGGGCTGGGCGAAGGTCGCTGTGACGAGGGCATCACGCGTGCAAAGCTCTCCCTACTCCTCCTCTCTTTACGGCGACGTGTTGTCAGAGAAGCTTCCCATTCATATGCGGCCCAACGTCAGTGTCGTCCTCGTATGCCGCGGAAGCAACTTTCGACTGAGCCCAGCCGCCTTCTCTCTCCCTGACCCTCTCCAAGTGAGGAGGCACCAGTCGTTGTAGTCGTATCAACGAGAGCGATGCAGAGACTGAGCAATCGTTTGTCTGCGCAATATAGTTCCAATCTTCGTTGTCTTTGTCGCTCCTTTTTCGCAGGTTGTGATGGTGTTGGAAGTGAGATGGAAAGGATCAACCATCACGGGCCCCGGCCGAGAGAGACGTCAAAACAACAAATTTCAGGCGCGTCGGCAGAAGTGCAGCCAGCCTTCCCCTCACGCGCCTGCGTTAGCTTCCTCGCATACTGGACTAGCTCGTACCGCCGTAACAGCAAGCTCACTTCATCGTTGCCGTGTGGTTCACAGATCCTTTCCCCTTGGATTTCTTCATCCCCTAAGCCTAGGTCCTCCATTCACACTCTTTTCCTCCTTTCGCCGTCGCAATTTTTTGAAGAGAAGCTTGTTGAAACCTGTCAAAGTCGTTCAAAATCGATCCTCTCGGCTGTCTGCCAAAATGCTTCCCCTCTCAAGTGCCACGGTCTGTTGCCTTCTCTTTGTTGGATCAGCAAGTCAAACCGTAGGCCCTTTCGCTTCAGGAGTGAGGTCACAAGAGGAAAGCATACAAAGTCTTCATGATCAAAATGCCGCAAAACAAGCGTCGACAGGTACATTGCTACCTCTGTGCTCAATTCCACCTACTGACCCCAAGTTTCTGCACAGAAGCATCACCCCTGGACCTCTCTTCAAGCGAATTCGAAGCAATCTTCTCTCATCGAGGTGAGCTGAGCACAATTTGAACGCATACATAGCGCGTCAGCACGTCAGAGCTCATCGTGTAGTCCCATCTTTCAGCCTCCCATCACCTTCAGCTTCTCAGTTCCAGGTCAGACTGCTTCCGAGAAGCGTCTACAAGAATACAAACCCGATGTGGTCAAGATTTGGAGATGGATCAATACGAGAGGGTGCAAGGTGCGCGCGGATCTGGGACAGACCGCACCTGCCTGCAATTGCCTTTCTGAACTCGGTTTTGTCTAGCCGCCGTCGAGATGACAAAGTGCGAGATTGGGACAGCCGGTCTGTCGCCTCCTATGGAGTGCCAGAAGATGACAGGCACCAGCGGTCAAGCTCTTTGCGTCGAGTGAGTTGCAACAGTCTTCTGCCGGACTGAGTATCGCTGAGCTGCTCGCCGCCTAGAGCACTTTCGCGTTCGTCCCAATTTTGGTCGTCGTACTCGGGCTATCTTCGCGAGATCAGCTCGCTCTGTTTTGCTTTTCAGAGATTACGCGACATTGGTCAGTCATGAGTTGTTGCGTCGTAACACTGTGCGTATTGACTCGCGGGGCACCACAGATACGGCAAGGAGCATCTACGCTAGGATCACCAAAGAGAAGTCAAGCTTGCTGGAGTTGCTGCAGAGGCAGGCAAAGGCTACTGTCCGTAGTCAAGAGGCAGCTGCGGCGGCCTGGGAAGATCAGCACGATATTCTACGAGGGCATAGAGAGAACTACTCGGATCACATTGATGTGAGCTTGGGAAGAGAACCAATACGGGACAACGAAGTTCACACTATTCTATAGATGATCAGAACGTTCTCAGGCGAGCTGAGCGAAGTGCTCAAGACCTTTCAAGCTGTACTCTCCTCGCAGGCAACGATTCCGGAGCTCTTTTCAGAGCAAGGAGCGAAGCAAGTGAGCTTGATCTCCGTACTAAAAGAACTTCTCAATTGATTGTCCCTCGCTTCGGACACAGGTCGAAGATGCAGTTCGACCTCGCGTCGATGGACTCCTCGATGACCTACAACAGGGTCTCAAGCTTCAGTTCGACAGATTTTCCTATGAGGTTGACGAGTCCATTCGACGGCAAAAGACACAGCTCGAAGAGAGCAGCAAAATGCTCGAGCATTCGGCAGGCGAATCAGCAGTTCAGTCAAGACGATACACCGAGAGCATGAATGAGGTCGCTAGAGCTTTTAGCATGATGATCTCAACAGTCTCGGCCACATCGGAAGGCTTCGAAGAGGAGCTGCAAGCGCTGAGCAGGTCTTCCAGAGAGCTTGCTGATCGACAGCTACATTCGACGATCACAATAAGGGACGTTCAACGATCAGCAGTGAATGAGCTAACAATGACGGTGAACGAGCTTGTACAGTCTGCTCGAGAAGCCACTATTCTGCTCAATGCATCCAACAAAGCAGCCCGTCAGGCTATGGGTGGATCGACCTCCTTTCTGTTCCAATTGATCCAATTCGCTAGCGGTCGGGCAAGCAATGAACAAGCAGCAAGCGGCGAGACGAGCCAGTCAATCAGCGACGTCTACGGGAGCTTGACTTCACTGATTGTCCCCGCCCTCTCCCAACGTGAGTTGGATCGATACGGCTACAATATCTCTGCTGATTCTCAACTGCCTCGTTGCAGCTGAGCTCACTTCCCTTCTGCCCTCTGGTGGCTTGGCAAGAAGCATGGCTCATCTGGCTATATTCTTCATCGTTGTCCTGAGCCGCGTTCTCTTGGCCATCTTCAAAGCTCTGATGGTTCGTTGAAGGTCTCCTGATATCATTCGCGGTTGCAGGAGGCTGAGAATTCGTTAATAGATCGCGCTACTTCTCTTTGGAGCATTGTCATCACGGCTCTTCCGTGCCGCGCTGAACAATCTCGGTGGCCGGAGGAGGTACTCTATCTTTTCCGCCATGATCGACGAGCAAGAAGAATTCGAAGTCGAGGCGCTGCTTCCGATGGAAGCGATGTCTCAGGAGGTGGGGAATGGGTTCCGGCGTCTCGCGAAGCAAAGGTATATAACCGAGCCTGAAGATCAATCATCTTCGACCACTTGGTCTAATTCGAGAGCTGAAAGGTGTACGCACCATCTCTTACGCTACACTTCGATCAACCATCGGAGAGCAAGCACTGACCGCATGTCTTCACCATCCTTTGAATCGCCCATGAGGTGCCACCCCGCAGCTCATCTGCATGACTTCCACCACCGCGACATGCAGACTATGACCCACCCATACAATACGCACCAGCTCTAGTCACCACATTGATTATGTTGAGACTGTCAGATACTTGTACAAATGATCGGATATAGGTGGAGGGAATGGAGTGTCTACAGCTCGATCTTGTCGCTCCCGATGGCCTTGACGGCTGCACCCAGTCCGCTGCTGACGCCCGCCCAGTCTTTACCGGCGAAGGCGGCACCGCCGACTTGAATGGCCGGTGTCGACATTGCGCCTGCAAGGGAAGAGGAGGTCGAAGAGCTTGAAGATGAAGCATCTATCGAGCCGAAAAGATAGTAGGTCGTCCGAGAGATAATGAAGCGAAGATTGGAGGGTAGGTGGAAGATGAGGCTGTACCACAGCAGCGAAGAGATGAAAATCATGATCATCCCTTGAATTGGCCCAGCTCAGTCAGCCCCTACCTGCTCTCTGCGCTCAACGAACGCAGACTCACAAAAGAGGGCCTTTTCCCAAAATTCGAGCATGTAGAGGCCAAAGGTGCAGTTGAACCAGGTGACGAGCTTCCAAAGCGGCGTCTCGAGGGGCGAGCAGCATCTCCGAGCAAACGAGCGGTGTTGTTGGCTTGCGGACCTTTCCGTCATCGCGTCTGTTCTCTCGCACCTCTCTGCTTGCGTCAAATGATGGTGGTGGTGATACGAGGAAGAGGAAGGGAGGAGTTACAGTGCCGATGGGATGAGGTTGCGCCAAACAATTCCGATAAAATAGAAAAAAGAATCCGTCTTTTTGGGTTTAGACTAAAAAGAGAGGCACCATGTTTAAAATTCTTGTCATTTATCCGGCATCTGTCATCCGACGAAACCCAAACACGTGTTTACCAATTTCCGACGCGTTTTGGCCCACCAACAACACTTCGCCAGACACCAACACTAACGACAACTGGGACGAGGATCGTCTTGAGAAGATGCCGGCCGCGACAGCATCGGCATCGAGCCTGGTCGAAAACCTCGGCAAAACGCTGCCGCCGCACTTTCAGCAGGCGCAAGCGACGCTGGCAAACCACCGAAAGAACATTGTCTCGCTGCATCGGCTTCATGCATCGTGCGCGACGCTGACCCAGGACACGCCAAAGGGGACCAAGCTCGTCGGCGAGAAAGCATTCAACGATGTGTTCTTGGCCTGCTTGAACCGAGTGCTGGGTGTCAAAAGAGGGGTAGCCAATGCAGATCGAACGATCAAATTTGTTGCGGGCTACTGTACCTGTGAGTCACCTTTCTCTTTCGTGTCCAAAAAAACCGCTGACTGTCTGTTACAGATGCCCAAGAGCAGTTCAGGCTGGCGCTCCGAGCAGCGAACAAAGGGGCTGGCGCAGAGACAGAAGATGACGAGGAAGAAGAGGACACGACGGCGACGCGCTTTGTAACGATCCTTCTCAAGCATCTTCTCCGCGGATTCGGAGCCAAGAACAAGAATGTCAGGCTGCGCTGCTGCCAGACTGTCGCGCTCCTCATCAATGGGCTCGAATCGATGGACGACGACCTCTTTGAAGCGCTCAAAGGTGCGCTTCTCGTTCGCGCCAAGGATCGCGAGTCCAGCGTTCGTGTACAAGCTGTCGTCGCGCTCGCCAAGCTTCAAGGCGCGGAGGGCGACGATGGGGACGACTTGGATGATGGAGACGCTACCAACATCACCTCAGTCCTTCTTCGCGTTTTGCAATACGATCCAAGTGCAGAGGTCCGTCGCGCCGCTCTCTTTAACCTCCCGACCAGCCAGAAGACACTGCCCTTCATTCTTGAGCGGCTTCGCGATGTCGACACCGTCAACCGCCGGTGTCTGTACCTCGGAAGCCTTTCGAATGCCGTCCTCGAGCAATCTTCGTGCAGCGCCAAGCTGGGTCCAGAAGACTGGGCCCACGTCGTCCGAACAGGCCTTGGCGAGCGCGAGGAAAGCGTAGTGCGGGCAGTCAAGAAGCTCATGGCCAGCTGGATTGATGCAGCTTCTTCCTCGGCAAAGGATCCCCTCGATTCTTTTCTGACACGATTCGACGTCCTGCGTTCACCCGAGGTCACTGCTTCAGCTCTGAAGGCCGTCTTCGAGGTGCGACCTACTCTTCTTGACGCAATTGCATTTGACGACGACTTCTGGAGCAACTTGACAGCAGAAAGAGCCTTTGTTGCCCGGCAGTTTGTCGATCACTGCAAGTCTTCCCTGGGAAGGGACGGCGAGCGCCGCATGGAAGAAGCGATGCCTCTAGTCACTGCGCTCGCCTTTCGAACACAGGCAGCGTGGGCCTCTCTTTTGGAGAAGCTGGAGGAAGGAGGGCAAGAAGAAGATGCAGACATCCTTATCCGCCAGTCCATTCTCGATTCACTGCTCCACGTCTCTATGTCGGCAGACTACGGCGACGAAATTGGCCGCCGTAAGATGTTCGGCCTCGTTCGCGACATGATCTCGAGCCCAGTGCTGCCGCAGCCCGTCATTGAGCCGTGCCTCGACGTGCTGCTCAAGCTGAGCGCGGGTCAGCGTGACTTTGTTCGCATCGTCGTCGAAATCGTCAACGAGATGTGGGATCTCGATGGAGAGGCTGATGGCCAGGACAACAGCGACGAGGACGAGGATGAAGACGATGAAGCAGAGGTTGAAGATCAAATCTTGAATGGAGGCGCAAGTCCGACGAAGCGGAGCACAGGAGGACGCACAACAGCACTCAGCCCAGAGGAAGCTCAAGTAGCTGTGAGAAGGCTCGTCATCGTCCGTGGGATGCTTGAACGGGTGGCGGGAGGGATGCAGGAGAACACGGCCATGCACGGTCTCGTCTCGCAGCTCATCGCACCCGCTGTCAAGTCCAAGGACGAATCCATCCGACAGCAAGGTCTTGCCTGCCTGACACTCTGCTGCCTCCTCGACGCCAAGCTGGCCTTGAATACGTTTGGCCTTTTCCTGCAACAAATGCAAGAAGCCCAGGGTCTCGTACGCTTGACATCGGTACGCGCAGTATTCGACAGCCTGACGGTACATGGCATTCCATATCTATGCCGACCACAGGTGGCTGCGGCAGGTGGCGGGCCAGAGGCTGTTGCTATGGTGCATGCGCAGATGGTCAACTTCCTCCTCAGCCTCTTAGAGGATGAAGACATCGACGTGCAGGCCACGGCAGCCGAAGGCATGGCCAAGCTCATGCTGGCGGGCATCGTCGAGGACGATGATGCACTTCGAAGCTTGGTCCTCGTCTACATGAGCCCGGAGACGACAAACAACCAGGCACTGAGACAGTGCTTGAGCTACTTCTTGCCCGTGTACTGCTTCTCGAGCGCAGCTTGTCAGCGCCGCCTGCAGAGGGTAAATGTCTCGCACTACAGGAAAGGAAGAAGGTACCGATCGCTGACTTTGCTGCTCCATTTTGTCAGGTCTTCCTTCCCATCCTTCAGGTGCTCACGGAGGTCTACTATGAGCGGGACGAAAGCACGCAGGACATGGTGACGCCCTTGCAAGTCGGCCTCCAGCTCGTGGAATGGACCGACCCGACCAAGGTTCACTCAACCTCTGTCGTGGACCAGACGATCCATCTGGGCGTCGCCATGGACCTGATCCGGGCGCTGTACAAGGTCGAAGACAAAGAAGAGCGGAAGGTCATGGTCCAGCTCCTCGGCCGGCTCTACCTTCCACCGCAAGAAGAAGAAGAATCAAGTACGGGTCCGACTGTTGTCGTGGAAAAGGAGAAGGCCGCGGTGCTCGTTCTCTTGATGGCGACGCTCAAATTCGTGAGGATCTTTTCTCTCGAAGCAATGTGCCTTTCTTTCGCTAACTCTTCTCTTTCTGCAGAATCTTCCGCTGGAGGATGCAACGTCGCGCAACGCATTCGACAAGTTCGAGACAGCATTGCGCAAGCGGTACCCCGCCTCGCTCGAATACCTTGGCGAGGACGAGTGGTGGAAGTCGGACTCTGGCGAGGACGAGGAAGAAGAAGGGAGCGAGGCACTGGCGGGCGTCAAGGCTTTCTGGACCCAGTGCGGCCTGGACCAGGACAGGTGGGTCGCGAATGCGCCAGCGGCGGGCACTGGCGGAGGAGCGAGGAAGCGATCAACGAGGAGCGCGTCGACGACGGCGGGAACTCCAGCCCGGAGAAGCACCAGAGCTGCGGCCACCAGACCGACGAGAGGAAATGCTAGAAAGGAGGAGGAAGATAGTGACGGGGAAGGAGATGAACTTGAGGAGGAGGACGGAGCTGAGAGCATTGTGGACGAGGGTGAAGAGGAAGACGAGGAGGAAGACGATGATGAGTGAAGGAACGAGCCAAGTACGGCACTCTCTGTTTCGTATGTAATTGTATGATTGAGAAGTCCAGACCGTCAAAAGCCAACGGAAGGTACGGAGAGATGAAGAAGCTGGTCGTCATGAGTGATGAGAAAGACAAGAGAGACAAAGGAGAAATAGAAAGATGTGAAAGGAAGTTTCAAGTCTCCTTCTCGAAGCTAACAAAGACCAAGTCATAATCTTCGAACTCGTAGGCAATCCGATCAGTCCTCTTGTAGCCCTTGAGCGAAAGGCCATGGAGAATCGTGCCCTGGTCCTTGGTGCTGCTATCGTCGTCGACCTCGACAGCGTCCTGCTGGGTACTGCTGTCAAAAAGAGTGACGCTAAGCTTGCCAGGCTGGAAGATGCCAACAACGCGCGTGATGAGGCTCTTGAGGTCCTTTACGTCCTGCTCGTTGCTGATGTGCTTGACTGGTCCAGCATTTGTCGTCGTTGTCGCAGTTGTGCTGCCGTGGGACTGCTGGCTGGAAAGAGATTCGACACGGACATTCGTCTCGAAAGATGCGTAGCTGCTGCCTTCTTCGGGCGTGACGTGCACCGTCCAGTACCCCTCTTCGCTAGCAGAGGTGCCTGCGTAGTTCTGCTTCACAACGGCATTGGCACTGAATCCACAGGGCTCAAAGGCAAATGCGTCGACGGTCGTGTTGTTGAAGAGGCCCGACAGACCGACTTCATCAGACACTTGGCTTCCAAGGACGTGGCCCCTGTCCTTGATGGCGTCCTCTCCTTCCTCATTGGGAAAGACGAAGCGAGAGCATGAAGTCGGGCTGAGATGGGTCATGAGGATCTCCAAAGTCTGGTCGGAGTCCGACTCGGTGCGGCTGACGGTCGTCTGAACGGGCATCGCAGCAGGCGGGAGAGGAGCGGAAGGGACTGGCGCCGTCATGTACAAGAGCCAGTGGTCTCCGTTCATCTTGCCGACGGTGTAGGCGGACCCATAATCTGGAAACAACGATGTCAGAAGAGCGCTCCTAGGCATGTAGGCATCAAGTGCCACACTCACCAAAGAAGCGGTCCAGCACAGCGACCTCGAGCATCCAGTCCTTGTGAGGGCCCTTCTGTCGTTCGGGAAACATAAACGACTTGCGCGAGTAGAAACACCTCTTGACCACATCGCCGAGCCTCTTCTCGACGGTCTCGTGCCTTGCCTGGAGACGAGACGTGTTGGGCGTCGTGGGCAAGGCGGCGGACAGGTCTGGGTGGAGCATAGACATGGCAATGCGCAACAGGCGCTCGAGGCCCAAGAGCAGAGTCGTCGTGCCGCAAGTCTTGAGGATAATTTTGTGCGCAAAGACAAACATCGACGATTCGCTGCAATCAAGAGTCAGCTCGAGTGATCGAAGGATCACGCTGAGAGCGAGACAAGAAACCCACCTGAGCAGATACGCATCGACGTCGCGGCCCTTCACCACGCTGAGAACCTTGCACTTGACAATGTCCAACATATCTTCCCAGACGCCTCGGTCAACGACGCGGAGACCTTTGCCTACTTCCGATTCGCTGTCGGCAAACCAAAGCTCGAGGAGCTTTTCGGGTCCTTCAAAGGGCCCTTGGGGTTCTTCGTCGGCGGACACAGCAGCCGACGTGGCAGCTGATGGAATTTTGATGCTGGCGGCGACCACATCGGTGCAGTCGTGACCACGAGCCACGCTGGCATGCTTTGTGTAGGCGTCATCCATGGCAATGGAAGGGGCCATTGCTTGTGAGAGAGTCAAATCTTATGGAGGGGCAGGTGTGTCGATGCTAGGGCGGAGCGGCAATGTCGGGCGCTTTCGTTGTTGGTCGGCCTGGCTCGGCGTGCGGGTAAAGAACGTGGAAGGAAATGCTTGTCTTTGGTGAGAATGAAATCTGAATGGCGCTTGGCCGTCGTCGTGAGTCTATACTATAGCCACTATTATCTGGATCGTCGGTTGTCATGGGAGGCGAGCGAGGGGCTCAATCGTGCAGATGCGGTTTGGGCGTGGGACCGACAGCTTGGCTGCTCTGGTCTCACTGAGGAAAAGGCTATTGCGAAAGAGCGCTGAGGGCTGTGTGTTCTCTAGTCTTTGCGGCAACGTAGAGAGTGGTGCTTGCAGAGTCGATTGCTGATGCTGTCGATGGGTGAGGAAACAGGAACCACAGTGGGGGGAGGAGAGGAAGAAAGGTCCAGGCACTAAGGGGAAAAAAATTTCTCGTTTATCGCGCGTGGCCACAGACAAGCCACCGCCGCCGCCCATGAATCGAAATTGGATCAGAAGAGGTGAACGGCGTCCGTGCGACTGCAGGTTCCATCACCATGGCCGCTCCTCTCTACAGTGAGTCCTGAGCAATGGAGGGCCACGACGATTCGCTGCCTCAAGCAAGCCAGCTGACGAGTTCCTCCTACCTCAGCGACGGCCTCGGGCCAGCTCTACCATGCGTGAGTAGACCGTTCTGCTCCTTTTTGTGGTCTTATCTGACAACGCTAGCGCGACTTCAGTGGCAAGATCTTGATCGCAACAGTCGGCCTTCCAGGTGAGTGACGCAAGAGCATGCAAAGGTAGATATACTGGCATCTGCTGACAACAATCATCACGACCACAGCTCGTGGCAAGACGCATCTGTCGCATGCTCTCGAACGCTATCTGCGCTGGCTTGGTGTCCGATGCGCCGTTCTGTCATTGGGCGACTATCGCCGCAAGGTTCTCGGTGGCGCTGAAAAGGTGCCTGCCGACTACTTTAAGTCAGGTCCAAAGAGCGCAGAGACGGAAGCGTTACGGAAGCGCATCTTAGATGATTTCGATGCGCAAGTGGTAGACTTCTTCAAATCAGGCGGTCAGGTTGTCATCTACGACGCCAACAATGGCACCCAGGCGAGGAGGATGGCTATTCGGGAGACATTCGGCAAAGGTCTAGGGATTCATGTCATGTTCCTAGGTGCGTCTTCTAAAGCATATTGACCGCATGTAACGCTGATGGATGTCTCGACGACAGAGAGCATTTGTACAGACCAGGCTATCGTCGAAGCGAACATCAGAAGCGTGAAGATTTCGAGCCCCGATGTGAGTTGGCTTTTGACACGGTCAAACTTTCATACAAAGCTCATTGCCCTCTCAAGTACGGATCATGGGATCCAGAAAACGCTGTCAAAGACTTCAAGAACCGAATTAAAGGACACGAAGGTGAATCAAAGACCAGACTGAGACTGAGGCTCTCTGCTCACTGTATGTCCGGTAACAGCTTTCTACGAGCCGATCGAGCAGCCATCTTTCCCCTACATCAAGGTCATCAATGTCGGCCAGCAGATCATTGTCAACAACATTCAGGGTTACCTGCAGTCGCGAGTCGTCTTCTTCTTGATGAATATTCACAATCGACAAAGGACCATCTACCTGGCGCGAGCAGGCGAGGCGCTGATCGAGCACCTGTACAAGGCCGATGCCGACCTCAGCTCGCTCGGCTGGGAGTACGCCGAGAAGCTTTGCGAATATGTGCAGGAGGTGCGGCACCAGAGAAAAGAGGCGAGCTTGGAGCGAGCAAAGGGAGGTGTCATGACACCGGGAGGCCATGAGCCTGGCACTGGTCCAGGAGAGGAGGGACGACCATTGGAGGTGAGTCAAGACCCGGCTTGAGGGAAACACTCAACCTTACTGACTTCAACCGGCAAGGTCTGGACGTCTGCCCGACGCCGATCGTCGCACACGGCACTGCCATTCACCGAACGGGGCTACCGGGTCATCGAGAGGTCGCAATTAAGCGAGATGAATCCCGGCATAGTCGACGGAATGAGTGTGGACGAGATCAAGGCACGCTTTCCTGATGAATGGGAAAAGAAGCTCAACGAGGTTGGTTTCTTGTCTCTCCAGGAAGACAGGTCGAGTGCTGACTGCGTCCAATAGCCCTACTCGCATCGCTTTCCCCGAGCGGAAAGCTATCACGACCTATCGGTCCGTCTGGAGCCGATCATCTTCGAATTAGAGCGCGCGGCCGACGATGTTCTCATCATTGGCCAATCCTCTGTGCTTCGATGCCTTATCGCCTACCTCCAGGGACGCAAACCCAACGAGATCCCTCTGATTCAGGTTCACGAGGGTGACCTCATTGAGATTAGCCCGCAGGCATACGGCGTCAAGACGAACATCCTACCGTGAGCATCAAGCCTGAAATAGGGCAATACTTCTCCTTCTGACTCTTTACCCGCTTCCACAGATTCTGGGATCCGGTCACTAAACGCAAAGAAAGGGATGAGGCGTACTTCCGAGGGAAGGATCAAGGTCAAGGATCGTTAGCCACCGACGAGGAAGATGAGGACGCTCATCACAACGAGATGCCTGACATCCACTCGCTACCTTTACATGCGCTTGAGGGTCAATCGTCTGATGCTCCCGAGCCGCTGGGATCTGCACTTGGTCTCGCCAAAGGACGTGAGCGCTCCGGTAGTGCCAGCTCAAGCAGCACAGCGTCTGGTGGGCGCAGTGCTCGGCAAGACGATGTCAACAAAACTTTGACCGCCGAAGACTACGATCGCCTGTCCAAGGATGAGCGCAGCACTTACGATGCCCGGCAAGCTGAAAAGGAGGCAAAGGAGCAGGCTGGGCTTCCCTACCAGTGGAGTCAGACGCTCGACTCTGTCAGCCTCACCTTTGGTGTTCCGTCCGGCACTCGGGGTAAAGACATCGGTGCAAGTCTCAAGCGCAAGTCGATTTCGTTTGGCCTCAAAGGACATGAGAGGAAAGTGGTAGACGGAGATCTGTTCGATACGATCAAGGAAGAAGACAGCACGTGGAGCGTGAGCGATGGCACCGTCGAGGTCCATCTTGAGAAAGTTTCGCGGGAGCGGTGGTGGCCCCATGTCCTCACAAAGGACCCGAAGATCGACACCACGAAGATCAACCCAGAGTCGAGCAAATTGAGTGATCTGGACGCAGAGTCACGCGCGATGGTCGAGAAGATGATGGTGAGTGTCACAGTCTAGACGTCTCGGAAGTCGCGGCTGACAGGCGTGTCGCAATAGTATGATAATCGGCAGAAGCAGATGGGAAAGCCCACCTCTGACGAAACAAAGAAGCTCGAGGTTTGTTTCCCCTATATTGCCTCCCCACCTCCTTGCTCGGAACTCACACTTTCACCGCCACAGGCCCTCGAGAAGTTCAAGAAGCAGCACCCCGAGATGGATTTCTCGAATGTCAAGATGACATGAATCGGAAATCAGAGGGAATTCTATGTTATTGCGAGCGGAAATTTGACTTTTGAGTGTGACTAGGAAACTCTCTTACTTCGCAACGATGCCAGCGAGTTCATCATAGCCGAGGGTGATGTTGAGGTTTTGAAGGCATTGTGTCGCGGCGCCCTTGAGCAGGTTGTCGAGTCCAGCAACGACGACGACGCGCTTCCCGCCAGAGTGGACCTGGAACCCCCCGATCTTGACGGCATGCTGGAGCGCAATGTCGTGCACCTCGGGCACTTTTGCTCCAATGTCGACAAGCTGGCCCTGGCCCTGGTAGAAGTCAAGGTAGAGCTGTTTGACGTCTTTTGCCGAGAGGCTCGCGTTGAGTGGGGCAGAGAGCGTCGAGATAATGCCCTGGAACCAGGGTGCGACGGCAGGGACGAATGCAAGGTCCTGCTGGCTGCTACTGCTGCTCCCCTGGTTCAGACGACCGAGGTGACGAGCGGCTTCTCGTTCATGGATGTGGTCGGTGAGGCTGTATGGGCGGACACCCCCCTGCAAGTCTTCTGGCGAGATCTTGGGCACCGTGGCGCCCTTCGTCTGGCTCTCGGTCGAGCCGGATGGCGCCGCCTTGGTTCCAGCGCCGCTGTAGCCGCTGATGCCAAAGACAGTCGGCGGTGCGGACGCATCGAGGTGGGGAAGAAGTGGAGCGATGAGAGCCTGGATCGACGTCGCATAACAGCCCGGATTAGAAATGAGCCGGGCGTCCCGGATGGCCGAGCGAGAATAGAGCTCTGCGTCGATGGGACAGTTAGCTCTTGAAATCACACCAGTGCAGGCCAGAGATTGCAGGGAAGAGGGGATCGTATTGCTTACAAGAGAGAGAGAAGACAAGAAGTATAAATCAGGCGTCTCTCTCCATGTATCCCCTCTTCCATTGACTATTCCCTTTACGACATCTTCTTCGCAGCTTCTATCATTCTTCTACTGACCTGGCAAGCCGTATGTCCAGCCATCCTCAAAACGGTAGTCTGCGCTCAAGTCCACAATCTTCGCGTGCCCGCCAGGCTGGTTCTTGCCGCCTTCCTGAACGGCCTCAACAAAGGGCTTGCAGACACCGTTGGGAAGGGCCATGATGTATGCGTCTGGAGGTGGGCCGTCGCCTCGGCCACTTGCCAGCTTCTTGAGGTCCTCGACGCCGATGTTGCTGTAGCGGACCTCTTCACGGTCATACCCTGGCAAGCGTTGACCGGCCAGCTCGCGGGACGAGACATGAGAGAGGCTCAGGTAAGGGTGTTGGTTCAGAAGAGAGACGAGGGCTTGGCCAGTGTAGCCGCGAGCGCCGATGAGGGCCACTCGCTTGGGCTCCGAAGTTGTGGCAGGGAGAGGCCCGCTCCTCTCGACGGCGGTAGCATAGCCCCTTTTTCCCTCAACAGTAGCCACCCTGGCTGCAGGTCTCCGGGCGCAGGTCGAAAAGGCACGGACTGCGTCGGGGCCCTTGGATGGCTTGGCTGCGTGAAGTGGCAGGTAAGCTCGCTCGATGCGGGCTTTCTCCTCGAGACTTCGAACGACTCGCTCAACCTCGGAGACGTCCTGAATGCCATAGTAGAAGAGGCTGCGACCGTTGCGCGAGAAGCTGCCATCGGCCCTCTCATAGTGCCAAGCTCGGTTCTCGTCGTCGGCGCGAGCGGTCCAGATGAGGCGCTTGTGATCCTTGCGGATCGAGTTCCAGACATTGTCAGTGACGCTGTTCAAAACGCCGTTCTTTGTCGAGACAAGCTTGGTGAGGATGGGGACCTCGCCCTCCGGTCGCGAGACAAAGGCGACGACGTCAAAGGGCTCGTCTCCGTAGATGGTGTACGGCTCTCGGCTGAGCTCCGAGAAGAACTGAGCGACCGACTTGCGACCCTCGCGGATTTCGTCGTCATTGGTCTTGAGAGCGTCACGGAGCCGCTCGGCGCCAACCTTTTCGATCGAGTCGTGCTTGTAAAGCTTGTAGCCCCTTTGGATCAAAGTACCGGCGCCGGAGTCGGTGAAAAGCTCCTTCTGAAGCTGGTCGACGGAGATGATGGCGACGGAAGAGGAGCGAGGAAGATGATCGAGGAGCTCCTTCATCTCTCGCAGCTTGAGCTTGGTGCCAAACTTGACCCATTCCTGCTTCATCAGCTCGTCGTATTCCTCATCGAGGTTGATCGTCTCGAGCAGCTCGTTAGTCTTGCCATGGAAGAGGCCGCCCTTCTCGTTGAGATAGACGATCTTGAGCGGCTCAAGCACCTTGGACAGCTCGCTGGCCGCGACGTCGGCATTAACATTGAGGATCTGTCCATCCTCCGTCTCGGCCAGACTGGTGAGGATGGGAAGGCAACCAGCCCTGATTGCGCTCTCAATGGGCTCCTTGTCCACCTTTTCGATCTTGCCCACGAGGCCGTACTTTTCCTTGTCGAGGTAGGATGCGGTAAAGGTGCCCAGCGGGATGGGTCGGGCGCGAGAACCCAGCGACTCCAGCTTCTCGACTAGCCGCTGGTTCTCCTCAAGAAAGACTTGACGAGCGACACGGAGCGTTCGTGCATCGGTGATTCGGATGCCGTCGATGTAGTCGGGCTCCACGCCCTCGCGCTCGAGAATCTCGTTCAGCTGAGGACCGGCACCGTGCAAGACGACGGGGTAAAGGCCGCTGTAGATATTAAAAGTCAGCTCCGACCATCATCAGCAACGGGGAAGGTAGGAGACAAGCGAGCCAGACTCACACTCGGTGGAGGAAGGAGAGGGAGAGGGCGAGCTCATCGAGCTGGTGCGTCAAAATGGCACCTCCAACCTTGAGGACGGCGAATTTGTTGGCAGCCGAGAAGATGCGAAGGTACCGCTCGACCTCCTTGCGCGAGGCGAGCGAATACAGCAGTCGGGTGATTGTTTCCCGATCCGTCGCATTCTCCTGACTGTTGGCCAGCGACGAGACGTGACGAGGAGAAGAGGGTACAGAACGAGGGAGGTGAAGGGGTGTCGCGACGGCCCTCCTTGCCAAGGTCTGCGCTGGCGATGTTGGGTTCCTCAGCAGACCACGGGCCAAGCGACCCGTTCGCTGGACCAAGAGACCCATGGCGAAAGTGACTGGAATCGAAGAGAAGTGAGATGCTCTTGAGCGAGTTGAGAAGAAGGGTGTGGGACGCTCTTCTCGCCTCGCTTGTGACTGTGCAGAGGTGGAGAGCGGCTCGCCCTTCACCCGTGAGAAGATTGTCGATGCCGATAACGAAGCTGCCAAACACGTGGAACAAGTCTTCATGCCACGACGTGTGACTCTTGGAATTTTTTTTACTCCATCGGCTTGGCGCCCCTGAGGTCACGTGATGAACACGTTGTCGTCCGCGTTGCACCACGGAGGAGATACAAGCGTCGTCTTTAGGTGACGTTACCTGGGCCCTGGTGGACAAGGAGAAGGAATCTTTGGAGAGACGGGACCTTTCTTATACGTCCAGCTCCATGAGAAGAGAGTAGCAGGACAACAAGTCCGCGCGCGGGACCGCACGGCAGTAAATAGGAATCAACGAAATCATGCACAGGATTCTTGTATCAAAATGAATTCTACTAATGACAGTGGTGCTACAAGTGGTGCTGCCACCGTGACTATACCAGACGAGGGTAAGCTCAACCATCGCGCCAAGGACGTTGGCACGACAAAGAGACCTCTCCGAGCTGTGAAGGAAGATGCAAGCGCAAGAACTTTAAGGAAAGGACAGAGCGGAAGCAGACCTCCGTAACGGCGGCCATTTTGAGAGTCTACAGATGAGCAAAGATTACAAGTTGCCACCTCCATTCGCCTTGGTCTTGCTCTCTGCTTCTTCATTGAAGCGAAGGCAGATACCATTGACGCACTGCCACCATGAGTCAGCTCTCCGCTCAAGGAAGGTGCTGGAAGAGGCTTGCAAACTCACATGCCTCTCATCGGTCGGTGTAGGGAATCCTTCGCCTTCGAAGACGTGGCCCAGGTGACTGTCGCAAGCGGCACATCGGATCTCGGTGCGCTTCATCCCGAAGGTCCAGTCTGACTTTCGGTTGACGGCACCAGGAATAGCATCAAAGAATGCCGGCCAGCCGCACCCGCTCTTGAACTTCGTGTCGGATCTGGTCACTCAGAATTAGCGTGCGAGGCCAAGGAGCAGGCGATTCCGGGACTGACTCACTTGTAGAGGGGCGTGTCGCAGGCGGCACAGGTATACACGCCGGGCTCCTTCTTGATCTCGTATTCGTGCGAGAAGCCCGGCTCGGTGCCATTCTCTCGAAGGACCTTGAACTGGGCCGGGGACAAGATCGTGCGCCACTCCTCCTGGGACTTGGCCTTGGGGAAGTTCCCGGGTGCTGATGCAGTCGAGGCGTTGGATCCCATCGTGGTGGCCGATGTGCTCAGTGAGGCGATTGGTGCTGATGAGAAAATAGGGCGTGAGAAGAGTGCCGATGCTGTGGTCAGAAGTAGCGGGTTGCGGGGGAGGCGCATGTAGGATGGAACGTCTGATGTATCCGCCGGTGGCGAAGGGTGATCATTCGCCGGCCATGCTCCAATAATGTCGCGAGACTTCATTGATCTGCGAGTGGAGGCTGAGGCTCGACCCAGGAATCACGTGCTACAACGCGAAGTCCATTTCATAGGAGGCAAGGAAAAACGCACCAAACTCTAAAACGAAGCGTTTGGGTTGTTGTCCGGATCTTTCTCTCGCAGCTGTTGGTATGATATAGAGGCCAACGTCGACAGACGTAACTCGGGGAGCATGTCAAGCTAGGCACCCAGATCAAGAAGCCAATGACTGCCTGAAGTCAGTATTCGCTGTCCTCCCCTATTCTCCGCCACCTTCCACGAGGACCTTGACGCAGCCCGTCTGTCCACATTGGACCCCATCCCACGCGCAGGTCTGGACGGAAGTTAATCTCAGCGCAGCGCCTCGTCCGCCATGCCCCGTCGTTAGCCGATTTCTGGTCCACATTTCTCACGCTCTTTTCTTGCGGCTCTTCTGATTCCTCGATCTACGGCTACGACGGACGGTGATCCTACCCAGCGCCAGTCGCCAGAGACATTATGGCGAGGGAGAAGCCTCCTCCCCTGTCTCACGACAAACACACACCCCGGCGACCGATGCTGGCCAAGTTTGACAGCTTGCAAGAGCTTCTAGAACAGGCTGGCTACAAAGAGACGAGGATCATCACACCAGCGGGGCAAAAGCTGGCCGACGCTTCCTCGTCGAATCCGACTGTCGGTGCCTCGTCATCCTCGTTCTCCTCATCCTCTTTCTCATCAACGTCGCCACCATCGCTCGTCATTGACAACCATATAGGTCCCATCGTCGAACGTCGTAGCAGGGATTGCAGTGTCGTCGTTATGGCTGACGATGTAGCTGCCAAGGACGATACTGGCACAAATGACAGCATCATTCGACGGTTCCAAAGCATTGCCGCCAATTCATCCTGGTTCTCCAGCGTGTGGCGACCCCGACCAAACCAGGCACTACCACCGCCCCCACCACAAACGTCGCTCGATCAAGGTGGCGAGAGCGCACGAGCACGGCTACTTCGAAAGAAGAAGAGTGCACCCTCGATGCATGCAAGCAACATCCGGCGAGCATCGCAAGCAGACATACGGTCGGACCACGCGGCAAAGAACGACGCAGTCTCCCGAGTCGACACGCCCAAAAAGGGGCAGCACCAGCGAAAATCGAGACCTGCGCTTCGGCATGCGCCGAGCACACAGAACCTCTGGCAGGGTAGCCTGCGCCATCGAAATGCCGTCACGCTCCGCGACAAGGATGGCAAGCTGACGTCGTTGCCCAAGAGCAACTCTTTTCCTAGTCGACTACGTCTCAACGAGGGGGACAGCGCAGCAGCACAAGCAAAGAGGGACGCCATCGATGGCGCCAGAGTTGTGACGGCCGTCGGATTCGGACGGCGCTCCTCGGCTAGCAAAGATGCAATCAAGGGCCTCATCCTGAGCGGCGGCGCCAAGGAGCCCAGCGAGGCCGACTTTGCCAGCAACCTGGCTTCGCTGAAAAGTCACAAGAAGCGGCCAAGCCTAGTCGACGTCTTTGGATCCAGAGATTCAATCGGTGATGATGACGTCGGAGATGCACCGATAGAAGCAGCCACTACTGCTCCTGCAACAAAGTCTGAGGCAATGCCTGTCAGCACGGTCAAGGCGCTAGTTGATCAGGTCAAGGCCACCGTGAAAGCCGAGGAGCAAGCATATGCCGATGCGCTCCTTTTCTCTCAAGCTGCTGAGCCTGTCCTCTCCTGCAATGATGCCGTCGTCTTGCGCAACGGAGGGTGTCTCGAAGAGGCCGGCAGATCGTCGAGCAACATCGCTTCGGTTGCTGGCGAATCTGCTTCGGGGGAAGCCTCGCGCTGCTACAAACCCGGTCTCCGCAAAATGAGAAGCATAGATGCACTCGAAAAGGCGCTTTCCAAGATGGATCAGTCATCCTCCGCCAGGCCCACTGGAAGACGCCCTAGCGACGCTCCTGAGGCAAAGTCTTGGGCTTCGTGGAGGCTCGGTGGCCCTCGGAGGCAGGCAGAACCCACACTGGAGCAGGCGATTGTCGAGGAAGAGCAGCCTGTCACGTACGTCGACGACGCCTTGAATATGGCCCATGGTGAAAGCACCGCTGCAGCAACGGCGGACGAGACCGAGGATGTGCCAACCATGGAGGTACCGGAGCCAGAGGTGCCTCGACCAACGACACCCACCCTCTTTGTCACTTCACCGACGGCCACACGATCTCCCGTCGAACTGTCCCTCGACGGTGAGGAATTCGAAGCGCGCAGCTACTCCTCTCCAGAGCATATCATCGGCAGCCACCGTGGGCGAGCGCACAGCCGCATCCCTCGGCCAAGACGGGGACGCATGGCTTTTGAGGCCAAAGCGGAGCAGAGCTCGCCCACCGTCGTTCGGCCGTCCGCCATCTCAAGATCCTCCAGCCGTGGTGGCGGGTCTTCGAAGCCGCCCCTACGTCGCAAGGCCCGGCTCAGCAGCAGCAGCCGCGACAGCTCCGTAGAGCAGTCTAATTCTAGTCACAACAAGGGGCCTACCTTGTCAGCGGCTTCTCAACCATCCAGACGCCGCGGCGGAGGCCCGCGCAGCAGTGCGCTTCCGTCTGGCGATCAGATTGGCTCGGCCGTGGAAAAAGTGTCGGGCTCGGAGCAAATAAGAGCGCTGCGGAGGGACGTTCTTAAACGCGAAGGTGCCAGCTCGATGGACTCGGACCCTGACGACGTCTTCTTCGATCTCACCAGCGCTGTGGGCACGGCAAAGGGTGACAGTGTCCTCGACTTCAACCGCAAGCAGATGGCCGAGGAGCTCGACCAGAGAAGGAGTTCGGCTCCCTTTGGTCGCAAACAGCCTCTCGCCGACGCGAGCAGGAGCAGTTCTTCCAATTCCAATTCCAACAGCAGCTCCAGGTCACCTGCGAGCTCTTCTGTGGAGGCACGGTCAGAAGGCATCGTCAGCCGGTCAGCAGGAAATGTCTTGCATCGCAAGAGATCCGGTGTGGGCATGGCCTGCCTCTTCGAGGCCGCGACTGCGACTGCCAACAAGAGTGCGGCCTCGTCTCGCTCCTCGACACCATGCAGCGATGAGAATCTTGCACCACCTGACGCTCTCCTGGACAGCCCCACAGTACAGGCGAGGGGCAAGCGACGCGGTGCCACTCGTAGATCGTTGGAACGGCGCCAGGCCAAGAACGACGCCATGGACATGCTTTGATACACCCACTTCTTTTTTCTTTCTTCTTCTTTTCCCCTCAGAGTCCGCTCCTTTGCAAACCCACTTCATTCATTTACTCTCAAACCTATCCACCCTCAACCCTCACTCATACAGACAGACAGACTCATCAGCTCCTCGTCATCCGATGTGCGCATTTCTCTCTCTCGAATAATACCACCTTCACTCATTCAAATGACTCGAGTCACCCGCTCACATGCACTCTCTCTACTCACTTCCCTGCCAGTGCACGTCGCAATTTAATACTGCTTGCCGCATCTGTGCTTGTGCGGGACATCGCTGTGCTTGCCCGTGGGATGGGCATCCGTGTGCGCGAGTGTGACCCCTGCGAACAAAAGAGGGACCGAGCAACGTTCGAGCGAGTGCATGTTGTTCCTTTCTTAGTCAGTCAGCACGCGGCTAGGCAAGCCAGCCAGCCCTTTTGAGAGAGAGACAGAGACGCGCCATCCCACGCAAAGAGCACAATAGTCGCGACTCCCAAAAGAAATCAAAAGAATGAAGCAAAAAAGTTTAGGAAAGTGGTCCGAGTCCCTTTGCTCCCTGCCGCGGAAGCTAGAGTAGTAGTAGTAAGTAGCAACAGCAGCAGCGAGCAAGACCCGCGCACTTCGTCCACTCATCACGTCTCGCACTCTGCAGCCACAATCGACCACACAGAGGGATTGTCCATCGTCGTCTGTTGCGACCCAAGCTGTCTCTTGCGCCGTAGCATCTCGCACAAAGAGCCTTTTGGGCTCGGACCGCGGCAGCTGAAAGGCAGAACAAAGGGAGGCGCACGTACCGGGCAAAGCGAGCGCGACGAGACCCCGCAAGGGCGAGGTATCCATCCCCCTTCCAACAACGACTCCCCCCATCAGCACACCACACACACCCTATCCCAGAGGACCCGGTCACTGCGTCGATCCCCACGATGGTTCGCTCGGTGACATTTGAGATCCGATGGCATGACATGCAGCCAATCTATGGCAATTCGTTCCAGCCAATCTCGCCGTCTCATCTGAGGCGCGTGCTCGACCATAACCAGGCTCAAGGTGAGTCGCAAAGAGCGCTGTACTCTGCATGCTCTGTGGAAAGGAGAGATGCTGACAAGACATTGATCGACACAGCGGCGGGCCTGGAGCCGGGCAAGATGCTCGCTGATGCGATCAGCAATGCAGATGCCGGAGGAGCGGGACCTAGCAAGCCAAAGAACGCGCCATTGCCTCTGAGCGCCCAGGGACAGAGCTGGCGCCTGGCCACGGCCGGCGGCGACAATCACGCCAGGGTCAGTCTTAACCTTCGAACGTTGTCTTGGCTAGAATGGAGGATGCTGACAATGATCATTTGATGGTGCGAAAGATCTGGCTCGTTCATCCCAATATCCCTTCGCCCGCCGCGCTGGCGGCCGCGGCCAATGGACCTGGCCCTGCGCCCTCGCCAAATCCCCCCAGGGTCGAATATCGCGCGACGCTCAGGCGGCATTCCGGCGTGGTCAACTGTGCACGCTTCAGCCCCAATGGCGAGCTCCTAGCCACGACTGGCGATGGTGAGTCTTTCCGGAAGATTGTAAGGCTTTAGCGTCGAGACTGATTTGGGCCTCGACAGATGGGATGGTGCTCCTCTGGATTCCATCAGATGCGCCCACATCTGCGTTCGGCTCGGCCCTGGACGATGACCTCGACGCAGACTTTGCAAAGGAGCACTGGAGACTTAGGACCATGGCCAGAGCGTCATCTTCGGAGGTGTACGATCTCGCGTGGTCACCCACTGGCGACTCAATTGTCACGGGCGGAACGGACTTTGTTGCGCGGATCATTAATGCCAACGATGGTGAGAAAGGCAGCGGTGAAGGAGGAAGAGGACTGAAGATGGGCTGATTAGAGAGAGCAAACAGGCACCGTCATTCGAGAGATCTCGGAGCACAACCACTACGTTCAGGGTGTCGCTTGGGATCCCCTCAGTGAATACATTGCGACGCAAAGCAGCGATCGGTCGGTACATGTCCATCAGCTCCACGCTCGTAATTCGTCTTCGGAGATTTCTGCTGTGCACACCGTCAGCCGCAACACGAGGTTGGACCTGCACCGGCGGACGGGCAGCGGAAGCGGGCCTTTTGTCTGGGACCCCAGCGCCAAACCGCCCATGAAGAGGAGAGCGAGCAGCCATGCTAGTCATGCCAGTGACAGCGAAAGGGAGAATCAACCGACCAGCACGACCAGGGCAAAGAGGACAGGAAGAAGCAGCACACCACTTGATATCGCCGCTGCCGCTGCTCATGGTTCTATGGGCTCTGCTGCCGGTCCGTCCTCTGCTTCTTCGGCTGGAGCAGGAGGTTCAGGCGGCGGAGCTCGAGCAGCTACACCAACGCCTTCGCATTCTGTCACCCCCAGCCCGGCAGGAGCATTTGGAAGCGGCGGGATGAACCCTCCTCAGAAGACGCCAAGCCGACGATCTAGCTTCAGCGGCTCTCAGGCAGAAGTGCTTTCCCCGCCAACGAGTGCGACTTCGCTGGCCCCAACGGCATCCAATCCTCCCAGCGCGAGCGCGAGCGCCACGACGCCTCACAAACAAGTCCCGTCGGAGCCTGTGATCCCTCATCCTCCCTCGAGCAGCAGTCGCTCAGCATCGCGAAATCGTGCCATTACGCCACGTTCCCCTTCACCTGCCCCTCCGCTCCCTGCGATTCGAGCGCCACCCTCACCTAAGCAGCGCATGGCTGCTGCTCAAGGTGGACAGCTTGCCAAAGTCGGCATGCGACTCTACGGGGACGAAAACTTCAGCGGCTTTTTCCGTCGTCTAACCTTCAGCCCTGATGGTGCGCTGCTCGTGACGCCAACCGGGATCTTTGAAAACTGCACAGTGACGAATGGAACCGGTGGTAATGGAAGCAGCAACGGAAGCAGCAACCCGAGTCACAATCTGTCGAGCAGCCCTACGGTGGCGCACTTTGGGCCCTTGGGCGGCGGTGGGACGCCTCGACGATCGAGCGACATTGAGGGCGATTCAGCGTTGTCGTCAGCTGTCCGAGCTAGCCCAGCAAGAGGTGCAAAGGCGACAGGTTCTCCTTCGCCTTCTCCAACTCCTCAAGCTCATCACGGTCCTCCTCCTCCGCATCATGCTTCTTCAGCATCGGCTCCCCGATCTACGGTTTACCTGTACGGACGAGGGAATCTGCATCGTTCGAATGCGCCTATTGCTCATCTGCCCGGCCATAAGACAGCATCTCTCGTCATAAAATTTTCCCCGATCCTCTACGAGCTTCGAGACGACGGTCGAGGGGTAAGCAGCGAAGATACAGGCGGGATCGCGCCCCATCCGACGGTGCCACTCGAAGTGGGTAAGCAAAAGACGGTCGCTCTCTCTTCGGCAGCGTCAACTGCCGGAGGCATGGCATCGTCTTCTGCCGTGCTTGGCAAGACCCCGGAAGAGGAAGGTGGCTCCAAGCGACCGTCTTCGTCGTCGAGTTCGAGCAAAGCGACGCCGGTCAGCATGATCGGATTACCATACCGAATGATCTTCGCGGTTGCGACACACGACAGCGTCTGGATTTATGATACACAGCAGGGCGGGCCGCTGTGCTGCTTCAGCAACATGCACTATGCAAGCTTCACCGATCTGACCTGGAGTCCTGACGGTCAGACACTCATGATGTGCTCCACCGATGGTTACTGCTCCGTCGTCGTCTTTGATTACGGCGAGCTTGGTGTGCCGTATCAATATGCGAGCCAGCCAAGCCTTCATCAGCCGCCCGTATCCGCCAGCGTGTCGTCCAGTGTCGCAGTCTCTTCGCCAAGGTTGGCAAGTAAGGCGGCCGTCGCAATGGTCTCTTCTGCATCTGCACCAGGAGCTTCCGCCACCGTGGCACCCTCCTCCAGCGTCAATGCCCTCGGCTTGGGCATTTCTGATTCGACTGACTCGGCCACTTCTACGCTCCCAAAGCTGCACGAGGGAGATGCGACCTCTTCATCTGACGACAAGCCGCTTGCGGCTCTCCCCAAAGACGACGACTCGGCGCCCAGCGCGAAGAAGAGGCGGAGAATCGCTCCGACACTGCAAGGACCCGTCGGTAGTTGAAAGTCAAAGAGTCTCTCTCTCTCTTTCTTTCTCTCTCTCTCCTCTACTCTTCATTAGCTTTCCCTCTGCATGCGTGTTTCTATGTTGTCACCGACGGGTTTTGTTTCTTCGACCGTCTGCTTCTCCTCCTAGTACATCCAATTCATGATTCGACGTCACTCCAAGCACATCTTCTAACTTTCCCTTCTTTAAATTACCTATAGTTTCCCCTCTCCCAGGATCTCAACGCTGCATACGCAGTGCTTGTCCAAATCGAGCATCTCACACTGTGACAGGCAAGGGTTTTCAAGTCGACATTGTTCCGACAGCAGACGTGGCGGGAAAAGATGAGAAAAGTAAGGAAAAGAATTGGAAAAGGACAGGACAAGAGAGGAGACAAAGCCCTTCAGGCTCTGTCAAGAAAGGAAAGAAAAAGAAGAGACAGAAGAAGGTGTCGCAGATTGTAGACGAGGGAAAATACCGCCCACTCATTTTGCTCGTGTGAATATGCGTGTAATAGGTGTCTGCGCGGACGTCTTCCTGATCAGAGAACTCATGTTCCGCGTCTCCAGCTCGTCTCCTGATCCGCTTTGCTCTTTGCTCCGCCATTTCCACCTGCCTCGCTACCTGTGGCTGCACCGCCGGTGGCTCCACTGGTCGAAGAGGAGCTCAGGCGGGAACCTGCATTTGAAGGTGGCGTTGATCCCAAGACACCTCCGATAATTCCTCTTCCCATCCGAGTAGGCCCAACATTGCCGATTCCATCCTTGGGCGGCCCAGTCGACGGGGAGCTCGTCGAAGTTGAGGGATTGCCAAATGGCGAATTGGACCGCTGCGAAGGACCGATGGACCCTCGGTTGCCGCGGAGTGGCGGAATCACGTTGACCGATTGACCCCCGCTCGTGAAGCCAAATGTGCCTGAGCTGGCGCTCATGTAATCGGTGTCCGTGCCACGACCGTAGCTAAGTCCACCCCCAAGGCCGCTGTGAGGAGAAAGGTTTTGAGCACCGGGCGGCAAGAAGCTCGGCGCCATCGTGTTGGTTAAATTACCCTCGGCACGAGCCTTGGCGCTGATGGGTTTCTTATACCGCTTGACCTTGCCGTCCTTGACCTTTTCTTGAGGATTGCCATACATCTTTGAGCCCACACCTTCCTTGCGTTCGTAGTGCTTCTTCCACGACTCGTGCTCGATGATGGGCTCTGCGGGATAGCCATCCATTGTCACATCCATCGCCGTTGTCTTGAGACCATAGGCCCGCCTCTCGTCCTGGTTGAGGAGCCAGGGATTGTGGACATAGTCAGTGTGCAGATTTCTCAGAGCAGGAATCCACATCTTGACGTAATCGCCATGGGAATCGTAGTCTTTCGCCTGCTTGATGCAGTTGAATTGGCGACTGGCCCTCGGGTCATTGCCAACGCCAGCCACGTATTGCCAATTGCCGTAATTAGACGTTGGGTCATAGTCAATAAGGTGCGACTGGAAAAATTCGGCGCCAATCCGCCAATCATAGCTTAGGTCCTTGGCCAAGAAAGAAGCCACGTTTTGCCTGCCTCTGTTAGACATAAAGCCGGATTCGCGGAGCTCGAGAATGTTTGCGTCGATGAATGGAATGCCAGTGCGCCCTTCGAGAAGCCTGGTGACGGGATGCTCGGGACCATCCTTGACGGGGTCCCACACTTTCCACCAGCCGTCCTGAATTTTCTTCTCGGCCTGCTTTGGATCGGTCGCCATCTCGAAACCTCCGACGTGGAACAAAAGGTCTCCAAACTTCTCCGCGACAAAGAAGAAATAGTCGCGCCACAGGAGCTCGAAGCGGACCCAATAGGTGTTCTGGTCTTCGCCGAATTTTTGCTCGTGATAATTGAGAGCCTCCCAGATCTGCCTTGGGGAAATGCTCCCGTATGCGAGGAATGGTGACATCTTAGTGCTATAAGCGTGGCCGACGAGATTGTTCCGTGTCTGCTTGTACCGAGCCACGGGCGGTGGGTCGGCCTTGCCCCACCGAGAGGAGTCGGCAGACTTGCCTCGAACAAAGTACCACTCAAGTCGCTCCAATGCCGACGACTCGCCTCCTCTAAGGGGGAAGGCAGACGCGTGGTGACGCTGTTGCAAAATGGCGCTGCCCTCGAGAGCAAAAGGAAGCGCGGGCTCGTTCAGGGGCTTGAGCAGATAACGAAGAATATCGTGGAACGAGATCTGGCCCTCGGTCTTTTCTGCCCCCTCAGGAACTCGCGCGGAAAGGCCATCGACATCGACTTCATAAGAGACGTCCAAAGCGTAATCATTCGTCGGCGGGATGGTGGCGGGGAATGGTTTGAAAGCCTCTGGCGCTGGAAGACAAGGACGGACCATTTTTGGGCCGAGGGCTTCGACGCGCTTTCGGAAAGGGGTGAAGACGTCCGGCGTCTCGTTGATGTCGAAAGGCAGATCGCCTGGGTGGATCAAAGTCTTGCCATGAACGAAGCGAATTGGAACACCCGTGGTGTCCAGGCGCTTGACGATATCGTCTTCCACCCGTGTCTCTTGAAAAGTCATCTCCTTTTGCATCCAGACGCCCTCCACCTCATCGCCTCGACTTTGCAGAGCCTTGACGAGATTGTCGATAACCTCTTCAGGGGTTCCAAACCGAATAAGAAGATCAGAGCCTGCATCACGCAGACGAGACCTCAGATCATATACGGCTTCGGAGATGAAGCTGGTGAAAGGTTTCAGCGATTCGAATTTTGTCCGTGGCCAAGCTTATTGATCTGCTCACCGTGCTCGGAATGCGCCCGTTTTCCAGAAGCCATAACAGCGGGTCCTTGCCTCTGGTCCCTTCCTTTCAAAGCCTGGGAGTCCGCTGAGCTCCATCTCGCGCTCGTCAAAGACGTAGACGGGGAGCAGCTCATTGGCCGTCGAATAGAGTTCGGTTTCGTCGACGACCTTGTTCTTGTTGAATTGATGAAGACCGTCTTCGTCTTTCGAAGGAGGAGGTCGCGTTGAGACATGAGCACTGGGAAATAAAGATCGTCAGCGGGTGGCTCGCTGTATGGCTGAGGAAAAGAGCTCACTAATGAAACAGAGGATTGTCATGAATGCGAAGATCTAGACGCAGCAAGCAGATAAGAATCCTCTTTTTTCCGTCGACCAGCGAAGCATCTTGCTCCGAGGAGGACGCTGCTTTTGAAGCCGACATGCCTTCCGGTCGGAGATTGCTGTTCTGGTGACGTTGATGTATAGGTGCGCTGGTGGCTATGCGGTGATTGATGAGTACACTACTGGATGTATAGACAGAATGCTGAGAGATGTTGATGCGAGAGCAAGTTGAATGATGCGAGGATCAAGGTCGGTGAAGTGATCGAGTTTGTAGGCTATGAATGTCGATGGAGAATAGTCCGCTGTTATTACCGTTCGTCGCTGTCAAGAAGAGGAAGAAGAGCGTGGGTAGAAGGTTGGAGGCGGTCCCTTAGTGTCTCACGAGGCTTGAGGCTCTGTGAGAGGGTTTGCCAAAATAAGTCTTCTAGCTATCTTTGTCGACAACGCAGATAACTGCAGAGATGGGTCAGATTGTGAACGATGCTTTCCTTTCGCTCTGTCTGGTCAGCTTACAAAACTTGGGCGGTCTCTAGTGACCTGGTCGGTGGTGCTCGGCCGTCTCTACTCTGAAGAGAAAAGGAGATCCGTGTGCCTCTGTTGAGGCCGCGAGGTGCCTGTGCTACACCTTCGCGGGAATCCTTTTGGGACGGTGCGAATTGAAGTCCGTTCGACGAATTGGCGATGGATTTTCTGCCTTTTGCAAAATGGCGAAAAGGGAGTCGTGAGGACGAGCCTGCGATCGTCGAGCGCGAAGAGACACTACTACTGCCTCGATCGAGTGTCCACAAAATACAAAACCCACGCGACCGCCGTATATGATTTCTAAATGTTTGCCCGATTACGGCTGTCCGATCATCGAGGGTGTGTCATCCTTCGCAACTCTCGAAGCTTCATTTCGAAAGGCGACGTCAAGAAGTGGAAAGAAACTATTCAAGGAGGTCGGATCTATCGTTTCAGAGGTCAGTCGACTCTATGCCAGCAAGGTGATATGGTGATTGCGTCAAGGAGTCTGCAGTGAGATCCAATTTGGGCGTGAGCAACTTCAAAAGGAGACGGGGCCGCCCTCTTTCGGACTTCTGTCATGTCACGTGGTGTGTCTTCGCGCGCGCGCTCATGATGACCGTTTGAATCTCCGCCACTTCACGTCTCAGCAACCATAGGAGGAGAGAAGACATGGTGAGTAAGGTCCCTGACAGTTACCACAAAGGCCGAGCTGATACTTCTGCCCATCATAGTCGAGTGGTCTTGGCAACAAGACGGGAGCGGCGGGTGGTGGTGCCGAGGTCGCGGAGACGCCGATCTTGTGCGAGACGTGCTTAGGTCCGAACCCCTACGTTCGCATGTCGAAACAGGCATACGGCAAAGAGTGCAAGATCTGCGACCGTCCGTTTACCGTCTTTCGCTGGAATCCCGGCGCAGGAATGCGGTTTAAAAAGACGGAGATCTGCACCACCTGCGCAAAGATCAAGAATGTCTGTCAGACCTGCGTCCTCGACCTGCAGTACGGCCTGCCGGTGCAGGTCAGGGACACGGCACTGGGCCTCAAGAGCCAGGCCCCTTCTACGGATATCAACAAGCAATACTTTATCAATCATATGGAGGAGAAGGTGAGTTGCATTGTCTTCAGTCTTGCGAGAAACGTCTTTCTAATTATTTGGTTTCCTATAGCTCGAAGGCAACGCGACGCTCGTCGACTCATCCGCTGGTCCCTCTTCGCGCGCAGGTCAAGAGCTTCTCAAACGTCTCGCAAAGGAGCGTAATGATCCAAGTGGTGCAGATCAATACAAGCGGAACCGTCCACACCTGTGCTCCTTCTACGCAAAGGGCAACTGTACCCGAGGCGATGCTTGCCCCTTCAGACACGAGCTCCCTACGGACAATGAGCTGAGTCGGCAGAACATCAAGGATCGCTTCCACGGGCGCAATGATCCGGTGGCCAAGAAACTTCTGGGCGAGACGGCCAGGGCGAAAGGGTTGGAACCGCCTGAGGACAAGGAGGTCATGAGCCTCTTTTTGACGGGGCTGGAACCGACGGTGGAGGAGGGCGAGATTCGGACATACTTTGTCACCAACGTGCCCGGCCTCACGTCGGAACAGATCAAGAGCATCACCGTCGTCAAGCCTTCGAAATGCGCTTTTGTCAATTTCCGGACAAGGATGTCTGCCGAGCTCGCGGCACAACGGTGTGCCGTCAGCGTCGAGCTGGGTGGGAGCGAAGTCAAGGTGCAATGGGGTCGTAGTCGGCCGAACAAGGGCAAGGCAAAAGTTTCCTCAGCACCGACGGCGTCGACGCAGGAGAAGGCCAGCGACTACGGTGTCGCAACTTGATAGCTTGACCAGTGTACTTTTATTTTCCCTCATCATTTCTTCTCATCCCATCATTTCTCTGCCCGCATTTGAGCTACGACCTGAGACGTCTCCTGGCCTGTATCACTTTAGAAGGGTGGCGAAACTCATTGGTATTACCCGGTATTGATTGATTAGATGTTAGGAAATCGACTGAAGGTGAGGTAGTGTAAGGTTGTGAACTAAGAAAGCTTTAATGGTATGAATTTGAGAAGGAGACAGTCGAAGAGGCCTAGGTAAGCGCAGTCTTCACCCTCACGCTGCCCTCTGGCAGCTCAACGAGGCTGTCGAGAATGTCGACGTTTGAGCTCAGCGCCAAGGGATTGGATCCCGATCCACCCGATCCACCACCGAAAACGCTCGGATGGTAGTGCGGGCTGACATCTTCTGGGGGAAGCCTGTCCGAACGCATAGGGGTGGAGCTCAAGCTGGTGCTTGACGGACTCGGTCGAGGCGCCGTAGAAGACGATGGCGCGTGGAGAGCGGCACGCTGGGCAGAATAGCTGGCGAGAGAGGGTGCCGTCGTCTTCGCTTTTGGCTGAGCAGGAGCAGGAGAGGGAGCTGTCGTCGCGTAGTCCCATGGGCGAGGAATGAGCGCCATTGGCCTGATCGATATGGTGTTAACAAGCGCTGAAATCGTCTACCAAAACCAGAATGAAACTCACATTAACCAGGTAGCCGCCACAATGACACCCTGACCCTTGTCCTGGCTCTTCACTGCGGCGAATTCCATGTCCATGAATTGAGAGATGTACCTGACGAATGGCAGGAGCTCAGGCACGCCACCCGAGACAACCATGGTCTGGAGAAAGCTCATGAATGCGCCAGAAATCGAGTGGGCCGTAGAGAGGTAGTTCATCGTGGGCCTGGGCATCGTTAGCTCAAAGCCCCACCAGTGGACGAAGATGGCCAGTCGGTCTAGGGGCGGGTGCACCTCAAGCATGGCCTCCTCACCGCCATTGGCGGATTGGATCACTTGACCGGTGATTGCACCAATTGCATCAAAGGCACCTGCCTGTTGAGCCGCGGCAGAAGCCATCGTCGTCCTTGGAGATGTGATGAGCGAGATGGGATTCACGCCAGCCAACGGTCCTCCATAGCTTGGCATCGCTGGTGGCAGTGTTGGAAGTCCGATGAGCGTCTCAACGGCCATCACGCCGCCTTCTTGCTGCCCTTCTCTGGGGACATCAGGGGACACCTTATTCTCGCCCAAGATCTGATCCTCGACACCTTCGGCCACCTTGCCAGCCAACGGTTGAACCACCTCCAAGCCGACGACTCCCAAGCGTGCTGTGTCCTTGAGCATCTCGGCAGCATCACCAGCCTGGATGTCCTCGACAATCTCCGTCGAAAATTGCGCCGCTTTGCCAACGGGTGTCACTGAAGGAGCGCTCCTCTTCAGCCAGTATCCCAGCCCAAAGAGGGCGGCGCCAGTACCGGTCGACGCCACGATGGCCTTTGCAGAGGTCTGACCTGTCCCTTGCTCGTCTTTGGGCTCCACGACTGGTAATGCCGGTTCCGATTCCGAGCGCTGCATTCTGGCGAGGTGCTCTGCATGTCGTCGACACGCCTCTACCTCGTCACAATCGAGACTGACAGCCTTCATGGGTGTCTGAGTCTTTGCGTCACGGTGGATGGACTGCCGTGCTGAGATTGGTAGCGAAGAGCGCCTGGTCTGGATCTCGGCGGGTGCATGTGCTCTGTGAATCTCGTGGAGAGCCTTTTCGGCTGGGCTCGTGGGCTCCTGGACCGCAACTCGATTTTCTTGATCCGCCACGGCTGTGATGTTGCCTTCTTTGCCGTCTGCAGGGGCAGAAATGATGCGCTCCTTGTGGCTGTAAGGCTCGGCGAGGCTGTCCTGTGGCATGCCCCTGAGTTGCACGATGATGTCGTTTGCAGTGTCGACGTCAAGCAGGGCCCTCTTGAGCGCTCGTACCTTTTTGGGCGATGCCGAGGGAATCGGTCGGCACTTTGTCGGATCGCCCTTGCGTTTCCTCGCTCTTTTCTCGTGGTCTTTGTTTCCGCTGCCGAGGGCACTGGCTGCGCTGCCGTTGCCGATGATGATCTGCTCGAGCGTGCGTGCATGTCGAGCGGCCACTACCTGCTGCCTGGTCAGACGCGGTCGCGTGGGCAGGCCCTTGTCGAAAGTTTCATCCTCAGGTTTTTCGAGAGCAGCGACGCCAAGATGGACGCCGATGCGATCGATGCTGAACGACCGCACTCGCCTTCTCGGCTCCAGTGGCTCGCCAGGTGCGTTGACGGCGAGGCTCAGTCCGTCGACAGAGGCGCGTCTTTTGCTGCTGTGATCGAGGGCCTCTTGCTTCCGCTGCGCCTTTGCACGTTCCATCAGCTTCAATTTTGGCCTGCTCGCTGCAATGGCCTCGGTCTGCGCGTGCTCTCTTTGTTCCTCTGCATGCTCCATCTCCTCCTCTTCCGACTCGTCATCGTCGTCCTCTCCGGCAGATGGGCTGAAGCTGACGCGCCTCGGTCGTCTGTCTTCCATGCTATGCCTGCTCCGTCCATTGTTGTGGACGAGGACGCCGTGCTCTGGCGGCACGGTCTTGTGGCTCGGATGAGGTTTGTGCACTGCCGCTGAGGTCGACTTGCGCTGAAAATGCTTCTTGAAGAGCATCTGCAGCGACATGCGACGCCTTCCTCTCGCCGATCCCTCTCCCTTTGCTTCCTCGCCATGCGCTTTTGCGGGAACAGGTGACGGATCGGCCAAGGGAAATTCGTGCAGCGAGGTTGCTTCGTCGCCGCTGCTCAGCGTAGAGGCAGTGGTGAGTGGTGGTGTCTGCGTCGACATCGTAAGACCGAGCGGAGAGATGGGTGGGAGCGGGATTGTTGCTGTCGTAGTTCGTGCAGTTCTCGTCAATAGTCGTGATCTTCGGTCTGGGTATCTGTTGTGCCCCTAATCGTAAATGAGGTCCGGTTCGAGCGTCTCGTCCAGTTTTACGTCGTTAAGAAAGGCGGATGAATGCGTCACGTAGCAAGAGGAGCAGGTATATGTCCGGGAGCGCGTTTGCGAGTGTGTCGCACTCAGGGCGTCATGAGGAGGGAAGAAGGGTTCAAGCCCGGGTGTCGTCAGCTCAGAACCCGTCAGGTCAGAGGACAGAGGACAGGAGCGCCCTTGTGGAGAGAAGGTCCTTGTCAACAACCGTAAAGAATAGAAATAGGGGCTGGCTCACAAAGGCTCGCGCCCACCGAATCTTAGTCTAAATTTTAATTGCCAGAGAGGGAAAGAGAGTTCAACATCAGAGGTATTCCCAAAAGCGCAAGGCCGGCTTCGACTCGGGATTTAGCGCGACTTCACCTCACAGTCGTTTCAGACATGAGGCAGCTGTTCTGACAAGCGCACATGCGCTAAGGCTAAAATTGGATCTGGGGTTTCGGACGTTTTGATTCTCGGTAGAGAAGGACTGGCGAGCTTGTTTGGGTTCTTCACCGAAATACCACTACCACTACTTAGTCCACATTCACTACCATTGTTTCATCGACGTCTGCGGAAGTGACGAGTTTGGGATCATGGGGGACAGGACGGACGCTCCGCCCAGGTATGAGAGCGAGTATGACTGGGTCAAATGCGAGCGCGACGGGAAGACGCACTGGGCAAGGCCGCTCGACGGCACGGCCACCTTCCTCGTCCACTGGCAGAGGTGAGAAGCCGCCGAGTGGAAGCATGAGAAGGAAGGAGAGAGACGAAAGCTGACTTGGTACTTATACTTGCCACCACTTTAACAGCCGATTCCACGCCGAGTCAGACCTGCTAACGTCGTGCCTGTTGGAACGCAGCGATGGACAGCCGCTCGAGCTCCGAATCGAACATGTCCAGCGGGCGTGGCGACTGATGCGCTTCAAGTTCCCAGTTGTGGGCGTGCGCGTCGTCGAGCGGAGCGCCATGGGTCTTGCCGATGTCGAGATGCCGCGCTGCCTCAAGGGAAAAGTCAACCTCAACAAGTGCATTTCCTACCAGGTCCTTGAGCACGACGACGAGATTCGGCAGTGGGCTGTTTCGAGGGTCATCGATCACTCTGGCGATTCACCTGCTCGTCTCGACGACGAGGACGAGGGCGATGAGTTCTACCGCTGGGCCCGTGCCAAGCCTGCCGAGCCAAAGAACAACGTCGATGGCATGCTCGTCCATTTCTGGCCAGGGAAACGGCCCCGCATCGCCCTCGAACAGTCCCACACCATCTCCGACGGCCTTGCCTGTCTCACTGTTGTCGACGAGCTCCTCACGATGATCTCGCAGACACTCGTGCAGCAGGCTGACGATCCCGTAAAGTGGGGAGAGGAGGTCCGAAGGCTACCACCGGCTGTACAAGACGCCATCGCCGATCAGCCCGAGAGCTGGGACATTTCGCCAGAGGAAAAGAAGCGGCTGCAAAAGTACAATGAGAACCGGCTCAACTCGCAGTCTGCCTCGTCATCCCTTTTCGACAGATTTGGCGTGGCTGTGTACAAGCAGACGCTCAAGAACAACACTGCCAAGAGCGCTGTCGTCTCCAAGGTGTTGAACAAGCCCCTGGTCAGCTTGGTAAGGGGCATCGTCGAGTCGGGTGAGGCTTATCCAATCGGCTTGCTCCCCCCTTCCAAAGAACCTTTCAAGGGACGAAGGACGTTCAACGACTTTTGCTCCCGGAAGCTGTCCAACGAGGCGCTTCAGCACCTTTTGACACGGCTTCGCAGTGAAAAGACGACGGTGGCGCCCTTTCTCGAGTCATGCATCGCCTTTGCAACGACATACGTGCGCCGACAGAGGAGCCTTCCTCCGACAAAGGACGGCTGGGACGACGAGAAGAAGGTGCATGCACTCTTTGCCAATCCGGTGTCGAGGAGATTCCTGTTCAGAGAGGATCATCGGCGGTACATGGGCGACGCTCAGAGCGGGTTCCCCACGCAGATACCCGTCAAGAAGCTTCGCTGGCCAGAAGAATGCCTTTCATCCTCTGAAAACGCACCAGAGATCAACGAAGCGGTGCTGTCCAAGGTCTTTGTGGTGTCCAGGGAGCTCGGGCTGCAGTACAAAGCAGGCAAAGAAGACAAGGACTGGTACAAGCTACTCAAGGCGACAATGTTTGACGCCATGCAGACCGAGTACCTCCTCGTCCGGGATGAGGCCTTCTACCCATCTAATCCCTGGTTCACCTCGCTGGGAAGGATGGACGACACGTTGAGGCCGCGCAGGCCCTTGGGCGAGTCCGGCGAGCTCGTTGCCACCTGCCCTCGCTTCGTCGTCCGCGTCGGTCGAGCCCAGCCGACGATCCAGGCGTACACGTACGCACAGGAGGGCATGACGCTCCAGATGCTCTGGCCACAGTGGTGGTATGACCTGGAGCAGTCGCCCGGCAGGTTCAAACTGAAACGCGGGAAGCGCGTCGAAGGCTTGCACGACGAGAGCATCCTCAAGCCCTGGTTCGACACCTTCTGCCGCATCATCGAGGCATCTGCTGCCTCCGCCTCCGCCCCCAACGGCTCGGCCAACCCCACCTGATTGCCTTTTCTTCTTCCCCTGTCTCTCTTTTTTGGCATAGTCATTCGCACGCTCATTCGTAGACACATCATACTACCATTGTCGCTAGACTGCACTGCCCCCCCCCCTTAATCAATACCATCATTCTTCTGGCGTCTTGGCACACTGACACACTGACAACCATCAACGCTTCGAGGAGTCACGAAGAGAGAACATCAAAACAAACAAAAACAAAGGAAAACGTTTCGCAAGTTGCTCAAATTCGAGATGCAGTATACAACCATCGTTCTCCAGAACAGGGCGAAAGCGCACCATCAACGAAGAGAAATTTCAGAGCTGGAGTGGCTTCGTCTCCTTGGCCTGTGGGAATGAGCAATGGTCAGTCAAGGAGCGTTAGAGAAGATGGACGGGGGGCACACGCACCAGCTTGAGCGTCTTGGAACGCATGAGGTGCTCGAGACCCTGACGACCGTGGAGGCCGCCGATGCCCGAGTCCTTCCAGCCGCCAAAGTAGGAGAGCGGATTGAAGTTCTGCATCTGATTGACCCAGACGGTGCCCGTCTCGAGACGGTCGGCGATGCGCTGCGCCTGCTCGATGGGTCCCCAGACCATGCCACCGAGGCCCATGCGCGTGTCGTTGGCGCGGCGAACCACTTCGTCCTCGTCCTTGAACTTGAGAAGAGGCAGCACCGGCCCGAAGGGCTCCTCGATGACAATCTTGCTCGTGTCTGGCGGGTTGTCGACGATGGTGGCGGGCACAAAGAAGCCCTTGTCTGTGTGCTTCTCACCGCCGACGAGCACCTTCTGCTTGTTGGCTGCAATGTCGGCCAAGAACTCGTTGACTTTGTTAAACTGCTGGCGGTTGTTGACAGGGCCCAGGCCATTGGCAGGGTCCATGCCATCACCCATCTTTGTCGCCTTGGCGATGCCGACGAGTTGGGCGGCAAATTCATCGTAGATGTCCTCGTGAACGTAGATGCGCTTGGCTGCAGCGCAGAACTGGCCCGAGTTCTGGAGCGCAGAGAGGAAGACCTGGAGTGGAACGTGGGTCATGTCGATGCCGGGAAGAATGATGCAGGCATCGTTGCCGCCGAGCTCGAGCGTCATGCGCTTTAGCGTCGCCGCGCAGCTCTTTGCGACCAGCCGGCCCGTGTTTGTCGAGCCGGTAAAGGAGATGTGGTCGATATCGGGGTGCTCCGTCAGCATCGGTCCGAGCGAGTCGTCACCAACGACGATCTGGATGACGCCAGGGGGCAGGTACTTTTGCGCCGCGATAATGAATTGAATCGTCATGAGGGGTGTGAAGGGCGAGGGCTTGACGATGATGACATTTCCCGTGAGGAGCACGGGGATGATCTTCCAGAACGACAGGATCAGGGGGTAGTTCCACGGCACAAGAGCCGCGACGATGCCCATGGGGTACTTGCGCAGGATGTTGACATTGCCCTGGCCGTCGTCCTCGACGACTTCGTCCTTTGGCTCGGGGTACTTGTTCAAGTCCCAGAAGAGCTCCGTCGTGCCCCACTCAAATTCGGAGAGCTGCAGGGTTCTGCCCTGCTCGGCCGTGTAGATCTTGAGCAGGTCCGCCTTGTTGTGTACGATCCAGTCATCGTGCCACTTTTGCAGCAGCGCCTTGCGCTCCGCCCACGACGTCTGGGACCACTTTGGAAATGCCGCCCGGGCGCTGCGCACAGCCTCGTCGACGACTTCCTTTGTCGCCACGGGCACCTGCGCGACGACGCTCTCGTCGGCCGGGTTGATGACATCGATCATCTTTGCGCCCTTTGTGGGATACGATTGCCCGTTGATGACATGGCTGAATGACTCTTTCGGCCAGTGAGAGGCCGTCGATGTTGCTGCAGGTGCCATATTGGTATTGTTCTGAGGATCTTCTCGTGAGCGCTAGTTCCCTTTCGAGAGTTGACAGACGATCTGTGACTTACAGAGTGAGAGAAAGGGGTACCAATGTGATTGTCTCAAGGGGGCGGTGGTGTTGATGAGTACGGAAGTCAAAGTTCTTGTTGTGGGGACAAGCCCAGCCTGTGGACTGCCGACCGTGTACTGACTACTGGAGCAATAGCGGGTCTGTGCTCAGAACCGGTCGGGGAACCGGTCCTTCCCCGCACACACGCCAAGTCCCACCAAATATCATTGCCCTCCACGCCACACTCCGGCTTTTCCGCTGTAAGAAGCCAGCCACACGCGCTTAGAGCCTGTAACCGGACAGGCAATTATCGGCCGGTTAAAGCATTCTTCACAAAAGCTGCTTCCTCTTCGCCTCGCGCATGCTTCATTGCTTGCTGCTCAGCTCGCCTAGCCCCTTTAGCGAATGCCTTTTTGCCTTTGCGTACGAGACCTTAACTGACAGGGCTAAGTATGCTGCACTTTCTGGACCTCTCGCAGTACGTGCGTTCTGGTGCTTTCGATTCTGCATCGCAAAGTGTAGTGCATTTTAGATTTGTTGTACAATTGTTGCCTATCGTCGTCTGCAAATGCCGTCCGCCCGACCGCCATCTCGGCGCTGGTCGAATGAAGCGAGGGCAAATGATGGGAATTGAGGCTAGCGACGGTTTCGGCTATCCACTCCTTGCCCCACGCCGGGCCCACCGCCCTTGTTCACCGCCTTGAGCTCCTCGGCGTCCAGGCCTGCTTCTCTCTGGATGCGCTCAATCTGTAGACAGGATGCAAGCCGGTGAGCAAGGAGCGAGTGCAACTACATATTGAACTACATACCTCGTCGAGCACAGGCTTGTATTCTGCATATCTCTTCTCAGCCAGGGAGAAGCCATCCCTCCTCATCTCCTTTCCCCTGCTCTGGCCTTGAGATTCTTCAAAGGCCCGGCTGCCCCAATACGACTTGGTCCTGGCATAGAAGTCCTTGAGATTCTCGCCAGGCAGCGGCGTCGACAAAAAGTCCTGCTCCCGCTGCTTTGAGTCTTTAGCAACGCCTGCAAAGGCCATTGCTCGCTTTCGCAGCTCTTCCCGCTCTGCCTTCTCGCGCTTTAGTCGGGCCAACGTCTCGTCGTCGAGCCCGTCCTCGCCTTCGGAGAAGAGCTCGTCCTCGTTCTCTTGGATCACCTTGACCTCCTCGCCTTCTTGCTGCTGCTCGTCGTCGGAATCAGAATCAGAATCGCCCGAATCCGAGGCAGAGTCGCCCGACGTTGATTCAGACTCAGACTCGGACTCGTTCCATTCGAGGGCATCGATGGGGCAGCCCTTGAGGCACTGGAAGCGGTCCATCTTGGACAAGTCGAGCGTATAAAAGTCGTCGAGAGTGTACTCGCGGTTCTGTGTCTCGTGGATGCCGCCATAGCAGTAGAGTGTGTTCCTCTGCACGGCCAGCATCGTGTTGAAGCGTGCCAGAGGAACGCTTTTTTGAGGGTCGTCTGGGTCGTCTTCTTCTTCCTCTTCCTGGTCTCTTGCTTCTTCCTCTCTTGCCCCGTCCTCGTAATCACCTCGGCCCTCATTATCATCGTCGCTGTCATCGTCGCGATTCTCCCTCTGCTGAGGTTGGGGCTGCTGCGGCTTCTTTCGCCGTCTACCACCCTTTTTCTTGGGTCGCTTGAGGTTCAGGCTGACCCATCGCCCGTTACCTCCGAGCTGGTAGGCAAACAGTTCGTTGTGGCACACGCTTTCGAGACTCTCCTCGTCATTTTCCTGGTCCGTGACACCTCCAAAGAGGACACCCATGTTCTTGTTGCCCCAGAGCGCCATGGTACAACCAGACCGCGGGCCAGGCGCATAGCCGATCTTGCGCCTTCGCTGCCACTCAAACGTGCCCGAATGCAGCAGATCGCCATCGCCACCGAGCTCGAGCTTGAGGAACCAGGTGTCCTCGAGGGCTACACCCTGGGTACGCTGGCCCTTGACGTATCGCTTGCAATATCCACCGTGGAGCAGGACGCCATCGGGGCACGCGAGGAGCGAGAAGCCCGATCTGGCGGCAGGATGAGCCCTGAGTGCATCGTGCTTGATCTCGTGCCACTTGTACTCGGACAGGTCAAAGAGCCAGAGGTCGCCCAGGTACGTTGTCCGGACGCCCGTATCCTGGAAGCCGCCAAAGAGGACGAGGAAATGCTTCCAGCAGACCATGCGGTGGCCCGATCGCGCGCTTGGCCGGACCTTGGTGTCGATGCGTTCCCACTGCTTGCTTGCAACGTGGAGCACCCAGAGGTCACGGTAGTGGTGGAAGCTATTCATTCGTGGGCCTGCAAATTCGCCGCCAAAGAGCCAGAGCTGACCGCCATTGGCTGCCGTCGTGGCCACCTGGTGCGCCGAACGTGGACCTGGCTGGTTTGCGGATGCATAGGAGCGCCACACACCACCATCAGTCGGCGTTGAGCCATTGGTAGGCACTGGTGTCGCAGTTGTCGTCGCCGTCGAGGGCGTGTATCGGTAGAGATCGGGGTAGAAGAGTGCTCTGTATGCGCCGTATCCCTCGTGAGCAGATAGGAAAAGGAGGGCAAGCAAGCCAAAGCATGAAGGAGTTGACTCACCTGTCACCATCAAAGTACTCGCCACCAAACAACCAGAGGTCGGTGCCGTTGGGGCAGGGCGTCAAGGTGGCATTGGCTCGCCTGGTCGGCGCTTCGGCCATCTTCTCTTCGTGAACGTCGTGCTCGGTCGCCCACTGCTCTCTGAACTTCTCCAGCAATGCATCGAGGTCTTCTTCGTCGTCGATGGCTGCGGCCGCCTTGCCCTTCTTGCCTGCCTTTTTCCCATTGCCTGCACCTCCCTTCGTGGGTGGTGGTGGTGGTTGTTGTCCCTTTGCCTTGGTGTCCTTCTTGGTGAGCGTCTTTGACGCTTTGGCCTCCTGCTTTGCACGCTTCTGCGCCTTCTGGGCAGCCTTTTCAGCCGCCGCCGCTTGCCCGCCTTTTCCCTTCTTGCCCATCCTTGCGGCGACGGCTCTCTATCTCTATGCAAGATTCCTAAGCAAAAGCTTCTTCGCCAAGTCCATGTCCCTTTCTCAGGCCCAAAAAAAAAAAAGCCAAAATTTGGCCCCGGATTCACGTGAGCTTCTCCACCCGGCGAACCGGCTTGCATGCCGTTGCATGATGACCACGGCACTGACGACGACGACGAGAACATGCCTAGGAGAGTGGCTCACGTCGACTTGCCCGAGCCGCCAGAGCTGGGCCCGCTGACGGAGCAGTCGCTGCAGGCGCTGCGCAGCCTGGCCGCATACCGACCAGCGCCTGGCTCTGAGCCATGTCCAGACCAGGTCCCGGCTTACCGGAGAGCCGCCGTGCTGCTCTCCATCTTTCCCGGTCGGAGTGGGGACCTGTATGTCATCCTGTCACAGCGAGCCACGGCGCTGCGGAGCCATGGTGGAGACACGGCTATTCCTGGCGGGAGATTCGAGGCCGATGACCAGGACTTGGAGGCAACTGCAGTGGGTTATGATGCCTGGCGCCAGGAGACAGGTCTAACGGGAGTGCTGATCTGTCCTATCATCACCAGAGACGAGAGGCGTGGGAAGAGGTGTGTGGCTGCTAAGCTTTTTTTTTGACCAACAACAAGCTGATACCTGCTCTCTGGCTGCATCTTCAGACGGGACTGCCAATCGATCCAAAGAGGGCGCCGAAGCTGTGCGAGCTGGAGCCATTCCTGAGCGCAAACGAGCTCCTCGTCACGCCCATCGTCGTCTTGATCATTGACCCCTTGATCAAGGTGAGCCGTCTCTTACTGCGTATACCTTGCCACTGTGGCATTTGAAACGGCTTACCGAACCCACCTGCAGCCGAAGTTGAATCCACTCGAGGTCTCGCTCCTCTTCTCCCTTCCCCTCGCCTCCTTCCTCTACCACCAGCCTCCAAATGCGTTGCGCCAATCGCTCAGGCTGGGCAAGCAGCCGACCATGGAGGAGCTGCAGAGGCAGCAGCCCAAGTCAGAGTTTCGCGAGCCAAGCGACTGGCACACCTGCCGCGACATTCGATGGCTCGGCCACCGCGTCCGCAGGCACACGTTCTGGGACACGCGCAACCCCATCCGGGGCCTCACCAGCGACATTCTCATCCACGCCGCCGCCATTGCCTATGCGCGGCAGCCCGACTTTTCCACAGTGGCCCCGACCCAGCCCTCGCAGGCCGAGCTGATCCGCACGGCCTTTACGGGGCCCATGGCCATCAAGAAGCGGCGCGTGAGACCGCGCATGGCTGGTCTCCAGCAGCCCGTCGACGACGACGGCAAGCGGCCCGAGGACAAGGCAAAGCTGAGCCGGGAGCGGACGCTGGACATGAACAGGTGGATGACAAGGAACAAGGCAACAACAACGACACGGCCATCGAGATTATAGCAGTGTAATAATCCTGTCGAATGATTTACAATTTTGCAAACTTGGGCGTCTGCTTCTGCATCACGGCCGCCATCTGTGTGTGTGTGTGTGTGTGTGTGTGTGTGTGTGTGTGCATAGGAGGAGTTTGTTTTGCTCGCTCGTCAGCAGATCTGCTCGCTCGAACTTGAACAATACGCAAAGGAAAAACGTACCGCAACGGGAATGTCCTCGCTCTGCAGCATCGATGCGCTCCAGAGCGCCGTGAAGTCGAGGCCCTGCTGTACGGTGTGATCCCTGGCGTGGAGGAGGAGCTCCTTGGTGCCGCGGAGGGCAACGGGTGCCTTGGACGCAACCACCTTTGCCATGTCGATGGCGGCCTTGAGCACGGCATCGCGGCCGCCGTCGACGAGCTGGCTGAGGAAGCCCATGTCGAGGGCCTCTTTTGCCGAGAATTCTCGTGCCGTGAAGCACAGCTCGCGCACCAGCGATTGGTTGCCGACAATCTTGGGCAGGCGCTGGAGCGTGCCAATGTCAGCGGCCAGGCCCGCGTCGACCTCCTTTACGGAGAAGCGCGCCGTGGACTCGGCGAGCCGGATGTCGACGGCGCAGAGCAGGTCGATGCCCAGGCCATAGGCGACGTTGTGGACAGCCGCAATCACGGGCTTGCCGCACCGCTCCATCTGGCTCACGGCCGCCTGGAACTCGCCGACCCAGCGCTTCATGGCAAACGCCCTTCGCGCCACATCCGGGCCCGCGTCTTCCATCACCTGGCCCAGCGAGTCCGAGCCGAGGTCCAGGCCGGCCGTGAAGCACCGCCCCTCGCCGCTGAGCACGACCGCAAACACGTCCGTGTCGGTAGCGACATGGCGGAAGATGGCATCGAGCTCGCGCCACATGGGCTCCACCCAGGAGTTGACAGGTCCGCGCTTGAAGCTGACGCGGAGCACGCCCTCGGCCTCCCACGTCAGCTGGTGCAGCTTGGCCGTGCCAAAGTTCTCAAAGGGCCGTGGATAGCTGCTGCTGCCGCTCATTGTTTCTGTGCTTGCTCTCTCTTTTGTTGTCGTCGTGAGTTAGTTAATGGCCTTTGGCATGTCCGAACATCACCTAAACCGGGCGGTCCGGCTAACATGAAATAAGCTATCCCGGGTCGACGACACGCGTGGGCCAAGCGAACTTTTTCAGCGTGATTGAAGGCACATCGTTGTTCTCAAGGCACATCGTTGTTCTCAAGGCACATCGTTGTTACCAATGCACATCGTTGTTCCCAAGGACAAACATGCATTCCATGACGTTCTAACGCAGCAGAGAGAACGGTGAACAAGGACAGCGAGAGTCTATATACAAAGAGTGACGAGCCAATTCCCAAGGCTATCTCAGCTCCATCCGAGAGCGCTGCCCAGAAGACGGAACTGCATTCGGATCCAGCGGAGGATCTCTTTCGACCGGAGCGTCGTCATGGTCGCATGGATAGCTCGTGCCCAGGCGTGCCTGACGGATGCCGGGATCACCTTGGATGGTGGTGCGATGCCGGCGTAACGGCCAAAGACCTTCATCTGGCACGCTGCATCGATTTGCATGTGTACGCCTTTGCAGACTTGCGTGACGGTTCCGAAAGGAGGGGTCAGCAGGAAGCAAGGACCTTCTCGAGAGTCGAAAACTCACGCTCCATCTTGATGGCACCACGCTTGTCGAGCGCCTTGAGGCCAATGCGGTCTTCAAGGTAAATTTCGCTTTGGCGCAGCGGCAGCACCTCGAGCTTGTCCTGCGCTGCACCTTGCTTGTCCTTGGACGGCACAGGGTACGTAGCAAACCACGAAGACTGCTTGGGCTCAACGGTCTTTCAGGAATCGTTGGAGGTTAGATGCACTCGTTTTGCAGAAGGAATAAGGCAAAGGAACAGAAGGACTTACTGTATCCTTGTTGAACATGAGCATGACAAAATTGTCGAGCTTCTCCAGATTGGCCTTATACGTCGCATTGCGGCCCTCCTTCTTCTCGTTGTTGATGTCTGTCAAGAAGTGATTGGCCTCGAGGTATCGTTGGTAGGTTTCCTGGCTCTTTGAATCGCGGTAGTACTGCGCCGTGACCAGGTTCGACTGGGCGTAGTCGGTGTAGATGCCACCCCGGAGCGCGCCCTCTGCCAACCTACAGAAGAAGTCGCCGGGCTTGCACGCAGGGAGATCAGAGATGCCTTGATGCTGAGAGCCAAAAGTGATCAGGTTGCGGACCTGGGGCGCATTGCAGCGCTCTACGTATGCACGAAGGAATTGGCCGCCTTGCGAGAAACCCACGGCATCGAAGCCGTTGGCAAGCTCCGGCACGGCCGACAGATCGGTGCATACCGTCGATACTTGGTCGTTGACGTTTCCAAAGAAACCTGCTCGCTGGTCCGAGGTGGCATCTTGGCCTAGAGCAACGATGTGGACGTAGATGCCGGGGAATGCTTCGCGGAGCTCCTTGGCGAACTCTTGCAATCCCTCGGCATAGGCGCTGTCTCCAAGGCCATGCCAGACCACGATTGGGTGATAGCTGGGCTCAAAAAGCGGAAAGGCGCTCGCAAGGGGGAGCAGAATGCTCAAAAACAGCGTCGCTATCTTCATCATACCACGTCGACCAACAGGGAGTGGGGACGTGCGGCGGCCCATTTCAATCTCAACTCAGCAGCTGCTACGGGCACGTGTGTCGCTCGACGCGCCGACTCCTGCTCTCCAAATTCACCACATCGTAGTTCTGTTGGTTGACAAAGGCGCCGCACTCTGGCTTGCCACTTTTAGTCTTCTCACCATCCCGCACCCAGCAAAGACATGCCAAGTCGGTCTGCAGATGAAGATGATGGATGGGAACGCACCGGAAGGCTGGTCTACGACGATGTCAATGACGAGATCGATGATCTGGGTGATGAAGATCTCACGGTGCGCTACACTCTCCTCACTGTCTCCTCTATCTGCTCTTCTTTCAACTTCGAGGCAAACGGAAAACAATGATGTCTCTGACCTATCTCCTTCTGCGTAGGGAAAGCCCGTGCCTAAGCTTAAACTGACAGGCCTCACGAAGACCCAGACTAGAGCGCAGCATGCATGCATTGCTTCACAAGCAACGCCGGGGGCACAAAAGCTTTCGGAGAAAGCACATGCTGGAGACCAGCCGGCTTCATCGTTGCAACCTAACCCACAAAAAGAGCAAGAGCCTTTAAAGCGCATGCTTAATTCTCAAGCAACCAGGACGCAAGCTGCTGAGATGCACACAGGCGGGCCCACGCCCCTCCGTAGCGATCACGGCCACAACATGGTCACTGTGCCGAGCGCAGACGGAAGGAAAGCGATCCTCAATCCGCAAGTCATGGCGAACTGGGAGGCGAAAAAGTATTCGGAGCGCGCAAAGAGGGCTCTCAACGGCTCTGCTGCTGTGATGAGGCCTCAAGGTCTATCAAGGAACCCAAGCATTCGGGTCAAGGGTGCCATGGGACCGCCGATGCTTTCTCGGCCTCAAGTAAGCTCCTCTCCACAAACGAGCAATGTGAGCCCTTGCGTTGCTGGTGACCGGTGTGGAAAAGCTCACATGACAAGTTGAATAGTCGAACCAATCAACCTCGAGCAGCCCATTCACTTCCCAGACGAGCGTGGAAAGCACTGGTTCACCTGCAAACGGGCAGTGTCGCATGCATCCAGCTCACGTCAAGCTTCAGCGCCCTGACCAAGGGAAACGGGGCCAGCAAACGAACCTGACCTTCTCTCCCGTCCAAAAGCAGGAGATTGCTTCTGTACACAGGCAGAATACAGGTCAGGATACTCACGTAGGAAGTCCACCCGGTCAGAAGACAGATCCAGATGATGTCTTCTACTACGACGTCGCCCGTCGGCCGTTTCAGCCGAATCCCGGAACCCAATACTCATCGGTGCGCCAAGCTACTTCAAATGAACAGGTCCCATCTCCTGACGAACCAGCACAGCGACAAGCTCTTTTACGTCGACCAACAACCAGCACGGGTCGCTACTTGTACCCTGGGCAGCGACAATCTCAATCCACATCCAAGCAAGCTCAGGAGGCGCGTTGTCATATACAGAACTTCTCGAAGCAGACGGATCTTTACGACGAGGAATTGGACTGGAAGATTTGCTCTCAGGATGGCGAAACTGATCACTTGCCACTTCAAAGACCTCCTACGGCGATGCAAAACTCAGGACGCAAGCTGGGAACGACGAGACGGGGATTTTCTTGGAGCTCTCAAACGCAGACCTGGGCTGAGCAGGGATTATCTGGCCATTTGCAGACTACAAGATCGCCAAGATTGACTCTTCCTTCGCTTCAACATTGCTTACGGGCGCATGACAGCTTTCATGGGTCCTCTGATACGAGCACAGGCTGCGGTAGCTATGTACAAGAACCTGCCTACCAGCTCAATCGGCCATCGTCGAGTTACCAACAGCCGTCTGCGTATCACCCACAGCTAAATCTCTTGAACGATACACCATGTTTATCACGCCCACTGTCCTGTCGTCGGCCAAGCTATCCGTACTCGACCGGCCTTCAGAGGAATGCCGACCAGCAAGCCACCCTCCAACAACGAGTCGGACACGCGGATCCGATGTACAGCGGTCTCTCAACAAATTGTCACCCTCCGCAGTCCAGCTGGGAAAGGAAGGATAACGATTCAAGGTCCCAGGCTCAGCCGAGAGTGTACCCCGACGCGGATCCTTTACAAGGTGACTGTTCGCGACAGCTCTTACAACATGCGTGATTGAAGAGAGAAATGATTAAAGAGAGAGATCGAGCTCACACCTTCAACGTCCTATAGGTCAGAGTGGATTCGTCAGTCCATCAATCTCTGAGACGGCCAACCAGTGGGCGCGCACTTTCAAGCATAGTCCGAACAGCGCGAGGATGCCGTCCCGGCAAGCTTCCTGTTCTCCAATTCGCCAAATTGGCCAGCGGTGTGCTGGCATGTCTCGCTCACTGAGGTATGACGAATACGGACCACGCCTGCCTACGGCCTCAACTGTCCGACAGCAGCCAACCGTTCCCTCCTCGATGCAGCGGCCCGGTTCTGTCGGACATCACCAGAGCAGATACACTCCTCCGGACTCGTTCTTGTCCAGGCCCATTGGCTCTTCGCCCTCGGCCGCGACGACGCCCCTCTTCTGCCCACCGTCGGAGAGGGCCCTGACGCGAGATGGCAAGTTCACACCGTCGACACTGGAAGCGTTTCGGAAGCGAGATCATGGCAGATTTGCGCTCAAGTATGAGCCCGTGCAAGACTATGAGAAGGAGGAGGAAGCGGCGCGAAAGCGGCAAAGGAGAGATCACTGACACTGACACATGTCGAACACGTTGCAGCAGACAAATGTATTCATTCCATCCCCATCCATCCCTCCTTTCAAAAGAATCTTTTGCATGATGCGCACTTTGCTCAGAGCTTGAACGCGGCGGGCTTGCTGCCCCGCTTGACCTTGGCATAGCCGCCTCCCAGGCTCTTCTTGCCACCAACGACGGTTTGCTCAAAGGCAATCTCGACGACGCCGTCCTTTTCACCCGTGAACCAGACCGAGGTCTCGAGCTCGTCGCCGGGCTTGACGGGCGAGGTGAAGCGGGAAGACATGACCTGCAGCTCGGCTGCGGGCGAGCCTGGCTGGCCATCGGTGCCAACGACGGAGCGGAGGATGGCGCGGGCGGCGAAGCCGTAGCTGCAGAGGCCGTGGAGAATGACGCCGCCAAGGCCTCCCTTTGCGCCGATCTGCGGATCAATCTGGCAAAGAAAAGGGGGGGAGGGGATCAAACCCTTTGAGTCAGTGACGTTGTGACGCTAGATGGACCTCTCCAACGTGCTCACATGGAGGGGGTTGTAGTCGGAAGAGAGGCGGTAGACGATGGCCTGTCCCGGGCTCGTCTTTTCGCGCAGCGTAAAGTCGGCACCGCGGCCAGGCGCTTTTGTCACGGGCGGCTTCGTGACAAGGGCCTTTGAGAAGCCGGTGCCTTGGCCTCCTCCCCTGTAGAAGGCGCTGCCTGCGGGTGAAGTAATATCAGCGACCTGCAAAGGGTTGGAGAGGGAGAGAAAGGGGGGTGGGAGGGTGGGGAGTGTATGTGGCTGCATGTGTGGCTTACTCACCAATCATGATGGCATGGGTGCGGCCCACTGGACTGACGAGGGCCTGCTCTGTCTCAAGAATGAGACCGCTGCCCTTGTCGTGCACGCCGACAATGCGCTTGCGGATCTTCCAGCCCTCGCCGCTGTTGGTGGGGATGTCGTGGAGGATCTCGATCGACTGCTCGCCGTGGACGATGGTGTTTGGGTCGAGCTTCGGGAAGCCGGGCACGCCCTGGCGCGACGAGATCATCTCGGCAAAGACGTTGACGTCGGGCGAGGTGCCCTTGAGGCCGAGGACGAGCGGGTAGGTGGGGAAGGCCCGGAAGCCTGGCGAAGCCTCGTACACGTAGTCGAGCGCATCGGGCCCTGTGCCGATGCCGGCAGCGTAGAGGAGGAGGTCACGGCGGTTCCAGGCGACGGGTGTGTCGCCATCCGTGTGACCGACGCTCTTCTCAAAGTCGACTTGCTGAGGAGCCATGTTGTTTGGTGGGTAGAGTGCAAGCAGTGGTTGGCGAGCGATGGAGCAGGAGGAGAAGTACTGGGTGCGGTTGAGAATGGAGGGTGACCGGGCCGGTGGGAGCAAAGAAGGCGGCGTGCTCTTGAGGCTTTTCCAGACTTGGCGAGTGAGGAGGAAAGCCGTTCTCATGCAGTCCTGTCGCACGAAAGCAGAGACGTGGGCGACAACCACAACCACAGTTGCTACGGCCGGTTGCAACGCGCCGACATTGCCGGGCGCGGGGAAGCTTAAGCTCACGTGGCGCGCCAGGCAATAAGCCACACTCACGACCTTGGACATGCTATGTTTCCTGTCGCCACAGGCGCCTGTAGGAGGTAGAGATTGAGAAGATACCAACGAGAATGTTGTGACAAGACTGAAAAGATTGAGGCACTGTTGCTAGCACCGCCTTCTCTTCGCTCTGTTGACATGGTCTCCCCCAACGAGTCCGCGAGCTATCAACAAGTTCTATCAACAAGTTGCCCTTCCAGAAACCTACGCTCCTGCTGTCAGCCATGCGAGATCTCGGAAGGCGATATAAAGTTGCTCTCTCTTCGTCATTCGGCCGATCAAGCGGCCGCCGCGTGCGAGGAAAGCCCGTTTGTATGAGATCTCGGACAAGGCAAAGAACAAGCGCGAGTGGAATCGCTGAAGAACGCGACACGTCTGGACATGCTTGAACGGACGCGACGCAAGGCCGCCCGTGCTGACAATTGTCTTGTTTGACTCTGTCTGTCGCAGCCCCGTCCTTTCTTTCCTCTTCCCTCTCTTTGCATCCCCTTAATCGCCGGTTTCCCTCAGACCTTCCTCCTTCACCACCATCTTAGCTTCTATTGTCGCAAGTATTTGCACTTGGCAACGATGTCGTCCGCCGATGCCAAGCCTAGGCCCACTTACGTGGAGATGGTGAGGGAAAAGCGCAGTATTTCAAGGCCACTCTCTGATACTCCCAACCTCGAAAAAAATCAGATTGCCCTGGCTATCGCTCACGAAAGCACCAACGACAAGCAGGTCGCCCAGAAGGGCCTCAGTCGCCCGGCTCTCAAGAAATTCCTCGAGCAGAAAGTGAGGCCTTTGCCATCTCATCAGGAAGCAAACAAAGTGCTGAGCTTGTCATTGCCAACGCGACAACAGTGGAGCATAGACTCGGACAGCAAGACGGCAAAGAATCTCATTTCCAAGGCCGTAACGAAAGGCCACGACACTGGCCGTTTTGTCCTGCCGTCGGGTGAGTTGAGTTACTGCCACGCCTATACTACAGCTGCTCAAAACCCTTCTCGATCAGGCCCTGCTGGAAGGATCAAGCTCGCTGCCGGAGCAAAGAAGCAGGTGACGTCTGCGAACTCGACGACCTCCAAAACAAAGGCGGCATCCGCAAAGACCGCCAGCGCCAAAGGTACGAAAGACAAGAAGAAGGGTGCGACTGCGAAGAAGCGAATTGTACCAGCCAGCGACGATCTCATCGACACGAGTGAAGGCGCTTCTGCAAGCGACAAGGAAAATGGAGGCTACAGCGCTGAGGAAGAGGATTCGAGCGATGAGCATGCAATCAAGAAAAAGCCCGCAAAGAAGCCAGCCAAGAAGCCAGCCACGAAGGTAGGTCCACATTTGCTGTGTGGTGTCTGTCACAGCTCATCCATGTC